CCAACTTCGTCGTCTTCGCTTCTCTTATTAATACGACGACTACGATGGAGATAACACCAAGCCCCCTGCCTCTTGAGGCACCCACAATAGTTCCTAAGGACGAGACATCTATCAACCTGGGCGATGATGGATGGAAACCCACCAAACGGTTCCTCCTAGCTTTCATGTCGCTGTTGACGATAGTATCAGCAGTAGCAATTGAATCGACCAGTTTACCCACCGCGCTCCCTATCATGAGCGCGGAATTAGGAGGCACTGCTTTACAGGCGTTCTGGTCAGGAACAAGTTTTCTTTTGGCCTCGACGGTGATCCAGCCAACTGTTGCCTCCATGTCGCATATTCTTGGTCGAAGAATAGTAAATCTCACAGTACCTCAAAATAAATATACTTACTAAGATGAGCCATTTAGATGCTGTACGTTAGCAGTGCTGGATTCGTGGGCGGCTCGCTAATTGCTGCGCTTGCGGGAAATTTCAATGTTGTGCTTATTGGGCGGACTATCCAGGTGAGTATAAGACTACCGAAGATATCATAGTTGTATCATAACATAGTCTAACAGAATTAGGGGGCGGGAGGTAAGCCGTTAAACAACTTTGATGATTGGAACTCATACTTATCGTTTCGTTAGGTGGAGGGCTCATCGTGCTTTTGGAGGTAAAACTGTCCCTTCTCGCGTGATATAACGATTGAAGTACCCTAGACTGACACTTTAGTAAGATTCTCATATCCGATCTCGTGCCTCTTGCGCATCGAGGTACTTGGTTCAGCATCAACTCGGCAATGTGGGGTATTGGCACTGCTACCGGGCCCTTGATCGGAGCTGGATTTGCCCAGGACATCGTAAGTATCATACTTAGTTTCGGTAATTTGCTGATCAAGCTGATTTTCGAAAGACTTGGCGATGGATATTCTGGATCAACTTACCTATTGTCGGCGTTGGGATGTTCTTAGTCACATTATTCTTGAAGCAAGCTCAGGTACCGGGACATATCGTCGAGAAGCTGAAGAGGTTTGACTGGCTTGGCTCCGTCTTGTTTTCCGTTAGCTCTGCCTGCTTTTTATTCGGTATTACCACCGGAGGTGTTGCGTTTCCGTGGTATGCGTTAAGATATCCGTATCTCAGATTCTAGAGCGCTGACAATCTATAGGACATCTTATCAAGCTCTCTTGCCGCTAATTATCGGGTTCTTGGGAATGCTCTGTTTTGTTTATTGGGAATTCTGTTTTGCGACAGACCCTATCGTAGATAGACGCATTTTCGCAACTTGGACGGCAATCTCGGCTTATATTCAGACTATGCTACACGGTCTTATCTTATACGCAGCAATATACTTCCTCAGTAAGGCCGTTTCCAATATGACTCGGCAAATAACACTATACATTAAAGCTAATCATTTCTCATAGCGCTATTCTATCAAGCCGTAAAGCTGTATTCGCCAGTGACTTCAGCTATCGCTCTACTCCCAGAAACAATTGGCTTATCACTCTCGAGTGTTGCTGTAGGAGCCCTGACGGGTATGACCAAGAAGTATCGATGGGCCCTCTGGGGAGGATGGGTTTTAACTACTGCCGGTTCTGGACTTTTATACCTCCTAGGCACAGGTACTACTGTTACGCAATGGGTATTTTTGAATATCCCATTCGGTATTGGAGTTGGCATGCTGTTCACGGCTGAACTCCTAGCTATTCAAGCTGCAACGAAGTATGTAATGATTATCTAGTTAAACCTCTCTGACGGAGGTTTCAGATTGTGGCCTATGCTAACACCTTGTAGACCTGAGCTCAACGGTGAAGCCGCGGGCTTCTTCTCGTTCATCCGCATTTTTGGCCAAGCCCTAGGTGTCGCTGTCTCGGGAGTGATCTTCCAAAACTCGTTGAAGCAAAATCTTCTTAGAATACCGGGGTTCGCGTCCCTAGCAGACGAGTACTCGCGCGATGCTACCGCGATAGTGGCTCTTATCCACGACATGGTTGATGGAGATACAAAGACGCGAATGATTCAAGCATTCTCAGATGCCCTAAGTTCGATATGGCTGTCACTTATAGCGTTCTCGGCCGCAGGCTTGTTATTGAGCTTGACGGTAAAGGGCTACTCCATGACCCAGGAACATGTCACTGCGCAGCATCTGGTCCAAGAGAAGGGTGGGGATGGAAACGTGGAGGCTGGTGTTTTGGATAATACCGAAGATAAGAAATCGTGAATACACGACGCTACTGATATCTATTTGGATTCGGCTATCCCTATATTGCTAGCCTTGCTCTTTATATTGAAGTCTAAGTTGGAATGTAGCTGATATGAGCATTTTGACTATATCAGGCATCGAATAAAGGGTATAGGAATTGTTGGCCCGGTAAATGTAGCATGTTAGGATGTTCACCAAGAACGCAAATGTACATCTTCCTATACAATAACCGGGTAGTAAAGTGTCTCTCCCAAGACCCTTTGACTGCATAATCAGAAACTAGCTTTAGTATTTCAACTATCCCTAAGTAGTTTTCGAGCCCACCATTTTACACTCCTCCAAGAAGTCGAGTGGATAAAGATTCAAACCACATTGTACCAAAAAAGGGGCACCGCTATGCTTCGATGCATAGAAACCACCTGTAAACCGGTTCGAATAAATCATACGAGAGCAGGAAGCCTTGTAATTTATCTCCCATCCTCCCTTATCTATAATCCTCCCATTCCTTAGCACTTTATAAAAGTACCCTCCGATATCCATCACCATAGGTACGTACGCTTCAGCATTTCAAAAGATATAACCCGATTAGTACCTCAGATATGTTCTGTTGGTAGTGCAAGCACACGTCTGAGCCTGGTCTATCGCGCATCTCGACAACAATATGCCCATCCTCACCTGGGCATGGAAACTCCAATGGCTGTGCGCTCATGCCGGGTTCCAGGTTTACTGCTTCGAGTGGCATTACAACAGGCGGCGCATTATTATAAGTTGTGTTCCTCGGGTCAGCTGGCGGTTCCTCTAGCAGCACGAAGCTCACTAGTCCGGTGCCGTTCAGCGTATAGAAGGGACGCTGTTGTTCCTGAGCAGAAGGCAAGTCGAAGATGAGAGCACACTGCTTGTTTGAGTCTGAATAATCAAGATCGAAGACAAATATGGCGGATATGTTTGGAGTTACCAAAACTACCATGTTAGGATTTGAGCCGTTACTCGTATCCGGTTTGCTCTTGTCGACTAGAATGATTTCGTCGGGACGCTCGAAGATAGGTGTTTCACAGTTGCTAGGGACTGTAGCAGGCGTGCCCGTGGAAGCCGACGATGAGGTCGTAGTGGTTCCATCATGCGAAGAAATTTGAGCTGTGTGGCTTGTTGAGGCATGGAATGAAGCTGTAGTAGAAGTCAAAAATGACCTACTTGTGCTAGCTGTGCCAGCAGATAGTCTCGATGAAGTGCTCGCACTAGCACATGGAGGCCGGCAGCTATCGGCATGAAGCGTAATGCTGGAACAGTCGGCACCGTTGGGTTCTAAGTATAAGTTTACCTCGTCTCCGTCGCCTGTCTGACATTCGTAAAACAAAGAGTGGTGTTGGTACGACACACCGCCATAGCACCCAATGACAAAGCCATGGCCTAGTTGTTGATTCGAATCGCATTGAAGTATCAACGTAGGAGCTAGAAATATAGTGTATTGAGTTAGTTAAATCCTAGCAAAGGAGGAGTTTGATAAACTAGTAGAACATACGAGTCCACCAGCAACCTCTCCCTTGATGATCAGTAAAGGCATCACCGAACCAAGTAAAGAGGGACGGCGCTAAGTCGCTCCCAACTCGTACCTGGCCATCCGCCAATTGACCGACAGATTCATTATTACCGCTCCCTATTGTTAAATGAAAGGCACACCCGGCGTTTATTGGAGGGGGAGCTAGGGATATGCTCTGCACAGAGGCAAGCGAGGCTAGAAACGCGACGAGTATGTTCGCTAGCAGCATCTTGGTAACAAAGGCTTGGAGTTTTTTAAGAGTCCTTAGGGAATTTCGGACGAAGCCAAAGCTAGGTGTTCTATAAAGAGAGCTTCCCAAAACCAGGCCAAAAAGCTACCAAGGTAGATCAGGAATATTGAAGGAACTCAAGGCGAGCAATTCAGATTAGAGACAAGATTGCAACAATAATATTCAGGAAAGGATCAAAGGGTAGAAATGTTTTAAGATCAAAGACGGCAAGAGTGAAGTGATATCTTAGATACGTAATTATCGAAAGTATACAGAGTTCGCTCCTAACCTATATCGTAATACCATTCGTACCTGTGGTCATTCAAGATAGGATCATGGGTAACCACGAATATCAAATAACGATGGAAGTCGCTTAGGTTTTAACGAGCGTAGCAGCAACATCATTAAAAGGGGTGTTTTCTCTCGAAGGAAGAACAACTTTATAGACTGTATTGTGTCTGCCTAGGATATAGATTCTGCTTAGTATTTCTACAAGCGATGAGTTTCGTGATAGTATCAAGTATTATCACATTTAATCGCAACAAGGACATGATTAAAGCGCGAGGGATTGATATGTATTTATGAAGCTACGAGAGAAGTATCATATTTCTATGTAAACCCACTTAGCCATCATAGATCCTATTGTCCTACTAGCCCGTTGCCTTAGTTTTCCACCCCTTGACGAGGTAACTATTGCATTTACTTGATGTTCCATTTGGACAGAAGCTGGTGGGCTCTCATGTTAGACAAGATTTGGGATCTCTCAAATCCATGTCTGACGGAATCTGCATATTAAAACTAGCCCGATTTCTATGTAACCTCAGGCAGTCGTGCAAGGCCGGCTGCTAGGTGAGCATAGAGATCCCTTCCGCCTGCTGTGTCACCCGACGGAACTGGTTGCAGCCGGACGTCACGCATATATGCGCTTCGCCTGCATGCCGGCCAATCCATTCCTTTTTAGACGACATCGAGCGTAGATAGGCTAGCCATGATTTGACCTAACAAAATGAGTAGGACATACTGACTGTTTCTAAGGAGTAGAAACGATTACTCATCCTTCGTCTTCGCTGCCGTCGCTATCATCAATATCGCTCAGCTCATCCAGGGGTATCATATCATCTTCTTCATCTCCACGGCCAGCTGCAGCTTCATCATCCGATGACTGGTCGTCGTCGCTGCTGAAACCTTCAAACTCTTCTTCGTCCTCGCTTGCACTCGCTTGCTCCCCAACGGACGTAGCTGATGCAGCCACGGTTGTATCCGGGACGCTCTCCAAGTCTTCCCTCTTTCGTTTCTTCGGCATCTCTCCGAGTCTACCTCGGCGTCCTTCAACGCCTTTCCCGTGGTCCCCTTCCACAATAGGTGCAGGGGTAAACCACGGGATCTTGCCCCTCATGAAGTCTGTTATTACCATCTTAGCAACTCCATCAACATCCGGCTCTCCACCCTTCAATAGACGGCCACCCTTTCGGGCAAGAAGCTCCAAAAAGTGAATATGGTCGTTCCACCCCTTGATTTCGTACGTTCGTTCCATATGATGCTGCTTGACTTTTGCCATCAATGCAGGAATGTACTGTTCGGGTTGCTCTACCATCTCAACACGAACCACGCCGCGAAGTAGGATATCCTGAGGCGTATCACTCTGATTGGGAGGAACCACACCGGGGCAGTCTATAAGATATATCCGTTTCATCAAGGTAACATATTGCCAAACTTTGGTCTCTCCGGGGATAGGAGCTACAGTGGCGACCTTCTTTCCACGTAGGGTATTGATGATAGACGACTTTCCGACGTTGGGATAACCTATTAATCCGACTGATACCTGCTTCCGATCCTTGTGCAATTGCGAGAATTGACGAAGAAGCTGAATAAGGGAACCTTTGCCAAACGGGTTGGTCACGCTTGAGTGAAAAGCAAGGGTAGGATAGTCGGTAGAGAGATTTCGAACCCAAGCAGCCTTGGACAGTATTAATATTTGGTCCAAATATAAACGGCTGCAAAAATAGAGAAAAGAAGAGAAGAGAGAAAAAAAGATGTATGAATCACTACTAAGAAATCTACCACTGACGACCCTAAATGGGTAGATAGATCTCAACTCAAAATGAAACACGGCCTAACTAATGGCAGTACCTCAAGACGAGGCTCCGCCAGTTCCCAACCCGAGGGTTAGGAACAGCAAGTTGAGATATTTAATCTCCCAATAACATAACGGATACTTCTCATCGAAAGTAAGAGGAAGTACCCTGACTAAAATCATTGGGGTAAAGGTAGGTAAGAGATAGAAGAAATATAGGAAAATAGTACTTACAGCCACGCTCGTAGGTACCAAGTCGGTCTTGTTTAATACGAATATGAGGTGCTTGTGCGGTGCCTCTTCTCTTAGGTATTTCTCGACACTACGACATCGAGTTCCCAGAGGGTCGCGGGCATCTAATACGTGGATAATAACGTCCGAAGCGCTATTCAATATTAGTAAATTGTCTTCCGTAAATATAACCTCATAGAAGTAACAAGATATTGACATACTCAAGAACTTTGTATAACTCATTCCATATGCGCTTACTGGTCCCCTTGCTAAAAATCGGTTCGATAGCCAAAGTGAGGGCGCCCTCGTTATCAGGTTGGCCCTCGCTAGGTCCTTCGAGATCAACCCCCGAATTTCCACTCAATAGCTTCAATTGCTCGAGGTGGTCCTTATATGTGTCCATGCTCTTCTCAGTGTCATCAGCCAAGTCTTCTAAGCTAGATACACCCAGCTTGACTCTTTTGCGCTGAGATTTCGGACCGAAGGCATCAGCAAACGGCGAGCTCTCGATAGTCATCTTGGCCTTATGCAGCTTCAAGCCATTCTTCGTATCCGAGTTATCTCTGATAAGACTCATAGGAAGCTTATTTGTCTTTAGTAGGACTTGGTAAGGGTCTTTCGCTTTCTCGGCCATAGCATCGCGGAATGCTGTGAGGGAATCTTGCGAGATGACTCGAGTGTTGGTAAACCATTTCCTATTGGGCTCGACGCGAGCTGTCGGTGCATCCCAAGACTGGTATTTGGCAGCTTGGATGATTCTACCATCAGCATTTCGTACGGGTTTTCCTTCATCCTTCCGTATGTTCAAAGCCTTGACTCTTTTCGCGGAACGATAAAAGTTCTCGCCCTTAACTTTAAGATTGTCCATGCCCGAACCCGACTTGCCCTGCCGGACCAGCCGGTTTCTTTCCTTCTTACCAGTCCCCATAGCGCTCAAATTCGTGAGCTTGAGAGGTACGATGGGAAGGAAAATGGGTATATGAAGAAGTCAGTTGGAAAAAAAGAAGATGGCTGATGGGGGAATTGGAACTTTTTTTTTTCTTTAGACTTATCTAATCGCGCTAAAGTCGGCGTAGAAATTTGATTTTACCGAGACTTATCCACAGACCCCACCTTTAGCACCGCACCACCCAGACCTTGAACTATCAAAAGTGGGTCTCACTGAATTTCTTTGCATGTAACTTTTTTCGAAGCAATTCAACACAAGACTACGGATTGGACAATTGCGATATTTGCGATATCGAGGGATGCGCGACAAATTTAATAGCCTCAATTAATTAAATATTCTGTGTGTTAATAAAGAAGTGCCTACTGGCACACCACACACATCGCACATCCCACCGATATGCCACCATTACTTCCTCGGTCGGCTCTCCTCCCAAGAGGATCCATATCACGAGCCCTCTTCTCCTCCACCGCCGCCAGACCCTCGCCGCCCGAGATCCCTCCAGAGTCCCCTCTTTTCATAAACATTCCGAACCCGCCGCAAGATCAGTCCATTGAAGCCCTGCGCGAACTCAAGCCTATCAAGGGTCATCTACCCGTACCGCGCCAGGTTTTCAAGAAGCGTGATGGTCACCTTAAGCCCCAAGATGAATGGCTTTCGCGGTCTGCACCTGAGCCCTCCTCCGAACGCTCTAAACAGGCCCCTCGCTCCGAGATTCAAGCATGGAAGCGCCAAATAGCCGCTTCCCGCCGAGAGAACATGCGCGAGGGTGTTCGCGCTCTATACTCTCGGAAGCAGCTCTTCGATAGCCGGCGACTTGAGCGGCAGACTGCGAGGCTAGCTGCCCACAGAGCCGCTGCTACGGCCCCCGAGCGTGAGGACGAGCGGTTAACTCGCGGCTCGATCAACGCCGGCACATTACAAACTAAGGTACATCCGGACCCGGATCGTTTCGAGCGGGCCCTCGAATCCCGCGCGCGCACCGAGTCCCTGACCACACAGAGAAGCGAGGCCCGTCGTGACGCAATCCAGGAGCTATATATGAAGGCACGATCCTTCATCGTCGACGAAAAGGATCTAGAGACCGAAGTCGAGCGCCTGTTTGCCCCTGACTACTGGAAGAAGATGGGTCTGTCTGCTAGCGGTTACGAGGTGAACAATATCTGGGACTTGGACGGCAAGCCCAAGACCATTGCCAATATGCTGAACGATGTATCGCGGACTACAAGTCTATTGGTGAAGAACCTAGAAACAGAGAAGACCCGAACCCTCAAGAGGCAGAAGGAGGTTGCCGAGGAATTGACTGGTGGTAAACTGGACGAAGTCTTGTAACGACTTGAGAACAGATGCAAGAATTGTAAATATATAAGTCTATTAGATCGCACCATTGCTCTTTGGACGACAGCCGCAGCATACTCAGACATCGATGCCAATTACGGTTATCGGTATAAGTTTGACACCTTCACAAAAGTTGTACCATGTATGTATAAAACGACACTTATGATCTACAATGTCGTATGTGCCTAAACCTTGAACGCCCCGAATGACCCATATGCCCTTGAGCTACCCAGCCCAAGCGTTGCCGAGCTATGCAGGAAATATTGAGACACTGCATTAGATGCCAATTTGGCCAATGCCCTGATAGATACCAACATCAACATAATTCTACATATATTTCCGAAATTTCCTTCATCGTATCTAGTCTACCGCTTCTCCACGAGCAAGAAATGCATAGCGACGTATGCTAACACCACGAAGACGCCAGCAAACACGCCAAGGTTAGCGATGTCCATCCATTTTGATCCGTTATTAAAGCCGAACGAGCTCAGAATCGCCGCACCAGGAACCGTGATGTCGAGACCATATTTCCTATCTACAAGCGTCAACTTGAGGACCTCATTAACAATGAGGGCTTCGAAGCCGTAGTGGAAGATAGACAGAGATTGTAACCAGAGTGCAGCGTCGGGAATTGCGTCATGGTTTAGAAGTAATCCGGCAAACAATAATGAGAAGAGCATGACCAGGCTACCGATCAAGTTCGCAACGCTACCGTCTTTACAAACCACACCGATGAATAGACAAATCGAGGCAGCAGCCAAGTTGAATAGTACAAGAACGAGCATGAATATGAAAAAGTGCGCTGTGTCCGGTACGAGCCCTGTCATAGGGTATATAATGGCTCCCATCAAAATCGGTGGAATAATCCGAAGAGGTATGATGTCGAATAGGACCTTCGCGAGGAAATACGTGATAGGTGCATAGTAACCATTCGCTCTCTCTCGGACAAACAGAAGCCTTTCAGATGCAAAGACGTTCAAGCTGGTCAGAGTGCTAAAACCGAACAGGGCCAAAAGGAAAAAGAATAAGCCGAGCCTGTTTTGGAATCCGGGGATATCATCAGTGAGACCATAGAATAGATATCCCGATAGAACTGCAAGTACAATGGCAATAGCATAATGAGTTAACATGAGGAGCGGGTTGCGATAGAGATTCCTCCACGTTCTTTGCGAGAGGATGATGAATTGGGTCAAATAGCCGACACGAGCATAGCCACGACCAATTGCGCTTCCGTTCGAATGTGTACCGTTTCTTCCGTTGCCATTCTGGCCGTTAGCAAGTTGAGCACTGGTCACAACCTGTTGGATTTCTTCATGTATGTTGCTAGAGATGTCAGACCCAGCATAAGCATAAACAAGGCCGTCGAGGTTCGTTTCGGCAGACGGTGGAAGATCATGGACGTCTTCGACAACAACTTGTGGAACAGTGCCGGCGGGTTGTCGTCGTAGCTTATACGATCCAATCTCCTCTTCCACGTCGGATGATGCGGCTGTGTCGACAGTATTCTTTCTCCTTGTGAATAACTCACGCTCTTGCCTTGCTCTAATCGAATCCTTTCGTTTGCCTTTAGGCCGGCTTGAAGATGGTTCGGTCGAGCTGTCTTCGGCGATACTGGTAGCTCTGGAGATGCTTGCGATAGACTTGACTGCTGTTGTGCTGCTAGGGCCAACACTCGCAACGTCGTTCACTAAAGATCCATCGTCGAATGTACCGGAAGAACCGGCATGCATTGTAAGGTCAACAAGATAATCCGCAATGTTGAAGCCAGGGGGGCAGCTATATCCAATTTGGTCGAAATACTCTTGGCACTGAGAGAAGGGACCAGAGTACACGGTCTTACCCTGGGCAAGAAGAATCAACCGATCAAACAAGGCGACGATGTTCGAGCGAGGCTGGTGAATAGTGAATATAACTGTTCGTTTATACGTCTTCGCTAGTGTCACGAGACACTCAATGACATTGAACGCGTTGTAAGCATCCAAACCACTGGTTGGCTCGTCAAGGAAGAGGATCGAGGGGCTGGTAACAAGTTCGCAAGCGATACCGACACGCCTCTTTTCGCCACCAGAAATGCCTCTACCTTTGCCCTCTTCGGATCCGATCAGAGAATCACGAATGTGATAGATACCAAGCTGTTTCTCAACCTCATAGACCCTTTGCTCCTTAGCCGAGCGACCCATTCCACGCGGGAGACGAAGTAGGGCACTGGTAAGAATCGTTTCGTGGACAGTTAGGGTCGGAAGCATAGTATCTTCCTGGTCGACGAAACCTACCACACTCTTGTACTCAGAATCTGTGACCTTTTCTCCGTTCACGTAGAAGTCTCCCGCAGTCTGGCCGCGCTTGTTCTTGCGAGCTAGTATATCTAAGAAAGTAGTCTTCCCAGCGCCTGAAGCACCCATAATAGCCGTGATCTCCCCAGGATGCGCGATTCCTCTTATATCTTTTAGGATAGACTTCCCATTCAGCCCGTAAGCGACATTTTCGAAGTATAGGGTCGCCGGCTTATGGTCGACCATCAGCTTCGTAGATTCGTCGTCAGAATCGTCAAGGTGGATGGCTCCGTATCGGTACTGTCGGCGAGACAAGTACCAAATAAGCAAGACGACGGCAACGAGGAACAAAGAGCATCCCGCAATTACGCCCGCGATCAAGGGCGTGTTGATCTTCTTGATAGGGCGCTCGTATCCGGGAACCTGCGTGTGATAGAGACACTCTCCAGAGCGGCATTCCAACTCGATGCTCTTGTCGCCGAAGAAGTTCTCTACCATCCAATCCAAGGCTGGCTCTTTAAATTTACAGTTATTAATACCGCCATTCTCTTGCAAGCAGTTGAAAGTAGCAGGGCCCTGAACTTCGACTTTGAGGAATTCGGTCAAGTCGATGGAACCCTCGGCACCGCAGAGCATGCGATCCTTAATACAGCCACACTTAACATCAGGACACTTGTAGTAACTGTTGTTCTGATCTGAGGTGAAGTCTGCGGTAGACTCGCAGTTCTCTAGGTGGCAATAAAAGGATTCGAGTCGATCAATCCAGACTAATTAATTAATATGGTCAGTAACGTTCGCCTCTTCGCAAATCGAGTTTCCACTTACATTGAAAATCACACACTCCTGACTCTCTCGCGCAAGTAAAGGTGGCCTGAGGTATCTTGCCCTCAAGCATTGTAAGGATCTTCTCGTTCGTAACGCTGCACATCTGGTGATTTTCCTCTACAACCTCGCCGTTCTGGTAACAGACACCGCCATCTCCAGTTTCCATGAGAGCATTGCAGGCGTTATTTTGGGTACAGACATTGCAGTTGATTCCGGTCCAGCCTTCGTCGCATTCGCAGGTATCGCCTGATCTTATCGGTCGATCCTTGCCACGGGCGAGCGAACCGCAAGCTATAACACGGTCAGCCAAGCTCAAGCTAAGTAGGAGCTACAACGGGGAGCCATACTGGGTTCAAGACAATCGTCGCCTCCAAATCCTGATGGACACTCGCATTTCCCATTGTATTCGTTACATTCGGCGTACTGACCGCACTCATAGGCCGGGAGGAGACAGTTAAAACTAGACGGGGAAATGAGTCAACTTTGGAACGATGTAAACCAAATAGTTAGGTTGACATACCACGGAGGACAATCAGCTGGTCGGTCACCGAAGAGAGCTAGCTGCGCTCGCAGCGAGTCGAGCTGGGTGTAATTCTTTTGGCCGGCAACAAGATATGATAAGGAGAGCGCGCCGAGAGCCGCAAGCCGAAGACTCGGCGGCGACATGATGAACATTGCCGGTGAGGCTCAATGTAATCGATGATGGTGGATACTCTCTCTCGACTACGTTGGCAATGTTGACGAAGGGAAAAGACGGAAGTTGGCGATAGGCTGGTACATTAAACTAAGTACAAACCCCACGAAAGCTCCAAGACAACGTGTTGAAGAGCTGGAAGTGTAAGTTGGTTGGTTGGCCAGCTGACTGCGCCACCCTTACACCACCAGCTTAGGCTTACTTGGTTAGATGCGCGGTCTTATGCTGGTCTTAGCTAGCCGCGTGTGTGATGTCAGGGCTGGGATTCGATATCGACAATGTCACGAGGAGAATATGATGGATGGTATGGATGGTATGAATAGAAAAATGGTGAGATATGATAAAACTAAAGAAGGAATAATTTGAATACTACCGACCATAAAGCCCGATGATGACTTGCCAGAGCAAGTTTGGTTTGAGAGAGAGAAAAAGATAAGAGCGGGAGTTGGACGGTCGCAATAGAGGAACCGAGCTCGGGAAATGGGAGGTGGACCCGACCGAGACACCTGAGCAACTGCTGAGATACCTTTATGGAAGGTACCTGCCCCTAAGCTGTAACGCCGTAGCAGCGCACAGCCCGCCAAATCCCCAACATATGGGTGGGACTATCGGAGGTTTTTTAAGATCTTCTCCGACCCCAGATATGAAAATACAATTACATAATTCACCTACGAAGAGGTAATATCTTTTAGGATTTACATCGTTATAACCGACTTTCATTAAGTTTATAAAATTCGATAAATAATTCAAGTTTCCGTTAATCTCTCCAAAGTCCCATTTGAGACGAATATTTCTTACAACATAATACACCAGAGTACTTATTGGGTGTTTTAAGAAATGAACTATTATCTCTCAAAGCTCAAGACTCAAGAAAACCATTACGCAACCCATTTTGAGTCCAAATTAGTCACAGCAACTAACATCATCCCTAAACAGTGTATACTAAGTCTTCGAGATCATAGCGCGAGACGAATCCATTCCGTAAGTTATAAAGTTAAGGAAAGGTTCGTGATACTATAACAGTTAGGTTGGAGGTTTGACGTGTTAAGCCCGGCTGTTTCGTAGGTACTCTAAAGAACGCCAGTGTGATAAGATATCCTTCTCATTATTAAACTAGAAGCTTAATCGTTAGTATATAAGAGACCTCTCACTATGCTATTGCTTATAAGAGATGGCTCGGTGATACCATGCCGTCAGGAATTAACACATAAACAGATAGCTATTTCAACTACGTAAAGATTATACGTAAGGAAATACTTAATAGAAAAGCAAAAAGATTTCAATATATTCTACAACATATTCAGTCACTGCGTTACTCACTACATTATGTAACAAAATACAACGTCTTCCATTCGTAGTCCCCGTAATCTCCGCACCTAGGTAACAATACCGAAGAACGGCGCCTTTAGAGTCCCACAGCACGCCCTTCGCATGTCGAAAGAGAGATATATACCTTAGGCAGGTAGATAAATATGTTCAAACAAATCACCTGTTATAAGGTACAATAGCTTGTTATACCTAAAATTGCCCTCTTTAATATAATTAAAATATTGTAAATTTCAAATTACTAAAACAAGCTACCATCTTCTTTACGGCCTTTATTAAAGGTCAAAATCTTATAATACCAACTTGAAGTATTCTCATAGAAACATCAATATGGTGAAAATTCCAGTGTTTGAGGTAGAGCAGTGGATGGACAGGTATGAAAATACGCCAGGGGCACTGAACATCGCCGAAACATGCTGCTCGTCTATATCGATTGATCAACTTGTACAATTCAATAGTGATAAACAAAGCGACGCTCATCCCCTGATCGATTTCTCTATACCTATGACATACGGTCCGATTCGGGGATCCGACGAGCTTCGGCGGAATATCATAGCCACGTATAACGAAGATGTTGATACGGCGACGGTCGCTCCTCTGTCTACCGAGAACGTTATTGTTACCCAGGGAGCCATATCCGCCAACCACTTAGTATTCTACAGCCTCATCGGGTCAGGGGACCATGTTATTTGCGTCCACCCAACTTATCAACAGTTGTATTCTGTCCCAGAGTCATTAGGTGCCGAAGTTTCCCTATGGGAGCTCAGGCCGGAGAATGGATACATCCCCGATGTCGCCGAGCTTAACACCTTGATTAGGGATAATACGAAGGTATGTCGTCTTTCAGCTCAAGATTCATGTTTCTTATCTCCAGCCAACTTACTATTCTAGATGATCGTCATTAATAATCCTAATAACCCAACGGGAGCGACGATTCCAAAAGAGGTCCTGGCGAAGATAATCGACGTCGCGCAAAGACACGGCATCATCGTGTTCTCAGATGAAGTTTATAGGCCGCTGTTTCACAGTCTCGACCCGGGAAAGATTCCACCGTCAGCACTGGCATTGGGTTATTCCAAGGTCGTAGTTACTAGTTCAATGTCTAAGTCATGGGCCCTAGCAGGCATTCGAGTGGGTTGGGTGGCATCGCCGGATGCTTCCATCATCGAAACCATCGCGTCCGCTCGTGATTATACCACTATTAGTGTGTCACAGCTCGACGACCACTTAGCACGGTACGCTCTAAGCGCCTCCGTGCGGCCACAACTCTTAGAGAGGAACATTTCTTTAGCTAAGGAAAACGTACGACTACTGGAACAATTCGTTCAGGACCACTCGAGCGTATGCTCCTGGGTGAAACCGACGGCAGGAACCACGGCTTTCGTGCAGTTTAAGAACAAGGAAGGGGCTCCGGTGGATGATGAAGCCTTTAGTAAGGACGTTTTGGATAAAACTAAGGTGCTGTTTGTATCTGGGTCTCGATGCTTTGGATATGGCCAGACTTCACCCTTTCGTGGGTTCGTCCGCATCGGATATGTGAACAAGACGGAGATACTACGCCAGGCATTGGAGAAACTTGGCTCATATTTAGTGGACAATTTGGAGTAAAGATCAAGCGAGTAACGAGATTAGAACTCGAGTTTGATATTACCTGTCATTCCATCTACTTAGATATTAACTTGAATTTCCAATAATTCCCTGTAAAGTTGATACGACAACTCAATCATCAGAAGGCACTTGGGAATATCTGGAAAGGGGAATATATCTCTCCATGGAGTCTCGTTACCGATTCGCCGCATTTGGAATCCGGTCGGTTTCCGGGCTGTAACCTACCTGGTACCGGGTAGAAAGAAAGAGGGTGGGAACAAGGGAAAGCTGCCTATCTGCACTGCGACGACATTGCCGTAATCTAACATGCCAGATAACAGTACCGCATCGATACGACTCTAGATTGACATATTCCCGCGGGACACGGAATCATGCCGTATAAAAAGGAAAGCTGCTTTTCAGCCTGAGCCTGTTAAAATCAATCTCTATAACTCAAGTGCTGGAACAAATCAGCTCTAGATAGTGAAGTAGGTAAGGAGAAGGATACCGAGATGAGAAAGAAAAGAGAAAAAAGTATGGCCTAGATTTTAAGGCAATTAAAATTTAGTCAGGCACAAATGTACGTCAAGGTAGTATTGGACGATAGGCTTCAAGATGGCCGGGTTCCTAGCAAGGGTTAAGCAGATTATTCTAGCATTACACATATGATGAAGACATTACGCTTAGATGATGCTGACTCGATAATTTAAGAACGACAAACATCCACAGCACGTTTTCCGAACCCATATTTGATTTTTGATTCCATGTTAATTCCCCGCTCCGTTGGGCGATGATGCGGAGCGAAACGATATAATAAGATCCATAGAAAGATCCATGTATATACTGGGGCCGCCCGATCTCAAAATCGCATAAGAATTACGCGAGCGGGTGTAAGCCATTAATCAGCACCTAAGCCGATTTTATCATCCGGATTGGGGCAATAAAAGAAAAAAAAATACCAGTCTAACTCGAATATGTACGGGGTTGACCCACTGAGCTGTGGTTGGAGCCGCAAGACATACATACATACATCAACATGTACTTCATACTAAGGTGTGTGTCAGTGAAAAGCCATTGTAGGTAAACATAGGTCTACTTGGGTGGTTCGTATAGAAACCCGTTAGTCTATTCCTCTTAGCTATTAGTTTATTCCCCCCTGATCCAGCTTGATGGAATACTATCTACCTAACATAGGTAAGGTACTTCCTAACCTACATACGTCTAAAGTACTTATGAATCAATAAACTATGATTACATCAAAACTATGTTACATTACCAATATGCATCAAACATGAAGAGAGCTACCTTGGTGGCTGAATATGCACAAGCTACTAGCTAGTAGTTGGTTTGAGATACAGCGCCATTACGACTCTATCATTAAGATATACCGCTGGAGGAGTGGAGATTGTGACAATCATTGCTGGGGTAGACTTGGAAGACTGAGGGAGAGGGAGAGAGGGTGAGAGAGAGAGGTGAGTAAGACAGAAGAGAGGCTAGATCAAACTTCAAACCTGCCGAATAGGATCGACCTAGTTGCGACATATACATACCTACATTACAAGGTGCCTTACATGTATGTACCTTATTATTAATGGATGATAAAGACAAATAAGCAAAAGTAAAGCACGCCATCCCCACATCTCTCCATCAACGGTGCCCACTAGTGGCTGTTGTCTATGATGTAAATGCGAGTATAAAGTCGACGGAGTGCCGTCGTTAAGAATGGACTTGTTCTGTACAACTTCACATCGAACTATATAATAATATTCAAGTATCTTTATATATCTAAAGGTTTTAGTCTATTTCTTTATCAAGCGCAGCAACTAGATACCCCTATTTTCATTTATTCACAATGGCACCCAAGATTGCTATCGTCTATGTAAGTTTTTGTCTTTCACATGTCATTCCATATTTACGAGATCCGTGTGGGTGGTTGGGTAAAAAGAAGACTTGGATGTTCTTAGTCAATGGATCATATCAGGAACTCAGACTGGTCATGATTCATGAATTGACTAAGCTGAACTATCAAACTTCCCAATATCCTCCCAACTCCCGGCTCGTGACCTTTCGATACTATAGCGACTAACATGCGTTTTATTATAGTACTCCACCTATGGCCATGTCCGCCAACTAGCCGAGGCTGAGAAGCGCGGCATTGAGAAGGCTGGTGGTACCGCCGATCTCTTCCAGTAGGCACCGCTCTCCACGTATCCTTCTCCTGATATGTGCTAATAAAACAACTAGGATTCCTGAGACTCTCTCCAAGGAGATTCTGGCCAAGATGTATGCTCCTGGCCCAGCTGCCGATGTCCCGGTCTTATCGGATCCGGCGACTCTCGAGTCGTACGACGGTTTCTTGCTCGGTATCCCGACGCGCTACGGAAACTTCCCGGCGCAATGGCGCGTATGGTGGGACCAGACCGGAAAGCAGTGGCAAAGCGGTGCTTTCCACGGCAAGATGGCCGGTCTCTTCATCTCAACGGCCTCTCTAGGCGGTGGTCAGGAGTCGACTGCTCTAGCGGCCATGTCCACCTTTGCCCACCACGGCATCATCTACGTCCCCTTCGGTTACGCCAAGGCCTTCGGCACTCTGACTGACCTTTCCGAGGTCCACGGTGGTGGCCCCTGGGGTGCTGGTACCTTCGCTGCAGGCGATGGCTCGCGCCAGCCCAGCGAGAAGGAGCTCTCCGTCGCTGAGATCCAGGGCACCGAGTTCTACAAGACCGTTGCTAAGTTCGCTTCCGGATCTGCGTGACTACATGATGGCAAGGATAAAGAGACACCAGCTGCGACCGTCACGCAGACAGAGGGAAAGAAAGAAAAGAAGCAGAGTGAAGGCCCATGCGGTTTACCTACTAAGTGTGTGATAATGTAATTCTCATCACCCAGAATGCTTTAACAATTAAAATAAATACAAAATTATTGAATAGACTGGACGATTTTCTCTAGACACCCTTGATAGAAAAATGCGTAACAGTTCTCATGTTTTAATCAATAAAATCATCTTATCATAAGTCAAAATTCGTATACCTATGCTGTAATATTAGGTAGGTATATGTTCATGATATAGATATATGTTAACTACCCCTATTCATCAATACCTCAGCTATATATCACAACCTTTCAAATCACACCTTTGTACTTCTCACTCTCTTCAAATGCAAGATTTGCGTACCCACAAACCCGAGCCCCCCTATAAACACCGTCGTAGCACAATACGCAATCAATCCCCTCCAAGCTCCGTCATCATTCACATCTTTCAAAATTGCACCCGCAACTGGCGTTCCCACCAATACTGCTATTCCGATGAATGCGAACAACATGCCCATACGAGTACCAAGGCGGCCTAGATCCGGCGTAAGGGTCACGATAGCACTAGGAGGCAAGCTTGCAACCCCCCCGTTGAAAAATCCAAAGAGTATCGCAAACGTAATTGTTCCTCCGAGATCATGCACGCCGAGCCAGCTGAAGGCAAGGATACCGGCGCCTAGTGTCATTGCGGCTAACATGTTCATCGAACCCAAGTAGTCGGCAACAAAATTGGGCAAGATACGCCCAAAGACGCTGCCGGCGTTGAGCAACGTGACTAGATACGCAGCTAGGTCGGCGCTCGCGATGCCGCGTCGTAACGCAAACAGTTGCAAATAGAAAAACGGCACGAACATTCCCATGAATGACGGCAGGGCTGAAATCGCGAAACTCATAAAGGGCACATCCCGTACGGCGTCGCGGTCGAAAAAGGCACGCTTATGTCGAGGCGGCGCGACACGTGGGCGCACTACAAAGATAGATGTTAATAGACAAGCTAAATAGGGGAGAGAAAGGAGAAAGGAAGCTCAACAGCACGTACTACAAACCAGCGGCACGACAAGCAGCCCCAGGAGAATAAACGCCATCACGCGCGTCGCCCACCCAAACCCAATACGCGGTTGTAGCCTACTAAACAGGATCGAAAAGACAATGCCCCCAACAGGCGAGCCTGAAGACTGCAAACCTAACGCCAGCGCGCGTCTTCGCGCAAAATACTGGCTCAATATCGCCGCAGACGGGAGAAACAACAGACCGCACCCAATTCCCACCGCAACACCCTGTGCCAGTAAGACCTGCCAGTACGTCTTACACAAGGACGTCATGAACAGGCCAAGCACAACAAGGACCGAGCCCGAGATGGTCAGCGCGCGGAAGTGGCCCGCGTCGAACAGCGGGCCGGATACCAAACCGCCCATATTGAGGAGGGCACCTTGCAAGGAGCCGATCCAGCTGATGTCAGAAGATGTGCTGGACCGGAGGAGATCGGTCTCGTAGTACGTCTGGTACACGCCAAACGAGTTGATGAGGCCCCAGCTCGCAAGCATGATGACGAAGGCTCCGAGGACTTGGAGCCATGCTACTAGGCCGCCACTGTTTATGTAACGTTAGTACATGTAAGTCCAAGTAGAAAGTCGTGTACGCATTGAAGGGTATTTTGGGGTAGGCATAGGAGAAGGCCAAGGCAATGGATCTGACTTCCAAGCCTATTTGTAATAGAAAGACATGTATGTGAACCAAGTCTAAAAAATACGTACTCCGGAACACCAGAAGTCTTCGGTTCCGCCAGTGGCGTCGCCGTCGCTTGAGGAGACTTCACATCCGCATCTTCCGTACGGTCCACGGAATCCTCGAAGATCTCCGTCCCGATCTGCGAGCCCGTGTTACTATCATTTTCGCTACCCTTTTCTTTTTCCATAGTAGCTTTCGGCACCGTTGCTTTTGGCTTTTAACTAATCCTCCTTCTCCTACGTTGCGACTGTCTACGCTTTTAACCCTATTTATCTAGGGGTTCTCCTCACCGCCAGCTTGGGGTTACCGAATTCTAACCCGCGGAACCACAAACTAGAAAAATGATGATAATATGCGAGGATAAGGCACATTGATGCAATTCGGGGATGAGGTCTGCGGTCCGCGGTTAATTATTAATCAGTATAAGTCGTAATCGATTTTCTTTATTTACCTACCGGAGGTGGCATCCCTATACGTCAGCAATACGATGTCGCCTTTCGTTTTTTTATCACTTGCTTGATTGGGACACGGCCTGTTTAAGCGAGGTTAAATTCCATGAACCCCTACGTACCTAGGTAGATATACTGTTTACCTCTAATCAAGAAATAGAAATGGTATATATAATTACATTCAGGTAAGTCTAACTACTACCCTATTCTACTAACTTGGAAAAAAAATCTGTTAAGATATACACAATAAGACTACAACGTCGAAGCCCTTTCAATAAGCAGTTAGCTTTATTAGTTGTAATCGGACTCGCCCCGTACCAGCACCTACTTATTCACCGAATTCCGTCAATATATAAACACCTCAGGGTAACAGAGGACGGACTTATAAAGGACTTTAGGTTATAACACATAAAGTCTCTAGGAACTAATGTTGTGGGCTGGCACTAATCTCGTAACTTCGGGGTTCTAAATTATGATCGAATATGAAGGGACAAGATGTACTTGAATTGCGAAGGCGAACTATATTAAATAGCCCAATAGCCAGTGTATATCAACCATGTTCTGAGCTATACCATTTAATGCCGAAGATAGTACTTCCTTTCCAAATCTCTCGTTCTTCTCAGTTCCAAAATGAACTTTCCACACCAAGACGCCTTGCAAGTAATGATACAGAATTCGTCTCGTGTCGTGCTACGCTAATTTCCAAAGTTGCTCATACATGTGTGGCTGCTAAATGCCGACAAATTAAGAATCTGGTTTGTAGTTCTGATCGTATATTATCTCTGTGACGACTTATATTATGTGCTGAGCTGTTTCTCTCCCTGCACAAGCCGCGGGCGTGTATGCCGTCTCCAATCTATGAGTTAGAAACAGTGTTGAATAGATGTTTAGTGAGGAGAGTCGTTGGGATGTGCTGTTGATGGTTCGATTACAATCCGTGGTAATCTCCCAATCCGCAAGCTGGGCAACTGCGGAACACCCCCAATTCCCCTTGAGGATCTCCTGGTCGAAGCTGTGTCACGCGCACCATCTGTTGTCGAGAGATCTCCGCTCTCCGTCATCGTGTCTGTAGTCTGTGCGCTTAATCGTCGCTCGTGACCACGCGCTGGGTCCGTGTAGTCGGGTGGGGGCTCATTAAAGAGAGGTGTCGCAGCCCCCGATCTTGCATCGTCTAAGCTAACATCCTCATAATCCGGTGGAGGCATTTCGACGTCGCCTAGGTCCGCCTCGCCAATTATTTCCGGGCTTGATCCGGCTCGGGTATGATTACTTCCTATCCGTGGCGTGGATGTGTTAGACCTTAACCCTGGAGATGGAAAATCGCTATCGAGACTGAGAACAGAGCTGGCGCTACGATCTCGACGGTGGGACAGACCCGAAGGCGAGCGCGTGGATAGGGCAATGCTAGCCGCATCTGATAACAACCCTACGCCTTCGCTTCCATGGCTACTTGTGCGGACTCTCGTACCATTCAGTTGCGCTACACCAAGCTCGTGATAGCTAACACTGGAGACGGCACGTTGTCGCTTTTCCTTAATCTGCCCGTACGCATCGCGTAAGTCATCCACGGCGCTGTTATCGCGTGCGGCTCGTCTTTGGGCTGCTAAGTCGCCTAACACCCTCGTATCCCCGCGAGCTCTCGCCTCTTGTGCTAAGCGACGCCGCTCTTCCCGTTCGGCACGTTCCTGTCTTCTTGCCAATCGGATCTGAAATAGCGTCTCCATCTCTTCGTCCCGCATACTCTCAAGATCCTCAGCGGTGGGATACTCTACCACAACATCAACGCCATCGCGCTCCCCTTCGCGGCCAATGACCTGCTCGTTTTCGTTTGCCTTCTGCTTATATGCGGGAAGAGTTATAATGGATCGAATAGACGTATTTCTATCTATCTGTGATACTGTGCTATTTCGATTCGTTTGCGAAACCGAGAGGGTAGAAGTTGAGTGGCCATCTCGTCGCCTTCTATTCCGAGCCGATGTCTCAGTAGACTCGGACTCGGCCGTTTGCTGGTACTTGCCTCGTTTCGCCTGTCCGAAACCGAATTTCGTCCTGTAGCGGAAAAGGCAGAAGGACAAGATAACGACCAATAATATACCACCTATGATTCCAATGATCTACAGCAAAGAAGGGGTTATTAAGACGAATCGAAGCAAGCTGAGTTGGTATTGAATAACTTACCACAAAGATGGTTTTTGATGGCGGATGTCCCTGATCACTGGGACCACCGGGACCTCCAGGACCTCTAGACGCCAATTTGCTGGCACCGGATCGAAGAGGGAGAGGGATTCGATATGGAAGCAGCATTATGAAGTATAAATGAGTATAAACGAATGACTATAGTGTGATAATTTGCGACGCCGTCGGGACGCACCCGATATCGTGAGTTGGCAGCCTGCAAACTCAAGATTATTTCAGGACGGGCGCCGTGCGCTTGACAACGGCAAGAAGCCGCAACTAATTAATAACGACAAGCTAATCGGTCGCGTCGACGGTAATTCAAAAGAACCAATCTTGTTCGGGAGTGGTGCAGATGAGCACGGATGGGGAAGATAGCGGCAAGGTCGGCGAGAATTAGGCACGAATATTGCGATGATAGCACTAGTTATGACGGACTGGTCTTGTAAATAGGGACGACTAATTTCGCAAAGACTAATCCAACAACACCAGGTATAGACAGAATAGAATTAGTAGATGTCTCCTATATTGCGCGGGTTTACGAAGAGATCTATGTAGTCTTCAATTCAAGCTCGGTTAAGAGGGACAAAAAGAATTAATAGTCTTCGGGTTTGATATGCGATTTGAGCTTAAGCGCCGGCAATATAGTGGGTATAGAATAGTAAAACTGTCCGATGGGGTAGGATGGTATTAGACTAGTAAGACTAGGAGTCGTAAATTTAGCTGTAAACTGACCACGAAGAAGAAGAAGAAGATAGTAAACTACCTCCTGATAGATAGCAACGGAGATGAAGGTGGAGATGAAAAGAAGAGGACGAGAAAGTCGCAAGATACAAGAAGCTGGAGGAGTGGGGGGGGGAGGACAAAACGAGGTACATGGTTAGGTTACAGCAGTCTAAAGACCCGGCAGCTGCGGTACACACACACGGTAAGAGCTACACTAATATATCTCACCTGGGGCGGTACCTTTACTGCTAATATGATTAGTGTTGATACATGTACTAAAGTAGGCAGTAGGTAGGTGTAGCTTAGCTTAGGTTAGGTAAAGGTAGGCATAAGGCAGGCACAAAGCGTGGCAAGGGTACCTAAGCAGGTTATTGATTGTAGCCTCGACCCTTCTATTGAATCCATTCAAGTGTTTCCCGACTAATAGAAACATTAGCTTACCACACCGAAGTCCCGGTAAGCGCTTGGTTGGTTACCTACACTTTTACATACATGTCTCAACCTGTCTAACCTTTCAAAGACTTGCCGAGTTACCTATTATTCTTTTTCCTTAGAGGTATCTATTTGTCTTCACATCTTAAGTGCAACTAGAATTATCTACAAAGCTTACCTACCTACCTGATAAGTTATTACAAGACGAGATCAGCGAAATAGCTAAATAGCGAAAGAGCGAAATAAGGACCGGGCAAAATATTAAAAAGACCTCCGTGCCGTGACTTTGTCAGCCTAGTTGAGGCTGGTTCTACTTGAATCCTTCAGAGTCCAGACTAGGTTCCCCAGTCTATAGTCCACGAGCCAACCCGTCAACCTCGATGTTACGTGATTCGATCGCCCGATCTAGTTCTCGGTAATTTTAGATTTAAGAAGATAAAAGGACGCCGACGTAACGATTGATCTAGTATAAGAGAATCTATTATTATGTATAATCGGCAATATTTGCAGCATCGCATATAAGTGTAAGAGAGAAATTCTTAACGGTAATTTTTTTTGGCGGTAATAATAAGCTGACCTTGTGCAATCCTGAAGAAACGTTTCTCGATACGAAAAAAGTATGTATACGACACCTCGGCCGTCATCGCTTCGGCTGATTCGCCTTGGTTCATTTGGTCCGCGTACCTTTATGCGGGCTGCCTCAAACTTACAGAATAATAGGTCAGGTACCTTAGGTGCTTAGCCTGCTATGCCATATACCAATGAGCGCTAAAACGTTACAACTTCGAAAAAACATAAGAAAAAAAAAGAATCCCGTTGACAAATTCTTCTTGTTCGCTTTTCGCATGACTACGTCATCCCCTGTCCGTGCGGATATTCTCCTTCCTGATCAACGTTAATGAAATCATTTACTAGCCCTATATTATGTAAAACGTGCCATATGGGCCATACGTGGCTGTGGATTCAGTGAATTTCTAACTGCGCCTTGTTGATCTGTACCCTCTCTCGACTCTCAAGCCGTTCCCTTTCCATGCCTGTGAATCTCCGTCCCTGGTCGATTGTGCTAGGGCTGCCAGGTCCCTGGGAAAATTCCCTGCGCTAAGGTAGTATCTGCGAAACGCCATGGTCCCCCCCTGTCCAATCTTGGTAGAGTTGCATGATGCCTAAGCTGCTAAGTTAGGGAATTCGGGTCGTGGCAGTGGCAGTGACTACAGAAAAGAACAAAGATCCCATTGTCACTCACTAGTGATTATAAGTCCGATAGAATTTCAAATCGGAATCCCTTACTTCGATATTCCCTTCTTGGCGTTGTTCAAGCTAATGTAAAGGGTCTCAGATAGCTACGTAGTACTATGAGACATACATACACGGGCCTCCTTGCCTACGACGCATGGCATGTTAGACAATGTCTTCGATCTTGCTATTATCAGCCGGAAGATCGGGAACGGTAATATACTGCACTTCAGCTGGTTGGCTGGGTGGTGAGACATACATCAGGTACAGCGCATCCTCGTTAGCAAACGAGTAGCTCTCATCTTTCATCTTTTACATAGATAAGGCTCGTGGGTGCAAAGTCCTACGTCCAAAAAGGGGAATTTGTCCCCGATAGGGTCCCCTCATTTGCAGTATTAAGGGAGCTGAGCATCCATTATCCATTCATCATGGCTATCAAGCCAACCACATCTTCTGGCATATTTATTAATGCGCAATAGGCCTCTCGTTTATTATCTGGACCGTAATATGAAGGTAAACCTGCATGTTGAAGCCGCGTCATTGCCTCTTCTAAAGTTGTAACCACTCAGATGCACGCAACGCTAATATTTACAATAGGACCATACATAATATTCACACATAAAAATATAGGTACGAACGAATTTAGTTACGTTTCATCTTACGAGCCAGCTCTCCCTGAGCATGCTAGCACTGCAACTCTAACAGTAACTCTAAAGACACAGTACAGATCGACTAAAGAAACAGCACATCCACTTTGCACGTGATGAAAGCCACTACAAGCCACCACAAGCCACCATGCACGGCCATTTAAAACTGTACCCAACCCCATGCATATACCCCACTTGCATTGTAACCAAATGAAATTTCTATAATTTTTAAATATTATTTTTTTTTAAATATTTATAAAAATATAAATATAAATGAAATAAAATATAAATAAAATAATAAAAAATAATACATAAAATATATAAAATTATAAAAATTTTATATAAATTTAATATATTTATTTAAAATAAAAACCGTTATTAAATAAATTAAAAAATTATTATAAATTTTTTAAAAATAATTAATAAATATTACGTAAATAATTAATAAACGAATAAATTAATAAAATTTATATTATTATATTATTTTAAATTTAAAATAATTTATTAATTTTATTTATATTTATATTATATAATAAAAAAATAAAAATAAATAAAAATAAACAAATTTTATTAATTTTATTTATTTTATTTATTTTATTTATTTTATTTATTTTATTTATTTTATTTATTTTATTTATTTTATTTATTTATTATTATAAAATTACGAAATATCAATAAAATATTTATTAAAAATATGTTATGTTTAAAATAAAAAATTAGAAAAATAATAAGCCTAATTGCACGTGATTTGAACCGGATTTGGGAAAGTTATATAAATTAATATATATTAAGTATTATAAATATTTCAATATCTACCTAAGTATTTATGTATCAAATGTGTAGTCGGGTGTACGGTTGGCGCATCTCACGTGAAAGTGGATGTGCTGTTTCTTTAGTCGATCTGTACTGTGTCTTTAGAGTTACTGCAACTCTAATAAGCGAAAACTTCCTAATATCATATTGTAACCCAACCCATGCCTATATCGAAAAGTGACAGAAAGTCAGAAACATGGTATCCAGTAATACAAGAGGAAATCATTCAGAAATATATTTGCGAATATTCAACCAAATCTCTTTTCAAACTTCTTGAACATCCCCGTGACACCTTTCTCCAGCCGCTCCGCATTTTGGCCTAGCCTACTCTGACCCTCAACCTTGGGTTTGTATTTTTCGTATTTAGACGCGTGCTCTTGTTCGGTTGGCCGGTATAGTTGCTGGTGGATACCATAATCCACACTCCCCGGTGCTGGCTGCGCATTGTTGTAGCTATAGTGTGAATATCCACCTGGGGGCGGTGGTGGTAGACCAGGGCTCTGAAGAGGTGGTGGGGTAGGCTGGTGCTGCGTGGTCTGTGGTGGTGGCGGCGGTGCGAATCCGGGCGATCCAGGGAAGTTGGCACCGTATGGGCTCACGAGACCGGGCGATGCCAGACCGGAGACCGGGACTGTAGACGAACGTTGCAGGTGTCCGAATTGAGTCGGCGGGAAGCCCGGACTCGCGATACCGGGTGTTGGTAAACCTGGACTGACTAAACCGGGGCTAACTAGACCAGGACTCGCCAGACCAGGATGCACCTGCGGAGGGCCGGGAAGACCGGGACCACCCGGCGGCGCAGAGAAGTTCGTTGCTCCGTACCCAGGAGTATAAGGGGGAATATGATCACGAGCCACGGCAGCCGCGAGAGGATCGTGTCCGTCATCCTCGGGCGGAGGAGTCTTTTCCCTGTGTATCCTCTGTTCTGCAGCTGGTGGCGCGGCGGGATTGTACGCTATAGGTGCAAAGCTTTGAGGTGAGGTATTCTTACTGTCGTCTGTCGCCGTAGAGGTTGGAGGAGGCGCAAAAGTAGGTATACCTTGAGGTGCTGGTTTGGGGCTCGAATACTTGGGATCTGAGATGGCAACATTTTCTAGCTTCTGAACTAGAGGATTCGTGTCTTGAAACTGGCCATATGAGTGTGGCGGTGGACCAGGCTCATCTGCAACCTCTACCTGAGATGCGGGTAGGACTCGTCGTACACCATTGACAAACTGTAGAGCATCGCCATGAGTCCAGAAGTAGATGTCGAGAGAATGGAGCTTGTAATGGTATTTATTCTCATTTCGAGGATCGTACGTTGGAAGATGCCACTGACTCTGGTCTATCGGCGTACCGGCTACGCCCTCGACCAAGATGTTTACGAGACATTGTTGCCTATAGGAATACCGAATCCTCGTTCTATCTAGATCTACATCGCAAGGAGAGTTAGGTTAAAACATATATGACAGATCAAACACTACTTTGAAAGCATTCTTACATCCGTCAAAAGCATCTTGATCATCCGTGCCTGGCTGGTTCGCAACTTCAATCCGCGCCCTTCGGTCGTTCGCATTCTCGAACAGGTATACGTAAGAGCCTTTGTCAAACCGATGATGAGGCAGCTTTGCTTCGGGAGGTCCGTAGAAATAGTGAACGTCTCCGAAGCTATAAAATGGAAGATTTTTGAGCTATTATGAACTATAAAACTGTTGGTACTACTTGGGCACTTACAGGGTCGCAACATTCTCTTCACCAGGCCGAACTGCCATCTTGCTCACAAGGACGATAATTAAGGGTAGTATAAATATGAAATAGAAAAATAGTCGAGGCCAGCCTCGTTAATGCTATTTTTTATTTAACAAAGTCCGTATTGGAACTGACGATAGCTTCAAATTCACTGGAGGTTGAGGAGGAAAAAGGAATAAAAAAAAAGTTGGAGAGTAGAACTTGCTTCTCCAAAGAGCTCACCACTAAATGACGATCATTTCTATGTACTACAGACGCCATTTCTAAAATAATACGTAACCTTAGCCTACCTGTAAGTGGTACGACCTTATTTACCACAGCCCTTTCCGATATGTAAAGATGTTGCAGAATGGGAAGTTGTTCGGCGCTTAACCACCCACTCTCCTTCCTCGAAGCTGAGATGGCGGGGTAATACTGATAACCAATAGAAGGTCTCAAAGCTGCTAAGCCTAGAGGTAGCTTATGTAGAAGGTCCTTGTCTCAATCTATCGATAAACAGATATGATATGTATCGGCCCTGGAATTATCCGCTAGACTCTTTCAATTCAATTGAAAGACCCACATCTTTTTTTCGGTTCCATTGAAGGAATGATTTGGCGATAGCTTCACTTGCTCACACATTAATCAATTTTTCAAGATCCTCGCCGTCATAACTCTCACCAGCGCAGAGACGGGCTAGCCAATCTACCGAGGCACCCTAAAAATCCTGCATTCATCTCATCTCCTCCTCCCTGTCGAGTCCGAACCGAGAGCCCGGCAGGGCACCGCACCGTACCGCATAATCTCTTAAGATGGGTATCGTAAATATAGTCAACATGTGCTCGCACCTACAAAATGCGTCGCGAGCACGCCTAGGTCTAACCTCCATCCCGCATACAAAATACAACCTCTCCCTAGCCATAGCCCTACACCGAGGCGGCTACCTCTCCTTCGTCACGCGCGGCGGCCGTTACCCCCCCGATCCTGCTACCATCTCGACTTTCGAGCCCGAGGAATTGACGACCGCCAACGTCGCCCGCCAGCGCCTGTGGGTCGGCCTTAAGTACAATGCTACTGCGGGTGGCGAACCCGTCATGGGATCGATCAGCCCTATAACTACGCCCAAGAGGCCCGTCACCGCTAAGCTGGCTCAGCTGGAGCGCCTTGCGCGGGGTTTCGATTCGCACCCCCATCGGGCCTTGAATATTGGAGAGTCTATCATCTTGACTACGAGTCTGGGCACACTAGATGTCCGCGAGGCTGTCCAGCGCAAGGTTGGAGGTTTGCTGCTGTGCCGGGTAGGTCCATGATCTACCGTCTCGTTTGATCCGCTTAGACGCTCCTAGGCTGTCTGTTTGAAGTTGGCGGGAGGAGCATAAACGCCATTTGCGCATTCTAGATGGAGGGGTTGATACGTAGGAGGTACCAAGAGCGAGATGAATCGACAGACCGAGTCTCGTTAAAGGGATAAGGCGAGGGGATGAGACTATGAGCTGACATCCTCATCTTGTGACTTGTAGTGTCTCGTCTCGTACGCTATATGTGTGGCCTCTAATTTCAGAGATGCATGGTGGCCAACATTCTATAGACGAAATACAAAACGGACAAGCAGACAGGGGGTAGTAAAAAGGCTTCATGTATGTATATAAAGCAAGGGAAAATAGGCATCGGCTTGTCTGTGTACTTGATTGTACTATATCTACTCGCATATCATAAAATATCCGATGACATACATCTCATACGTTCACGCGTCTTATACGTTCGCGTGTAAGAGCAGAAGACTCTAATCATGAATTCAGGATATATTAGGTATAACACTACTCCTAATACCTTGCCAAACATCTCAGAGAGGACATAACTATCCCTGTTAAGAACGTATGCTCTCATGCTATAGCTGGGACTGAACATATAATAAATGAGTTTTTTATTACTTTCCCTAGTTGCTCTAACCAACTCCCTTATTTTCTACTTTACGATGAATACACATAATACTCATAAGACAAGTCTACCTAGGTATGCTGTAGGTATTTTCACTACCTATCACCTATCACCTAACTCCTCAGCAATGCCGCATGCACCGCGAAGGAACGGAACAGAAAAGAATCCCCGTATGCTTCCAATGGATTTAAGAGAAAAAAGGTATCATCTGCGCCTCGCCGAATACAAACAAATTTTGGACCTTTTTCTTCTGCCTCTTCTGACTTATTACTACAGCTAGCTAGTCAGAACATCGGCTGGTTCCTTAGGTATCCTGTGATAGTATCTATGATTAGGCCTTATGTACCTAGATAGCTTCCACCTTGGATTCCTCCTCAGCCTTCACCTCTTCGGTAGTGTTAGCAGCCTCGCTCTGAAGAACGACCTCATCGGTGCCCTCGGATAAGGACTGCTCATCTTTCACGTCCTCGGTTTCGCTGTTGGCTGCGTAAATCTCAGCGGCAGGCTCTAGTGCATCCTGAACCAAATCCTCAACATCTTCAACCTTCTCTGGGTCTTCGGTGACCGTAGGAATTGTTGCCACTTGCTCCGGGGACTTTTCTGCGGAAACAATGCTTTCCTCGACAAAAGTATCTGTCGAAACCTTGGCCGTCTCAATAGCTACTTCTGCCGTCTCAGTCTGCGCGACAACCGGAGCAACCTCCTTTGCCGTCGGGGATTTCTTGCCGGCAGGCTTTGCTTGCTCTACTGCAGCTTTGGCCCTGTTTGTCGCAGACTGTGCCCTGGTTACCGATTTCTTCGCACTCCCCTCGGCCTTTCTCTGAACACTCGATGGTGTACTCTGTTTTCGTGGCGGTGTCACCGGTACCTTTTCCGCGGTTTTGCTAGAACTGCTTTGCGTCGGTCGCATCATCCGCGCGAGAAAGCTTTCATCGACATGACCATCTCTCTTAATAATTGGGTGGTCCTTAGATACTGGCTTTGGAGGGAGCCCAAGACTTGGACGTGCTCGACCACCAGCCGAATTCCCGCGCTTCAATCCCTTGGCGGTTGAGGTGGTACTCACACCGGATAGGCTTTGCCTGCTAGGCGACCTATGGGCAGTAGAGCTCACGTTAAGGTGCTGAGCGTTGCCGGAAGCTCGTGAGAGAGATTGTCTGGGAGGATGAGCTGCTACGGTGCCATTTCCGAGCTTCGAAGCAGAAGACGCAGTGGGCGCCGTAAGGGACGAAGGTAATTTGATCGGTCGGGTAGGCGACTTGGGCTTCGGCTTCACAAATCCCGCTCCCGAAGGAGGAAGATCAATGGGTGCTGGCTTCTTGTTAGAAGTAGCCGCTGGCTTTGTGGTAGTTGTAGTGGCCGTCTTTTTCGGGGCATCGCGCTCTCTGGACGAAGCAGGTGTCGATTTCTTCTGGGGAGCTAAGGTTGGGATGCCGGAAGACACCTTTGTAGTACTGCCAGTCGGCTTGAGAGTATTGGGCGACTTAGGAGCCCTGGTAACAGATTTGGCTGCGGTCGAAATGGCTTTGGGAGCAGGCTTTGTGGAGGTTGTGGTTGTGGTCTTTGTCTTGCTACCATTTGTCGATACGCTAGTACGTCCACTCGCTGGCGCTACGCTACTTCCTCTTGACACCGACTTCTCTGTCGGATTCCCTGGCAGTAATTTCGTCTTCGTTTCTTCCTCATCTGTCACCTTGTCCGGATTTGGGTTCGGGGCAAGAGCAGGACTACGACTCTCCTTCTTTGGGGGAGACTTTTCAGGAGACTTTTCAGGAGACTTAGGAGGGGCGGTTGGGATTGGCGACTCTGGAATAGGCTCTTCAGACAAGTTTGTCTTGAAGGCCGAAACATTCTTGGCCATGTTCTCAGTTAAAACCTCCGGCTTCTCAGGTACCGGCTGTGGTGTACTGGCGTCGGTTTCGTCGCTAAGCCTCCGACTGGATACGGAGACCGAGTCTCCGCTGGGCTCTCTTCTCAACCCTACCCGGCCGTCCTTTTCGATTGCTACAAAGGTGGTCCGAACCTTGGAAAGCGGGCGAGGCGAATGAGAAGGAGAGGGAGACCCTAGCGATAGAAGATGCAATGTTAGCTACGACTACCAAGAAACTGCTGGGATCAAACAAATGATAAGTGGATAATGTAGCTAATAAAGCTAGGAGTTGGGAATTGGAGATACAATCGTGGGGTTGAGCAGATAAACAACTAAATTGAGTCGGGCATGTATAGGATAAGAAATTCGAGTAGGCGATGTTATAAACAAGCAGGTATTTTGAATACAGGAGAGGCGCCATACCAACTGAAATACCGGATGGACCAGGAGATCTTCCACGATCCGGAGGGGTGTTCTCACCCTTCTGTTCGAACATGGCACGGAGGTTCCTGACTCCCGACATGGTTGCGACTAATGGACCTTCGAAGGTTTTATGGTAGAAAAGAGCAAAAGTAGGGAGCCGATCAGTTGTTACTGATCATGGATCAACGATTGTCACCGCGGGTAAGTGCAGACACCGTTTGCAAGGATGGATGGCATGCCCTAAAGTTTTTTTTTTCTGTTGGCTGGTAGATCGGTTTGTTGCTGACTTGTTTTGGTCCGCCTTGTCCTGGTCCTGGTCCTGGTCTTGATATTGATCTTGGTCTAATGGCTATTCGTCCCGGACCCTAGAAACTTGAAGACGAATTGAGCCTCGGAAAGGCGATAAAAATGATAAACTTAGATATGTTGTTGTCCAGTCCGGAGACGATCAAGCTATCGAGCGAGGCCAGGTCGGGTCGAAATCATACATAAAGTATGTTAAGGGGTTCGAAGATAGGAGACTCTGCAAATACAAAGTTGAACTCAACGGAAATAACTTTAGCTGCAGACTAAAATTTATGAAGTTATGGTTATTTTAGAATTAAACAAATGCTGCAACTAAGAAAAAAGAGTGTGTGGTTGAATGCGCATTTGATAGAAGAAGGAATTATACAATTGTAAAAAGACAATTGTAAAAAAGGATATAGTTGTTAAAGGGTTGCCTGGGGGAAAGATAGGGAAAGCTTAAGAGAGTAACTGAGGGAAGTCGAGTGACAGTTTGGGAATTATTTGGTGGCATGTGGCCTAATAAGGCACGGCCTAGGCGGGACTAAGAAGAGACCAGCGAGAGATGGTTCCTTTAATCAAATTGCCCAGTTAGGCAGGGGGAGTACCTAAGTACTTAAGGATACATTGGGGGGGTTAATTATTTCACGGTTGAATAAAGTGGGTTCAGGGGCTTGCATGAACTCCCAAAACGTGTCTAACGGCATACCGAGGCGACCTGAGCAGCGGGAACATTGAATCTAGGATATTTGGGATATTTGGATATTTGGATATTTAGGACATAAATTATTAAAGTACACTATGATCCGTATAAACATCTAGTCTGGTCGTATCGTGGTTCAATTTCAATGTCGTACATACCCGTAGACATGTGGTACTACATACATGTAGCACGGATATCCGTACCTAACTTCTCCTTTCTGGTAAGATCCATCTCACGTAGTATTGTATTGTATTCTAGTTGTATTCTAGTTAACTACGTGTAAGTGATCTAAATTTTTGAAGGAGTTTCTTACAGGACAGATATCTAACATAGTCTATATATTCATCTGATAAATTTAACAACTTAGCTAATATTACTCAAGTATGTATACTACCTAATATCTATAATAAGCACTTATACGAAGTAATCCCTGATTAGAATAATTCTAGAATTCCTTACAGACGAAAAAAAAGTAACTTACTATTTGACCTACCTAATAAGTACAAGTGTACAGATAGTATATAAGTACCAATGCATAAAATCTAATGATCAATAGCTCCAAGCCAAGACGGGGTTCGAGAAATTGAATATCAAATATCCAAAGAAATATCTAGAGCCGCACTGTCGTACCAAATGACACGGCTCGAAATTTATGCAGCTTACAAAAGCAATCCCATATTATAGGCTACGAAGATCCAGTGGTACGGATGCTACGGAGGTTATAAACTCTTATGTTACATGCATCAGTTGAGTCATCAATTTGATTTGAATCGAGGGAACCTTTCAAAACCACAAATCAATATAAAATGCACATGTGATATATGAATAGCATGTTTCAGGTCCAGCCCTCATTGGTAGCAAACACAACGCCCCTCTCTCAGCTCAGATCTTTAAGTGTCATTGGTGTTGGTTGTCATAGTATTATAACATGCAGCGGAATATTAGCGAATGGTCCCTACATAAGGAGAGATGCCTGGTACGTAAAGATGCAGAAATGCAGACGCCCGAGCGAGAGAACACTTTTCCTTTTTTTATATCTTTTTTTCTTAAAAAAGAAAAAGAAAAGAAAAGAAAAGAAAAAAAGAAGTATAGGTATATATGTGGCCGATAGTCAATGATGCAATAATTTAGTAGTAATCCGTATGTTGCATCTAAACTGCCGTGATACATCGTTGATATGTTAGGTACATGTACCTACCTTACGTATTGATTGAAACCTTCATCTGCAAGCTAAAGTCGTTTGCTGCAGGCAAGCGATAGGCTATTTTAATACATTGGGGATATATGTACTCAAGTAACCCCCTGAAATAACCCCTCCGATCCCGGCCAGGGTATAGACCCCACCACCAGAAATTTTGTCGACGGAAGCTCCGTAAAGCTTCATTTTAGCTTTGCGACTTGACTTGTTAATCAAACATCACGTACCATACGCAACTCAATTGAACCTGCACCATGGCCTCCCGCGTGCTTAGAATAGGTCAGTAAATACTACACATTCATACAAATCTAGAAATTTCTACCAATTAATAAACTACACAAATTCTAACTCCCAATCGCTCCACAAACAGGTCTCATCCCCGGTGACGGTATCGGCCGCGAAGTTATCCCCGCCGGCCGTCGGATTCTTGAGGCCCTCCCGTCGTCGCTTGGGCTTAAATTCGAGTTTTCCGACTTATATGCCGGCTTCGAGACCTTTGAGAAGACGGGTGCCGCTCTTCCCGATCGCACGGTCGATGTCCTGCGCAATGAGTGTGACGGCGCGCTCTTCGGCGCCGTGTCCTCGCCAACTACGGCCGTGAAAGGCTACTCTTCGCCTATCGTCGCTCTGCGCAAGAAACTCGACCTTTACGCAAATGTGCGCCCTGTAAAGAGCGTTCGTACCGCCGCTAAGCCTATCGATATGGTCATCGTGCGCGAGAACACCGAGGACTTGTACGTGAAAGAGGAGCGTACCATTGAGCGCCCGGACAGCGAGGGCGGCAAGTACGCTGAGGCCATCAAGCGAATCTCAGAACGCGCATCTAGTCGCATTGCCACCATGGCTGGCGAGATCGCTCTGCGCCGCCAGAAGATCCGCGACTCATCCTCCTCTTCCTCGTCTATCCACTCGCATCCTCTTGTAACTATAACCCACAAATCCAACGTTTTATCCCAAACCGACGGGCTCTTCCGCACCGCATCTCGTGCCGCTCTATCCGTACCGCGCTTCGCCTCTGCTATAACAATCGAAGAGCAAATCGTCGACAGCATGGTATACAAGCTATTCCGCCAGCCCGAAGCCTACGACGTCATCGTCGCGCCAAACCTATACGGCGATATCCTGTCTGACGGTGCCGCAGCCCTCGTCGGCTCCCTAGGATTAGTGCCTTCGGCAAACGTAGGTGAAGGTTTCGCGATTGGTGAGCCGTGCCACGGCAGTGCGCCCGACATCGAGGGCAAGGGCATCGCGAACCCTATCGCTACTCTACGCAGCACTGCGCTCATGCTCGAGTTTCTAAACGAAGAGGATGCCGCGGCAAGAATTTACGCTGCCGTCGATGCTAACCTCGAGGAAGGAAAGTTGTTGACGCCCGACTTAGGCGGAAAGGCTACGACGGAGGAGGTTGTGCAGGATATTCTGAAGAAGTTGTAGATGCACACTGACTATATTTCTCAGTGAGGTTGACCAAGTATATATGCTTAGTGATGATGAGCGTTGTTTGTCGTGCTGAATATGAGGAATATGAAAAAAAAAAAAGGGTCCAAAAAAGGGAATCAAGGAGAGCATACCAAAAGTTATGATCTAGACTCAATGATACCAATCAAAAGATTTCGAAGCATTATAGAATGACAACATTAGAGAGAAGAGGTTTCTATTTTTTTGCCTATCCTGGGTTCCATACTCTACCCAATACACCGAGCTATATAGCTTCGCTCTTTAAAAGTAGATTCCGAAATCATTTCATTTCATCCTTCGTGAGCGTAAGCACCAGGCCGAGTGCAGAAGTACCCAACCACCCGGTCACCTCCCCAGTTCCGACGTTGCGCATAGATACTTTATATACAGGTTCTATTTGCATCTCGAAGTATGTCATCACGTTATATTATACACCCCATCGCCAATTGCAGTCGCGACTCCAGGGTATGGGTAAACCATGTCGAAATCTTATAACTACCTACTTCCCCTAAATCGACCAAGTCGACAATAATAAGGCAGCGGAAGCATTCGCTTGCTCAGTTAAGAGCATAGTCGAATATATTTAATGCGGATGTGTTTTGAGAGCTATCTCTTAACCACTCGACCCTAAGACGGAACTCCATCGATTAACGAAGCTTACTTAGTCCTCTTAGCCTCGAGCTCCTTCTCGTACTTGGCTACCAACTCCCTCCTGTAGGTAAATCGTCAGTAAGGCTCACCAAAGTTATATTCATACCAAAAAAGTGAGTATATATAGTAAGGAATGAAGAACGTACTGTAGATGCGGCGGCGCGGGCGCGTAATGAGAAAACTCCATGCTGAATTCTCCCTTTCCTTGAGTGGCTGCTCTTAGCTGCGTACTGAAACCGAACATAGCATTCAAGCTGCAGTCTGCGATCAGGGTAAAGTCCTCGGAACCGATCTCTGTGTCAATGATGGTCGCGTTACGCTTGTTCATCAACATGAGGATGTTACCCTGGAACTCGTTGGGTGCCATAATGGTCGTCTTCATCAACGGCTCCAGGACTTGACCGCCAGCCTCCGGGAAGGTCTTGCGAAATGCCATCTGCGCTGCCAGACTGAAGGCAAAATCGGAAGAATCTGTGACGTGTGTCGCACCATCATTTACTACCATGCGGGCTCCGATAACCTTGTGGCCAAGCAGAGGACCCTTCTCACAGGCGACCTCGAAACCTTTAGAACAGGCGGAGATGAACTTGTCCGGAATAGCACCGCCCACAACCTGGTTAGAGAAGCTATTCTTCTCCGGCTCCTCGTTCGGTTCGATCCATCCGCCGACACGAGCAAAGTCACCGGGTCCGCCAGTCTGTCTCTTTAGTAGGTAGTCGAACTCGGCCTTGTTGCTGATGGTCTCACGGTATGCTACTCGGGGTTGGCCAGTGATACAGTCGACCTTATATTCTCGTCGTAGACGTTCGATGTAAATTTCCAAGTGCAACTCGCCCATGCCTGAGATGATAGTCTCTTCACTTTCCTCGTCGACAAATAATCTGAAGGTAGGGTCTTCACGTTGGAATCGGTTCATTGCCTTACTGAAATTGTCGGCGTCCGTGCTTCGCTTGGGCTTAATAGAAAGCGACATGACTGCATCGGGTACGAACATGGAAGACATGGTATATGGCAAGTTTCCGTCCGTGAATGTATCACCCGAAGCACACTCGACACCGAATACAGCACAAATCTCACCGGCACCAATCTCGTTGACATCTTCCATCTCGTTGGAATGCATCCGCACGATTCGGGGAATTCTGACCTTCTTGTCAGTTCGTGAGTTGAAGAGATAAGTACCCTTCTTCAGGGTACCCTGGTAGACTCGGATATAGGTGAGCTGGCCATAATTGTTCTCTTCGAGCTTGAACGCTAGACCAACAAACGGTAGCGAGTTATAGGGAACTAGCTGAGTTTCCGCCTCATCCTTGGTGCGATCTAAAGCCACATTTTCAACGTCGGCGGGGTTAGGCAGGTAGTCGCAAACAGCGTCAAGTAAGGGTTGGATAGATTTATCGGCTAAAGCAGAGCCCATCATAACTGGCGAGAACTTTAAGGCAATAGTCGCCCTTCGGATGGCGGCCATGATCTGCTCGTTGGACGGGGTACCCTCTTCTAGGAAAATTTCGGCAATCTCGTCATCAACATCTGCTAGTTTCTCGATCAGTTCCTGACGTTTCTGCTCCGCAAGCTCCTTCAGGTCCTCGGGGATGGGACCTGTTCGAACAATTGTTCCCTTAGGTCCTTCGCTGTAGATAGCTTTCATGCCTATCAGGTCGACAACTCCTTTGAATTGGTCCTCGGCACCAATCGGTATTTGAATAGCTGCGGCAGGGATCTTTAACTTGGAATTGATCTGCTCGACAGCCTTCCAAGGGTTGGCACCCATTCGGTCCATCTTGTTCACGAAACTAATTCGGGGGATATTGTACCGCTTCATCTGCCTGTCTACAGTAATGGTCTGGGACTGAACGCCGCTGACAGCGCAAAGAATCATGACAGCTCCGTCCAGAACTCTCAGGGCGCGTTCGACCTCGATAGTAAAATCAATATGTCCTGGTGTATCGATCAAGTTGATGTGATAGGTATGCTCCTCCCCATCTTCTACTTTCTTCCAGTCACAGAACGTAGCAGCGGACTGAATGGTGATTCCCTTCTCTCGCTCGAGTTCCATAGAGTCCATCTTGGCGCCTGCTCCATCCCTACCTCGCACTTCGTGAATAGCCTTAATTCGTCCCGTATAGAATAGTACCCGCTCGGTAGCAGTGGTCTTTCCGCTATCAATATGTGCCTATGCCAAAGTTTAGCATAACCCGTTCTAGCGTTTTCTCGTGGGGTTTGTTGCAACATACGGCGATACCAATGTTGCGCACTCTGGATAACCGCTTCTTTTCTTCTGGGCTCATCTTGGCAAAGACGGCTTCAGGTGTAAGGCTCGCCGCCTCTTCGGCAGCTTTCTTCAACCTGTCGACCGGACATCAGTCAGTCGGCCACCTCACTATTATCCTATAACACGCTCGGGATAGTACAGGGAAGCTTACGCTGCGCTAGCGGCGGAAGTGGCTGCGGCATATCTTGGCTTCGTTAAGTTAAAGTATCTCCTCCCTTCTACACGCAACGGGGCGGCAATCAATGGAGTAGGAGAACGAGACCCCGGGACTCTGGAGCCCACACTGAGAAATCGAGCGTTGCATCTCGATCCTAAAATTCGGCCGTCATTGAGGACAGCCACGGCACGCTGCACCCTCATAATTTTTAACACGTAATATAATGCAGAAACGAATGAGTTTAAAGCCGCGAAGAGTAGAAAAAGAATAGAAGTAAAGATTGGCTGCCGTGGACTATGGAGTTTAATATTTTCTATTTCTCGATATCGACGAAGCGAAGGCTAAGAATTTTTTGGGGCAATTGGAAAGAGATAACGGCTTATCGGGGAGCTAAAATCCCGCCCCTTAGGGACCAGTCACAGCGCGTCAATTCAAATAGAATTAAAGCTTCAACTAATGTAGGTACATGTACCTAAGTACCACTATCGACACAGCTGCTATTATAAGGGAATACAAATCTCACTTAATCGTCAACTTTGATAAATATTGTCTTCGCTGCCTCTAAAAAAAAAATCAATTATCTAGATACCTAGGCAAATAATAATCAATAGTCTATTTAATTCAGGCGGTGATATTTACATAGCCACTGATATGTACAGACTTTGGCCGAAATGAAGACATTTTTCTTGCCCATCCCTGCTTATAAGCACGATGATGAAGTCTCCTATTTCTTGCTAGTGTTACCCAAACCCGGCTACTCGAGTTTGGTTCAGTATCCATCACCAAATTCCCAGCAATGTAGCCGCCTTTATTTGCTTTCCAGTGCCCTATGAAACCCAACCAGTTTATAGACAGGGTAACGAACCGTAGGTACACTTCAAATGTTAAGCAGTCAGCTTTGAGTCTTGTCCAGAAAGTGTTTGTTCGGCTCAACATATACAGATAAATAAATACGATGGTAAATAAATAATGGCGCCATGTAATCTGATCCCAAACGCTCTGGATCTATAATAAATCCTTCTAGAAAAGGAGAAAAAATCCACTACCGACCATCACTAGACTCATACTGGCTCCCATGATGGCTATCCTAGAAAAATCTAAGGGAGGCGGTAGTGATGCGGCAGAATCTTTAAAGCCGCCGCTGGCACCGTACGACGGTGACTCAAGAGAGCTACTCTGGGTTACCTCGGCTTGGTTAGGCGCCGCGGTAGCCGAAGGAATTTGAGCACCAAGACTGGGGAATGCGACAACGTTAGATGTGGTAGAGTTGAAATCTGTAGGTGCAATCGCAACTTCATTGTTAACCAAGTCGTAGACAACATAAGCCGACCGCAAGAAAGTGTCCCCTAAAAGAAATGTTGCACTGCTGCTGCTGAAATTTTGGATACCGAATTGACAGACCACTTCTCCTTTGTTTGGGCCGTCTTCAAATTTGGTAACACCATCCACGGGCAGAACAAGCTCGTCCATCGTAACATTGATGGCTGGACCGCCAGAACCGCCGAACCCGAACGAGAAGTGGCCTTGGCTATTTCCCATGCTACAGGGGAGCAACGGAAGGTTCACTTGAGTGTAATAACTGGCGCCTACCTCGTGCCAGATCTGTTCTGCTAGGTCTGTCGGCAAATAGCTGAATGTGGTGCCAGAGTCAAGGACGACGGGAATGGGGAACTCGGAAGAGAGGGAGTCGGTTCCTGATGGAGAGGACGCTTGTACGGACGTTAAAGCGACAGTAAAGGTCGAAAAAACTCCGGAGCGCGAATCTTTGTAGATGTTTATTCGAGTAAGGTCGCCACGGTACTTCTCAGTATCGATTCCGCCGAACAAGATACTACCAGTGCTCGCATCTAGATCATTTAACCACAAGCTATACGCATTGGTAGCAATAAGTCCCTGCTTCTGCATCTTTACTGGAAGATTATCATATGTAGAAGAGGTAGAGCGGGTGCTACCGACAATAGCCTCGCTCGCTACATATCCCACGCCAACGAGGCCATATGGGATATCGGTATTGACGCCAAGACCCATAGTCAAATTGGTCAAGGTGGCGTCGCCGATTCCAAACGTCTCTGCGATATAATCGCCTTTCGAGTGACTACCGTCGACATAAGAAATGCTAAATTGATCTTGCCCCACGACAGAGAAGGATGTAGAATCGCTTTCGTCAACTAGAAAGATCAAGAACGATTTGGTTAGCTATAATGAACTCAAGATATCTCCTATTTTTAATCCATCCGATAGTCACTTACAAGATCCCAGATTGCAGCCCGGATTATCGTTAGTTTCTTGGCAGACGCTAGAGCTGCTCGAGGGTACCCAAATGTCGCTCGATCCGGTATCCAGTTGTAATGTTAACTTCTGCGCAGGAGTGCCGACTGTACAAGAGGCAAAATAACCCCCTCTAAGTTGCTCGTTGGTGATAACCTCTGTAACTGTTCCATCTTGTCGCCTTTCAAGCTTAGTTCCAGTCTGCCTTCTATGTATATCCCATTGTACCACTTGCGCTCGAGCAACGGAAGCGACTAATGCGCCGGCCGCAAACGTCGCGACAGTTTTCATAGTTCGGATCTAAGAGGATCTAACAGAATAGGTTGCACCGCAGCCGCTAAAAGGGTCTCGGATAGATCGTAGATATTTTGGCGTAGGTACCCGGGGAATTAGCCAAGAGTTTTCGTGGGGGTAACCCAAGCAAACCAGTTGTTCAGGGTTCTCGAATAGGTTCTCGAATAGGATGACGCGGCCTATATCTTATGGATTGAACTCCAAGAAGATGGAAATGGAAAGAAGAAAAGAAGAGCAAACGAAAGACAATGGGAGCCAAGGATGAATGGTATATAACAAGAAGAAACTTATGTAGACGCCAGCGGCTAGAAAAAAAGAGAACTAAGGTGTGAGCGAAGTTAATGAATAATGTAATAGACAAGTAACAAAGAATGAGACGAAAGGTAAAAACCCCAGGAACCAGCCCGGATGCCAAGGAGATGCCAAGATATTTAAACTGATTAGAACCAACAACTGATAACCTTAAAGTGGCGGGAAGGATGAGTTAAGAAGCTGCTAAAAAAATGCTAAGCTTTGCAACTCCCTGTTTCCCACGCTGCCACGCAAGCCACGATATTATTTTAAGATGTTATTGAGGCAATGAGATTGAGAAACAATATATTAGTCAAATTAAATAAAGTCGAGAATCGAGAGTTGAAAAGAAGATGTAACAAAATAAAATGATTTGTAAAAGGGGCACGAGGACAGAAAGACCAGAAAGCGGCTATAAGATGACGAAGCGCCTGAATCAGATTTGCATTTCATTGCGTGTTGTATTAACATAGTACCTTTGTACTAGTCTGCCGGTTTCCCGAGGGCAACAGGGCAACAGGGCATTGAGGGGCAATAAGGTTGCTTGATACAGGGGTTAAGCCGGTAAATCAAGAGGCGCAGCAAAGGCGAAATCAACTGTATTGTAGGTACAATATAGTCACTATATCCCTAACTGTTGCACTATGTACCTGAACTGTTACTAGCCCTAGGCACCTTACTAACGACATAATTATAGAATTAGGTACACTTATTCATCGTCATGAAGGTCTAGGTAATATCCATCCTGCCGTCACAAACAACCGCAACCACAACTATTCAGAGCTTATTATACAGACCCTCTTCTCCAGCCTTCTCATCCTACTCTCTCTAGGGTGTCTCTAATCTGACTCCATCTACTGCGCCTACTAACGCGGTCTTTTTTGCTACATGATGCTACGAGCTACACAATACATACACTTACAACCAAATAATGTATAGAAAAATCAACATCATTTTCATTTCAAGCTCTATAAATAATGGCTATGAAAAGGGAAATCACCGGGAGTACGGTAGTTAAAGGTATTATCGTAAACCGATCAAAAGGAATCTAGTTGTACAGCATGCTCAGTAACCGATTGGTTCATACGAATTCAAGATGCGACGAAGTTATCTGCTAAGCCACCCTTAGGTCTTAGGTTTAGAGGGTATGATATGCGGCTACGTTCGCGATGGCGCCTTATCAAATATTTACCCAACTTAACGACTTACCTGTCTATGTCCAGTATTTAACGATACTAGAAATCTCAGCTGTGGCGGGGCGTTGAAACAACGGAAGTCTAGAATCTTGGCAGCTGAAACGCTTGTATGTATATCGTCACCCTTTTTTACCCTCTTTTATCTCAGCATCAATTTTTATTAAGGAACTCAAACAAGGTGGTTGAGACATGTTCGACCTACGCTTAACCCCTTATGTTAGGGACAACATCCTTATGACGTTCTTTGTAGCACTTCGGGAAATAACCGACTCGAAACTCTGAGGGCGCCTATGTGAAGGCTTAGCCGTTGTACATCCACGATCCGTTCTATCAACTAGATTAGGTACGTTTACATGCTTAGCCCCCATCTGAGAGAAAAAAAAGGATGATCAACCTCAAGATTTGGTAATCACTATTCTACTTCGATTGCTAGTCACTAAACGCTCATTCACCATCCATATTCCAAAAATACCCCCCTTAAAGATTCGCTCCACGTTCTAATACAGTTTTCTCATACAGTTCGCCATGCTGCTCAAAAATAGTTCCATCGATCTCTAGTATCGTACACCATATCGTAACTCCCATTGTCTCTGACAGAATTGTGATTAGACCGGGTTGAGAGCTGGCCGTTTCGTTTGCGGTTCGTGTATATAATTCCCCAGGCGAGCTGTCCAATACTCGTGATCACGGGTACTACGCCTATCAATAAACCAAATGCACCTAAAATCGAACCGGATGCCGTAGTGATGATAGCAATGATAAAGTATGCGCTCCAGATCAGAGTCTTGATGCATGCGAATGAGAGCAGTATAACTGGATTTAACCGGCCCCCAGCGTATAGCATAACCTCAATAATGTCAAAGATCAGAGTACCGACATCGAGGACGAGAGTAATAGTTCCCGTGATCCGCGTGTACCTGACTAGCTTATCGGCCTCGTAGCCTAGGTATACGATCTTAAAGATACCAGACGACTCGGTCTCGCTCTCCTGCTGCTCTAGAGAGGATGCGCCGACGAAAAGTAAGGCTGCGGCGACAATAGAGATAACAATGAAGAATATTTGTAAAATCCAAAACGGTAGCAGATCGCGCTTCCGCCATATACCTTCGTATCGTCGCATTTCGACTTTGTTATGATGTGTTATGTCGTTATATCCTTTTCTTTATCGACTGTGAATTGATATAGAATAAGTCGTCAGTGTACCTTGATATTATAGACACATTAGCGAATAGATCAGGTAGGTAAACACTTCTAGGAGACGGGCAGGCTTTTGCTATTCTCTTAAGCTACTCTCGAAAATCATCATTGAAACCGTATGGAGGCACAACATTTGGCATACTCTTTTCCGTTGGACTACGCCGCTGAGAGGACCGCTATACCGACCATTGTATCACGGGAAGCCGATCCTCACGGTGCAACAGGACATATATCTTTTTGTGTCTAAGTGTGTCTAATATAGCACAATAATTGATGGGGCTGTTCTGTCTTACACGAAACGATATAAATCAAACCGACTGAAAACTAGGCACTTATAGTTTAGTGCGTGGTATTTCATAAAATACCCAAGTATTATAAGCCGTTCAACTAAGGAGTATTGGTCCTCCCTAGCCCCCTTAGATCATATACACCGGGAACAGTACACCGACGGCGTAATACCAGACCACCTAGGCCTCTGATCTTTGAACTATGTAGATTAATCGGACCGTCATATCTTCTTAGTATCTGGGTAATACTGAATATCTAGGATAATCAGCCTCTTTTACTATTAATATCATGGCAGATACCGTATAGACTGTAACTTGTCACATATGAGGCGTAATTGCTAGGCAACATGTACTCAGCCTACGGCCTACCTGGTCTATAGACTCATCTTAGAATAAGATCAAGATCATTTTTATTTACTCCTTGGGTAATGAACCCTAGGCTCCTTGCCTAACCCCTAAATACCGTCCGCTAAATTAATTCATTCTAAGTCCTCCCAACTTTTATCTACCTAACACATATTCCTATTGTAATCCTTGGATAAGTACCTATATTGCCCATAGTTTTGTCAAACATCCATTGTAACCCATATACGTCCTCACAATATCGTAGTTCTTTATTGTACATGTTCCTTTTCCTCGGCCTTAGGTATCCGCACTAAGGTTGCTGTAATGAGAGCTCCCGTTAGAGCGGAAGCAAGTCCAAACCACCAAATTGCCTTAAGCCCCTGGAGCCCAATTTCACCTGTCGGCAACGGATCGACCTTTACACCTATCGAGTCTGAGATCGACGTCATGATGGCTGATGTTAAGTTTTGTACTGTTACCAGCAAGGCCCCAGCCGACCCCTGGTACGACCTCGGGACGCTAGAAGTAATAAAAATGGCGGCTGCCGCAAAGCTCATGTCTGGGCCAAACGTTGCCAGCGCCACACCTGGCAGTGAAAGCACCCAATACGATGTGGACGGTGTTTGCGGTAGGAAGAATGCGGGCCCTAAAGCAAAAGCAATCATACTTGCTGTAAATATCCAATGCCCCGGGAACACGTGAAGTGTCTTAGACACGACGAAGGCTGCCAGTATGCCGACAATACCGTTCGGAAGGATGTATAGAGCTACTGTGAGAGGACTGGCGCCTTGATAACGCTGCCAGAATTGGACGGCGTAGAATTGCCATGCGCCAGCTTAACAGAGTTATGTTAGCATATTATTGTGTTTATCTTTTCTAATATAACGAAATTAGGACAGTGTGAACTTACTAAAACCCCCAAAGCCGAGGAAATATGCCAAGAGAAGAGCTGCAAACCCGGGAATTTTCCACAGGCCGTTCGGGACTAGAGGTCGCTCGACGGAGCGTTCGACAAAAGCGAACGCGACGAACATCAAGAGGCCTACCGCGATGAGCGAGTATGTATAGGGACTCCAATTAGCTGAAGAGCCCTGCGTCAATCCGAAGAGCACAAGCCCGCAGCCTACAGATGAGAGCATGGCGCCGAGGTAGTCAAACTGCCGGAGCGAGGGTGCATCAACGTCATTGCTATCTTTCGCGGGGCTCAGATCCGGCAGCGTCATCTGCGCAGCTACGGCGCAAAGTACTAGGAAGATAGCTGTGCTTCCAAAGAGCCATGGCAGATGTGCAGCCAACGCACCTCCATGGATACAACCTAACCAAAAACCTAAGGGGGCTCCGGCTGCCACTACAATAATTACCGTCAGCAATGAGTATAGCGTTAGAGATGGATTCCAAAGGAGGGAATGAGAAATCGGAACATCCTGACGTCACGTACTCAACGAGAAGACGCGCGTCTTACGAACGCCAGGCTTGTAGACGCGACCCAGAATACTCATGGACGCAGACACAAGAACCCCTAACGAGAGCCCTTGCATAGCACGAGAGAAGAAAAACAAAATCTTTAGTCGGGGCGATACGGCCCCGGCGGCGACGGCATGCCATGCTGCACTCCATAAGAAGGCACCAACCATCAGGGGTCTTGGGGCTGCCAAATCAGCAAGTGATCCGGCGACAATGACCGATAGTCCACTGGCTAGTAGTGCGGAACCCAGCACCCAAGGAGTTTGGGTGGCTGGAAGGCCTAGAGCATCGCGCAATGCTGTCTGTGCGATATTCGCGTGACCGTACGTGAGCGCAAAGATGAGTTGTCCCGCTGAACACACTAACACGAAGACTATCTCGGCCGCTAAGTTCGGCAGCTCGGGTGGAATACCCTGAGATAAACCGGGACGGGAGGTCCCTCCGTTACCGCCGGTTTCCTCGTCGAGATGGTGTCCGGCGACACTTCGGCTTCTAATAGCGCCAAGTTCCAACATGGGATCAAGAAGGACTTCATCGCGGCCATGGTCGGTGATGTCGCGCGTTTGCAGTTGGACTTCAATTTGGCTACTCCGGCTATCGTCCGGGGTCTGACCGAGAGCCTGCGCAAGAGCCTTACGATCTAGGGAGAAGTAGCTGCTACGTGCGGACCCTAATAGAGGATCGGGTGAAGCGACACTGGAAGGGAAAGCTCCAGTTTCTAGGCCTAAACCCATATATGGCGTTTCTGCGCCTCCGTCATGGTAGAAATCTGCGTCTGGTACCGGGTGTGAAGGATTATGATCCATAATAAATTAGCAAGAAGGATCAAGTTTAAGTCCCTTAGGTTTAATAAGACCTTAGGTCTCCCTCGGTGGGAATACCGAAGTGTAAAGTGCATTTTTATAAGGCGTCTGTCGGTCCCGGTGGAGTCGAGTAAAGTTTTGGTTGGCATCGGAGACCAGCCGGACGTGCTATCGTTCACCTTGCATTAAAGATACGGGTTCCCATGGTGGAGTGTATCGTTCCCCACGTCATAGATCGTGATGTGAATGGCTAGAAGGTAAAATGTTTGCAATGGGAATGAAACCTATTGCGGACTACTAACGGAACTATATCAGGAGATTTCTCAATGTGGCCAATCACTACCGATTTACACCGCTCGGGTTACAATTCAACTAGTAGGATATTATATGTATTTACATACGGCGTCTGCAACTGATATAACGTCCGAAGATAAGGATTGAAGCATGCCGTATCTATCAACCACTAAGTCACGATTATTTTGTCTGCGGTGTAGGAGGAGTTGTGCTCCGGTGATGCTTTCGCTTGAGTATTGTAATTGTTATCGGGGAGATGGACTTGGCGTCTTGGCCGGTCACCTCATTGCTATGTAAAATTAACTGACCGGTTCGCCACCGCAGAGTCTTCTTGCAGCATTAGACTACCTACATATGTAGGAACTCAAAGAAGTTGGTTGTTGATCTGTGGGTCTCTTCTAACAACCCTGTTTTGTAGTCTCTTCATATCTTCAACTAGTTGATAAATTCGAAAGTCGTTCCTAGCTCTCAGCGTTCTGGTTTGGCCCCTTAATGAATGGCGTTCTATTTATTAATATAAAGCAACGTGATATCAATATAATACTGAGTTTCGGGTACGGCATGAAGCCTTATAAGTTGAATATACGTATATGCTAGGAATATAAGCTATGCTTTAAGAATCGCGAAGGATATAAATTAATCTACTTCCTCTACTCGTGTCCTTGTGCACATGTTTCGACATAAAAAGACAACGCCTAAATTAGGCCTGTATCTCTTACAACCTGTCAGTCTTGATTATTAATTATCTGATCTCTGTGCTATATAAATATACCTATGGTGCCTAGAGGTATGTATTTAATAGATTATTTCTTCATAACCGTCTTCAAGAGTATCCACCTTTAGCGCGGGGAGAGATCCTAATGTTTGCTATCAAGACCCTTAAAAACATTTCACATTCAAATGCCTTGTTTTAATTCATGCGCTTGTAAAGGATAGTGAGCTACCGCTACTCTTTGACAAATTATACTTTATCTTACCTGTTCGTGGTTACGTCCTGTTAGATATCATTCTAAAGTCCCATATCATCGCTTTTCAACTTACCCCTGTATACAATATACGTTGTAAACTTACTCGAATTTCAAGCTTCATAATTTTAGCTCTTTGGCTCAAATATATATTATTAAAATAAGTGAACATAAGTTAAAACATAGGTACCTATGTACCTATGATTCAAAAAGAAGTTGGTTAAAATAATTTAATATCCAATAGTAATGCGTCGGCGTATTTAAGTATCTTCAGGATTCTGCCAGCTCTGACCGCCCTTGATAGCTTGCTGCCATTACACCCTTGTCCCCTGAAGACAATTAGTCAGGTACCTATTCATAACATGTTCCCCCTTATTCTATCTATATTCTTTTTTAAAACGAACGCCATCGGATTGGCTATCTAAGCTATGGTGCAGTCAATATCTCACGGTAGGAGACGTGACAAGCCTATCTTGAGTTGCGCTTTCTGCAGAGGACGCAAGTAAGTGGTTTCGTTTGGTGATAAGATGGCCCGTGCTAAAACCCCTTGTAGGCTTCGTTGCGATAGGCAGTCTCCCTGTGCTGCTTGCGTGCGACGCGGTAAGCCTGATGAGTGTATCTATAGCTGCTCAGAGCAAGAGCGAAAAGATGCTATCGACTATAGGCCTCGTACTAGAGGCCAACAGACGCGTCAGAGAATTACTCGCCTTGAGAATCTAGTTATTGAGATGGCACGGAATTCATGTCAGCCATCAAGCAGTAGTGCGACGCCAAGCGGGGTCCTCAATGATACCAGTCCACAGTATCAAGATGGCAATATAATAGATGATATGGGGAAATTGAGTCTCACTGATAGTCATGCAATCTATACTGGTAGCTCCCATTGGGTTACGATCTTGGACGACGTAAGTTGTTATGATAAGAAGTCTACCGAGCAGTATGATGACGAGTTCCCCAGATCCGGCATCTCAAAGATGAGCTCTTAGAGGAATACCCAGAGGAATACCCCGAGAGTAATACGAACCCCGAGTCGACCCTGTTTAATTCTAGGTTAATGCAAGGATTGCCTGCCACGAAGTCCTCTCTCCTCAGCAGTGCGCCTTGTCTTCCGAGAGAGCAAATTCTAGCTATGATGCCTCCACGGAAAGTGGTTGATAGACACGTATCCCACTTCTTCAATGATTATGAGATGGGCCCTTGTAAGCATTTTGATTAGTGTTCGAGCTATTGATCGGGATTCATTGTTAACCAAGCTGATGTCGTTACTTGCCAGTTCTCCTACACCGAAACACATTCTTGACAGAGGTTAAGAATCCGCATCATTGTTATTGATTTATTACTTACTCTATGTATAGTATGAGACCTTCTGGGGTAATCCTACTACTACCCCTATTATGTGGATAGGCCTTTTGTTTAGTGGTAAGTATTAAGCATATTGAAAGTTCTATTTTTCCATCGATTAAGTGTCGTTTGATCAACGATAGCTAACTGTTAATAGTAAGTCGAACAATTCTTTCTTCGGGGAGATATGTTCAGTTTCTGAAGGTGTAGGATATGAACACTAACATGAATCATTTTTGGGTTTCCAGGTCATGGGCATATCTGCCTTCTTACAGCAGCAAGATGCGAGATCTCACGGCTTGTCCGCCGTCGAGGTACAAAACATGTTAGAGACCTATCGATGCCTCACCACTCATTGCTTAACCACCGGGGATTATCTCCGTCCCAGTAAGTACACCATAGAAACCCTGACTTTATACTATTTTGTTGAGCGAAACGTAAACATCGACATATCCGTAAGCAATTGGCTTCTTATCGGTGTCATCATCCGGATTGCGTTACGCATGGGCCTTCACCGCGATCCCTCTCACTGGCCGAACATCCGGCCCTTGCAGGCAGAACATCGGCGACGGCTCTGGATCATCCTGTACCAGATGGACTTCTTTTCGAGTACGCAAGTGGGATTGCCACGTATTATAAAGGATTCCCAATGCGATACGCGTCCGCCCGCGCACTTGTTCAGCTATGACTTGGGCATCGAGCATGATGAAATCCCGCCCGAGAGATTGTTGACGGAATCTACTGCGCTTCTATACATTATACAGAGGGACAGAATCATCAGAGTAACAGCAGAGATATACGACATAATTGAGGCAGGACCACCATCACCATCCGCCGTTGCTACGTTAAACTCCAAACTTCAACGAGCCATCGATGCCATACCTGCATGGCTTAAATATAAACCACTGGAAATATCAATCGCGGATAATCCTCTTGCAATATTACACGGGATGTTCATGGATGTTCTTGTACAGAAGGCTATTTATCTCCTCCATCGGTGGAGCTTTATGAAAGGATCTTCTGGGGAAGAAAATGCGAAGTCTAACGACATCTGTATTACTGCTGCACTTGCAATACTGGAACATCAAAGAAGAATGAGCGAAGAGGTTCAACCTGGGGGCATTCTATTTAATATTCGCTGGAAGGTACCTATATCCCTTAATTACGAATTCCTACAGTCTACGATGATGCTGTGCTTCGCGTTGAGCAGGTTTGACGATGGAAATATCGGTGCGGGAGATTCATACTCTCTACATAGACGACATGACATAGTCGAGGCTTTGACCTTTGCAAAAGCTCTGTGGGAGAAGGATGCGGATCAACTTACGGAGGCGCGAAGAGCAGCCAAAGCCATCGAGGCTGTGCTGCGGCAAGATTCGGACGAATCAAGTGCTTCAACATTGGCAACCCTGGATGGTGGCATGCTCAATCCATCTGTGAACATTAGCCATGCAGCAGGTTTCCTTGATCAGGTGCCAGGAGACGCTGCGCAAAGCTATTTCGATAGTTTTAACTATGAGCAAACCATAGCTTTGGATCCTTCATTCTTTACAGTTGAAACTGGAAATATACTGGAAGACTTTGTACCAGAGCAAAATCAACTCTAACTCCTGAAGGCTATTAATGACAAATCTTTCAGTCTCATTGCTTGAGGAAGAAGAAGGGATCTATTGGATTAAAGTCTATGTTGGAATATAAGGGATGACCCCCCAGTGGTTATCTAATTATCATATAATTGCCTCTACCATCGCAGGCACAAGTTACAGACTACTTTCTGAGGTTGGCGGAGAATCCTCCTTCTGCTTTTTCACACTGCGCCATTCCATGCCAAGCCCACCAAAGATGGAAAGGCAAGATATGATGAGTGAGATTTGGAAGCATACGCGCAGGGATTCATTATAGCCTTCCAATGCAGTGGCAAGGTACTCAGAGGGAATAATGTTCAAGAGGTCGGTAGCGCCGGCGCCTGCAATCTTTTGAGAGTCGAAGCCCGGGATACCGGCAAGGCGTGTGGATAGTTGGCCGACCAAGACGTTTTGTCCAACTGAAACGAAGATGGCACCAAAGAGTGTCTGGGCAAAAAGCATAAGCGAAGCACCGATGGACACTTGGTCGCGCGGCAGCACCGTCTGAGCAGCCATATTAGGTGCCTGGATACAGCTGCCAAACCCCCAGCCGAACAGGATTTGATAACCAATCCATTGGCCTACGGTTGAGTCAACTTGAAGGGTGGTAATTAGGCCAGAGCCAACCGCTATGAGGCAGATACCAAAGATCACGAAGGGCGTGTAATAGCCGATACGGGTCGTTAGTACGCCAGTGAGAATAGACGCAATAACAAGAGCAAGCACCTGAGGCAGAAGGTGAATGCCACTCTCGACGGCTGAATCCCCTTTGACAGCCTGAAACCATATGGGAAGGTAATAGACTGATAACACAGTATCAGCCTGCAACACTATATCCTATCCGAATGGGAGTATACTTACGAATTAACGTCTGCTGCGCGCCAAGGCAAGAGCTCACGAAGAAAGCACTATAAATGCTTCGCTGAATAAAAATACGCGGCGGTACCGTAGCTCGTTCCGGCCTCCAAACTTGAATTAAGATGAAAGCGATCAAAAGGGCGAAAGCAAGCACTAGCAAAGCAATAATTCGCCCATCATTCCACTATATGCATTAGTTCTACCTAGAAAAAGCGCCGCGAAGGGAATTCCAAAACTTACACTATACGTAAAACCACCCCATTGGAGAGCCAGACATAGACAAATTACTCCGGGAATGAGAACGGCTTGTCCCTCAATATTGAGCTGCTGCAGTTTGCTTTTTAGAGTATGCTTAGTGTTAGAGCGATCAGGGATGTGAAGCAAGAAGAAGATAAACACCATCACGACGCCTCCGATGGGTAGGTTAATATAAAAGCACCATCTCCAAGTAACGTTCGTAGTAAAGGCGCCGCCGACTAACGGACCTAGCACTGACGAGACCCCGAACACAGCACCGAAGAGACCTTGGTACATTGGCCGTTTCTCTAGCGGTACGGCATATACGATAATAGTGACCTAATATATTATAGCATTGGAAAATTAGAACAATTGCTGGGTGATAATATCTAGTAAAGATAAAGGGGGACGTACAACGCCGGACTGAACGCCTCCAGCCCCTATTCCAGCGATTGCTCTACCGATTATAAAAGCGATCGAATTAGGTGCTGCACCACAAATAGCCGATCCAATTTCGAACAGTAAGATAGCCATCATAAAGGTAGTCTTAACATTCATAAGCGTATATAATTTTCCAAATACCGGCAAGAAAGCGCAGTTAGTGAGCAAGAAAGCTGTACCATACCAGCCAATATCGTTTGCCGTGTCGAATTCGTTGGTAATGGATGGTATGGCAGTCGAGATGATAAGCCTGTCCTGTAGACGACATTAGTTAGCCAGTATATCCTATTGTATACATGTTGCTACCAGCTCACATACCAAGGCTACCAAGAACATGCCAATATAAAGGGAAATAAGTATGATTGCGAGTTTATAACCCGAAGGGTACACTTGGCTGGCTGGGTCAATGGACGTTTCATTTTGTTCGCTCTCGCGTTGAAGCTCTTTCTCCGATGAAGCCATAGTTAGGTGAGCGTGGTAGGGTGGACTAGGACTGAGGTAAGAGAACCAGTAAGAAAGGCGATATTATGAGCTATGGTAACATGGAGCGTGTTCAGAAACAGCAAGTAAAAGTTGAAGAGGAATATATAAAACTGATAGTGAAGCCCACCTAGGCCTAGGTATATTTACATGATCTAACGCCTCCTATCGTCCATAATCACGGAGCGTGCTCTCAATCCGCTGTAGATCCTGCAAATTCCATTCAACTCACCCTACGAATCCCAAGTCCATCTAATTTTCCATCGTCCTCGTTAGTTTAAGATATAGCGGAGTGGGTTTCTACGATCTTCAATTGGGCTTACGACCGTCCGTTCGACCGTCCGCTTTCCGACGCTCCATGTTGCGGATCGCGGTATTAACCTTATAGGTATTTAGATTTAGGTAAGTAATCATTTCTATAATTACACATGAATACGATCACAATATCATATGATGGGTTACATTAATGACCGAGTCACATAAAAGTAAATACGTCGTTTATAGTACAGGCCTGTCCAGCCTTAGGTATATTTATCCACTACTTAATATACCTACGCAACGGTTGCATTCTTAAGGTACCTAACCTAGGTAGCTACAGATAAAAGCGACCCAGATAGTGTCTCAACCGTGAGCCTTCCCTTTTCCAAGGAACTCGCAAACTAAGCAAGTCTGGAGCGGGACGGTGTGTCGTGGTGGATCAACATAAGCCACCGTAGGAGGTTCCACGGACTGTGGCTTGGGGCCGTTTCCAGATGGGTTACCGGATTGAAGAATTGAAAGCGTCTGTCCGGAATTGGCCCTCGAGGATTGACCCGTATACCTATTGACGTTGAACGGGGGCAGGTTTTTACCACCCCCGGCGCCGTAGTGATCTGAGCTCGGCATGGTTGATTTCCGTTACGGATGAAGCCGAAAACGTGATGAATACCTAGAACTATGTGTGACGAGAAAGTGGGGATATGCCTGATCTCAAATGGAAAGCTAGGATCCGTACGATGATGTTCCAGGAAGCATGGGAAAGGGTGAAGAATCGTTGGTCTAGGACTGAAAATATAGAAAATTTGAATGCCTCCATGGTAGAGGTTCCATCTCTTGCGTGAATAGTTACACGACAGCAACGTATAGTGAGTTTGAAATATATAAGCCGTTAGTGCCCCTGATAAATACTAACTGAGTAGAGTTATTGAGACAGGTACATTTCTGATTCACTTTGAAACCTACTGTGATTGTCAACGTTGGCAACTAAGGTTTTAGAAATCTATTAGAATCTGAACGCCCCCGAAAAAAAAGTTGCTGCAATTGTTGAGCCATCACGTCCTGCGGTTTACTTCAAGACGTTATAAAGACTACAGACATTGCTATTGTCGGTGAGGGTCCTTATTCTAATATCGACTTGGAACTCTCCTTAACTGCACTATTCGTTAAGTACGCTCGGTGGAATTAGTAGGTATAGTTCTAGTATTAGGATTCTAGATGAGACATCTAGAACAAAGGACGCTGTTAGTATGTATAGCCGTAAGCTCCCATAACTACTCATTTGGAGTTACTCACGGAGCAACTTAGCTTTTCCCTGGGTAGTATCTTGGTCCACCTCGTGACATTGAGTCTACAATATTTCACTTCAATATAGAAATAGAACAAATAAGGACAAATTGGTTCGTCTACAACGATGGAACGAAATATGGAACAATTCTTACTAAAATGTGTGATTAGGAGACTATTGCTAGATATAGTACGAGGGGTTTTGGCAAAAATGTGTACATAAGTTAGGCGTCGCCTTTCGCTCGCGGAGAAGCTCAGTGACTTAGCCAAGGCACCTACCTAGGTAAGAGCTACCTAATACGGCTATTATACCGTAGTATTAACTAGTTTCCTGCTAACAGCACTTATTACCCCCCGGCTGTAACATGAACGTTCTACTGTATTATTAATTTGTATCCAACAAGGCTTGTGACGCTGGGTGTTAGATTAACCCCTAAGGCAGTGATACTAGCCGTGGTATACAGTGATTAAGGGGCTATCTCATAGCAGTTATCCTGGGACCTCACTAGGGCATAGTGTGCGCATACCAGTTCAGGCCTTAATTTACACCATAATATGTGATAGACACAACCTATCCGGTAGCTGATGCTTTAGCACGTGTCGCCTAAGCCTCGCTCTCTATTCTTCTAGGGTTCCTCTGATAACTCGCTTTAGACATACATCTGGATCCATATATTTATCCTTTTACGTATCTTCTACTCCACCGCCACGATACACGTAGGTGATTGTAGGTAGTAGATGTTAACGTATGATATTACTTTAAGAATGGTAAGCAGTACAACATGAGTGCTTTTTGTATGGAAGACGCAATAGGAACCAACATCTTTCAAGGTCTTGGTTATTCTAATTATCTATCACGAACTCAAGGAGAACCGGGAATTTCAGTAAATAAAATCAGTATAGCAGTTACGATACGAGTAGGCTGTCTAAAGCATTTATATGAATATTATATCTATAGCTTATGAACGTGATCTGGTATATAATTACTTTCTAGCTCGCCCCCCTTTTATTGTTTATTCTTGTGCTGTCTCATCAGTTTCTCGACTAATTTGTTTTTAGTTTCTTTTGGTCTTATTAGGCGTTAAACTATGCCGAAGGATCGAGGCTTGGATGCCCCCTTAATCATAATCGTTCCTAGAACTGACTGGTATCCATGATAGATTCTATTGCCACTTGCACCGACCTATTCTTCCGTTCGTATGCTATTTGCTTCGATCAGATTATTTGACATATTGCTTTACGACTATGGACATAGTTGATGGCCATTTTACCTAGCTATCCTTGTCGCTATACTGCACGAGCACGGATTTGATACTACTTCATCATGCATCGACAGATATAAACATAGAATTTCAAGCAGCAGCTTCAGCGAGTACGATGCCGGTTATCCGAGATATATAAGTATAGTCATGACGCGGTGGCAAGTCAGGCGTCATATACAATCGTTGTCTAAACCAGGTACTCAAGTCTAATTAAATGCACCTAACTCACCCCTATGTCGATCGTACAAGAGTTGAACAAGATATTGTAGTCGGTGACCGGAAAAGGAAATAGAGTCATGAATTCCGACTCTCTGCGTAATCGTATTGGTGCATCAAGCCAGTCAATTTGTAGAAATTTTACTATCCCGAGTCTTAAGATAGAGTATTCTATCAAGCTTCTCTTACTTGGCAAGCTTGGATAGCGATCCTAAGCCTCAATACCGTGTTCGAGGTATACGTTTGCACGATAGTATCACCGCCGTTAGTGACGTGGCATAAGCTCTTGGTACTATTGAGTTTCTCGTTGGCCGGTTCGGATGTTTCGAACTGCCATACTAAAACGAACGAATAATCATTACTCCTTTACTCCTTTACACAGCCACCCTCTTGGGTGCAACGGTGCTCTCCTTCGGTCATTCGTTTGATTGATCCATCGTGACTAGCAAATGGGGCGTCAAGAGCACGAGCCCCTCGAATATCCCGTTGGACGCTATAGACGTATCGAATGTACCTAGTATTTATCGGCAATTTTGCCTGGGCAGTCCCTTATAAGGCTTTTTCGTCATATAGAGATATGTAGAGGTATGACAGATAGGGTAGACGGGTTAAATGAAGAATAAATTAGTGTAATAGCCTGTCTTCTACATAAGCACGAGCGTTTAATATAGTGATATTCGAACGATATAATGCATTATAATACATAATTAGCTTTGGATCGGGTTAAGATAATACCACATGGTTGTGGATTATCAAATCGGTACCGAAGCGGTTAGGACTCAGCCGCATGTCCTCATTAGGGGGTGAAGTGGAATATCTCCGGATCTCTCATAAATTTCGGACCAATTAAGGCAGACGATTAATACATTACCAATGATTGAGTCCGATTTACCCCTGAATTCGGTACTTTCCCGGCTCCACTCGTGTATGCGGTCAGGTCAGGGCAGTGTGACGGCTTTCGGTAAGTATTGCATGAATATCAACCCCATGTTTGTAATTAGTGATGGCTTATTCGCTAGAAGACTCAAGGAATAGATCGAGAAACATCTCAAAAAGGCGTTCCGGCCAATAAGAATGAAACCATATTGTCATTTGTTATAACTGCTCCGCCGCAGGATCGACAGTGTCAAGGCGCGATTATCGCCCTTCGGACTCGTCTCCACGATAGAGCTTCAAAGCTAAGCTCCCCGGATCACAACCCGGTAGGTCTCATGGCCGGGGTCCGCGGACGAAACTTACCGCCACATAGGGCTTCTATGCATAGAAAATGAGGGAATTTGGGTGTGATAGTACTGCGTGTACGGCGTTTACTGCATATCTGCAATACTGATGCGGTTTGTTAAAATCGCTGCCTGCGATGGTGACGCGGCACCCAGACCCTACGTCAACAACGTCCGGAATATTCATTCTTTCGATAATCTCCGGTCCGTTGTATGAGCCGCTTAACCGAAAATGAATTTACAGTCGAGATATTAGAAGTATATAAGGAAGCTGGTGCGACCAGCAATGTATCATCTCAACACGATTTAATATCATCAACAAGTCAAACTCAAACTAAATCAATATGAAGCTAGTATACCTCTCCTCCGCTGTAGCCTTTGGCTCCGCAATCGCCGATACGGCCCCGTGGGAAGGTCCCGGGCCGAGTGACGGTAAGTTATCCACCAAAACTCGGCCGAAGAAAATATTGAGTACCGCGATGCTAACACTACAAATAAAGTGCGCGGGCCTTGTCCTATGCTTAACAGTTTAGCAAACCACGGATTTTTACCTCACGACGGAAAGAGCATCAATGTAAATAAGACGGTAGATGCTCTATCTTCGGCGCTGAATCTCGCCCCTGAGCTCGCCAGCTTCTTGCACTCGTTCGCCGTGACTACGAACCCTCAACCTAACGCGACGACCTTCGATCTAGACCACCTTAGCAGACACAACATATTGGAACATGATGGAAGCCTGAGGTTTGTTTCCTTATCACGATGATGTTTTTTCGTTTAATAATAAATCATAAATCACTAATTCAAAGATTTATAGTCGTCAGGATTCTTTCTTTGGTCCTGCGGATGTCTTTAACGAGGCTGTCTTTAACCAGACTAAATCATACTGGACTGGAGATGTAATTACTATACAGATGGCAGCCAACGCGCGTGTGGCCCGTCTTATGACTTCGAACCTTACGAACCCCGAGTACACGCTTTCGCACTTGGGTTCAGACTTCAGCATCGGCGAGTCAGTTGCATATCTCTCTATTCTAGGATCTAAGGAGACAGGCGAAGTTCCGAAGGCCTACGTAGAGTACTTGTTTGGTAAGGCGATGATGTCTAATAATTTATGGAGTGCATTTAGAAGCTAACAGTGTAACTTTTTTTAATAGAAAACGAACGATTACCGTATGAGCTTGGTTTCTCAAAGATGAAGGAACCCATGACGGAAAGTGATCTGGAAGGTCTAATGGATAAGCTCGTCGCATCTCAGCATTTCCCCCAATCACCTGGCACGATTTCTAAGCGTACTGAGAAGTCATCCGAGAAGCGTGCTGAGAAGCGTTGCCCATTTCACTAGATGCGATCCTATGATTCGTGGGATAAATGAATGTTATGGGGATAGGCGTCGAGTTCGATTATCCTCAAGACTACGATATTAATCTAAACTTCTATTCGACACATGGCGCTTGGGGATGAATGCTGATCCAAGAATGATAAGCTTCGCTATTGTCATGCACATTTACCGGTTATTTTACTCTATACAGAGCGCATATGGACTAGACAGGATATATATGACGACTTGGATAATGCTTAGGATATAAAAGGGGGACTTCAAGCAGAAGGGTGCCATAGAACTTGTATCTATGAGTTGATAACTGGGTATGTACATACCAGCGTAGGTACATATAATTGATTTTCCCATTTGCATACTTAAACTATCACTCCAATAACCTTCCAGAAAATACTTTGCGAAATAAGAGCATTCTATTTTTAAAGTGACGAGTGCGCTTAGGGGTAGTACTTAGGGGAATTTGGGTAATATTAGGTACTCAGGGGTAACTTGTACTAGACCGTCAACTACGGATCCAGGGGTTTTAACGATACTTTGGCTGTCATGATGCGGGCTTACTATAGACCTTCTGATCATGACTGTGTTTAATTTATTTTCTTAATCGAATATTTAAACACAGTAGTCCTTCGTAATAGATCCCTTAGTCCCGAGGGATAGAATACCATTTCAACGCTGCTCCAACTGCGGTCGAAGTTCTCGTAACTCTGCTCCTGTTGCCACTGGCGCTGCAACATCATCGGCTGGGTCTGCATCTGCAGGATCTTCCCAACCCTCACGGTTATCATGTACGAGTCTTACAAAGCAAATGTCAAGTATCAATGCTACGACACAAAGGCCTACTCCAAAGTATAGAGCCGCTCGGAAGCCTGCTACCATGCCGTGTCTCTTGGTAACTTCCGACTCTACGGTCGCCGCAAATCCGAGCCCAAGTCCAGTCCCGTATAGGAGTAAGGATCCTGTAAGTGAACCCGCAACACCCTGCTGCTTCCGATTAACCGAGTTACTGGTAATAATTTGCGCTGCTGTATAAGTCAAGTCGGGTGATAATGAGCTCAAAATGGTGCTCGGAAAAACTTGATACCAATAGGATTGCTGTTCTGGCATGGTAGCAATCAGGAGGTTTGCTATCAGCATGCAGAAAGCACCCATTGCTAAGATCCATTGCGCCGACACTCGCGGGATGAGGTAGGCTGCTAAGAAAGTAGCAGCGGCACCTCCAATTCCAAAAGGTGTCCAGCCTACGGCAAACTGCATTGGTGTCCAATGACGGATCTCTTGTAGCCATAGGACTGTATACCAGAGCAAACAACCACATGCCATGAAGTTGAGAAGGACCACAAAGATTAACGGCGTAAAAGATGGCGCCTTAAAGATGCTCAATGGCATAATGGGATCAGATGCAAAGTAATGTTCCCAGATATAGTATCCAATAAAGAGAGCAACAGACACGACAAGCGTGGCTATGACTACGGAGTTTGACCATCCCACGGCTGGTGCTTGACTAACGAGGGGAGTTAAGTTAATGAGAAGCTTGTTGAAGAATTCAGGAGACTTACTTCCATACGATGTTAAAGAGAATCAAGGCAGTTAAGGAGAGAAAGGATCCGATCCAGTCTATCTTCCCACCACGGTCGACGGGAACTTCTCGGGGAAGAAGAGCCCATAAGGCCACCGTGGCTACCAAGCTCATAGCTGAACTGATCACGAGTATTAGTAGTCTTCTGGGTGATATAATCCTATGACAAGATAGCTTACATGAATATAAACATCCACATTAAATATGCATGTTCGATGAATCCCCCTGCGATGAGGCCGCCGATGTAACCCCCTATAGGTGCAGATGCGCCGAAGAAGGCCAGACTCAAGTTCCTCGTGAAGCCGGGCGGATTGGTGATGCCGATCATAGCAACGGCATTCGGCATGATAAAGGCTCCTCCAATCCCGGATATCGCTCGCATAACATTAAATGATATGAAGTTATCACAGAATCCGCACACGAAAGTAAATATGATGAGGAGTAAGCTCCCTAGTAGGAGCATGTTCTTATGCCCATATACGGCCCCAAAACGACCGCTGACGAGGACGAAAGTTCCTTGCGTAAGACTTATACATGTTAACAGCCATTACTGAATTTGTGATTCATAACCAAGGTAACTGAGTATCACGTACGCATAAGAAGCACCAACCCAATTGGCGTGCACGCCCGACACACCAAGCCTTTCACTAATCACCAGTCCGCCAGCTATACCTATCATGTTGCAAATCATTTGCATAAGGTTACAGGCGACAATAAGCGTAGTTGTGGCCAGGCGGCGGCTCTTTTTAGTAACATTCAACGGGGCTACATCGAATACACGCTGCATGTCCTCGGGAGAGGGGACGGTGTGTTGCGGTACCAGAGGTTCTCCATTTTCTGTTTGACGATTAAGCCCTTCTCGTGATGTCCTTGAGACTCCATTTCTAGGACTCGCTGCCGATAGTGCTGCAGAAGAACCAGCACCGGGGGTCAGTTCGTGATGAAGTATAGAGTGTAACGACATTTTATTATCATGAAATCAACTATTGACATTTACGAATGCGTACCAACGCTTGAACAACTAGGTCCCAAAATTATAGGGAGAGTAAATAGATTTATACATTCATCATGTCCGCTTGATCGTCACAGGTCATTAAGAACCCGTTAAGCCGATCTCGTCTCTTGGAGGATCACCCAAGCGGGGTTTGGCGTATCATATCGAGGCTATGGCGCTGTCGACTCGTCCGTTACCGGATTATATGACCAAAAACTAATACATACCTCTTATAGGCCTGCCTAGTTTATGACTTTATTCACGAAGAGTCGGCTATAAACCAAATGGCTGGGAGGTACTTTCATATGCGGTCTACGGATATAATGAGCATGTAAATTAACGGTCGAATCACAGACGAAGTCTACAACAATAAGTCTCAAGTCATCCACCAAACATCTTAGACCCCCTTTAATACCTATGTTTTCACACATGTTCAATAGCAGACACGGCGGTCGTTCCGGCGTCCACCGTGATAATACTCCCAGTGATCCAACGAGCTTGCTCGCTAGCTAGGAACCTAACAGCCGTCGCACAGTCCCACGCGTTACCTTCTGTTCGTAGGAGAGTGCCGTTTCTTCGCGCTTCTCGAGTCTGTGCGCTTATTCCTTTTGCATATATCATGGGCGTATAGAGATAACCTGATAGGATTTAGTGTACGGAGATGGAGATAAACCGGGAATATTCTCGCTGTGCCTCGCTTACCTGGGCAGACACAGTTCACACGAATACCATCTGACCCGTGATGCGCTGCCATGGCGCGCGTCATGTTCAGAACAGCACCCTTGCTTGTCGGATATAACAAATGGGGAGTACCCCCTACTAATCCCGCGACCGATCCAATATTAACGATACTTCCTCGAATCCCTTCTAACGACTCAGTATTCTTGCGCATTTCGGGCACAACAAACTTGACCATGTTTGCCATGCTTGTGACATTTACGTCGAGCCCACGACGCCACTGATCCAAGTCAAATTCCGTGGCAGTACCTCTGGCGCCCATGATGCCTACGTTGTTAACCAGGATGTCAATTCGCCCAAACTTGGACAGCGCTGCATCTACAATGTGTTGGCAATCGATCGACTTCGTAACGTCTCCCTGACAGCTAATACTCTCCCCCTTGCCTTCTGCTTCTATCATGGCGCTAGTACGTTCAGCCCACGAGGGGTTTACATCTGTACACACGACAGAGGCCCCATCCTCGGCCAATAGAATCGAAATTGCTCGACCGTTACCAAGGCCATCACCTTCGCAACCCGCTCCTGTCACGATAGCGACTTTCCCCGCGAGAGATCTCGACGGTCTTGGAGGAATGTCATCAGCCACTAAAGCTGAGATTAGCGAATCCAGTTACAAAATACCATTCTTCAATCTACTTACGAGTTCTCCTTTCTATACTGAACGCTCGTCGTCCTATCGAGTGAGTTGTAGATTTCCAGCTTTTTGGTCGTAGAAAGTTGCTCTTCTGAGACATACAATACATTGGAGACGTCCATGTGAGGGGGGCGGTACCTAGTGAGGGGTGTTTGGTCTTCGCACATATTGAAGACAGAGCTCGTTCTATTGAATGCGATTGAGTATGACGAGGCAATACATTTCTAACGACAAGGTAACGCATACTCGAACTTGAACTCTCAACTACCAATTTAAATTCAAGTGAAGTTTTCGTTTCAGGAGCTGCATAATAAGCATCCTATAGATTGTACATTGAGATGAAAGGAGAGAAGTTCCATCTCCAACTTCCGAGCTTGATAAAAAAAGATAGCGCAACCTGAATTTACCAAATACCAAAGGACGATGCATAGTCAAGAGTTATTGGCAATTGTAACTCACTCTTAGACGATATAATCAATTACCAAGGTACCTAATATTCTAAAGATAGATTGAAGACAATAATTAACTACACTACGTTGACAACCTTGTAAAGAGTGTTTCTAAATTGCCAAGAAGGCACTTTTGCTGCCAAGGAGCAGGTTATAGCTTAGTTAAGTCAAGTTGAATGTTAGTTGATGCATCTTCAATCGTGGGGAAATCTCAATATAGAACTTACGATGTAACTTCATCATCCACATAGTGATTATCCTCGTAGAACACGATACTTAAACTTGCTCTAAGAACCTAATGCTAATCTACTAGGATTATAGTATCTATTGCTGCCTCGACTTTATACCTATGGTAGTTAGAGCATAACCGCCACGCCTTTACTGGAAACTATTAAAGAACAAAAGGTCTCAAATTGAACCACATATTGGCATTGAACTATAAAAAAGAATATCTTCCTTTGATTTATAATCATTGCTCCAATAAGCCGCATTCGGACAATTGTGATAGAGCTACAGACCATGAACTCTTAAACTCATCACAAGTGAACCTATCCACATTGGATTCAACTCTCATTGATGACATAAGATATAGCTCAATTCTCTCCGATCTAATTCGGAGTCAATAGACTATACGAAAACTGCAGATCGATATAAACATATGCAACGGATTAATCATTCCTGTCACGTTCGTGGACTCTATGGATTCGATTCATGGATTAAGGGCTTAATGGAGGGGACATGTCCAGCTAAGAGTCGGTGAAGACTACGTTCCCCAATTAGGATCAATACGGCATCCTTTAATGCTATAGTAAGAAGGTATCAACACAATGGATGCCCCATGGATGCTGGCATACACCTGCAATTAAAGTGCGGCTCACGAAGGATCTCATTTACGATCCCTGCGTCTTATATTTTCTCAAAAGTGCTCTCTCCGATATGCCTCGGATTAGTTGACTAATTGTCTTACAATACACGGAACTCTAGGCTACCATGATAGTCACATTTGTGTTAACTCATTTATATAAACACCTATCGATGCCGTATTGACAACATCTCACTCTGCTTAAATCAAAGCAAACGTAACTTAACCCACAGACAGACAGTCAGATCATATTTTTCATCATGGTTAACATAACTGGTAAGTTGTCTCTGCCATCTACCTATCTATTAGGTGGATAACAGCGCGTTTCGCTCTAGCTAACCCGATATCCTAGCACCCCTTCGTATAGGCTACGTGCTGTTCCCGGCCTTCACATCGATAGACGTCTTCGGGCCTCTGGGTGTGCTGAATCTAGTCTCCATGAATTATAACATGACGCTGTCGCTGCTGTCGACAGACCTGGAGCCGGTTAGTGTGGACCGTACCATCATAGCCGGCGTGGGTAGTGGCATGGGCGCTGTGTCGGCATCACCCAACTTTACCGAGTTCGTCCTCCCGACGCACACTTTTGACAACCCGCCGGATCTCGACGTACTCTTCGTGCCGGGAGGCTTCGGTACCCGCAACATTAATGGTACGCAACCCCACGTAGACTGGATCCGCCGCCGCGTCGAACAGGAGCCTAAGCTCGACTACTTGATGAGCGTGTGCACTGGGGCTTCGCTTTTGGCGCGTACCGGCAAGCTCGAGGGAAAGAACGCCACTACGAACAAGGCTGCCTTTAACTGGGTCAAGTCAGTCGAACACGCCGACAAGGTGAACTGGATCGCCAAGGCCCGGTGGGTCGTCGATGGGGATACCTGGACCAGCTCGGGAGTCAGCGCCGGCACGGATATGACTCTAAATTGGGTTGAGCATCTATACGGGAGGAACGAAAGCGAGAGGGTTCGAAACCTGATGGAATGGAACCCGATGAACCAGACCGATGATCCATTTGCCGAATACTACGGACTGGTGTAAGCCATCAGAGGTAGAAATAGACTTAGGTAGTGATAAATAGGAGATTACGGGAATTGGCGATAAAATAGGTTTGCTTTAGTTCGCCTTAGTAGAATCAAATAATATGATCAATTCTACTTTAACCGCTATGGTGACATGTCGGACTAAAAAGGGGCTTGTCAAAGGAAGATAATAAGGTAAGACATGTCGCACGGAAGGCTAGGAATAAGACATTACCCGCGTGAAGGGGCAAGTTAAATACCTAATCCAGTCAAGTGAATAATATTTACTATTTTATTTCAAATGGTCGAAGACAAGCTAATGAAAGCTGCCAATTCGATATAGCCCGGATATTAAGTATATCATACTAACATAACAATCATCTCATAAATAATTACCATCCCGCCTCTAAGACTCTTATACAGCGAAGCCACCAGAGTTAACCTGTCGTGGTTCCCCAGCCGCCTCAAAAGTTCCATTCGGTAGTAATCTTAAACCCTGCGCTGTGCTCTGACCCGGTGCTACCCAAGTCACATTATGACCTAGCGACTTCAGGTACGCGACCGTGCTGTTGTCGTAAGAATACTCGAAGGAGATTTGGGGAGGACTGAGCTGGTCGTGTAGCCTGGGTGCAGCCAACGCCTCGGCTGTCGTAAAGTTCTGATCGAGTACGTGGTGGATATTCTGGATGGTGGCCGTGATGATGCGACTACCACCGGCGGATCCTATAACGAAATACAACTTTCCATCCGCTGTCTCGACTATAGTCCCTGAGATGGAAGATAGAGGTCTCTTACCCGGGCGGATGAAGTTTGCCGGGCTCGGTATGTAACCAAACGCGTTGCTCGAGTTGGGAATGGAGAAGTCGTTCATCTCGTCGTTCATAATTACACCGGTCTCAGGTACAATTAAACGGGATCCAAAAAGCAAGTTAATGGTTGTCGTAAGGCTGATAGCTAACCCGCTCTTATCGGCAGTGACAATATGACTTGTGCCTGGAGTATCAAGGCTCTCGAGACCGGCCGGGTCATAGTACGAGACGTTCTCGGTTTTGAAATCGGAGATCTTAGAGCGCACTTCAGCAGCGGTCGCATCAGAAATCATGGACTCCTGGTACTCGTCAAGCCCTTCGACGAAAGAAGGATCACCAAGTTCAGATCGTTGACCATACGCAAATTTTATAGCCTCGTCCAGTCTATGAGTAGTTAAATTGACCGCAGCAGGATCTCCAAAATCCTCATAGCCGTTGACGATTTTCAGCGCACTGAGCGCTACAACGCCGCTTGCCGGGGCGCTGATGCTCGTAAGCTTATAGCCTCGGTAGTTGATTTCAGAAGGCTTTCTAATTGCGACTGTGTAATTCTTCAAATCATCCAGCGTCATAGTTCCATTCTTTTCTTTCAGCGCTGCTATTGTCGCCTTAGCAATAGCGCCAGTATAAAATGCATCCGGACCCTCGTTAGCAATAACTTCCAAAGTGTCGGCGTAGCGTTTGCGCGTTATTGTCTCGCCCAGCTTGACAATATAACCCTTCGGGGCGAAGTCAATTGCCCAGGCTGGGTCATCCTTGAGGAAATCGTTTGGCGTCGCGGATGCTATGTACTTCACGAGATCTGCTGTCACCTCGAAGCCTTCCCGAGCGACTTTGACGGCCGGTTTCACCACGTCTGCCCACGGCAGCTTCCCGTAGTTTTTATGCAGATACTCTAGCCCTCTAAGCTCTCCAGGAACACCACTACAGCTTTGTTAGTATCATAATTTGTCTAAGAGACAGGGGGTATTAAGTGCCCATCCAGGTCGGGTTTATTACCTTGCTAGGCCGCCATATAAACTGGAGTCGGTGTTATTCTCGTACATATCCTCATAAGCAGCGGCCGGAGCCGTTTCTCGAAAATCGATGTACTCGTATTTCCCATCGCTACCGCGGACAAGCATAAAACCGCCACCGCCAATGCCACTGTGGTACATGCCGATGACGCCGACGCAGAACACAGTGCCGACAAGGGCATCAGCAGCATTTCCACCGGCTTGAAGTAGGTCGGTTCCTATCTTAGAGCAGACAGAGCTCTCAGATGCAACAGCGCCCAGCCTAGGGACTCGTTCACATGATCTCGCGAGTCCCGTATGCGCCAAGAAGCCTAGCTGTAAGACAGCGGCCGCGATACTTCTGAGGGACGACATGGCGCTTGCGGGAGACAGCTAGCGGGTCCGTGAAGATGCTATCAAAGGAACTAGCAGACTAGCAATAGAAGAACAAAGAACACACGACAGGCAAAACAGCCGTACTTGTACTCGCGCTACGCGTGCGACGTAAGCACGCAATCAAAGGATTACCTATCTACAGCGGAGTACCAACTCGGTAAAGCAACTAGCCAGACTGCATTAGCTTGGGTTTGGCTGGTACCTGACCCTTGACCGGGTGGGATGGAGATAGTAGGGATTGAGGCTGTTAGTTTTTCAGCTTAGCACTCGGATAGAGGCTTGAAAGAAAACGGTGACATTAACATTGATGTCCAAGGTATTGGATATAAGATGAGATATATAATAATATTATATATAATAATATTTATAATAGGTATCCTTGGATATCATATTCGTAACACCCCGCACTCGCCTATTGTATGTATTATTACATTCATCCTTTCACATCGCGTATTCTTGTGGTAGGTAGATGATTATTCGACTCGCATTGTCTTGCCTCGTTTACCTTCAGCTCCAACCTGCATCATATGTTCCCGGGGAATAAATATGATAATTTTCTTCTCTAAATCCTTCCAGGATATTTACGACACTGAAATGTTTATCGTGATGTTCCCGTTCCCGCTCTCTTCTTGACCGTCCTTCCTATCGAGGAAATTAGATTGCCCCAATTAAGCAATCTGGTCCACTATCTGTTGACGCAATGGGCACCATGCCGTTGCATCAGGTGCTACCTAATTATTCACTAATAATACACCTCTTATACCAGTCTTAACAAAATTTCTTAAATACTTTCAAGATGTGTAAGATGTGCGAGGTCCAGAAATACTCTCACGTATTCTTCATATTAGATTATTCATTCGCCGTCATCGTCTACCATTCGACGACGTTTCCTAGTACTACTGACATTCGTCTCGTTAATAAGCCCATTCCCGGTAGAGCTGAACTGCTTTTGGAGCTCGTCCATCTCATCCACAGGTAGCTTGGCCGCAAATTCCTTATCCTTAGTAGCTCGACGCTGTTCTGAAGTTGCCTTTCTGAGAGATCTATATGCGTCGTAGAGGTTCTTGATGCTTGCTTCAGCAACAGGTAGTACCAGATATTGACCATCCTCTTCGTAATTTCCTATGTTCACCGGATCTCCTTTCACAGCCTCCACATACTTGAGGCTACCATCAAGTTCCTTGAAGACGAGGACAATCTGCAGATCGTGTGTCGCATGGTTATACGACGAGTGCTTGACATCGAGCAAATTGCCCAGCTTGTTCTTTGAAGGTAATTGTCCTAAGCTGAGATCTTCATAGTACTCGCGAGATATTTTACGGCTGACTACTGCACTTTCGTCTGCTGCAGCAAGATATTGCTGGATAAGGACCTCTTTATGATTTATTAGCTTTGCATAAGCATGCTGGATTACCCAGACGTTTCGCAACGTAGGCTGCAAGGCCACGATAGGATCCCCAAAGTTCTGGGGTAGCGTCGGGTTAGCTTCATCGTAGGTGATTAGTTGTGGACGGGGCATGCCGTGGACAGAGTCGCGAAGTTTATAGCTCGGTCTACGACCTAGGAGCGTGCATCCCAACAAGCGGTTCAATTCGCTTCCCGAATTGATACCAGGCAAGTCTTCCAATGACCCCAATTTCGTCTCCACCTCATAGATCGCCTTGGATGCCCTATTTTGAACCGCAAGCATCATATCCTTAAATTCCTTAAGCAACTCGGATTGACGAGACCGAAGTAAGGTACCATCGGATTTAATGGCATGGTCCTGTACTATAGTGCTATTTGACGAGAGCGCTACTTCTACCAATTTGCCGATGCCCTGAAGGAGTACTCCAAGCTGGGATTGAGCTTGATTGGCGGTAATCTGTGATTCCATGCTCTCGATTTGAGATTGAAATGTTAGTTCCGGGAGATATGCTATAGGAGAAACTGCGTGGGGTGAAAAGAGTAGTATTTGCTAACTCTGGGAACCGAAGAAAGTTATGCTCAAATAGTCGAGGATTTAAATACCTATGTATTTGTTATGTTAGAGGCTAAATGATGGGAAGGTCTTGAAATTGTATTCGTCGGGGTCTAAGGAAAGAAGCATATGTGTGGGGTAATTTTCTACAATTTTCTACATGAGACTTGGGGTGACGGGATAGACACCTAAATTCTGCATGATGTATTATACGACATTGCCATGTGCTCGTAGAAAGTTACAACTGTGCGGATCAACCTCTGTATATCACCAGCCACTGTTTATAGATCAAAGGCCTAGATTTGCTTTCAAATTTCTAAGCATCAGCATCGTATCAAACTCACGATATCATACGATTCGTTAATTTATTCACTTAGAAGGTAGGTCTCGTTCGATAAAGAAATTCTTTGTTGTCTAAAAAGAGGGTTAACAAGCTCCTCGTGGGATTCCTTAGGTACCAGTTTAGGTAGGTACGAATCCGGTGTATAGGTGTCGCGGTTGTAATATAATAATTAACATCACGACTCTACTAAACACCATGGGTACCTCTGACTGCAACTCATAAATTAAGGAATATTACTATCAATTATGCCAAGCCTGCGTATTAACACTGTGTAATTGGATATCTGCTGGCTCCCGTGTTACCTATGCGCTTATCTGCTTTCCATATATTCAAATAAATAAATAAATTCCACATAGAAGCCTTCAGGGACCACAAGTATATAGTTGAAATATATAAACGCATGCTTATCACGAGGCAGTTCCTGCCGTCAAAGGTTTCCGACCAACCATTATTCTCGTAGGGTAATAGGCGTGGACATTAGGCGAGCGCATATCGCGTCGTAGATGTGCAGCATAGACTTGGATCTCCGCCGGCGTCCAGCCCATCACCATAGTCCACAAGTAAGTCAAAAATCCTACGAGAGAAGTAAGAATCAATGATAAGATGACTTGAGAAATTTAGGAAACGAGATCATACCTTCGATGTCCTGTCCTACAGCAAGCCCGGTGTACAAGCCAATCTGTTTGAGTTTCTCATCTCGAGGCCACCCACTTAATGCGGTCTACAAACGGAATGTTAACCTGGTAATGCAAATGATAATGCAAATGGAGGTTTTCATGTCGCCTCCCTAGCAGCCTCCCTAGCACGTACCTTGATGTCGGTCTCGTAAGTAATTTCGAAGCCCGCGGCCTCCATCGCTTTCCTTTGCAAGTCATCTTCTATAACGTTGAACGTGCGACCCGTCTTCTTTCCAGCCTCTGAGAATACCTTGCTCCATTGATCGAGAGGGGACCCGTCTTTAACTGTGCCGTCGTCGCTCGTCATCATACACGAAGATTCCTGACTCTCCAAGTATCCGCCGGGTTTTAGGGCCTGGTAGGCTTCTCTAAATAGGGCGTACCAGTCTGGAATAGCACCTACTAGCCAACGTATGTGGATATAGTCGAAGCTATTAGGCTCGTACGTCCACGGCTGTGTTACGTCGTCTACCTCGAATCTCAGGTTAGGCGGGATCCATTGCGGCTGCTGCGGTGAAACGTCGACACCGATCACTTCGGCGTTAGGATATTGATCAGCGAAGTCACTGGATCGTGTTAGCTCGTATGAACTATTGTTAGAAACTCTGAATAGTTACATTGCCCATATCCCTAAGAAAATTGACAGTTAACTGTTAGCTTCCGAGTAAGTAGTCTACCTGTTATATCATATTGTGGAACTCACCAGTACCGCAACCCACGTCTAATACTTTCTATAGTATGTTTAGTGTAAGTCGCAAGACGTCCGCATGATGTGTTTGCTTACTTGAATATCGTCACTAAGAGGAGCAGCAAGTATTTTCCCATCCAGCATTATCGTCGCGATATGATGACTAGAAACTAATGTTGAGCGAATTTATTTTCATATGAATAAAATATATAGGAGCTTACAAGATATCCATGGACTCGTCGTGAATAGCATCGTTGGGGCCCCTTCAATATACATCAGCACCAGCGAGTCTCATATTACCATGCTATAGTGGTTTTTACCAGGATAACGCGTTACCGCGTTCGCTATGGTATGTGCGACCATGAACAGTTCGATACTCGAGGATACTAGCAGTTAACGAGGCGGTCGAGCTGGCGGCATCTTCAAAGGCAGAATCATCATCCTCGCGCACGTTAACAGGCTAGAACGATAATTAATTAATTAATTTCTCTTGTGGCGACTCGAAGCGCGTCCCCAACATACCGGTAGCTGAGCCCAATGCGACGCGGGAAGAATATGAGGATTACTGGTCTGTGATGTCTGAGATTCGGGCGAGGGAGCGTCTGCTGCTGGCGATGCTGCTTGCGATCCCGGTTTGGATGATGTTGCTGGACCAGCGGTAGCACCCGTAGTAGCCGTACCCGATGCTGTCGCCGGTGTCTTGGCAGATGGGTCGGACATGTTGCTAGCTACACGTCGTGCTTCTCCCGACTAGGTTAAATACCTATGTTAATGTTGCCCGTTCGTGTAAGTGAAAAATATTGGGTAACATCCAAGCCTTTAACTCCTAATTATATAAATATGCTCTCAAAATTTTATAATGTTCGAGTCTCGTTTAATTAGGAGAAGAATATGACAGGTTCATTAAAGGAAAATCAAACTTATCTATGTAAAAGCGTAAGGAGATGGGATAAGCCAGTGATATTGTTGGTGGTAAGATGTTTGGTAGCGGGGGAGGGGCCGAACCGGGTATGTGTCTATGCTGGCTACGACTTACAGGGGAAGCTCTTACATACCTAGTACCCAGCTCTACTATGTATGCATTACGACATATTTGATTTTACCTATATACTGGGATCCCAATAGAGAAGCCCATTGAGTTGTTGATTGATACGTAATATGCACGTTGGGCATAAGGGCCGACGAATTATGCGTGTTAGTTACATCGATGATGTCTAGATGTACAGACAGCTGAGATCAAAGACTCTTGAGTTGGAGATTGGAGAAGACGGCCGGTCTGCCCCCCTCTCCTTAGGATTCCACTGGAGTCCCAAGTAGGCCAAGCCAGTATCTACCAGCTCTTTCCGAGTGGTCTGACGGTATCTCCCACATAGTAATTGCCTTCTCCCATTGGAGCACATGGTTATGTCGACAAGCTTTCTCACGAGAGAACTGTATGCCATGCCACGTTGTGCTTGTTATGTTCTAATACCGAAATCGAACTATCCCTGCCATAATCGTCAGAGAAGAATCCTCGATGATTCGCGGGTCGTACAGGATGGCCAATCTCGAAGATCTCTTTAAGATTTCCCTGTTGACCTCGGCCGCTACTACTTTAGTTCGCATATAATTGCCATGGATTACCCAAGGAAGCATTAAAACAAACAACTTATCTCTTTAACTCTCTCCCACGTAGACCTGTGTATATACCTGCATTAGGTATGTATAGAACGCGGTTGGATGGAGATAAAAAGACACGCACACCGCCTCGAGAAAACGTCGAACACGGCTGCGTCGCCTGGTCGTACATGTGTATCTCGACCGCATATATCTAGATGTAGGTAGTTACTAAAAAGTCTATTGTTGCTGTTCCTAGTTCCACTTAAAGACCGAACTTTTAGTTAGGTAGTATGGAATGTTTCTTATGGGGCCGATTTGTTCTATTGCATGGGACGGCCCGGCTCGTCGGCATCAGGTGGGTTTTTTTTAGGGAGTTAACTTTTGAAGTTGTTTGCTATATGTTCTAGATGTTCTACCAAAAGTAGTGGCGCATTTAGTACGATATTATACCGTTGAGGCGTCCCCTCCCCTACCCCCTTCTTGTCGGTCCTTTCCCCCTTAATAACGAACGGCTTTCGGTCTGGTCTTTGGCGCGCATAATACATACATGCGTAGCGTATCTAGACATGTGTGACATACCAGCTATGTCGGATCTGCTGAATTTTCAAGTTACCCTTCGATTGATTGAGGTTTGACGTGAAGGGCTAGTCAAATAAGATGTTGTGAAAAGTAAGAGCCAATGTAAAATATAACCTAGTTAAGCAAAAATAAAAACAAGCAAAAAGAAATGCCCACTACTGGAGTCGAACCAGTCATCTCCTCATAGCTTCCTTAGTAGTATTTTAAACAATACTAGTGAGGCGCATTACCGCTGTGCCAAGCGGGCTGTGGTGATTTGCCTGCTAAAAGGCTATTCTATAGGAAGATTTTGCTTAGGGCACTGCCCCACAAATACATACATGGAGCTGATGGTCTACATGAGCTTACCCGTCTACCTCCTATGTAAGCATTAAACTTCAAAGACAATATCTTATTGTCCATTCATGTTATTATTATTATGATTACTGAAAACTATCCACTATACAAGTCTATTCCGATCTGAGAGGCTTACTGTATGGAGCCGCATCCAGATCTACCTACATATGTATGTATAGTAGATCCCGAAGCGTATATCAACTGCTGCCTTAAGAGGTCGTTGTAGTTTCTTGGAGACGTTGCTTCAGAGTATTTTATTGTATAAAGCTCTAATATAATAGTTCATATGCTTTAAAGGGTAATGTTCTATTCGGAATTAAAAGCCCTACCCTATTTTGTCTCGCACATGTCGGAAAGACTAACATTATGGTAAAATGAAATTTTAAGCTTACTTCACTTATCTAGCTAGTAAATTAATTGGTTAATCGATGAGATATATATATTTACTTAGGATATTCTAAAGCTCAAGTGCTGTCGCGACTTTGTTACCAAGACCCATAGGTGAGAACACGGTTATTCACATCATTAAAAAGGGCATCCGGTCCATCTGCTAGCCTTGATTCTTTCGGCATCGGCTTCCACCTCTTGAATCCCTAGACCCATGCGGTTCTTAGGGCCTATGTCTGAAAACAAATATCCTTGCGGCATATATTCTTCCGGGTTGTCTCCTGGTACCTTACCGCCGTATAGCCAGATAGCCCAGGCCACAGGTCCCCAACGGTTCCATAGCGTCGGTTTGATGTAGAAGGGATAGTTACCGTATGGTATAGGCTGCGCGATGCGGCCCGTATTTGGATCAGGGTCGCCTAACCGTTTAAGCTCGAAGAAGCGCGGCAACATTAGGTATCGCAAGACGAAACGTCGAAGCGTGAGAAGAGAGTATACGGTAGCGACGGCCGTGATATCGGGCTCGGGTAACCTGCCAAGAGAGCAAATCGGTTAACTATAGATGCATGATACCGAAAAGGGGAAAATAAGATATGACAGGTGTGTGACTTAAACGCTACTATATTATAGTGTAGCACAGTAAGAAAGTAGGGGGTCAACTTACATAAATGCCTCGCGCACTCTCCCACCGAGAAGGCCAATCACGATGTCGGCTACAAAAGGCTTCGCGAACCATGGCACCCAATATGTTATCATAGGTATTAATGCTCGGGCGGGCTTGGCGGACACGGGACTAGGCTTCATAACTTGAACCTCGTAAGCCTGAGCCCAAGCTGCAACGTCATCGGCGAACTCGATACCGTCACGCCATCCCGATTCAGCGTGTGCCAGGAGACCTTTGTACTCGATACCCATAGCGTCGCCTACCGACTTCCAAAAGACGCCGTATGCACAGTATTCCATATCGTTCATAGGTCGCCATTCGTACAGGCGTGCGAAGCGTGGCGGTTCTAATATGAACACAGATAGAGTGTACAGCAGATCTGTGTTAGAGATAGTCCCCTCCTTGACGTACTTGCTGTGAAGGAAGTTCATCCGGGCCAACCCTTTCATAGCTCGCTCCGATGTTGGCGGGTTTAGCATGAACTCGCCGATTAAAGCTGATGTATCCTCGAATCTGCAAACTACTATTTAGCGACATTTCATTCTATATGTATAGTATATGCCCCTTTCTGCTACAAAGTTGTACGATGTACTCAATGATAACAGGTATATACCCGATCGTCGTATCGAGTCCACTTTCATTTAGGAATATCAAATAATTCTTACCGTTTGAGGCTCATAACCGGATCTGTCAAGTTTCTCGTGCCAAGAAGTAAACGACTTATGCTTTCGACACCGTACGTCTAGTAGACCACCGTCCTAGCGTCAGCAAAGCATCACCAAAAAAAGGGAAGAACGGGACAAAAATGAGGCATCTCATCTCGTCTCAGTGATTCCCAACTAAAATCAGTCACATAACTCACCTTGAAGAGCCCAAATTCCAAAGCCAAGAAGTGTAAGAGCGGCATCTCCCACGTAGCCATGAACCTGATGACCTGCTGGGCTTCAACAGCTGTCATGCGTGAGAACGAGGAGCGGTCGGTATATCCAAGCTTTCGGCGTAGAGCATGCTCGCGGCGGTAGCGTAACGCTCTGCATAACCCTACGTATATGAGAACGCCAGGTATGATAAGCTGTTTCCAAGATATCGATGACAGAATCGCCGAGAGCGGTAGCGGAATAACAGCTACCGCTTCGGAAAGGTTAGGTATTGATAAATTCATTGATGAATATGTGTTACTTGCTTCTTTTAGGAGGTATTCATAGTTTAGTTTCACTTATCAAAATATTATCAGGAAGAATACAAGGTTGAGTCTAATAGCAGACACCTAAGCTTTAAACACATATACTTTAGTCAATATATGGAAATGGAGGGTATTAAGTAAATAGTCGAAAGTGCGACGATCATTAGGGGGTACTTTTAAAGGCCTAGAAGCCAACTTTAACCCCACTGAATCATGTATGGTTCTTTATAATTACAGTAGTGTATACTACCTGGGTGCCTAGTTAAGGTTAATAACATCCTATCATTGTCTCTCATTACACATCTTCTATGCCCACTACTATGTAAGCTCGGGCTAATAGATCTGATCTAAGTGAGTATCATGGATTTATAATCCACTTTTCTGTTAACAGTGGGTAAGGGTAGATCGTCAGATCAGGAATATGCATTATTTCGGCAAAATTTTATCATGTACTACTGTGATTATGCTACCTAATGTAGTGTAAAGTCCGTACGCGTAGTGACTTGCTGGAGCTATTAATTATTTATGGGCTGTATGTTGTGTAGCTCATATGCTAGTGTCTCGAGTTTACTTTCCTACATTGGATAATTTGGCCGAGATGCTATTATCCCTGGGTCTAGCAATGCTCATAAGAAGATTGACGAACTAAGCATCAAAACTTCTGATCATAAGCCTGCTTCTGCTTGGTGATCACCGCCTATGCTAAGCTACTTACACTGATATCCACTGATAAAGTGGTAATACGTTGGCGAAGCTTTAATATACCGGAGCGTTTCTATGCCCGATTTTATTCCATATTACTTATTTCTCGTTGCGAGAATCGTTCATGCTTTCTTCGCTTTCTCCGCCCTCGCCTTCTTCCAGGCCTTGATCTGGTTCAACAGGCCAATAACCAGAGGCACCCCTACAGGGCCTAGCAGCGGCAGATAAACAGCAATCTTGTGCTCGTCGGGGAAATAAAGCTGTCCTACCATACTCTTCTCGAAAAATGCGCGCTCGGCCTCCACGTCAGCAATGCGAGCATGCTCAAGCCCGTCAGTTCCACCAAGGCCGGAACATGCGAGTTGTAGGTGATACATAGACTCAGCCACGCCGTCAGCGACACTGGAAGGGATAGATATGCTCGGCAGAGCCAATGAGAGACGAGCCAGCGATCCTAGAGAAGAGGAAGCACGCAAAAGCAAGTCTGCAGATCGGATGCGCGTGAGCGTCGACAGTCGCATAGGTAAGGATCCCGATTGTGGTGTGCCGAGGAGCGAAAGTAGATGCGAGGCGAATGTTAGGATAGGTTGTTTTAATATCCCTGAAGATACATGATTTGTTGAAGGGGGTGGTAAAAGATATACGGAGCCCCATTGCGGTATAAGCCAAGATTGGGAAGTGCCAACCTCCGAGGCGGTTCCGATGGTTTGGTTGCCGATGAATACAACGAAATTGACCGTTGGAGCACCTCCTATAGAGGGCGACAGGGGCCATTCGGCAGCATTGATGAAAGAAGACAGATCTTCTTTGCTTAGTACTTGCGATTGCACACCGGGAGCGGCGTACAGCTGAACTTGGGTATCGATGGTAAAGTTATGGATAGGGCCGAGTAAATCCAATATCGGTTTCATATATTCGTCTATGGCAGACTCGATGTCCCAGCTGCTTGGAGATGGTCCGCTTGTGAATAACGAGAATGTGAGATGGTAGGTCCGAGAGTATTTTAGGGATCTCGTCATTCGCTTGGCTAAAGAGTCGGTCGAGTCTTGAGAGGCTTCTAGAGGCCGTTGTTCGAAGGGTGTGGAAGACTTTGCTAAGAGATATGACATAACTTCCCGCTCTTCGGAAAAGGCTAATCGAAGCTGCGTTGCTAAGTATGTCGCAAAGCCAGAAGAAGCAGCATCGGATGCTGGTATCGAGTTTGGAGGATAGGTGATTTCGAGGATGGGCGCTTGAGGATGGAGGGAGGATGTAGCGGCCTCGCCAGGACTTAGTCGTACCGTGAGAGCAATATCCGAGTCGTGGATTAGACGTGTACTAGTTAGTGGAGATACTTCAAGTTGTATATGATGTCCTTTAAAGTCGTTATTAGACTCTAGAGCTTGCTGTGTAATGCGCACGAGATTATCGGTCTCTTCTTTCTGTAATGTCGGCGCATCGATTGCGATTTTAATCGGGAATACTGGACTGCAGGCCTTAGAATAGAGATAAATTAGTTAATAACATAGGTATCTACTAGAGATTTATGAAGGTCGCTCTAACCCTGCCGTCGGCCCAATCCATCATTTGGTTTAGGGGTAGATCTGCCCGATATATCGTCGTTGTCTTCCACCATATTGGTAACCCTAAGAATAATACAATAAACCAGAATGATGCGACAATATAGGACCGTCTGTGAATATCTTCTGGCTTCTCCGGTGGTGGCTGCTTTCGCGTCAATGGTGGGTTTGCGCCATCATTTATCTTAGAACGGCCGCTATCAATCGTTACGGCCGGTTTAGTTTCGGATGAGATACCATCGTGTCGGGTTGTGGAAACGGACGACGACATGGCTACGTATATTAACGGGATTATCTTCTCGAAATCATGACTTTGGGGTTTAATTGCGTCGTTGGTGCGGGATCAAAGGTGCCAACGTGTCGCAAAATGACAAGTTCCAAATGTATCCAAAGTAGAAATGATAGCGGAAGCTTTCCGATGCTGCTTTCCCCATTGAATATTCAACCAGCTCCACCTTCGTTGTCTTCTTTATATGACTAAGAGTGACTTTACTGATAACTCGTTTATTATGCCTAAATACAGTATAGTCAATAAATATGCTCATATGCGAATCATAATAATCTTGTCTCGACTCATCTGAGGTCGTGTTCTAATCCTAGAAAATCCACCCATTTATAGTCACTAATTTATTAACCCTCATTAGTTTAGTCCTTGGATAGTATTCAGCAACCCATACGAAATAGGATAATCGCTAGCAGTGTTAACTTCTATTTGTAGCTTAAGTAAAGTCATATCAATAACTTTTTCCTCCTAGAATATATTTGAACCTGGTTAAAGGTCGCTTAGTGCTTCCCATCCCAAGCGGACGAGATCCGATATACGACATAAATGCATTGCCATGTTTCGTTTATGGATACAGGTCCTCGATTTTGAATTTGCTCTAGAGCCTCGGCCAAGCAGGCCCCGTCCAGCATCCAACGTGTCTACGTTGCAAGCCGAGGTTCACAAGTTACGAGGGGTAGTTTACAACTTACGGATCAGCCAATGTGTATGACACAACTCCTTACGCACTTCTAAAGTATGAGTGGCTATCTATGTAAAAATAATGGGTTAGAGCGTATATACATATATTCGAAGGAATGGAAAATACATAAGCTGGACACTAATATTAGCTCGCTTGTACACCCGAGATCACATCCCATGTCCCATATCCCGGGTATCCGAAAAGCGGTGATAATGCGGATCAGGGATCATTAGTCTGCGGGAAGCTTCTCAAAACGAGCCACCTCGGCCCACCGATGTACGGATGATATTGGCAAACTACCTAATAGTAGGTTAAGCTGATACTTCCTAGTCTTCGCCATGCCTTATGTGCCGTTTTATTTATTTGCTTTACTTCCCTGACTGTACATAGTTACTTTTTCTCTCTTCCATTTCATGTACAGGTCACGGTTTCTTTTTTTTGTTGCGTTGCTATCCTACGCACCTGCTAAATATTCATAGTCTTATCAATGCTTCGTTTCTCCTGTATATTTAATTACTTAGTAGCTGAAAACTTTGTATCTACGATGCGTTTTACTTCTTTAGCCTAGTTACCCGATTCTAGACATACATATCTCTAGGAATCAACATAATAAGCTAATTTACCGAAACTGAAATATGCCGAGTAAGTCCCAAATACAAACGCAGTCTCTAGAAAGGCGGAGTTGGGTTAGGTGCCTGTTATACACCAAACTTGGCTTACACAGTCCTCCAAATCTGCTTTTTCCCCCAGTACCTACATACTGATCCCCCTTATAGTTTCTTTAGCGCTTTCCCTGCCGGCGGCAGCGGCGGGGTTTGCATATATCAATGCTAAGACAGGATTATGGTATGACAGAGCTATGCTACGCGGAACTCTGCCGGCCATCTTTCGCTTCATCAACCGGGAACGAAAGGATCGGTGCAATACATTTTACACCCTAGAAGAAACCGCAAAAAGCAAGTCGACTAGTAACCGGCCGTTTATCCGCTTCCAGGACAAGTCATGGACGTACGCCGAGGTCTACGAGATGGCGCTGAAGTACGGAAACTGGTTCAAGACGAAGTTTGGTATCAAATCCAAGGATATCGTCGCCGTCGATCTTCAAAATTCGGACCACTTCATATTCATCTGCTTCGGCTTGTGGTCTATCGGCGCAAAGCCGGCGTATATCAACTACAACTTAACCGGCCAACCCTTGGTTCACTGCGTCAATACGGCTAATTCTGTCCTCATGTTGGTCGATCCAGAGGTTGCGACGAATGTCGATGACAGCGTCCGTGAGAAGCTGGGAGGTCTGCGAATAGAGTTCTTAACCGAGGAGGCAAAGGCTGAGGTCCTTACTACCAAGCCAGTACGACCGCCCGACTCTCTCCGCTCTGGCGAAGTGTCTAAAGATATAGCTATTCTCATTTATACTTCTGGTACTACGGGGCTACCGAAAGCCGCTATCGTGTCCTGGAAAAAGATGACCTTGGCAGGATCTTTCGTTGGTGGCTTCTTGGGGACGAAAGTATCCGACGTATTCTATACGGTATGACTCACCTCCTAATATCCCACAGCATAATAATCTAATCCATTATAGTGTATGCCCCTTTATCACGGCTCGGCTACTATTATGGGTATGAGCCATTGCCTGGAAAGCGGCTGCACTTTTGCGATCGGTAAAAAGTTTTCAACCAAGACGTTTTGGAATGAAGCGCGCCAGTACGATGCAACCATGATTCAATACGTAGGGGAGACATGTCGTTACTTGCTCGCAGCACAGCCACAGATCGACCCAGACACAGGCGAGAACATGGATAAGAAGCACAATATCCGTATAGCGTTCGGCAACGGTCTACGACCAGATATCTGGGAGAAGTTCAGAGAGAGGTTCAATATTGAAAGCGTCGCCGAGTTTTACGCAGCTACGGAGGGCAATCTAGCGACGTGGAACCTTTCCCGTAACGATTTTGCGACTGGAGCCATCGGGCGTTTCGGGATCCTCTACCGACAGATTGCCAAACTTACATCTGCAATTGTAAGGCAAGATCTCGATACAGATAGTCCTTGGCGCGACCCCAAGACCGGTCTCTGCCGACATGTGAACCCCGGCGAAATCGGCGAACTTCTCATGGCGTTGCCAGCCGATACGCAAAAGGAATTTCAAGGATATTACAATAACCATGAGGCGACGGAGAAAAAGATTCTTCGGGACGTTTTTAAGAAGGGCGACGGATATTTTAGGACGGGCGATCTTGTCAGTTTAGACAGCGAAGGTCGTATGTTCTTCCACGACAGAATCGGTGACACGTTTCGCTGGAAGAGCGAGAATGTGGCGACGACAGAAGTGAGCGAAGCATTGGGTACGCACCCAGCGGTACAGGAGGCCAACGTGTACGGCGTGCAACTACCGAATCACGACGGAAGGGCTGGATGCGCCGCACTCAAGTTAACCCAGGAAGTATTTGATGATGCTCTACTACGGTCGTTGGCGGCGCACGCGCGTGACAAACTTCCCAAGTATGCCGTGCCGATATTCTTGAGAATAGGAAAGGGGCTTACGGCGGCGGTTACGGGCACGAATAAACAGCAGAAACACGGACTACGTGAACAGGGTGTTAACCCAGCCCTAGTTGGTGACGATGAGCTATTTTGGCTCAAAGATGGAACGTATGTAAAATTCGGCAACAGTGACTGGAATCGGTTGAATGCTGGCCAGGTGAAGCTTTGAATTTGATATTCAAAGGGTTAATCTGGTTGGAATACGGCGATGATTTTACGAGATATGATATACAGACAGACCGATAGGACAGATAATATTAGATATGAAGATTGTAGGCGTCTAGAAAAAATATGATGAGAGGTTATATCTCTTTGGACAGTTGCTAAGAGATACCTTCATACTTTATGTATATAGGTCTCCTATTAATAGGTCTCCTAATAGGTCTATGCTGATAGGTCACAGTTACATAACTGCATACGGTACGTACCTAGGTGCACTCTACATGCATCCACTAATAAGACGCTAATGCATGCATAGAACTACCCGCTGCCCACGTTGTAGAATAGAAGTTGACCCCTCCTACCCTCTGCCCCTCCAAAGATTAAAGAAAAGCAAATAATAAAATAAAATTTTACATTTTACATTTTAACTCTTGTTCAAATAATTTACCAAGTCCCCCTTTTCTTCTCGCCATGTCATCTGAACTAAGTGCACCTCCTATCCTTTCGACACCCGCAGAACATACGTTTACTGATGACCCAACACCGTCTTCTGCGATTTCTCAAACGAAGCGCCCTCATAGACCCGATCATGAGCTTTACGAAGTTTACGAGATCGCCCGGACAGCCGCTGAGATCCGACAGAATGGCTGGAAACGAATCGCCCTTCAGTTCCCCGATGCTATGCTACCAGATGCGCCTTGGGTTGTCAGCGCGCTAAGTTCAGAGCTAGAAAAAGACCAAACCGAAGTACAAGATCAGAGCCGGCGTTTATATATCCTGGCGGATACGTCATATAGTGCCTGCTGCGTTGATGAGATCGCAGCGGAACATGCGAACGCCGACGGAGTGGTACATTATGGCCGCGCATGCCTAAGTCCAACCTCAAGGCTACCTGTTATACATATATTCACAAAACAGACGCTAGACTACGATGCCATAGCTGAGACGTTCGAAAAGGAGTTCCCAGAGAAGGCAGCTAAGGTGGTGTTAATGGCGGATGTCATGTTTCAAGAACATGTTGGTCCTATAAATCAGCTCTTAAAGGAAAGGGGGTATACCAACCTTATCGCGACCGAAATATTGCGAGATCCGACTGGAGCAATACCAAACCGCAAACTTGTAACTCCTGATGCTTCTACTAATTTGAACGAGTACCACCTATTTCATATTTCAACTCCTCCTACCTCTCTCCTCTTAACTCTATCCTCTCGCCTCGCCTCTTTGAGGATATATTCGACACCCTCATCACCTTATACTACGACGTCTACACCTCCTGACCCCAGCGCCACTCCTGGTTTACTCCGCCGCCGCTACGCTCTAGTTATCCGGTTTGCCACGGCATCCATTATTGGAATTTTAGTCAACACGCTTTCCGTAAAGAACTATATGTCTACCATATCTACACTCAAAAGCCAGATTGCGGCTGCCGGCAAGAAGAGCTATACTATTGTCGTTGGCAAGTTGAACGCCGCGAAGCTGGCTAACTTCGCCGAGGTGGACGGCTGGGTTGTCGTTGGGTGTTGGGAGAGCGGGTTGGTCGAGCAAGAAGGCCTTTGGAAGCCCGTTATCACACCCTTTGAGCTTGGTCTTGCGCTACAGGGTGACGAAAGCAGAGTTTGGACAGGCGAGTGGTGGGGTGGTATTGAAGGCGTCAAAGACTCCCTGGTTACCAACGGGAACGATGAGAAATCGCCCAAACAAGAAGATATGGTCAAGTTAGTACCCGAACAAGTTGAAGGGGGTGTAGAGGACGAAGAGTCGGAACCTCCCGAGTTCGATCTCCGTACTGGCAAACTCGTTAGCCATAGCCGACCGATGAGGGTCGCTATCCGAAGCGCACCACGAGGCGGGCCTGAAATTGAAGTCGCCAGTCTAAGCTCTAACCAAGGAACTACGAGCTCGGCAATCACCAAACGAGCTGTAGGGGATGTAGCCTTAGTAAACGGTGTTGCAAGTCCAGGAGCGGAATTCTTAAGGTCGCAGAGAACCTGGCAGGGTTTAGGTACAGACTTCGGTATCGAGAACGATGAGGAGGAGGAGAGTACTGTGGTTGAGGAGGGACGGAGCGGAGTCGCAAGGGGATATACTGTGGGCCAGGATCAGTTACGGGCGTGAAATGCCTCTTTACTAGTGGTATTAAATGAGGCCACAGCGGGAACAAACGATATTTTAGTCCCTCCGTGAGGATAAAACAACGCTCTGTGATAGCGAGTTCCTATAACGGTAAAAAGGATCGGTAGGAAGATTTGAGCAAATGTCTCCCTTTCAAGGACGTCGGTTCAGAGTTAGGGGCCAGCACGGATATTCTATCCCTCGCAACCAAAAGGCAACACTACGCGTCCCCATCGACGCCTATTGCTACATAATGCGAACCATACGCTCCCATATTAAGTGGAAATGGACACTTTTATTGAGCATATAATATGGATGTCTAACGCGACGAGCGACTCGAGCCCATAGGGGTTGTGATGTCTACCTAGGAACATATCACACTCTGGGTCATATTGTGGGCGATATACCTATGACTTCTAACATCTGCAATATACATATGTACTTCTCAGTCTATAAAGTACATACCTTACAGTGTCAGGCTAAACCCTGGTTTTCTTGCAACGTTGGATACGAAATTTAACTAATTGCAACCTATATTCAGACCAATTCATATTACGCTTATATAAAAATAGCATACTTTGCTAAAACGCATCAGTAAGGAATAGGGATGACATTACAAGAAATCCAAATATCATGGTCATCTCACTTGTGTTATATCATTACATCAATAACGGATGTACGACGTATATTAAACTAATTAACAACAAGCCACCGCGGCTCATAAAGCGTTTAGACACATAACATACATTAGGTACCTCACTCCAGCGTCGTAGAAACGAAATCAGTCATCATCGTTAAACTCATCATCATTGAGAATCGAAATAGGCATATGCGACCGCGTCTGCTTCTATCGAATACTCATCTCATCTCATCTCAAGTATTACGTCGTGTCGGATCGGATCGAATCTATTCCCTTTCCCAACTCATTTTAACCCACATTAAATCAAATCAGTCGTTCCGAATATCTGGTTATGGTGAGAAAATGTCGATTCCTCTCTACGGATCCGCGTTCCCGAATCGTATCATTCTCATTCATACAAACACCTCTATACGCGCCAGGTATATAACAACAAGTCCACCCCCCTATACATAGGTGCGGCGGTGTGAGTGTGTGCTATGTCTGCTATGAGGGCTGCGACTGCTGCGGTGGCCGTGGCGGTGACTGTGCGTCTCGCGGTAGTACGATGTGCGGTCAGAGGTGCCTGTGCGATCGCCGTGCAGACACGCGAGAATGCTAGTAATGAAGAAGAAGACGCAATTCATAATGCCGAACGCGAAGGAGGCCTTGAGCATAGCGCACGTCTTGTCAACGTTAGTGTCCCAGTTGGTAACGGAAGCGCTACCGAAAGGACCGAAGCTGACGTCGTAGGGGTCACCGCGCGTAATATGGGTGCAGTCGGCAGTGGCAATCATGCGTAACGTCCACACCGCTCCGATAAAAGCCCCCACAAACAGAAGGTCGAAGACGGCGACGAAGGTCGCATTGGCGGACGAGCGGTGGTAGCTAAACAGCGTGTAGATAGACCATGCCAAGGCTAGTACCGACACGATAAAGAGTACTAGGATATAGTTGGGCGTGAGCTGATTTAGCTGCACGTAGCCGTTGACGAAATATGCCAACATGCCCATCGTCGGGATCTTTTCGAGGGAGTTATCGTTAGTACTAATACTAACATTTTTCTCTCGAGAAAAAGAGAAGGACTTACCAGTGTAATGATCTGCATGAATCGCCAAAAGGCGAAGAAGATAGCGAATAACATTTTGCCGGTTCTTCAAGCGTGTGCGATCTGAATATAAGGGGGGCAAATAGTTATGCGCATGCAAGTAGAAGGCTTGCGACTAAGAAGAAGGCGACGGGAAGGTGAAAATATGATGGCGAGAGAAGGTATTTGAGGTAAGGACGGAGAAAAGCAAATTTAAAAAAAAAACAGGTTAAAGAAACAAGTTAAGACGACGGTAAGCTGAAGCTCGAGTTTAGGGATGGGATTGGCTGCACGCCAAGAGCTGCAAAGCAAGGCGGCTGGTAAAGTTATGGACTGGGATTTCACCGTCTCGGGATCTTATGCGCCTTTTTAGTGGTTTTAGTGGTAAATCTGCAAACTTCGATACCAGGTACGGAGAGCGTTGATGTGGTATTGGAGATCTTAGGTAGGTCAACTAATCTCTACCAATACGATATTAAGACAGGGAGATGCTGAGATGGAGCCGGATGATTTTATGACGCGTTTTAATATGTCGCAATCCATCCAGTTAATTCAAACGGAATACAAGTATGATAAACAAATGTAGTTACCTAACGTTTAACTTGAGTTATGTTAGGAGGTATTTATATATGACCTCGTTGTCGCTATTTGTACTTGTTATATGTACTAGATCAAAGATGGGCATAAGAGTAAAACGAATTGCGGGGTTCATTATACGAGATTATGAACACCTATGACGTCGGGAGAGATCAACTCAACCGGGGAGATTTAAGTGATACACAGCTTAGAAGGCTGTAATCATCCTGGGTTAGGTGTTTTACACCTAGATAATCTGCAATTGAAGATTACCTAGGAGTGAATATCTAGTATACCTGGTATATAAAATAAATATCATTTTCTCTTAGAATCCTGAATCTTTAAGTCTAGACCGATAAAAGTAGCGGGGTTGGGAACTTTCTGATCTGAGGTGGCTGGTCAAGAAATAGGTATTCCAAGATTCCGAGGTTGTCGCAAACTGGTCCGTGCATTGTGAGCTTCCCCCTAATTCTAATAGTTATACTATATTCGACAGTAATGTCAACTGGATCTTCAAAAATAAATTCAGGACATTCTTGTAAATTCTAGAAATATCCTTGTAATTATGACAGCGCTTTAGTTAGTTATCGCAAACCCTTAAATTTAGCTCAAGGACTCTCTATACGTGAGTTTTTGCTGTTATGAGTAGACCACTTAATGCTGGAGTTCAATAAGAATAGATACCCTAAACCGATTTATTTTGGGAACTTCGTTGTTATAAAGCAAGCAAGGAGTTAGAATACAGCTCGGCTTGAGCATAACAAACTGTAACTTAGCTAGGATTCCTCGTTAAAGATGCTGAAACCCCGTATCTCTTTCCATCTTGTAGCTGAAGCAAAGGTCCTCATAACTAAGACTACGACGGGAATGTAATTTTCTCGGGGTAAGTTCTTTGAGGTTGGCTTTGTGGCTACGTTGTGTATATCCTTGCTTCTTGCTACACTGGTGCCGATCACTCATAGCTTTTCACTTAACTAGGTCCAAAATCTAATCATCTTCGCATTCTAGCCTAGCTCAAGCAGGATCCCTTTCTTGTTTTGGTGGGGATTAGAAGCCTCAAATCCCAAGTTTGATAGTAGGTTATTGTCAGGGTATAAGTAGGTTAATGGTAGTTACAGGGGCAGATCTATTACATAGGTAAGGGTCGCGTAGCGCCATCGTATAAGAGTAGAAGACAAGTGTTGCTAGTTCTACCTATCTATCCTGGCAATTACTCTATGTATGACGTTTATCAAGGGTACAATATTTGGTGGTTATAAGAATACATATCACTATTCTGAGTGCCTATTTTCGCTTTACGGACCGAAATACAGCCTTCGAGAGTTATCCTATGTATATTATGGCTAGGATAATATTGAGTTCTTCATCTACTTCATTATGTCAAAGTATACAATATAAAAACAACTTTATGGTCTCAAATGGTTGAAGTGGGATCTTAAGGAGCTTCGAATCAACTATCATGTTCCTACTTATCGGAATCTCAAAAGATTCCAATTAACAGCTTAGTTACGAACCCTCTAGGATAATATGACCAGAACTAGAATTCACAGTACCCCTTTATGCATCTACACGTGTTTCTTGTAGTGGTGCAGAGCATAGGCTTACTCGTAGTATGGGTCGGAATAGTACTCGGCATATTTCCTATTCGAGCTGCTTTACCTGGATATGGTTGGTTGAGAATATTTTCTAAACGACCAGGTGCAACACCGTGATCCGTGCTACTTTAAGTGCTGGGATAATAACTCCGCTCAATCACTTTTTGAACTGTTGCTAAACGGCTGCCTAATATCAAGTTTACTGGTATTATGAATCTACGTAATATGCATAGTTGCATATGACGGGCTCCGCGGCGCCCACGATCGTCGTTTTGGTGTAGCTTTCTGGCCTGATGGCGATATCCTAATTCTTATAACACTCGACGACAAGAGAGAATTGGTACTTCATTCTCTTCATTGATACCACGCCGTTACTATTATTATTAAATGGAGAATCCGGAAAAGTTAGTGGCTCCGGCCGCTGATGCGCTCCTCACTGACTCTTCGCCTTCTGATCTTGAACACGCAAGCCACAATGGCAATACTCCTGAGCCGTTGGTGCAAGATAATGGCTCGCGGAGGAAGCCACTTGCCTTCCATATGTCGTTTCTAACTATCAATATCATGTGCTTTCTCGTTTCAATAGACGCTACGATCCTTGCTGTCGCGATACCGGTATGACATTTTGTCTTGATCATAGTTGACTTTGAAATGCCTAATGATAGTCTAGGTCATAGCTCACGAGCTTAAGGGAACTACGCTGGAGGCTTTCTGGGCCAGCATAGCATTTTTGCTTGCGGTATGCGTCGTCCAACCAATATATACCAGCGTATCCAATGTTATCGGCCGCGCGATGCCTCTTTACTCATCCTTCCTCTTCTTCATCGTTGGCTCTATAATATTCGCAGTGTCACGAAGCATGAGCGTCTTGATTACCGGGCGTGTTATTCAAGGGTTCGGGGCTGGAGGTCTGGACGTGCTGTGCGAAATCATCCTCGCTGATATCACGACCCTGAAGGAACGTCCAAAGTACATCGGATACTTGTCTATTCCGATGCTAGGAGGCACAATTCTCGGTCCCATCCTTGGAGGTGTCTTCAGCCAATTCGTAACATGGCGGTGGATTGGGTGGATCAATCTTCCTCTATCAGCTATAGGTCTTCTCCTGGCGGTGCTTTTCCTAAGTCTCAAACCTATCAATCTAACATTCCGGGAGAAGATGCGTCGGCTTGACTGGGGTGGTATGGCTTTATTTACCATCGGATGCACGTTGTTTGCGTCGCCGGTTGCCTGGGCCGGTGCCATGTTCCCGTGGTCCTCCTATAAGACTTTGATTCCGCTGTGCTTGGGCGCTGTAGTGTTAGGCATATTTGTTTGGTATGAATCACGACCAGTCGAGCCCGTCTTTCCATATCGAATCTTTAAGAGCCTCACAGCGTCTATGGCACTCTTCACGACCTTCTTCCATGGCATGGTTACTTACAGTGTTGTCATGTATACCCCATTGTTCTTCCAGGCCGTATATTTGGACAGCCCGTTACAATCTGCCGTCATCTGTCTACCACTTTGCTGCATCTCTGCCGGCTTCGGTCTGTTCTCAGCTATAGCAGTGGAAATAATTCGCAAGTACCGCCTGCTTATCTGGACTAACTGGATCCTGACCGCGGTCGGCGTGGGAATTTTCAGCCTCTTAGACCGTTCTTCCACCCTTGCGGATAAAGCCTCCCTTCAGGTCCCCCTCGCCATAGGGATGGGCAGCCTGTTTGCACTCTTGAACCTTCCCCTGCAGGCTAGTTTGCCGAATGCAGACGACATGGGTCTTGCCGCCGGAATTCTAGTCTCTTTTCGACTCTTTGGCGGGCTTATCGGGTTGGCCATATGCTCTACAGTGTTCAACAACGTTTTCGTGTCTCAAATTGACTTGCTCGGGCCCTTGCCGGGTGACCTGGCTATCTTGAACGATGTACGGGAGGCGGTCGGTCTCGTACCTCTTTTGAGGGATTTAAATATGCCGATCGAGTTATTGGATAAAGTTATTGAGGCGTATAGGATATCAATCTCTGCCGTGTTTTGGACGCTTGCAGGAACGGCTGGGGTAGGATTCTTGCTTTCTCTCTTAATTAAAGAGAAGTCGTTGGAGAGCGAAGAGTTAGGAAAGCAGCAACTAGAAGAAAAATGATAATAGAACCCCTTAATAACTAACTCATGTGCTTGGATTTCTTACCCTCCCTAATATTGCGTGACTGCGATATTATATTGGCCTCGAGTACCTAAAAAGTGCATGTGAACTTTATATAATCTGTACTTGATAGGACCAATACTGTTTTGTCTTCATGCCAAGTTATCTTAGGTATCTACTTTTGGTATGTATGATAAACGATATGTGAGTCTATTTAACTTGCAGACATTGTTGGTTACCTAGGGCGAAACTATCCACCAATTGGCGGTAAATTGTTGAGCTGAAAGCTCCCCTACATTAACTAGGCCATGTCGCTCTTCATTTCGCCGTTGGCTATCCTCTAACTACTACGCACCAAATTTCTAAGGCAGTTGTTATGGAATGCCAAAACCAGACAGAAGCAGGCTCTCAGCAACAGGAGAAGCCTCTCTTAATAACTTCGTCGTTGCTCGGCCTCCCTCCTTACGTGCTTGATCCCCAAGACCTCCCAAATTCATTCGATCCGTTTCCTGGAAAGGTTGGCAGCCAATTTCGGCAAGTCGACGAAGACACGCTGGTCAAATATGGGCCCAAGGTCTCCCTAGCCGAAGCCGAAGCCATGGACTATATTTCCCGTCATACCAGTATTAAATGCCCAAAAGTCCTTGGCGCTTATGTACTCGACGGGAGAGGTCATATCATCATGTCTTTCGAGCATGGTAAATCCTTAGATGAATTCTGGGAAAACGCCTCTGAGAAAGAGAGAGAAGTGGTGATTGAGCAAATGCAGCGCTATATGAGCGAGATGCGTAACATTAAAGGCGACTATGTTGGTGGATTTAATCGTAGCCCTTGCGTGGCGGGCGAGTTTCAGTGGGATTTTTATCATAGCGACCACAAGTACGGCCCTTATCCTGACGAATTTGGATTTAACGAAGGGGTCGTGGAAGCTTTGTCGCGAGCTAGTCCTGGACCTCATAGTACGGACCCCGAATCACGGGAATATAATGTAAGATATGCGACTCGACAACTAGTACACTCTCTCCGCAACCACGAGATTGTATTCACTCATGGAGATCTGAATATCGGGAATATACTCGTACAGGATGACATGACGGTGGTTATCTTGGATTGGTATACAGCAGGGTTCTACCCGGCCTACTGGGAGTGGTATAAAGCAACCTGGCACGGCGTATTTCAGCCAAGTTTCATACGACAGATAGAACGGTTTATTCCACCATATTGGATTGAAGCCAATATCATGAACCAGATATTCAATAAGATTCTCGGATAGGCTCCTTAAGGGTCGCTACCGAATACCTCGTAGATAGCATACAAGCGAAAAATAGTAAATTTACTATTTTACCTAAGATAATTCTAGTCCAAACCACATAACCTACACGCTACTAAAATAGCCAGCCTCAAAAAGCCTTTTCTGGGTATTACCTATACATGTCTTCCCTCTCTGTACTCTGCTCATATCCTCATTACCCGTATTATAACAAATACCCCTAATAAGTTAACACCTTACCCAGAAAACCCGCTTAGAATCCCGAAAATCCCTCGTTATATTATTACAAATATAGCCCTTTAGATATCCTCCTCAACAACAGATTCAAGTTCGTCGAAGTCACGGATCACTGGCCCGAGTCCATCAGAACTATTTGGACTTAGGATGGGCGCGCCGCCTACGCTTGACGGGCTATGGCTAGGGTCAAGGAAGCCGCCCATTCGCGTAACGTCTAGATTTAGGTCTAGCGGTGCTGGCGCCTTCGTACGGCGTATCCCCATGTTAGTACTCATGCCATGCGGCTGCCTGGAGTCCTCAAGCCTACCACCGCCTAAACCAGTACTACCCGGCCCGAACGTCGCATAACTACGCTCGCTCCTAGCACCTCGCGAACCGGCATAACTCCTGTGGCCTTGATAGTTTCCCGTTGATGAAGATGGCCGGGCGATACTCGAAGCAGCATCGTCCGAACCACCCCACGTCGTAGTAGGTGTCAGGGGTACAGCAGTGGTTGGGGACAGCACGCTCCGCGGAGTATAATACCCACCGTTACTGGAACGGCTGGTCACAGTTCTAGGTGGTCGCGGGAACATATGGGCCTGTGCTCTCATCATACGCAATACGGGATCTCCCGAGTGCGCATTAGAATTAGTAGACGTGTCCGAGTCGGCACTTTCGCCGCCGCTAGTGCTGCTATTCTGCTGCCACGTCCGGGGCGCGAGCCAGCAATGCGAAATATCGTGACAGGCCTCGGCTGCTGGGGCCGATGCGCCCTTCCACGGTGGGGCTTTGGTGCCTTTGAAGCGTGGCGAGAGATGGTACGACACGTTATCTTTGTATCGGACATTGGGCGCATCGACTGATACGCTGGCCAGGGTTTGCAAGATCACGTAGATGAGTACCCAGCGGCCACGACGGGCGACGAAAGGGTCTACACTACCGACTTGGTCTGCCTTCTCGAACTTGACAAAGTTTTCGATTAGATCAGATTGCGTAAAGTCAGACCCTAAGATGTATATATTAGTCGCCTCGGTATACGCCAACTGCGCACGCCTCTCGGCAATGCGATCGTCGGAAGCTTGCTTTGCGTTGTTACTGCTATTATTCTTCTCTCTTTTAAACCTTTCTCTACTTGAGCTAGACGAAACTGAAGTATTTGGTAGGATTGACTCGGGAACAAGAGGATAAGGGTGCGGGATATGAGGAAAGCGCATGCGGTTGTCAAACTCGATCAACATATCTGTGAGAGGCAAGTCGGGTGTATCTGAGTCGAACGACTTGTTACCGCTCTCGGAGACCATCATCCATTTTCGACTACTACGCGTCTCCGACTCGTCCCATACGATATCTCGGTTAACCAAGTAGTCATAAAGTGCACCGAAATCTTTTTGCATTTGCTTTGCCAACGTCCTACTTAGCCATGTCTCCTCGCCTTCCGCGGTTCTCAAACCCGCTTCGGGCGGAGGCCAATAGCCATGAATCTTTGAGTAATGCGATATGAAGAATTGGCGTAGGCGCTCGGCAGCGTCCTTTGCAGCACCTTTTGCAGCCGGACCGGCAGTTGGCCAGATATCTCCGCAGGAAAACTCAGCGAGACGCTCTTCCGCGGCTTGTACGCGAAGCTGAGTCTCAAGGCAAGCTCGTTCCAGAAGAGCCCGCGTGATAGGTGTAATGATCCTAAAATCTGTGCAAGCTTCTAATCGGGAGTACATCCCGGTGCAATGTACAAACGCCTCGCACCAACCCTCCTCCCACCGTACCTCTGGCGTTTCCGACCACGCGAGAAGGGACACAGCCGTTTCTGGGTCGTTGCGACAGTCATCAATGCCGCGAGCGGATAGGTAATTTAGAATAGTACCTAAATTATCTGCCTCGGGAGGCATATAAGTCGTAAGACGTGTTAGTAAGTCGGACAACGCTTGAGAAAGCGACAAGCCAACTAGAGATGCGTGGTACAGAAGCGCGAATACGTTGCGAGTTGTTATAGCGTATCGGTGTGCTTCAAGCTTTCCCATGTTCGGCGGTGTTGGAAAATACATCTCGTAGGAGATCTGGCCGTCAGCGTCTGTAAGACTCGTATCCTCGGATACCGGGGGTGTGGGCTGACCGTTCCGGCCTAGGTTGTAGCCAATTTGCGGATGTGAACCATGCGGTCGTAGCATCGGCGGAGCGCCGATAGGTGATTGGGGCGCGTGCATTCGTAAGTCGTACTCGTCCTCTGTGGATCCTTCGCGAAGTAAAGTAATGAGGAAACGAGATTCTGTCGCTTCGATAATATGAGACGACAAGCGAAAAGAAGGGTTCGGACGTGGGCTTTGGCCTTTACGACCGAAGAATATTAAAACATCACCGTTAGGATCCCATAATTCAGGGTCTTTCCGGAGTTTGTTCCATCGTTGAACAGGCCTCCCAGCACCGATCCAACGCTTGATTGGGGGTGTCGTAAAAGGGGGAGGGACTGGAGGTAGTTTGGTAGACGGAGGCGGCGAGACTATCTGCTGATACTCCGGATCCCATACTAGTTGCTGTGGGCTTTGTATAGACGTCGAGGGAAGCTCGTGAATGTCAAAAAACTCGGAATCATTATAGGATCTCATGGCAGCAGAGGACTCAGACCTAGCAGTTCCCAAAGCCTTCTTCTTCTTAGCTCCGAATGTAAAGGCCTTCGTGAGATTTTTACGAAACTCATCGCTCTTCTTGTCTACTGCGCTTCGAAATCCTGAGCGTTCTATTCCCGACACGTCCTCTGTCCTCAAAACCGGCTTCCTCGTCCTAGCGTATGCGAAATCAGGCATCGGTCCCTGATGCGGCATACTATTATTACCGCTACTCTCTTTCTTGCCCGACTCACTTGCACCACTCTGGCTTCCGTTACTAGGGTTGATGAAGTTTGCCATCCGGGTGCGATAATTAACTAGGTCCGCTTCCCTTGACTGTTCGGAGAACTTAAGGAACCGCGCATTCGTTGTGCCATATCCGGTACCTTGTGGGAAGCCGTGGTCATTAATTGATATGTCATCGCTCTCGGAATAGCGAATATTTTCTGGAGACCGTACACCCGACTTCGTGTCAGTGATCTTTTTCCTGACGTAAGCACTGCGTCCAGACATTGCACTAGAGTGAAGCAGATGACCTGCTCGTCCAGTTGTCAATACGTTCAACTTGTAGTTGTGTAACGTAAAGTCTGATACCGAAATTATTCAGTTGAACAGAATCTATTCAGTGATGCAATATGAGTCTGCTTAGAGCCTCATGTAGCTCGCTCGATTCTAGTGACGACAGGTCCCGAAAAGATAACAAGTAGAGAAGATTATTAGGAAATCGCAAAACGCAACGCTAGAGGCTCTACCCCGGTTACGCGTATCCGGTACGAAACGCAAAGGTTGAGCTAGAGGGTCACTCGCGACTATACATAAGCGTAACTCCGCTATCAGGCCACTTTGTAACATAAATGTGAAATAGGAGACGAAAGGTCCCAAGCCACGGGGAAAAGTTCAGCTGTCTTGAACACGTAGGCACGTATTCGAATATCTAACCGAAAATAAGAGCCCGAAATACTAAATGAATGAATAGGGGGATCGATAGTCCAGAACACAAGGTCTCGGAAGGGTGGGCAACGTTAATAGCTATCGATAATCAATGAGCCTGTGGCGTTTATTATTGCTTTTTTTGCGATATTTCAGGACCCCTCTTCGGTTTAGCTAGAACAGGACTCACACGACAAGGCTAGTCATGGAATCGTAGAAAGAAATGGATATGTCGAATTTTCTTCTACGATCTGGTTTCTCTGGTTTAATTCACGCCTCTAAGGCAATGTATATAGATATGTGTATAGATACCTCTAGATTAGGTACTCTCGTCATGTGTTGTTGACAATCAAGGAGATCATAAATATGCACGTCAAGATAATGTATCGATGTGGGGGATGTCAGGGGATTATCAATACCGGGATCTTGACTCTAGAATATCGTCCGTGGTGTGACTGGCCTATAATATGATTGGTTCTCCTTCCCTATGCAGCGGTGCATACCTTAGGGACTGATATCCCTGGATTTATTTTCCTACAGTATTGTACAATTTTTTTTTCTGTTTAGGCTTCCTAGAAAATTAGTGAACGCCTTTAGAACAAGGGAACCGAATTTACCAAGTTGCACAAACTACACAGTTCCATCCAGCCTCTTCTTGTAATGCCATATCTTGCGAATTTCGAAGAGAGAAAAAAAGGCTGAGATGGGCACAACGAACAACAAGGCGGGATGGGATGATCGGCAACCGTTAAACATGGTGTTTAAGGAATGCTCCGTCAAGATCCCCCGGGTTTAGAATGAGATAAGAATGGATTGATCAGGGTTGATCAGGTAGGGTGCCTTACGCCTGGGTCCATAGCTGCAGTCATATCGAAGTTTATGGCTTGGCATTTTTTTTTTTCTCGAAAGCTGATGTTTGGCGTTGACAATACAAATTCGTACAATAATAACATCGTAACACGGAACCAAACGATATGCTACCTAGGTAAGTATGACTATGTAGTTGTCACACGTACATAATATGCATTAGGTAAGGTAGTCGGTATATTATCGTGGTGTTTTAGTTGGAAGTAGATTATGTTGCAATGAAATATGCTTAGGTACCTACATGTAGTAGAGGTAGGTACCTAAGAGAAGTACGTATCTACCTTAGGTACCTATGTACATAATACCCCTATGCAGATCCACAGCGGCAACATATCGCACGCCAGGTTTACGCCAGGTTTAGGTATGCAGAGCTAATTTAGCGTCTAGCTAGGGTCGAAGTTAAAACAATTTCCTAGGTAGCTCAACGTACTACCTTCTGTTTTACAATCATATAACTCTCTGTTAAGCCTCCTATCCAACCTCCATCTTATCAGGTACCCGGCTTACACTTGACACTAATATTGTTAAGGGTCAAGTAAAGTATAGCTCCTCCGACCACCTTAAACATGTAAGGTTCTTTTGGTGCATCCCTGACCTCCTTACAGAACTTTGAACAGATTCTCTTCAACTGGGTTTCAATACTTTTCTGTTTGCTCGCCGTCTTTCGGCATCCATAAAATTACGCGCATGTACTCGGGAACCCGCATTAAACAAGACCGGTTAGGCCGCTTCTAACGAGACATGTCTCTATTGGCTTATCGACTGCGTACTACATAGAGGTATCTCTGACGCTCCTCTGGATCTTGAACGTAGAGAAACCTCAAACGCTTCCTGCTCTGTGTATATGTAGGTATGTAGTGTTTTATATTATCATACTAATCACCTAGCCGATTCATTCCATCAGAGCAGCCATAATAAAACCTAGAAGGCTAGTGGGACATATCTTGCGTAACTATGGTTGTCGTTTGGTTTTACTTCTTTTGGACTTGCATATAAAAAGAAATACTCCTAGACATTGCTGGTCTGTGGACTACCCCGATATATGTTAGGATGCCAATATGTGTTAGGATGAGGCGTTGGATTAATGCCATGTTGATATGATAGGTTTAATGGACTCTCAAATAAAGTCGTGCGAATAAAATACTCACACCTTGTTGCAACGAAGCTGGTTTAAAAACAGGAGAGATATAAAGGGCAAGGACAACTTCATTACCTAGGTAGTAGTTATCTACAACTGCAACTAGTTTCAAAGGGCTAACAGCAATAAGCACATCATATTCATCTCCAAGTAGTCAACCTCCACATTGCCGTTGTTTATTCAGGACATAACGACGTGACTATAACATCTCTACTTTGCCGACGCGATTCGTAGTCCACGTTTCTTGCATCGTTCTTCAAAGCTTGCAAGTCGGGCGTCATTAGGCTTATATTCGGCAGGGTGCTGTTCCTCTTCTGAGGTAGACTTCGCGGTAGACTTCTCCGGTGAAAATTCAGGGGCAAGGGGGCTGAATCTAGCTTGAACGAGCTTGACCGGGGTCGGAGACTCCATCTTAACTTTGGCTACAGTCTGGGTGCCGGCATAGGAGATTTCTTTGGCAAGAGCCTTGAGAATCTCAGATTGAACCTGCACTGCAGTCTTAGTCTTTTCCTGGTTGAACTCGCTGTTAAGCATTCCTTATGATGTTAGTAGGCATAACTAGATGGCATTTCATACACGTGTTTACACTCACTGCCAGTCATCTTTCTCACGGCTAACAAGTACTGAGAATACGGAGCAGCCGTGCCTTGGATATATCCAGCATCATAAGCGTCCTTCCACAGCCGAACCAGCGGATTACCATTGCGCACGTGGTACAGGATTGTCTGCTGAACCAACTGCATGAGAGGCTCTCGGTTGGCGTGGTTGGCGAGGTTAAGAACAGCTATAAGTGTGAGTATGGTTGAGGGAAGATTATCTAGATGTGTTGAGGGACTACTAACCAGGGCTCGGGGGGAAGAACTTGGCTAATGGTAGGTTAGTATATGATATAACAAAAGCAGTTGAGTGAAGAAGGCATACATGTATACTTGCTGCCGTCGTGGGCTGTATCTCCCTGGGAATCCATGTCTGGAATACTTGAATAGCGGTTGGTCTTTTCTAGGGTATGATTTGTTGCAATTTAGGTGTGTATGCGACCAGAAGTCGACAGGAAAGCTCTAGATAGTTGGTCCACTATAGAGAAATTGTGGCTTATGCTGTTGGCAGGAATACTCGAGCGGGGAATGGGCGGCGTGGTGGATATCAAAAGGGAAAGAGCAGAAGGCAATTGCGACGAAACAAATACCTAAGCAGCACGCTTCTTGTAGATTAGAGGTATTGTGATTATGAAGATGCGTGAAACCAAGAGGATAAGTGACGGGGTTTGCACGAAGCAATCAAAAAACATTACGCATCAAGGACAAAGAGATGTGCGAAGAAATTCGAATGCCTTCGATAAGGCAGAACATACATTAACTCACAGCATCGGGAGTATTGTCGCATGAAAGAATTAAAAAGTGTAAAGTGTAAAAAGTTTAGTAGTTTGCGGAATGATGATTAAAAATTCGTAGGCGGCAATATTTAAGGGCGGTGATAGACGAAGTGATTCCGATTGTGACTTACGGGCTAATGCTATGTTGTAACATACGGCAATACGGCAGAAGCTTAAGGCGATACATATGTTCATAAGTGCACCTGCCTTACATATCATATAGGTCAATGCCTTAGTAATGTTTCAAGTACTAAAGACAAATAACGTTACGAATAGCGCTAATTAGGAGTAACTACGACATGTACCACCCCCCGTAGGTATCAGGCTCCTTCCTCCTGTATGCTGTTGAGCTAGGATTAGATAAATATCAGATAAAGAGAGAGCATTTATCACGAGTTGCATGCATAAAGTAAGAAGTACATAAAGAGGTACAAATACATCGTGTATTCCAATACTCTGACTCTTGATATTTCTCCCGATTTTACAGATTGATTTAATAACGGAACTAATTCAGCTAAATAAATCAACTACACCGTACCTATGACCAAAGAGCAAGTAGTATCACTTAAGGCTTCTAATATTAACACGATCTACTAAAATCAGAATCACGTTGTATTATCTCCTATTCAACGGGTAGTTGAAGAGACAGGTAGATATAAAATAGGTACAATTCATGCGGAAAGGAGAACTTTATCTGTGTCTAAGAAGTTTATATTGTAGTACTTATAGAAATAATCTGTTCGCAACCTGGGATATATGTATAGTATTAGAGAACCAAATCCCCCTTAACTTATTTCAAGCAGTACTAGCTCTACTTAGACTTCGATTTTCTCTGCGTCGTTAATTTTAGTAGAATCCGTGATGGATCCAGCATCGACAGTCTTCTCATTATCAATGTAGATGTTTGCGCCAGCAGGCCCAGCGTGCTCAAAAGATCTTCCACGCTTCTCGGGACCTAGCGCAGCTGTTACTGCAATGCCGACGGCGACGATTGCGAGTGCAATTCCCATAGTTGGGCCGTACCCATCGACTAACTTTCCGCTTTTGCTGGTAACAAAATTGTTCTCGGCAATAGCATTAACTATCTGGGCTGCTGGCGAAGACACCAAGTTGCCTAACTGATACGCGAGGCCTGGAAAGGTAGATCGGTAAGCAGGCGGTGACAATTCGTTGAGGTGAATAGGGACTACGCCCCAGGCCCCTTGTACAAAGAACTGAATCGCGAATCCAGAAGCAGAAAGTCCTGATTCTTCTGAGGGTAGGATCCAGGCCGGAACAAGACAGCAGCTGATAAGCGCGGCACCAACGATGGCTCTACGACGGCCGATAAATTGAGAGAGGTAGCCGATAATTGTGCCGCCAACACAAGCCCCCGTGTTCATAAGGATGCTAGCACGCGTAGCAGCATCGTTAGGAAGCTCCTTCGACTCTAGCATGAAAGTCGTATAGCTATCCTGACTAGTATGTGCGTAGTAATTAAACCACGTCATCAAAAAAATGCAGTATACGCACATACGCCACTCCTTAGCGAGCATCGATTTGGTTTCCTTCCAGAAGTCGCCGGCTGAAATGTGATGACCGGTAGCCTTGGCCTCTATAAACTGGTTGGATTCCGGGAATAAACAGCGCAGGAGGCCAGCGCCGATAGAAAGACCAGACGCAATCCAAAAAACGGTCTTCCAGGTATCCGTGCCAGCGCCAACACCTAGACTCGCGCACGCAGCAAGAACATACCCAAGAGCGTAGCCTTGTTGCAGAATACCACTCATTAGACCACGAGATTCTGTCCTATTAGATGGCATGTTAGCATTATATACCTGGAGATGAGAAAAGTCCTATATCATACGGGCAGTTCTCAAGAGCCATGGCCACGGCGTTGCCATACACTCCCCCCATAAATAAGCCGAAAAGAGATCTCACAGCAAGGAACTGCTGAAACGTGGCGCTGTAGATAGTCGCAATTTGCAAGAGACCTAGTTAATAAAAGTGTTAGCCCCTCGGATTTGATTAAGGGGTTAGAATCTTACCGAGAAAAATCAAGTTGCCGACCATTGGCCATTTTCGACCGAACCGATCGCCGAGGAGACCAAATACGGCAGCACCGACAGATCTCAAAAGAAGTGTCAAGGTGATAGCGGTAGTGATGTCAGTCTTGCTACGCTCGTAGTAGTGCGATAACTTGACGGTTTGGATCGCCAAGGCGTGGAAGTCGAAGGCATCAGCAGTCCACGCGAATAGACCTACAAGAAAGTAGATCCAATTTCTCGCGCTTAAAAGCATCAAAAGTGAGATTGGATTTCTAAGCTTCTCAGGGGACTGCCATTCCGTGTGAGATTCGCCCAGCTCGTTCGTAACAATGACCCTTTGTTTCCATCGGAAGAGATCGCCCCAAGATTGCTTCGCCGTCGCGAATATACCTTTTGCGAGGGGATCCGCGGGCTCATTACTAGCTGCCATTTTAGACAGAATAGCACCGCTGTTTTGCTTAGCTCTTCGTAGGTTCGTAGGACTCAGACGAGGCCACTTACTCGGGCCACTGGCGTCTTCAAGAAGACATAAACTTCATAGCCTTCGAGATTGGAGCATACCTATTTAATATACCGACTATAGTCTCCAAAAGGGTTCAGATAAGAATAGTGGAGGATATGTCGGGTATCATTCTAGGTAGCATTAATAAGACCCCATTTAGTAGTTCCAACTGCGTTGTAGCGACTCTGCACAATCATGTTGCGACTCTATCCACTATATGGCCTCATTCACGCAATGCAACTTAGGCATAGTAAGCATAGGTGATTTTCATACTCCAGGTGTGCTTCACATCAATCTTATTGGCGAAGAAAAACGGTTGAGTGGTACTATCAACAAGTCCTCGCTCATTCAGAGGGAAAAGACGGGTGTGAGTTGGCATGGTGGGTAGGCTAAAGGTTCGAAGAGGTAACTCCTCCCGTATAATGAGTTTTGATCGCTTGTGTAATGATTTATAGATACTATAACTCCTGTAGCATGATGGATCCATAGTTTACATTTGGTAGCAATTCAGGTATTTATTTATCAAAGAACACCTAGGTGCGTCAGTAGACGTAGGGTTACATGCAGATAGCCTAGAGTTGTAGATATTCTACGGGAGCCATTCAAGTAATATTGAATCTCCATGGGCGCAGAAGTATCTCCGATAGCTCCACAGCACGTAGGAAATTCAGGGAACAAAAATTCTTACGGAAGTCTCGTACATAAATTACCGTAACATAGGTTGTTTATAATAATTACAATGAGCGACTGGCCCCAGTATTTGCTTTACAAAATGTTGGGAAATTCTAGAACTTGGGAGGCTTTATAGGCTAGACTATAATACAACTGTCAAATGTTGTGATATCGGGATTTATGGAACGGTGTCGTAGTGTTAACATTAAGCAAACTCAACCATAAGATTATTCTAAATACCCTATTGTATGGCTCATAAAACTCCAATAATATAAATAGTTTTATATTTCGAGGAAGGACAAGCAGGAGGTCGACAAATAGTAGGAACTAGGCAACACATAATCTTGGGTGACCGAGCCTAATGTTATATGCAAATTGCGGCAAATTTCCAGCCAGTATACAAAGTAAGGCTCGGCATTTTGGGCCTACCTTATACTATACTATTCAATACGTACCCTTATGATAATATTTTAAGGTACCGATATAATCATAGTGGCATTCGTATGCGCTAAAAAACCACACAATATACGACGGGCCCGTTCCTTTAAACAATCTCTTTGAAAGGAAGCATTGTCGATCCCGTCCATCTCATTCATACGTAGAAGTTACATGATGTTGACTATACTATGATTTATGATTATAATTCCAGGAATCCCGTAAGGGGTAGAGAACGCCTATGCTACCAAACAAGCAAGGCTTTAGGCGCATGCAGATTAAACCCATACTTTTCTTTAAGGTAACTATCCATGGCACTATACCAGATTCTAGAACGCTATTTTAATAAAAGGTAAATAAATATAAGTGATCTATTGCCGTCTAAACTCTTTATTCTCATCTCTCGGGCTCTCCCAGCGCATTCTGGACATCGTCACGACTTTCCTTTTTCTCGACCTCTGTCTCATGCACCTCCTCATCGGTCATCGTACTAGACGATTCTAATAACTGCGGCGAGAGGTCTGTACTGGGTGCTACGGACCTATCCCCTTTAGTTTGCTGCGCCTCCTCGTCGTCGGGCTTCTTGGGGCCGGTGGGTGCGAACCTCGAGCGGGCACGGATACGTTCGCCATACTTATAGAAGGCGAATGGAATCACTGCTAACAATGTCGCGACACCACCGATTAAGGATCCTCCACCTCCAACGCCGAGCGCTTCGAACATATAGTTGGTGAACAATGGCGCCGCAGCACCGCAAGCTGAGCGACAAACAGTATTTACAGCAATAGCCGACGCGGCATACATCAAGTAGGTGTCAACCAGATAATTCAAATACCCGACAAATATAAGCATGAGCGAGGTCGCCAAGAATACACCAGCTATCGTTGGGACTATCCAATGAATAGAACTGCAAATTTGGTTAGTCTTGCTCTAGTATTAATCATGTGTAGGTAGTTTGCCTTACTTAAACTCTGCGGTCCATGCGAACCAAAACATGGTGGCCGGAAAAAGAACGCCGCCAATGAGAGCTAGAGTTAACCTGTCCTCAGGTTTTAGGGGTATCCCGTTCTGCATCTTTTTAGTCTTATGCTTAGAATCGAAGAAGACGATGATAGCCCCGATGAAGGACCCGACCACGGTTCCAATCAAGGGGAGCTCGCCAACCCCAGCATTCCACCCTCGTTTCTGCTGGAAGACTATTGGGTATATGGTGAATAGCATGTAGAGCAGCATGTACACGACAGACATGTATACAGCACATAGGAAGGAGATGGGATCAAAAAGGATAATCCACGGCCTCGTGAGAGCCACGCGGTAGATCCCTAATAATGAGCGGTCGCTTTCTTCAACCGGAGCCTTGACATTTTCGTAACCCAAGATCTTAGCCTTCCTTATGCGACGAGCTCGATGGACCAATATCATAGGGCCAAAAGTCTCAGGAATGGTAAACATAGGTATCGCTGTAGCGCCGCCGAGCCATAACAAAACATAAAAACTCCATCTCCAGTTCTTCGTAAGCTCAAGAAACCCTCCGACAACTGGCCCAAGAGCTGGCCCTACCCAAACCACTATGGTAACATTAGCCGTTAGCTACGACATTTAGGAATTTTAACCGTAGCTTGAAAGCAAGAACTTCTGAATCATGTTAGAAAGGAGAAGGTATTTGAACGTTACATACTGCATGAGAAAACAGCCATCGTAAATCCGCGCTCAACAGGACCCCATAGGTCCGCAAGCACACCCGGGCTATTGCTAAGCGGAGCGCTCACGAACGTGCCTGTTAAAAATCTGCCAACGAGCAAGCTCCCGAAGTTTGGCGCGAAAGCACAGAGGAAATTGAATGCGATGTACAGCAAGAAGGTACTATAGAAAATCCATCTTCTTCCGTAGAACTATTTAAATCACTTCATTTAGCCCTCTATTCACTCTTCGGGCTAATATCTTGGGATTTCATACCTCCGATAGGGGAGCAAAGACGAGAGGACCTGCGCAATAACCTAAGAGGAAAAGGGTTATAGTGAGTCCAGCCGCTTCTTCCGAAATATTAAACTCTTCAGATATGCTCTGCAGTACATTTCGTCAGTTATGCTGATACCGTACTATAAAACTGACTTCAAGAAAGCAAGACTTACACCAAAGCAACCAGAAGGGGCCGACGATGCGAAGGTAGCATTCACAACGAGTAAAACCGAGCATATTGTCACGTACCAGCGCCTAGGGGTAGACCAGTTATGCGGGTTCTCAATATCGTCGGGTTTAAAATCGATATGCCCATCATCATTTAGGTACGGGCGTTCTTCGAATTCCAGCTCAGCAGTTTTATATGGCTTTGCCGTAGCCCGCGATAGGACACGAATAAGCCGTCCCATATTAGTTTATTCCTAATTCTACTCTTTGATATCTGAGGCGCGAAGTATGTGAATAAGACATATTGGTAGATAGTTGGAGAGGATCGAAGAGAATAATAAAGGAAAATACATCAAATTAAGCAAGCTGAAAGCTCGCGTTTAGTGTTAAAGGCGATGCTATGTACAAGACAGGTAGCGTAGCATTGAGACGAGGATGACAGTATTGCGTCAACTTTGGTAGCTACCGATGTGAGATTTCGTATTGAGTGTTATTGCCGGTGCCCATCTCCTAAGGATCGGGAATAACTCCAGATCTTCTTATCAATCAAAATTGCTAGATCAACGGGGGGTGGATGATTCCGCTCTGTTCGTGAGCCTATGATCTGCAAAATGGACCTCCTAAAATCGTGTCATTAGAGCCGCTATGATGTATTACATATACCTACAAAATATTGTTCCTCGAGCATCGGGGATAAGAGCGTATCCCGTCAGCATACATCCGTCCACTATGCCAATCTGATTCGGAAATAAGAGGTCATTGGACACCCCTCCCCCTTCAATTAGTTCTGGGTACCCTTTGGAATTTCGCATTTGTCAACAGCATAAAAACTACTCGAGTACTCATGACTCACGTCGGGGAGATTCAAATACTGCTTACAAAACACTACAAAAGTCGTTGGCTGGTTAGCTAGCTGTCGCCGAAATTTTAAACATACACGTAATATCTAAAATTGTGTATATCTTGCGTTGAAAGAAAAAGGGGGGTGATACTCGAAAGATGGATCCTCTTACTCTCGTATAATAGAATGCCTTCGAAATTTAGCGACGTCTCGCTTAGGAAATATTAGATAATGGGGTTTATTGAGACGAATATGCAAAATAATCGGTCATATGTCTATACCCACATATAACGAACTCAACACTTTTACAGGAGAGTTGCACTAGACGCCTTAATCTTCTCGGATGAAGCGGTACCCAAACCCTTCTCAGCTCCCGCATCATCCCGAGCCTGAGCCTCAATAATGGTGTCGTCTAGATCCCAGATCATATCCTTTAGTAATGTCTCCTTTGCTGGTATAGCGTAACTTAGTGCGGTGTAAAGAACGACCGAAGTTACGAATCCGAACAAGAAGTTAAGGGTATAGAGGTTAGCAACGCCGTCGTTAATATGAACAACTTGGGGACCGCTAATGCTAAGGCCTAGGCCAGGTAGAAGAGGCGCAACGGGTACGAAGAAGGCGACCGCTGCGCGCCAGTTACATCCACCAACATAGCGATAACGACCATCCGGATCGTACAGGCTCGGTATGTCAATCTGCCTCTTCTTGACAAGCCAGTAATCAGATGCCATGATGCCAGCTATCGGCCCAAGGAAGACGGCATACCCACTCATAAAGGCGAGGAAGGTTTCCGCAGAGCTCAGGATCTTCCATGGCACCAGGACCCAACCACCGACAAGCGCAGCGATAATACAGCCTCGCCTGATATTAATCCAGCGAGGTAAAAGAACGGTTAAGTCGTTGGCTGCCGAGATCGAATTCGCGGTGATGTTTGTTCCAACCTATTACACGTCACTTTATTACGAAAAGCCCCTTATGAACTATAACCTGAAGCTGTTGTAACGTACCTGTGCAATATACCACGCGAGGGCGGCAAAGAAGGCAGCACATCGTCCACCAGAGCCATAGTCGAGCCAAATAGCTATGATATCCAAGGGGTTCCAGAGGTACTCTCCGCTAAATACTTTGCTCGCGGATGTTGTTACAATACCCAGAACGCCACACAAAGTAAATATAATGGGCATCGCTGGGAGTTGGATGTATTGACCTTTAGCCGACTTTGCATAGCGAGTGAAATCAGGTATGTTTACAGCCAAGGTGCTCCATTGACCTGCCACGCTCGACATGCAAGTTAGCCATAGCCAGACATATTGTTGGTCGCTAGCTGTCGCTCGCAAGGCAAAGATGTCACCACCCCCTCCAGCCCTCTTAATACACCATCCCATCGTTGCAATAGCAGCTACCGGGGCAGCGAATAGTTTGACCCAGAACAGAGGACGTAGCTTAGTGGGGTGGATAAGGAGTAGCGGTAGTTGAATTATCCAGAAGAGGAAGTAAGAAAGCATCCCTTGCGTCGTGATGCCGGCAGACTGGGATAATTGGTTCGGAATGTCGTTGTACGACGGCGCCCAGGCACGCAGCATGATCGTGATGCATTGAGCTCCGTTTGCGCCCTAAATGTTCACGTTAACCTATGATGCATTCCAGTCGAGAAACATCCTCTCTAGCTTATTTACCTGTATACCCAACCAGAACATAGCTAGAATAGCCCGACTAACGATGCAGAAGTATCTTAGGTAGTAACCGAAGCTACTAGTCGCAATCACAGAGAAAGGCACGTGAAGTTTAGCGCCAATGGCACCGTTAAGCACAAGAGGCACGGCGACGCAGAAGGTTCCTACTATCATGATGGGAATAGCTTCACGCCAACTTAGACCAACCGCGAGAATTGCAGAGGCCGTCTGCCATGTAGCCAAATTAATCGTGTCGGTAGCCCAGTAGGCCAAAATTGTCCACACATTCCACGTCTGGTCCTCGATGGGCGTCGGGTCTAATCAGCCCGCGTTAGTATTTAACACGGATTATTCCGGACAGACAACTCTACCCATATCTCGATTCGTCCATATGTGCGATGGGGCCAGCGCTCCAGTCTGCTTAGGAAGTTCCCAAGAGTGGAGGGAGGTAAACCTCCTCTTGAGTTTAGCAGCTGACAGCTTCCTTGAGAGAATAGCCATATTGCCAGACTTTAATGTTTTCAAGATGGCAATCGGCTCTTGAAGCAGAAGACGCAAACCAGCAGCTCCGTCGAAAGTAAACTTATTTTAGGTAACTAACTGCACGTGAATTACTCGAGGTAACCATATCACACCGTAGATATATATATAGGTATATATACCTAGAGTATTATGGTAATACGGAATAATGTCAGATAAGAAAGCTCCAAGATGCAAGATAGCTAGCTTCCCGGTCATCCTGGAAAGCTATCCTGGAATATTATCCCTGAATCCAATGAGGAACGAGTTCCTTATCAACCTCTCCCGATTCACGTATCTGGGCCATGGACATTGTGCAAGCCAAAAAAGCAGTTAGTTTACTCAGGTACAGCTTGACCATCCATCCTTAGTAACTATTATGGTAACTAACTACTAAAGACTCTATACTTTCGAAAAGGCCACCGGAATCTTTTCCATATATTTTCGTAGTTATATATATTTTCATATTTTACCCGCGTGAGATTGACAGATAAGTATTGCATTCTTCAAGTTCGACCTCCTAACCTACTTAGACATGAGTGTAACGCAAAGGCGTAACACGGGACGGAGTTGCGCGTTTGTGTATCTAGATATGTATCATTTAATAGCTGTGGTACTAACGTGGATCATATGTAGATCCGTGGAATGTCTCGGAAGAATGCCGCGGCAAGATAACAGGGATTAAATCATAGGTGGCCCGTGTCACAAACAAGACCTAGGTATGTATCTCCTAACAGGTAGTTAATCTTTGTTGGTGTACAGTTTTACCAGATCGAAAATAAAACCTATCATCTCATTATCTTCACCCACGACGTTTGACTATTAACACTGTTTCTAGTTGTCGATGCCACCTAGTACAACATATCTAATTCCTTAGATACCTATCTAAGATATCATATAGAAGACCTTCATCGTCGTGTTAGACCTTCTAGGCCATCCTGCTTCTCACAGAATATGTTGATAGCTTGGATAATCTTGACTTCACCCTTACCCTCATGGCTCCGAGTAAAAGCTAAGCGCCAAGCACTCTCGTCCTCTACTATATCGTTATAATCGCCCGCCTCTTCCTCTGCTCTACCCTTAAAAACACTCCCAGTTTCACCTTTCCACGGGTTAGCCGGTGTCTCCGCCAACTTAGTCAACAGATGCGGCGCGACGGTGATATGGTGAGCACCCGCAAGCTTCATGACTTCTTGGATAGATGTCAAACTAGCGGGTAGAACCTGGGTCTTGCTCCCGATCTTCTCGTAGTATCGCTGAGCAGCGCCGCAGAAGTCAAATGCTTTATGCTGGTCGACGTAACTAGATATCGCGCGTAGGTCAGCTTTTACACTCACTCGGTACCCAATGGCCAGGTAATATATACTTCTCGTCAAAATGCACTCGCAGCTCGTTGATGTACGGTGCGATGTAGGTACAACCCACATGAGCTGCTAGAGCAGCCTGTTCAAGACAAAACATGGTTGTTGCTAATGTAGAAATGCCTTGGTTTTCCAATTCGCGACATGCTTGTAACCCTTCCCAAGTGGATGGTATCTTAATGCAAACCCTTTTGGCGTCGTACGATGGGTCCAGATCTTTAAATATCGCCACGATGCCTGATATGATAGTTTCCATTAGCGATTCGACGGCCACAGTTCAACATCACCTCCACCACATTAAGGACGATCACACACGCTTCGCATTCTCAATTGTCTTCTGCTTATTATAAGAGTACTTCGGATTTGTCTGTATATGAGAGTATCCCTTCAAGTAGGGTACTATTCTCAAAGCCAGTTTCACCATCATAGTCTCTACCGCTAGCTCTGATACACCCACGTCCGGGTATAACGAACGTTTCGCTGACGCATAGTCGATGGCATCTTGAATCAGCTCGGCGTGTAGAGGCTTTCCGCCTTCATTAAGACGTATCAACTCGTGGTATGCGATTGCCTTGTATACTTTTAGCCCCTTGCGTCTCGTAAGGAGGTTGATCTTAAGCTGGCTTACCTGGTTTGACGTACAGTCCACGAACGGACCAAGTTGCCTTGGCACTATGTTGGTGAGCTTCCAGCTGCCTTCTCATACAATTCACCCCTAGCTGTCGGTTGATCACTCACCTTCGATATCAAAAGTATCGCAATCCACCGCACTATACGATCGCAATACATCGAGCAAGCTCTCCGGTGATCCCATCTTTCACTCTGTTTAGCGACAGTCAACAGCAGCAGTTATTAATATCAGTTTCAACCGACTGATGCTTAGAGTATAAAGGAATAATGATTAGGAAGCACGATCACCCCGCTACATACTTGGCTATTGAATGTTTTAGTACTGCCCATCCTCGGCTCAAATACTCCAGAATAAGTTTTATGCTTGCATATACGGACCAGCGATCTCGGACGAGGTGGGGGAAACTACTTTCTATACGAAAAACATATCATTTGCTAATATCAGACCATTCAAATCGTGGAGGTATGTCTAGTGCGAATACACGACCAGCTGGTAGTCTCAAGATGGGACTTGATAGGATATAATTATACTTAAAGGGGTCAGTTTATAGGTCATGAGCTCTTAACACCCTCGTCATAATTATTCCTATTGCCAACAAGCTCACTTATAACCAGGTGAAAGCTCGGTTATATTAACCCCGGATTAGCTCGTTTAGACCCCTCGGCCGACATCCGCCTGTCGATCTAACGACGCCGAGCCTGACGCTATTTACCAAAGCGTGACAACGAATATAATTTCAATCTAGATGTTTAGGACGAGAAGGAATAAATCAAGGACTACACTAAAAATAGGGAATCGTGTAATGCGATCAAATGCGACCTACTTCCTTTGTATGCAGTTTAACTATTATTCCGCGGCACGTAAATGCGTAGAGCACAGCGGACTCGAGTATTCAACTAATGGACAGTTCCAAAAGTACCTAGAAGAGTCTTTGAACGACATAAGGTATATAGAGCTAGCATAACTTATTACCGAGTCCAGCTATTTCACATTCGACCAAGTGACTTTACTTTAAGGGCGTCATATAAGGAGGTAGGTAGGTAGATTTGCATCCAAATTTAGGTCATAGAATTACAAAGTTGTGTCGACAACATTCACTCGTGGCCAAAGTAATGTCCTGAAATTTATTCATGTACAGTGTTCTAAAAGTCCTGGCATTGACCCTTCTATAGCCCTTTTGCTAAGATATCTCTAGGTATCGACGCATCCGGAAATGGTTCCTGATTTTTTTTTCGTACTATCAAATATGAAAGAATCTTGAATGTATACCAACCGAATAAGGCTAAAACATGGTCTACACATCTTTTGTCTTCTCCTTAAGTCAATAGGAGGAGTGGGTTCGATGGCCGAAAAGAGGTGGAATGCAATGCGTTCGTCTGCGAAATTCTTTTCTTCTCGATGCATCGAAAAGCAGGAATGCTAGTTCAGTTCTCACATAACTAAAATAGGATGCTTGGTGAGGATTTACATGGCTAAGAGAACCATCTTTGTCCTTTCAAGATAGCAATTCAATCATTTCCTCCTTCTCTCGTTACTTAACTTTTCTAATACACACTAAGACATGCTTTTATACCACATCGCGATACGTCGAGCTATACTAGATGTCGTGAGAATAATCTTGCAGTCAGTATATAACTACTATTTGAACGGGCAACGAGCCCCCTTCTCCTCTTTTTTTTAGTAAAGTGCGATCGTAGGTGTTGTCGCCATGCAGAGTTACACAACCACCACCGTATATCAGCAACAATCTCAAGAACCACTCCAGTCTCCAGTTCCGCAGACAGTACCTCAGACAGAACCTCAGGCAGTACCTCAGACGGCACCTCGGCCAAGGGACTATTTTCAACGCACTCCGCCAGTCTTTCAGTCGAGCGGCTTGGCAGCTCGGGTACCCTTCGAACTTCGAGCAAATCCTCTCATCGATAGGAACCACCAGGATTTTATGAGGATAGAACGATACTTCTTTACGTTGCTCCGGAATACTAACCTTACTCTTGAGGAGATAATCGAAAATACATTCGAGCCTCACGAGATTAGCATCCTCGAACCAGCCAGTCATCCGCCGGAACTGGTTAAGCTACAGAAAGCAAACTCCATTCGTTATCAACAGATACTAGACACACGCTTCCAGGGCAACACCCCTACACTTCAACTCAAGTTAACTTTTCTCTATTTCGGGTTACCAATTGCTCCGATGAAGCTTGGGTTGTCTCAAACGATGGTGATTACAGACCTAGACTTTTTAGAGGACAAGATCCAGATCGCGACCAACCCTCTCGAGTTCTTAAATGAGTACGGTGAGAGGGCGTACGGCGACCCCCACAAGCGTGTTCCTGATCGTCATTTTCTTCAGCTTCCGCAAGCTCAGGAGTTTACGTCTTTACGTCTCCGTCCTCCGCCATATCAGGACGATCAGGCTTTGAGACTACGCGGCGGCGCGTTGCCCTCGAAAATGGAATGGGAACCGGAGGGTGATGGCACTTATGATCCAGCCACTAGTTCCGTAAGGCTTTTTGGATATCAAGGGTCGATTCAAGTCGAGCTTTACTCATCGGCCTACGATAGTTTCGTCGAGGCCGTAGACCAGCTCCTAGGATTGAGATACAAATACAACTATTCCATAAGACTTCAGATATGGGACCAAATTAACTCTGGAACTGAGCCTGTCGCACAAGCAACAGGCATGATCTATCAGAAAAACAAGAGACCTGACGGCGACGATGATATATTTTCATTAGTTGAGAAATTATTCAGCCAAGGCAGTAAGGATGAGCGATACTGTGGTTTTGTATCCTTCGACAAGGAGGAATCTCCCGAATCCTACCAGCCATCCAGCGGAGCCGATCGATACATTATTCGTGTGTGGGATGATGATAAAAAAAATATGGCATATATGAAAGTTCCAGAGTCTCTAGTATCAACCCATAAACCAAACCAATTCCGTTATGAATACTTGCGTGCCATGCGGGTACTCTTCCGGCAATCTCCTCATGCGTATTTCAGGTTCTCAACGAGCGGTCAGGAATTAACGTACGGACTGCTCGACCCATCTCCTGTAGTCTGGGATCAAATTATCCAAGATCATATAAAGGATGACGGATTACCTCTTCTAGGTTTTACAGGAATTGACATACCAGAAGATGTCGTGCCGGTTTTCATACCGGGGTTCCACTCCTACGATACCGACTTCTCGAGCGGATTACCGGTAACTTGTTTAAGCAGAGACGATCTTAAACTAGAAGGAGGGGATAGCGACAAAGATGGGCTATCGAAGCTGATTAGTGCGGTTAACGCCGCGAACCCTTTCGCGATCAGCCACAATAAAAAGATCGGTATCGAAGTCTGGATTCCGGGAGATGAATTCTTAAACTGCTCGATTTCCGGCCGGTTCATCAATATGGTGAAAACCGAGATCAACGAGCAGACGATATATGACTGGAAGGCTGCCGTTCGCATATATCAAGGGCCAAGAATCCATGCCAAACCTGGAAAGATAAGCATCGTAGCTCGACCCGTGTTCAGCACTTACACAATTAGTGCCAAGAACGATCCTAACCGGAATTTCTCAGTCGACCTGAATGATCTAAGACTATCAGAGTTTAAGGAAGAGGTCAAGTCTAAGCTATTCGCAAGATATCAACCAACGTCGAAAAATCTAGTTCTACATCTAGTGCAGTCAACTTGGTCAACTAACAAGATCGACTTCGCCGTCAATACGAATACCGATGAGGACGAGTGGAGATGGATCGTGAGACATATCACCGAACCGAACATAACCATATCCCTTGAGTATTGGGTCAGCGACTGGGGTGAGTTTCCAATAGGTCATTTTCGAGGATAACAATAGCTAACATTATAAATTTGAAGCCGTGGAAAAGGGATCTACATGGGGACCACGCTACGATACTATAGAGCCGTTCACGCTGACATCTCAATTCGATTCGATGAACAAGTATTTTACACCGTATGACCCTCCAGTACGGAAGTTGTTTAGAGAATCAAGGAACAATTTAGATGGTGCGGTAAGGTCACAGAGGCTGAGAGAAAGGCTGTTTTGGGATAGCCCAAGCATGTTCGCCAGTCCGACTCAGCCCGCATTACCGCTTCAGGGTCCGCCTATCGAGACTATCATCAGGACGGGGCCCAACGTGCCGGCATTTACCACCGCGATGCGGACTCCTAGTGAAATGGCCCGACTCGAAAGAGAAGTCCATACGCTACGGGGAAATCTTCTCGACAGAGTTAGGGAATGCCCTTATAATGGCTGTAGGCAGGTTTTCCGCTTTCAAGATGGCAGCGAGCTCGATCGACACTTGCGAGAAGACCACACCACTCTCCAATGTTTCCTATGCGACAAAGAAAAACACCTACTCCGGTTCTATGATACTCAAAGTATAAGGCAGCACTTTCTTGACAAACACTACAATAACATTAAGGAGGAGCTTCTCGGGATCCATGGGAACCAGGAGTACCGTAGAGGGGATCCCAGATATTGCAACCGATGCGGGCGTGATCAGTCCATCTTGAACAACCCAGCCGATCGAGCATACCATGATAGTGTATGTAGGGTTGGCCCGCGCAGTCGTGCGGTATTCTGCGGGTTCTGTGGACGTACCAAAGAAAACGCGTCGGAAACATGCGAATGCGGCAAATTCATGGACGAGGAGTCGACGGAGGACTATATGATAAACTGTGTAACCTGTGGTATCGAATACGATTCAATCATGAGTCGGTCTTACCGCGAACAACACCGTTCTCACTGTAAGCTACCTGGTGGCAGACCCAACGATAGCTGTCTTGGTTGTGGTATAAGTCTCGCCGACAAGAGTGAGGGTGAAAAGATGTCTCACATGTCTTTGTGCATCAAATCATCACCGCAGCACAACACATTTACTGATCCCTCCGATAATAAAACGTTTCCAAACGTTTCCAAACTTCCTGACCCCACCGATACTTTCAAACCTCCTCTTAATAACACTGATGTCGTTCCTCCTCCCAAGTTTGAGATGAAGAAGCCTATTCTGAGCAAACCAGAATGGGTTAAACAACCCGCCCCCCAGCACCAGGATCCTGTTGACCCTATTGACCCCGTTGATCCAGTTGATCCAGATGATCCAGTTGATCCAGTTGATCCTGTTGATCCTACGCCAGCTGAAATTATAGATCTTCTCGATAGCATAGGTATAGAGGATCTTCTCAATACCCTAGGTCAAGACGAGTCTCCTATTGAGCCGCCATCATCATGGAGAGAAGCAACAACATCGGATCCACTCCCATATCGCCGAGGCCATTCTCCTCCATGGGATGAATTTCTCGAACCGCAGTCGAAACCCCGGTTATTCTTTCCGCAACCCGACTGGAGATGTTCCCGATGCTTCAGGGCTGCAGGAAAAAGCATAGATAATGCAGAGGTAAGTACACGCACCGACGTGCTTAAGGTTGGCGAGACATAAGCTCACACACTGAAATCACGATAGATGCACATGAACGAGAATGGGTCTTGTAGAATCCGTCGCTCCTTGGGCACGGCGAGGTACGGCCACATGCCTAACCGTAGTGGATGGATTGTCCCCGAAGAGAAATTTGACTTCAAGTCGGCGTACTACAAGTTTATCATCGAATATCCGGCATATAAACACACCATGTTCCCGGTGCGCGAAGAGAGCATCAAGTCGGTCTGGGAAGACCCTTACACTTTGGAAAAAGCGATCGGTTCCATCGAAGACGACCCGAACTACAGAGGGCCGAAGTATTTAGAGACTCGGAGCGATAAGCTACCATGGCCGCCGTATAAGGGCTGGACAATACCGCTAAACCGAGAGGAACTGGAACCAGATTCACCCAACGTTAAGAGCTCCGTACCCGAATATATAAAGGTCTTAGAGGGGGTAAGCAAAGACGATAGTGAGCTTAACGAAGAGCCTGATGAAGAAGAAGAAAAACTAGATGGTAACTCTGAGGCCACGATCCCACCCGAGGACAACATCCTGATATCGACAGAAGAAGATAGCAGCAGCCCGGCAACCTCTCCAACCGAATCGGAGGAATCAGATCAATCAGAGTTAGACGAGGAGTACGATCCGACCAAGCAACCGGCCGAGACAGGAGACGAACTCGAAGAAGAATATTCGGAGAGAAGCGCCGTGGAAGACCCTATTCAAGAATTAGATATAGCTGACGCCGATAAGTCTAAAAAGCGTACCACGCCGATAAAACCATCTTATGATGCTGAGGACCGTAGCTCGTGGCCGTCTGTTAAAAAGCGTGTCGGGCCATATCGTTCCAAGGTTAGGCCTAAACCTGTTCCTATTACCTTTGACCCTCCTTCGCCCCATGGGATTGACTACGTCCCATGGACCACCCCGCAACCGATCGAATCTCCTCAGCCGGAAGATAAACGTATTCAGATACCCGAATGGGATCCCGTCATCTCGGTCCCTCCCATCTGGGACGAGATGAGCGAGATTGGTCAAAAGCTTGGACGGGGTTCCCAGCCGCCGCTTATGAAACAATTTGCACCTATAGTGCCATCTTTCAAGCGATCTACATCTGGACCACCTTCAGCCAGGCCCTAGACTCGGGGAAAAGATTCCTTTGGCAAGAGAAGGAATTAAAGAGGTAGCTTGTCATCTATCATCTAGCCGGAGGGGGCCAATATAATTGAGCTGGAGCTATGTGTGTGTCGATTAGAGAGGATGAGATGTATAAGAATAGAAGCGCATTCGATCTTTATGGCTTGGATTTACAACTTGGATTTTCTTTTGTATTTGAGAAAGAAGTTTAGCCCGATCTAGAGTAGCTACTTAACTAACCTTCTACTCAGTTTATAGTTGGCCCTCCTATAACAAATGTGTTGATGAATAGTATTCTGATTTACAGGTAATATTTGCGTAGTGTCTCCGTGTGATATATTCATTCAGTATCCTCCATGTTAGACTCTATCAAACAGGATGCTTAAACTCGATTTTTCATGATGCCAAGTAACTCATATTGTGCTGTTCACTATTAATTCGATATCTACCTGTAACTTCTTAATTCATATATCAAATCGTCCCTACAGGATAAATGCTATTCATTTCGAAAGGACATAGATCTACAAGCTTTGCCAGAGCGACGAGAATGACGACACTACTGCAACATCAAGCAACGCATTTAACTCAGCAAATCCTTGCGGTTGCATTTTAGCACGTTGGTTCTTGGGTAAAATAGTAAAACAAGACACCTCTCCTTTCAATTCAACACGCCACGATATCAACGTTATTGGTCTATATGACCCCAACCTGATCCCCGATGCCCAACCCTTAAATTGGTATCATGTTCTGAAAAAGAGGAAACGAGAATGCATTCGCGTAGCCTAGGGCATTTCCTACTGGTCCTAAAAAAATAGACAAAGTAGAATAGAACGATGACTTCCGACTTCTGACTCCCAAGTTATGTAAAATGTAGCTAATGGTGGACATGCCTCATTCCCAACTAAGAGGCGTTTATGCACAAGTCCCTTCTACCGTAGCTAAGATTGATTATGATGATGCGGCGGTGGACACCGTCGCGCTAAGAGACGTACGTTATTAACGAGGCCGTCGACCAGATCTTCGTATCTATTCGGTTTCCTTTGCATGAGCATACGTCCATGCTCGATTAGATGACGCGCCTCCAATTCCACCTCGAGCTCGTGCTCCTTTGAAGCACCAGCAGGCACTTGGCAGGGTTGGCTACCCGAGGTCGCAGGTCCCTGCTTCACCTGCGTTAAATCGACCTGGTAGAAGCCGTGCTTATAACTGAGCCGATCCTTAATACGGTCCGGGGGTCGCTCCTTGTTGGGGTTCTGACCGCGTTCGATCTCTTCGACCGGACCATCCCAATCCCATTCTAGGTTGATACTTATGCGGCAGTCTAGGGGTAAGTGAGGGAAATGAATGTTTAAATCGGCAATTCGGGCCTTGACGATCTTGGCTAAAATATTATTGGCATTTTGTTCGTGGGTGGTGACGCGAGCTTTTATAGGCGCGCCTTGCTGCAGCAGGCCAGAAATGCAGGCTGGTACACGTTGACGCATATGGGGCGCGAGTTCGTAAAATCGATCAACCTCTCGGCGATGTACGTAGTGTACTTGCACGCGAGAGGCTGCAGCATGGCTGCGAGGGAAGGAGGCCTTCACCTGCTCGTTTAAGAATTCGTTGAGGTCGCGATGCTGATTCTATTGGAGGAGTTAATTAACAAACCAACAAGATTATACGAGCAGAAAAGGAACTTACCTCGGTCATGGAGCTGCGAAATGCAACCCTAGTGCTATCTAGCACACACTCGCCGGCCCTTATTCCAGGAAAGTAGATGCGGTCGTTGGTCATCTTGTCGATGATAGTACCGAGCTTAGCTTCGATCTCGAATACCGCGCCCCGGCTATGGATTTCTTCGAGATGAGGGAATTGAAGCACGTTGATGCCTAGAAAGTCAGCGACCTCGCGACATACAATATTCTTTGGTGTCTCGTTCCCAATGCTAGGCTCCCACGGGAACGGTTGGCCATTGAATGTAGAGGGGTCCTTAGCAACCGCAGGAGTCGGTTCTTCTGCTTTAACCCCAGGTACAGATCGTACTGTTTCGGGTGAGGCGTGGCGAGAAATATGATCAGACTTCACATGTCCGCCGACATCGTGCTGATTGTTTCCGTTGGCTGGACCGGGCGCGTTGGTCTGTTGGCGAATGTAATGTTTCAGAGCAAAATTGCGACTGGTTACTTTGGGTTGATCACGGTCTCTACCATTTTGCGCCCAGATCGGCGGCCTGTCGTGTAGGACACGTTTTCGACGCGGTGTCATCAGCGGTACTGATGACTGCTGCACTACAGCAGCTAGCGAGGCAGCACGGTTACCATTTAGCTGTGGAGGCGGCGGAGCCTTCCGGCCATTCTCAAGCTCATCGGGTCCGAGATCTCTATGCTCTAATTTCCGCTTCGCAGGAGTGCCGACGTGTTGGGGTTCCATGATGTTATTAACAATAGGAGCTTGTGGAGGACGTTGGGGATTGTAAGGATTTACGTCGCTGCTAGTAGAGGAAGGGCGATGGCCACCGTTGCTGGGTAGACTAGGAACACGTGTTTTAGGTGAGACACTGACGCTTCTATCACGTTCACTCCGAGACTGTGACCCGCGGTGTTCGGCAACAACGTCGTATGTGCTGTGACTACTGCCACTTGACATTCGCTGGATAGGAGCCGGAGGAGGCGGTTTAGGTGACGTCTGCACCGGCTGAGGAGGGTAGGCAGCAGAAACGGTAGAGGCCCTTTTTTGATACGGACTGGGAGGCTGCTTATAACTTACAGCAGGCGATAGTCGAGGAGGCAATGGTTGTCCTAAAGGTGTTAGAGGTTGAGATGATTGGCGTTGATGTTGAATTTGTTGTTGCTGTTGTTGCTGCTGTTGTTGTTGATCAATGAGAAGAGGATGAGGATGTATAGTCGCAACAGGACTGCCTTGAATATAAGGGGGCCCATATGGAGCCGATTGGCTATGCGCAGACGTGGGCGTAGGAGTGGATTGGATCGAATGAGATCTTTGATGTAAATATTGAGAACTACCACCGGGCGTACCTACAGGAGGTGTTTGTGGCAGTGGTTGCGCTTGTTGCTGGCTGTGCGCGTAAGAAATGGAACCGTGTTGTGGTTGGGGATTATTGTAACTATCACGAGAATAAGCACCCACAGGTGCACTCGGACCAACACCCGGACCAGCGCTAGCACTCGGTGGGCCGTATTGGTGTCTTTGCACAGGGCTCACGGGTGGCTGCTGCGTTGGAGGAAACGGATAGCCTCCGCTTACTGCACTAACAGACGAGGTAGGTGTTCGTCGATAGGGTGACGGTGCTGATATTGAAGCGCTTCCTGGTGATCGTAAATCGTGAGAGCCCGGTGGCTGGAGCGGAGGAACAGGTGGCCTACCAGCAAACGCGTTCGTCGGGGGGTTATATGAGGTTGGTGATTGGTACGGGCCAGCAGAACTCGGAGTACGACTTGGAAGATGAGCAGGACCGGGAGGAGGATATTCGTGTGGATGTTGGCCTGGTGAGGCACGAGTCGAGTGGCCGTAGTCTCTAAATGACTGAGGGTGTGGACTAGCTTGAGCTGGTGTTGAAGGCGCGACTGAGTTCGAATTCGAGTTCGAGATCGGGTTCGGAGTCGATATAACAGATGGTGATGTCTGTAAAGATGGTTGTTGAGGTTGCTGTTTTTTTAATGCGCCTCCGTCTGGTCCATTTAGTACATCGCGTAGATCCATCTTCGCGATATTGACTGTTTGCTCTCTTGATGATAATCTTCCTTGTTGGTTTTTCGGTTTCGTCTCTTCTTCTCTTCGTCGCACACTTTTTTTCTTTTCCTTTTTTTCCTACACTGAACGATCGAGTTCGCAACACATATACATGTACGGAATACACTTATACCACTTACACACGCATGCAACCGATAATATGTGCGCGCGCTATCTAGGCTTCTTCTCTCTCTTATCTCCCTTCTAACTCTTTAACTCTCTTCTTCTCTGTCGCGCGCGCGCACACAATTACTCTTCGCTCGTACTCAAGCCGACGTGCTCTTGCGTTATCGATACATTCAGGTGACGATATTCGGTTATTTTCAGACGAGGCAATCAATGCGACGGATTGTCGATGATGGCCTGGTATATGTTATGTAGCATGTAAAAAGTCGGTGGATGGTGCAAACGGAGGAGATGTCGGTTTGTCGGTTTGTCGGTTTATCGGGTTGGGTTGGATGTCCGCGCTTTAGAGCCAATATCGCGAAAGAAAAAAAAAATATTAATTTTGCATTTCCACCCTCTAAATCGGATCTACCCCCTCTAGATGATAACAATTCCCCTACGTTGCTATAGCGGTGTAAATAGATCAATAAATATTATAAAAATTATGCGCAATAATCAACGACGGTGATAGAATTGACTGATGGGTATTATTCCTTATTCCTAGTTGTACAGAATTGGTCGAATTATAACAAAGATTAGTTCCAGGGATGAATGCGAAAGCGTGCGTGACATGATGAATCGATCAATCAGTAGAGCTTTGATTTTATAAGGTATTTTTACCTATTCTCCTATCCTTGCATTAGGTATCTAAAGTATAAGTACTTAGAATGATGCATTATAAGTAGTGTATATCTAAGTACCTAGTACTAATAAAATCCAACATAAAATATAAAATAATTCCATAAGACAGGAAAGTTTTAAATAAAGCTTCTTAGATATGCCATGTTACTAACGGTACAGGCTATTTCTATAACGATAAGAGAAAGGAGAGTCGAATCTATCGAGTCTCGAGTACCTACCTTTAGGTATATAAACTCTTAACTGACAAGTTCTTTCAATAGCATTTGATCGAATTGGATAGTCAAATCTGATTGGCTATTTCATGTATGTAGCACTTGCGGCTTATCTCCTGGGGCTGGTACACTGTAATATTATGTAATTTTCAGGTTGCCAAGGCAAGCAGGCAGAGCTGCGCCTGACGTGGACCTGCTTTTATCCAAGCTTTGCATCTGTTATCTACATCAAAAATACATTTGAAATAACTTCACAATTTAACTTCTACTTAAATAAATACACCACATAAAAATAGATACATCATCACACCTGTCGCATTGCACAACACGGCGGACGTAATCGTCGGTACAATCCCGTAATCGGCTCAGTTCCGTTCCGTATATTCTCTTCTTTTCTCCCATTTCCCAACCGCCGAAAACAGTCGTCCAGTAAACGTCTCTCATACCTCATCACTTATTCACAACCGATTTCAAGATGCCTGGTTTGGTCACGGCTACTGGCGTGCTTGCGTTCCTAGCCGACGAGGAGCCCGAGCTTAAGGTATTCGCGCTGCAGACCCTCAATGACGATATAGACACTGTTTGGTTCGAGGTCGCCAGCGCTCTAGGCCAAATGTAAGCAAACTTTTGCATATCATCCGATATCTATCTTCGTATAATGAGATTCTAACCATCGGTGATCTTAGCGAAGCTCTCTATGAAGATGAATCCTTTCCCGAACGCAAGTTGGCCGCCCTCGTTCTCGCCAAAGTCTACTACCACCTTCAAGCCTACGATGAGAGCATGTTTTTCGCCCTAGCCGCTGGTGAGCTATTCAAACTCGACAATCCCGGAGAGTTTGAGGAAACCATCATCTCCAAATGCGTTGACCATTACATTGCTACTAAGAATGAGAATCACACCGTCGTCAGTAAGAAGGATGGGGACGCTTCTCTGCCTGCCCTCGCTACAGCTTTTTCGAGTACTACCACCGACGGCAATGCCTCCGCCCTCATCTCGCCCACGACTCCCTTCTCCCAGTCCACCCTGCCGTCTAAGTCTCTTCTATCTCGCGCTTCCACCGACAATGCAATTCTCGAACCTTCCTTCGAACCCCAGAAAAAGCAGCACCGGTCGTCCTCTATCGCTTTGACCCACAACGAACTTGACACCCGGCGTGCCATCGACAGCGTTATAGAGCGATTGTTCGAGAGCTGCTTGAGGGAGAGGCGTTACCAGCAAGTGGTAGGTATCGCTGTCGAAGCGAAGCGACTCGATGTGGTCAGCAAGGTTATCCAACGCGCAGACGATGATTATAAGCGTAACAAGGGCAAATCCGCGCAGGAAGATGCCATGGGCCCTGCCGAGGAGCTCCTCGATTACTGCTTAAATATATGCATGGACGTTGTGCAGGAGCGAGCTTTTCGGGATGACATCTTGCAGCTTATCCTTGGCATTCTCACTAGCGGCCGGGCTAAAGATCCTGACTACTTCTCCATCGCCAAGTGTATTGTCTATCTTAACAAGGACGAGCAGGCCCGCACAGTCATACAACATCTCATCAAAAGTGAGACCGTCGAGGCTATCGCCATAGCTTACCAATTTGCTTTCGACCTCTACGACAACGGCACGCAGGAGTTTCTGGGCAAGGTCATCTCTGGCTTACCCAAGGGCGAGCCACCTGCCGAGAAGAAAGAGGACGAGCCCACCGGTGAATCCGAGAGAGAACCTTTACTTGGAGATTCCGATGCTGGAGAAGTCGATGAGAAGAAAGCCGCGATCTATAAAAATATTCGCTCCATTCTCGACGGCACCAAAACCATCAAGCTCAACCTTGAGTTCCTCTACCGCAACAACCGTACCGACCTAAGTATTCTCAACAAGGTTCGGGATAGTCTTGAGGGACGGCATTCCATCTTCCACACAGCTGTCACTTTCTGCAATGCCTTTATGAACCAAGGCACGACCAACGACAAGTTCTTCCGAGATAACTTAGAGTGGCTAGGCAAGGCCGTGAACTGGTCCAAGTTCACTGCCACTGCGGCTTTAGGTGTTATCCACCGCGGGAACCTCTCCCAATCTAGGAAGCTCCTAGAGCCTTATCTCCCCCGAGGTGCCGGTGGTATTAGTGGCGGCTCTCCCTATTCGCAGGGTGGGGCCCTCTATGCGTATGGTTTGATCCACGCGAATCACGGCGCTGACGCCTTGGACTACCTTAAGACCCAGTTTGTTGCTGCCGAGGAAGAGGTCATCCAGCATGGTGGCGCCCTAGGCCTTGGTCTCGCTGGTATGGCTAGCGGAAACGAGGAGATCTTCGAGAATCTGAAGGCTGTTCTTTACGCCGACTCTGCTCTGAATGGTGAGGCTGTCGGTCTTGCGATGGGTCTGATCATGTTAGGTACCGGAAACGTGAAGGCTCTGGAAGATATGGTTGCCTACGCGCACGAAACATCCCACGAGAAGAGTGTGCGAGGTTTGGCTCTGGGTATGGCCTTGATCATGTATGGCCAGCAGGAAGGTGCGGACGTCATGATTGAAGGTCTTCTGATGGATCCGGATCCATCGTTGCGATACGGTGGTATTATGACTGTGGCAATGGCTTACTGCGGCACTGGCAGCAACAAGGCGATTCGAAAGTTGCTGCACGTTGCCGTCAGTGATGTGAACGACGATGTTCGGCGAATTGCAGTCATGAGCTTGGGTTTCATCCTGTTTCGCAAGCCTGGAAGCGTGCCTCGCATGGTCGAACTCCTCTCCGAATCATATAATCCCCATGTGCGTTATGGCTCTGCCATGGCACTCGGTATTTCATGCGCGGGAACGGGACTAGACGAGGCTATCGACCTTCTAGAGCCTATGATGAAAGATCCTACCGACTTTGTCAGGCAAGGTGCTTTGATTGCGTTGGCCATGATCATGATTCAGCAAAACGAAGTGATGAACCCCAAGGTTGCGTCGATCCGCAAGACACTGAAGAAGGTTGTCGGCGACCGGCACGAGGACGCAATGACCAAATTTGGTGCCGCCCTCGCTCTAGGTATTATCGATGCCGGTGGACGTAATTGCACAATCGGCCTGCAGACCCAGACGGGCAATCTGAACATGGCTGGTATCGTCGGTATGGCCGTGTTCACGCAGTACTGGTACTGGTTCCCCTTCACTCATTTCCTATCTCTGGCCTTCAGTCCAACCTCTATCATCGCTCTTGATCACGAGTTGGATATCATCGACGTCAAGTTTCACTGCGCTACCAAACCAAGCCTGTTCGACTACCCACCGGAGCAGGAGGTCAAGGCGGAAGAGGGACCGGCTATGATTGCCACCGCCATTCTCTCCACCACTGCCCAGGCCAAACGCCGAGCCCAGAAGAAAGAGAAGGCGCAGCGACGAGAGAGTATGGATATCGACTCCACTGCCACTCCGACCACCTCTAAGCCAGGTGCTACCGGTGATAAGATGGATGTCGACACGAAGACCAAATCCGGTGATGATACCAAAGATAAGAAAGAGGGCGATACCCCTGCACCAGGAGACAAGGAAGGATCAACGCCTCCTGCAGATATCAAGAAAAAGGTGGAAAAGGAGAAGCCGGGCTACGATATTGAGAATATGAGCCGCGTTTTACCCGCGCAGCTCAAGTACATCAGCCTCGCCAAAGGTCGTTACTGGCCCGTCAAATTAGTGAGACCTGGTCCATTAGTAAGACGATCAACAACTTTTACTCGCTTCATAATGCTAACTCTGAATACAGCCTACCGGCGGTCCTATACTACTGCACGACACGCAGCCCGACAAGGAAAAGGCGCTGATCGAAGAAAAGCTCAAGAAGGTAGCAACAGAGAAGGCCCCTGTCGCCGGTGCTAGTTCACGCAATCCACGATCCGTCGAAGAAGCGCTCCTCAGCCGGCTTGGACGAGACCAGCTCGCTACTCCAAGCCGGAACACGAGTGGCGCTGCTGCCGCCGCCGGCGTACTAACTGCTATCGATGAGGATGGCGAAGGAGACGAAGAAGCGCAACCTCCCCACGATTTTGAGTACTATACCGATGAAGAGGAGGATGACTAGACGTCACATTCTAGATAACGGCAGCCGTGTGAACTTGTATCTTAATTGTAACATAGATGATCCAGTCCCGCGCAATAATTAGCATAGCGTCCTAAGCCTAAGAGTACTACTAAATATTCTGATCTTCAACTCTAATCGAGCTAGTACGTCGACATCAGTTATAATTACTCAAGCCCGACTGCTATAAGTAATTGTATTATCCCTACGCCAAATGCTGACTTAAATACGCATTCTAATAGTTAAAGTGCATACTAAACGGGTTTACTCGAGCCTCGTCTACTGGAATAAATTATCGCGTAGATTCTCGCTATACCTAGGAGGTAGTTATCTTTAATAATGTAAGAGATATCCCTCCCGAATCTACCAGCTTTCCGTCCCCTTTTATAAATATGGATAACCTCATTCAGAGTCACATATTCCTCCATCACTATTAATCGGCCTTGATTATTTTATAAATTTCAGAAGCATATAGGGACTCATTTCATAGATTCTTATATTCGTATGCGCTACTAATGAATACAGCACTCCCTACATCCCATCGGCAAGCATAGCATTAACTAGTTGGACATGACGGTCCCCGTTTGTCTCGCTCCACTCGCTCTCGTAGTTTAGACCGTAAGGCCAAAAGTGGCCGCCACCACAGCTTATCTTAGCATTAGAACCATCCCACGACCGAAGCAGTGGCGTTGCTTTCGGCCAATTATTAGCCGCGCAGTGCTGATCGAAAGCAGCCGTCTGTCCGACTCCAAGCGTGTGAGCTATCTCGTGCATCGCCGTGCGCTCGGTCATGTAGGACCGATCCGAGCCGAATCGAAGGTCTCCGTTATAGTTGGCTTCAGCCGTGGGTACGCCGGGGGAATAATAAACTCGAATAGTCTTGCTAGCGCTCGTGAAGCGGGAGTATCGCGCAACAGCAAGCTTCATGGCAGATTCGATGCGAGTATACGCCTCCGATTGGTCGGCCGTCGGGTTGGAGGCTTTCTGCAGCGTCCATGTTATCGCTCCCGACACGGCGGAGGCGTAGGTTAGCGTTGCGGCAAGGATAGAGAAACGCATGACGGATGGCGATCTTATGGTGTTGATGATATCGATGGGATTTGTGTAAATCGGTTCGGAAACCATCTACACCAAAAGTCTGGCAGTTTACATATATATAACGGTTTCTTCTTCCCCTGCCGATCTCTACGAATATATTAGCTTTAATATAGCATTACCTTGTTCCTTGATATGCTCTTTGTAGATTAATAGCCCTGGCGGGCGTTTTGATAAATGCAAAGAAGCTCGTATGGTGGTATTAAGCCGCGGAATAATATCCAGTTCATCCACTTTGGTATCGTTACCTTCCTAGGGCCCTTATGATTTTCGGACGATTGCCCTCCGATAGATATCATATTGAAACAAATCTCGAGATCTTGGCATCTCGGGCTAGAAGCCGCTCTTGTCGTGGTTCCTTGGCACGCATATGCCTTCTTTTACGAATGTAACATATTATAAGTGAAATAAGTCCCCAGGCTAAGATACATATATCCACATCAGCCATAGCTACCTACCTACCTAGGTAGGTAGGTAAGTTTCAGATTATTGGTATGGACCTCACTAGCTTAGATGTAAACCTACCAAGCTACGACTATAAGGTCCAAACTCATCGTGTTAATACCAAGCGTTTGTTCATTTTTAATTTTACCGCGTTAACCTACGGACCCTTGAGTGTAAACACTTGTTAAATCTTAAATCTTAAACATTATTATATATATCTGGCTATGGTACATTCAAGACTATTTCGAGCTAGAAGGGACAACTAGAGCCCCTATATTTTTCGAATACAATAAGTTTTAAAGTATTTAAACCAAAATATCCCCCCGGTTAACAAGACTATAGCCAAGCACTCACATCATCATATATAGCTACGTTAAAATATGCAGTCAAGATCTTTAAAGATCACACAAACTTGATTTTATCTTTAGATAACTATCGAAGCTGTTTTACTAAAGTTATAGTTATTGCCAGCACCGATGAATTATACTACAGCAATTGAGGGAATATAGATGTTATGAATACTGTAATAAGCCGGATACCGGCTCGGAGCCGACATATCACAGGTCCCGAATGCCGTGAGATGATCGGAACTCGGAAGGAAACGAGACGGAAGGCGTGGGTACCTAGCTGTATGGTAACGATTAGGTACCTAAGGCTAGCGGTATGACTTGACCAATTAGGACTGATTATACGTTGCTGACAGGTTTTCAGCCCTGCTAAATGCAAAAGCTTATAAGGGTAACAGGGGATTTCTAGCGGTGAGTAACTTCCACTAATATTCTTCGAACCTTCTCCTTGGATTCCATCCATCACCCAACCATTCGTCATTCGTCATTCGTCATCCAATCCTAAGCCACCAAACCTACAGATTACAATCTTCAACCAACCCTTTCTTTTAACTGTCACCTACGTGTAAAGTAGCATCAATTATCGGTGAGTACCAATGTAAGTGAAGACAAGAGATAAAGCAAGCGTCTACAAGCATATAGAGAGACGTAGTTCGTCTTTCGATTTTTCGTAAATGCTGCGAGATCGGACTTGATTGGATTTTGTGGTAGGCTTCGTCTCTTATCGGTTGTTTGCCCAACAATTCATCGTCGCTTTTCCGACCAACTCGCAATGTTTTACAACTCATCATCTACCGATATATCTTCATTTTCTCTTAATCTGTCATCATCTTTTTTTCTCACTTACATCAGTCAGTCAGCGCCTTATACAGAATCACGGTTTAGCGGCAACCGGCAGCCGAAAAATTATTGATTCCGGGACGGGAGTTTTCTATCTTCTTGACTCACGTTTATAATTTTTTTTATCCTTTTTAGAAGATTTAGTCTTGTTCGTGTTTTATTGTTCTCTTCCTACCTTTCTCCTTTAAGGTTGCGATTAGATTTAAATTGCACTATATTTATTTATTTTGTTTATTCTAATTATATCAAGATAGTTCCTCCTAAGCACGTTTGCCATCTTTTCTTATCTTGGTGTTTTTATTTGCTTTTCTAGTCAAAGCACAAAATTTAAATTTTGTTAGAGTGGGAAGAGGTTCCGTGCTTCGTCGCCTTGACGAACCCACGAGTTGAGGAATCGCCTCTATAAATTCAACTAACGCCACGCCGCTTGTCTGCAGTACGCTGTTATGGACATATCATTGATACATCCTAATTCAACTTCACCTTAGGGTAAGACTGACGAGGTCTCTAACTTACGCCATGTCGATACCAACCTCACGGCAACTTAGTCTAGAGTTGTTTAGAGCAGCAAGACGATATCGACCAACTCTTCAGTATCTTCAAAAATCTGAGATTCGACAACCGGTCGATTCCTACGCTAGATTCTTTAGCTTCCAATCAGCTTTTCGAACTGCGTCGTTCAAGACGGTGCCGAAACCACCTCCTAATGCTCGTCGTCTGCGCCCCTTCCCCGTCCTCGCTGCAGGCGGTGGACTCTTCGCCGTACTCTTCTCCGTCCTTCAACCTGTTTCCCACGAGCCTCTTGAGGTGCCCCGAGACGCAGACCCACCTCCCGACTCGGCTTCTAGCGACGATGACGACGGTTTGCCACGCTATAAGCTTTCAGAGGTCAAAGAGCATGGACCAAAATCCGAAAGGCCTTGGGTGATATACGAGGACAAAGTATACGACATAACAGATTGGGTCCCTGCCCACCCGGGTGGTGAGGTTATCCTCCGTGCCGCTGGCGGTAGTATCGAACCGTATTGGAATATCTTCTCTATTCATAAGTCGCCGTACGTCCGCGAGATTCTTGAACAGTATGTAGTTGGAAAGGTGCATCCGGATGACCTCGAGAACGGAAGACCGCTACAAGACCACATCGAAGATCCTTTTATGGCAGACCCAGTCAGAGACGCAAGGCTGATAAAGCTGACGCAGAAGCCGTGTAACGCAGAGACACCTGGGAATGAATTGGCAGAATCTTTTCTAACTCCCAACGAGGTTTTCTACGTCCGTAATCACATGTGGGTTCCTGTCGTGGAAAATGCCGAAGCCGAGGATCATAGCATCACTGTTGAACTACCCGATGGTGACATCAAAACCTATAGCATTAAGGATCTCAAGGCTCGTTTTAAGCAGCATACTGTAACGGCTGTTTTACAATGCTCTGGAAACCGACGTAACGATATGACCCGTTATGCGAAGAAAACAAATGGTTTACAATGGACGGTCGGCGCTATCAGCTGCGCAAAGTGGGAAGGTGTGCGACTACGAGACGTCCTCGCCGACGCCGGCATGTCTCTCGAAGACCCGGGAGAGGATGCCCAGCACGTCCAATTTTCAGGACTAGAAGCATATGGTGCCAGCATCCCTATCGCGCCGGTCCTCGATCCCATGGGAGACGTGCTCCTCGCATTCAAGATGAACGATGCCCCCCTTCCACGCGACCACGGTTTTCCGGTTAGGGTGATTGTTCCAGGTCACGTAGCGGCCAGATGCGTCAAGTGGGTGAACAAGATCGTGGTGAGCGACGAAGAGAGTAATACGACATGGCAACGGCGGGATTACAAGTGCTTCGGACCAAACGAAGTCAAGCAGGATTGGGACAAGTACAAGGCTATCCAGGTAATGCCCATTACGAGCGCGATCACGCGTACGAGATTAAAGCCTTCAGAAAAGATACCGGGCAAAAATACCAAGGAATTAGGCGAGAGACCTGTTGTTCAGATAGAAGGGTACGCCTATTCGGGTGGTGGGCGAGAGATCCAGCGTGTCGATATAAGTCTTGATGGTGGGGAGACGTGGGACCAAGCACAGCTGGTTGACGATACTAACCTCGAAAAAGGAAGTAAAGCTTGGTGCTGGAAGAGGTGGCGGTACGAGGCCGGGTTGCCCGAAGTTGCGAAAGGCTCGAAGGGTGCGTCGAAGACTACCCTCGTCGTCAAAGCCACGGATGACGCATACAATACCCAACCTGAGACCCACAAAAGCATATATAATATACGCGGTAACTTGGCTACAGCATGGCATCGCGTGGATCTCGACTACGCCACGGCTTCCAAGGATACAGAAAAAGGCAGGAGTAATGAATAAATATCATATAAACCTATGGTAGGAAAAGACGGGCCTGTTGGCCAAGGTTTACTTGTTGTATACTAACGGTGTGATAAGCTTTGATGTTTAGGTCGTATGAACCGACGCGGTTTAGCTCGACTTTCGAGAATGGGAGTTCTTGGTTGATACGACTCGGAAATGCAGTGTAAAACTTGTCTAGCATTAGACTGATTTAATAGCTAACAGGTAATGTTTTAATATAGATTCACATTTAGATGAAGTCTATTTTTTGATAAGAACCATATTTGTTAGTGGTATATTTAAAAAGGGTATATTATCATTATCATTTCCTCAACACAATATCCACGCCAACGAAACGCCTGCCAAATATACAAGTTTACATCCCTATTCAAGATGCGCAAGGTAGATAAAACAGTGTCGTGTTAATAAAAAAAAAAACAAGGCCTATTTTATGTATAGCCATAAAGGGAATTCAAAACCGTCATAGCTAGGGTGATTATGCGCCAGGTTGCGCGTGCGGCTTACTGACGTTATGACCACGGCTCCGGAGAGAGTCGATAGCGTCGATGACGGTAAGAAAGGTGAAGAGAGCCCTATTTAATATATTAGTTAGTTATTCTTAAGTACTTAATTTCATTTAATTGTGCCTAGTTATGAGAGACAATAATAAGAGTAACTATCTCAAGTCGGAAAACGTACCAAAGGAAGAAGCCAAAAGCAATAGCAGCCTTAGCGGAACCACAAAACGAGTTCGATCCACATTCGTAGGGCCCGCCGACGAAGACGGCGAGTGCGATTGAGCCGGCGAACCAGAAAATGGTGGTAACGGCGTTAAGGGCGAGGGCTGCCAACCGGTGGAAGACGCTCGTCAGGTATAACGGCGTCACACCCACGTAGATCAGTACTAATAACGACCATACCGAGTTGAATATCATGAAATTGATGCGCGATGGTGAGTAGCCGCCGAAGCCAAACCAGCTATCGTACCGACTGGCCACTATAAAATACGAGAAGTTAGCAATTCCATCTTTATCGATTCTAGTTCTCTTTCTCTTCTTTAGGGGTGGTATCATTTTTTAGGGTAGATGGGGTTTATTCGGGTGCAAATAACATACAATATGCGGTTAAGCCAAGTTCGATGATGGCGAAGACGGCTGCCACGATGTGGACGATGGGGACAAACCCGTACGCCATTGTGACCGAGTTTATAAGTTTAGATATGTAAGAAGGTGGTTTTGCGAGGATAAATTCGTTCTTTTAGATAGAGATGGGTGGTATGAAATTATCTGATTATGAAATTATGGAAGTGAAGCTAGATTGTTGGGTATGTTTGATTTACAAGAAGCAGGGCTTTTTAAGGCAGGCAAGGTTTATATGTATGGCAGTATCATGGCCATTCGTAGTCTAACATGACCAGGGACTTACATGTGGCATGGCGTGGCATGACGGGGAAAGCTGGTTACGGCACATCCAAGATGTGATGACGATTCGTCCAAAGTGTGCGCGATTCGCAACGGAAACTTGGAACTATGCTACGGAAAGGTAAGTAATAATACCTTGTAAGTGGTATATACCTTAGCCACTATGCCTATGCGCTGCGTTGCGCTATGTAAGTGCCATTATGTAAGTGGTAAGTGACATGGATCTCAAAGTCCCAAGTTCTGAAAAGCTCGAGTGGATGACGTGACGTGGACTAAACCAGTCATATTTATTCTAAGAGGCGAATAAGACGTAGGCTTTGAGGCTGGGTTCAATTGGTAGGTGTATGTATGTACCTAGACTGGTTAAAATGGTAAAATCCCCATCACATTCTTATTCGGCATTGTTATCCGAAGTTTGCTAGGTTACTAATTTTTTACAAAGAAAATAGATAAAAGAAAAAAAGTATCAACTTAATGTGTTTGTCTTTCGTCATAAGGCGAAGAAATATTATGACGTAATTGAGTCGATCTTAGGGCCTTAGGTAACCCCAAGCAAAGTCTTTACCATATTCAGCCAACAGCTTGGCGCGTGACTAATTCGATTGGCCGATTAAAATTTAGCAACTTTTGGATTGAATACATACATTGAGGTACCTAAGGTATAATAAACCATTTAAAGATATTAAAATAGTGTTTTACATCTCAAATTTTGAATGGCATGAGATCCACTTGGATTTGATAATGAATTATGTGATAATATTACTATTACCATCTATAAATCAAGCTATAGCTTAATAAAGGGACCAATCCACGAGTGATAAGGGTTATCTTAAACCCTTGAAGCTAACAAGCTATATTAAACTGTATTATACTATAACTATGTTATATTTCTTTAATAGCATTGTAATTGTTCTCGGCATTTTTCTCGTATGGGTAAACTAAACATAAGTAACTCACCTACTTGGTGCGTTCTAGTAGCATAGTTACGCCCTAGTTCCTATATCTTAAAATAAAAAGACGTTTTGGTAGCAAACACATAAAAGATTAAATATGTCTTTAGACATATACTAGATAGATTAGATATAAAGTTACCCTCCCTCAGCGTACCTGTTCTTATCAGTGCTCCCATACATATTAGATACCCGGATCTCGTCCCCGCCTCCGCCCGCATCATGCAACTCAGCGGCACCGCTATGAATTATTCCAAAAGAGTCATAAATCCAAAGAAAAAAAAAAGAAATTCTAAAGAAATGTCATACATGAATAAGAATCTATCACCTAACCTTAGCAACAAGCTGCTTCAGAGGCCAAAACCGATACACTATGGCGTCCTTACTAAACTTCCCTATCGAGATCCTAAATTATATCATAGAGTCGATGGATCCCCATGATAAACATGCCTTTTTTCAACTAAGCCTTACATGCAAGCTTCTTAACGAGTTAGCTACGCCGATCATGTATCAAACGGTAGCATTCTGGGAGCCGACAACCGCGGGATACCAACGGGCTCCCATCCCAGCTTTCATTCGTTCCGTCTTGTCCTTTCCCGCGCGAGCTTCTATGGTCACATCATTTGCCGTTGGCGGCCTCGCTTGCGGCAAGGATCCCGAGGTCGTTAACTTCAACACTTTCATAAACGGTTTAAGAGAGGCTGTTCCTGACAAGTCGATACTGGAGTTATGGGAGAGGCACCTGTTTAACTGTAAAGAATTGCTAGATGATCGTCTGCTTCCGGGTTGCATAGCTTTTCTCGCAGCGCTGTGCCTTCCACGTCTCAATAGAGTATTCTTCAGAGACCACTTCTCGAACTCGCAATGGGACTTTCTAAGAGATATCTTGGAAGAAAATGCGAATGGAGGGGAGGGGACCCTAGTACATAGTGTTTGGCCTGTGCTAGACTCGGTAACTATACACGGTGAGGGGAGAATAAAAGCATAGCTGTCTTACAGAACTAACTTTCCATATAGACATGAGTCACGATTATTACACTGGCGATTATTATACGCCACTGGCGGTATTTGCTCTGCTACCGGGAGTGAAACGGCTTCAGGCTTCCTGGCAAGTTGATCCCGTGGTGGTAAAGCAACCCTCGTGCCTTACGCTGCTTCCACTACATAGCACTGAGCTCGAAGAACTTATACTGCAGCCTATGTGTTATATCCATCCATCCTGTTTAGATATATTACTAAGAGTACCCAAAAATCTTAGAATATTTAAATTCCAAGTTAGAGCATTGTAAGTAATTCACCCCATTAAATAGGTCACGATCTTAAGCCCTGCTTTCCTTATATCTCTGGTCGAACTTAGCTCACATTACCATCAGGGCCGATTACGATACTCCCTTCGAATTGAAGTGGCTAGAGCGCTCACTTTGTCACCAGTCCCACTCTCTGGAGCACATCTCGCTCACGCATAAGTGGTATGAGGAAAATCCCAGGCTCGCCAGCGAAGTCCAAATCGAACCCATGTCATTTTCCAATTTTATCGTCTTAAAGACGATAGAAATTTCACCAGCATTCGTCTTCGGTAGCCACGCGCTCCAGCTGGAAAGAAGGGGATTCCTCCGTTCGGTTGATGTTCCCGATTCTTGGGGTTTGAGCACCGAATCTACAAAGTCGTATGTCGTAGAGATGCTCCCTAGGTCGATAGAAATCTTGCGCTTTGCGCAGTGTTACGAATATCGGGACGCTAGGCGACTTGATCTCGCCTTAATACAACTCCTCCTATGCAGAGACGAGCGCTTTCCTAATCTCAATACTATTGAGATTCACATTATGCATTTCTTAGAAGAAAATTGGAGATTTGATTTACCCTGGGTCACCGTCGAAGCTCGGGCGAGAGGTGTGAGCGTAAAATTCTTCAAAGGAGGGAGGCTTGGGTTGGAGCATATTGGAGGGGAAGACCTTAGGGAATTTTATCCCCAGAAATATGAGGAGGATGATGAGGCTTACCAAGCGAAGGAACTAGATGATTCGGATTTTCAAGAACTAGAAGAGGAAGATGACGACGATGACGATGATGATGACGACGACGATGATGATAGTGAAGATAGTGAAGATAGTGAAGAAGACGATTAGTAGATAATTTTTAGTATTCGACTCTTGCGAAGCTTGGTATATAATGAGATTAGGTGTTTATAGAGTAGCTGCTTGTTAATGCTTGTCGATTTTAAAGCATCGATTATTTCGGGTTTCGATCCTGCGTTAAGAGTCTCAAAGAAGAATACCAAGCCTTTATGTCGTATTTCATATTTATTTTTATTTATTTTATTTTATCTGATAAGAGAAAAGTAGGTAAACAATAATCTCATTCTAGCGAATCATAGCACGACATTGCAGCACGATCTTTCTTCTATGTAGAACTCGGGTTCCTGTCATACTAGGGTGCCACGTGCTTCCATACTGAGCTTGGTGTGGTCGAGTTGAAGCATCTTCTCATCAATCTCATGTACTGAACATTGTCATAGGGCATTGTGCTATGTAGGTATGTAAGTTGAAGCAAAAGATAAAGCGGATTATGTATAGTTATTCTTATTGTACCTAATCTTATGTATGAAATACCTGCGTCCAAGGCCTCGGTGAGCTTCCATGCAAAGCTAGGTAATCCTTGGTACGCCACATACATGCATCGTGCTTCTTTATTCCATGTTTCTATTGGACAATGGCTAATCAGTCAAGGATCAAGCTATGAGTAGGTACCTACATATTATTTCAGCTTCGGCCGATCTCTACTAGGTATTGTTGATATGCAAACCGTGTCGGTAATCTAATAAATAGCCTTATCCTCAGCTTTTGCGATCCTATTAAAATCTTAATGCTCTATGCCGTGACTTCTTCTCGTAGTTTGTCCATTTTGATCTGTTAAAAGCTTGTATTAATTACTCGCTATGTACGTCAAGACAGCTTCGGTCGTTGCGGTCATCTTCGCCGCAAGCGAGGTATCTGCTTTGCCAAAGGTACCCGAGTGGTGGAAGCCAAAATCGTGGAATCCTCCGCCCCAGCACCGTTTCCAGAATGCCGAGCTCGGACCCCGTCCGCAATACCTTGTGGCCGATATGGACGAAGGATGGCTGAAGAATCGGCTGTCCGCATGTTCTGACGTGGAAGCTCGGCCATCTAGGTTCAGTATCGGTCACCGCGGCGGTGCCTGTCTTCAATTTCCCGAAGAGACTCGGGAGTCGGTCGAGGCTGGCACGCGCAGTACTACACCCTATACGTATAACCAAAAGAGGAAATTACTGACTTGCTATTCAAGTGGGCGCTGGAATTCTCGAATGTGATGTCGCTTTTACTAACGACCGCGAGCTCGTGTGTCGACACGACCAATGCGATCTTCATACGACGACTAATATCGTCGCGACGGAACTAGGCGCTAAGTGCACGACGCCCTTTACGCCGGCAAGAGATGGCACGCCAGCAACTGCTAAGTGCTGTACCAGCGATATTACGCTGGCCGAGTTCAAATCCCTGTGTGGGAAGATGGACGGCTATAATGCATCAGCTACTACTCCGGATGATTTTCTTCATGGGACACCCTCGTGGCGGACTGATCTCTACGCTACTTGCGGCACGGTCCTCTCGCACAAAGAGTTTTTACAGCTTGTCGATTCGCACGGGCGGGATTTTACGACCGAGCTTAAGCAGCCGCGTGTGCCGATGCCTTTCGACGGTGATTACACACAAGAGAAGTACGCGCAGCAAGTAATCGAAGAATACCGAGCGGCGAGAATCGATCCAACACGCGTCTGGTTACAGAGCTTCTCGTTCGCCGACGTGGCCTACTGGCTGCGCGCTGATCCCGCATTTGGCAAGCAAGCAGTGTTACTAGACGAGAGCGGTGACCTTCCAGGGTCTTTCCCGGCCGCCGTAGCCAATTTGTCGTTTTATAAGGATGCCGGCGTACAGATTGTGGCGCCTCCGCTTCCGTACCTCGTTACGCTTGGAAAGGACGGCGAGTACGTGCCGTCTACGTATGCGACGACAGCGCGGAAGCTGGGGTTAAAGATCCTGACGTGGTCTCTCGAGCGCTCAGGACCACTCGCTCAAGCAGCAGCCGCCGGCGACTATTACTATTTGACTATCGCTAATGGTACGCATAAGGATGGGGATATGTATAGGCTTGTTGATGTTTTGGCGCGGGAAGTCGGTGTCGAAGGTATCTTCTCGGACTGGTCCGCTACTGTCACCTATTATGCCAACTGCTTTGGATTTTTCTAAACACGAGATAGAAATCAGGGACGAGATACTTGCAGCTGCGATTGTTAGTATGGATTGAGGGATCTACCTGTATAAACGTCTGGCTAGATACGGTAGTAGAATCCGGCTTATGTTTCAATGAAATCATGTAGAGAAGTATCTCGGCTGTAAAAACCATGGGCTCTTGTATTGTGCGTCTCAAACGTGAGCATGTATCTACCTTGTGAGTACCAGTAATTTAATAAGACTGCTGTTATAAGCATATAAACTTAAAAGGAGGGCCATACTCCTTTAGCAGTATGCACATTTTGCTCATCAGTGTACTTCGAATCAGAAAGAAAAAATCTATAGCTCCTCTTTTCTGATGGATAGTTGCCTTACTCCGGCGTTGAGCGCTTTCAGATGTGCCCATTTTGGCGCGTCCTCACCTAATCCCCATGCGAATACGCCGCCTAGCTTTTCCTTTTCAACGATGCGAGGGAACTTCTTAGCGACGGCTAGCGGAGTGTCAAAGGTCCACCATATAGCCTCATCTTGATCCCAGTAGTAGTAGCCACCCCCCACTTCATCGTAGCTTCCTTTTGTAATGGCCTTGTTGAACGATGACTCGACGTCTTCAGGGACGGTATCGCGCCACGAGAAGGACCCAGCTCGGCCCAGGTCAACGCCCGTTTCCGGGTCTTCCATTAGACCGGTGGGACAACCGATTGGGTTCTCTACGCACGGCGCGAGCTCAGTGCAGAAATACTTTGCGTAAAAAGCAAAGCCGAGGTTGATCTTGTCGCGTGTTGCTCCCCTTTCCAAGTACGCATGGACAGAGTCTAAGCTAGCTTGAATGCCGGTGTGGTGTTTCGTCACATTATCACGGCGGTTCATCAGGTCGTAAGTCATAACGTTCAAGAAGTCGAGGGATTCCATGATACGGGGGACGGTCTCAGCTTTAAAGGCGAGCATGTCTCTTAAAAGACCTGGTACCGCTGCAGATATAATTTTATCCGGGCCTAGAGCCTTGCGTATATCGGCGAGAAACTCTGGATACGCGGCGACTTGCCAGGTTCTCTCCTCATTGGGAACCTTCTTCCAGTCTTCACCGTTGCCTCTTGGATGGATGTTAGTTTCACACTATAGAAAAACGTTTGGGCTAAAGGCAAAGCGGGGATACAACGTACGCTGGATATTCCCAATCAATATCGACGCCTGCGATGTGCTAAGCGTCAGCGGGAAATATCTTTTTACAAGTGGTACTACGTAGGGTCCGCAAACTAACCATCAGCACCAGTATCGCGGACCATGGCGGCTACATTTTCAGCAAATATCGCGCGGCTCTCATTCGTACGTGCGCCGGTATCGAAACCGGCCGAGTCACCCCAGCCACCGATGGCTACTAACACTTTGGTTCCGGGGTTGAATTTAGAGCGAGCTTCACTAACGGTCATGAACAGAGGCCATGTAGAGCTGCCAGCGGGATGATTGAATAGGCTAGGGCTCATGAATGCCATAGCTACATGAGTGATAGGCGAGCTAAGAGGTTGTTCGGGTGTAATGGGATGTTGTCTAATACATTATCATTAGAATGAGAATGAGAACGGGAACTGGCAAAGCATAGGTAGCTTACCCTGTGAGGTACATGATGTTCCGGAGAGGCGTAGCCGCGGAAACCATCGTGGCAACCGAGAGGAGGCATGTAAGTGACTTTTGAAAGATAATGGGAATCATGTTGACGGTTGATTGAGAATTACAAAAACGATGTTGAAGAGAGATGGATCATATTATTTTTGGGGGGGTTTGAAAATAAAACTAGGTATCTATGATTAGGTAGGAGGTAGGAGGTAGGAGGTGAATTTATATTTAATATACACCTCCTTCTTGAATTATAGGTATTTAGGCACATGCACCTGTCAATCTTGAAATACATGTAAGTATTAAAGATGTCGTAGCTGCCTTCTTAGGTTTCTCACAGTTTGTTATTTCAGAGGTATTCAGAGGTACATGTAGGTAATCTGTACCTACCTCCTAGGTTAGTGGATTTCGGCAGCGGGAGTTAGCTCTTATACCCTTGCACGATATGCCTGTATGCCTCTAATGTACAGGGGCAGCCCTGGAAGATATTAATCAATTGAGGTTTCCCCCTATTAATAAGCCTTTTCGGTTACCGGCTTAAGGTCACATTGGGGATCTCGGGAGATCGTCCTTTTCACCCGCCTTCCTCCAAAATACATATCGTCAGAGGCTGTCACCTGCTTTGTTGTCATAAATCATCACATCCAGTAACATTAAAAAGATAATAGCGGTTCTTCATATTCTCGTATTGACGCTAAATTATCCTATATGATTTCTTTTTAGATGTTGTTAGTTATATCTTGTCTAGTTAAGTATTCTGTTTAACTAGAATAGGTTACGTCTATGTAATATATAGATGGAAGACCCAGCCGGATGGTTCACGAAAACGAAACGAGCGACAGGCTACCGTAGTAGAAACCCACTACATAGACATGCGCATTGATAAATCCCCCCCTGCATACTCATGTGTGTCCTAGTGCTATTTGGGTTTAAAATATAGGTGAGATACCTGTTATTTAGTTATTCGATTTTCATTGAATAGTTTCGCCGCCTCCTTTCCCTTGTCTCGATTTGAAATAATATTAAATATTAAATACCAAACATCAACGTCATCTTGGAGCCGAGTATGTTGTCGGCCATTTGACTCGATTAGGATGGAATCTAGCTTGAATTTCAATGACCCGTGGGATTCGGAGATGACAATAGGTAGTGGTAGCGAGATCGCTGTCGCAAGGTCGGAAGATATAGACGACGGGCTTGAAGATGCCGACTTTGATACCGCGTCCGCAAGCAAGTTTGGGAGTATTACTTCGTCTATATATCGCCATGCCTACGAGAACGGCCGAAGAGTATTACCAAAACGTTCGAATCTAAAATATGGATCACTAACCGTCTCACGATAGTACCATAAGTATCGATACGGAGCTTGTAGGTTGGTTATTCCTCTGACTATTTAGTCTTTCATCTGTATTTTTACTTGGAAGGAAAAGTCCATGCATCTTATTACACCATTGCACCTACAGCTTCATATTTGCAAACCGCTCCTCCAAGTATCCACAGCTAATATATGCTATAGATCTCATCCCAAATGACGAGACTGAGCAGAATAGGGATGACATCAAACATGTAGCAAGCTTAGAGCTCACGAGGTATGACTTATTTTATAATGTGACAATGGTAAGGATCCTATTACTGACAGATGGTAAAGGGGGAAATACTTTTTTGCCCCAATCGGTGAAACCCCTCAGAAAATAATAGATTTAGGTACTGGAACCGGGTCTTGGGCCATCGAAGGTGAGCTGAATCTTTGAATGTTATAAGCGCCGCTTAAACCTGGTTTGCTAAGTTTTATCGTTGGAACTTTTGTAGTCGCCGATATGTTCCCCAGCGCCCAAGTTGTCGGGTGCGACTTGAGTCCTATTCAACCTTTCTGGGTCCCCAGTAACGTCAGTTTCGTTGTTGACGACATCGAAGACGAATGGGTTCATGGCGACGATTGGGATCTTGTTCACATTCGTCAGGTCTTCTCGGCGATTAGAGACCCCCCTGGAGTTTGCAAGCAGAGTTTCAGGTAAGTCCGGTCTCGAAGACATCGCTTCTTATAATTTGCGTATGCTGAGGAAAGGGACCAAAGCCATCTGAAATCTGGCGGTTGGATAGAAGTCCAGGATTTCGGCGGTATTTTGAAATGCGACGACGATACACTGCCTACAAAATCTCTACTCTCTGAATTTTATGAAATGACAAGTGAAGCGTTGTCTAAGCTTGGGTTAAGGTGGTCTATTGCGAACGATATGGAAGAAGTGCTTAGGGATGCTGGCTTCATCAACATCCAATGCAAAAAGTTTAAATGTCCCATCGGCGTCTGGCCGAAGGTAAGTGAGAGAGTCCTCAGGCCAGTATAAAGATGCGTCATGAGTTAATCTAACCTAAATCTATAGGCTAAGAGGCTCCGTCTGATCGGGCTATGTCTGAAGCTATCATTTGCAGACCTTATGGATGCTCTCGCGCCCAAGGTTTTCCCAACGCTTTCGAAGTCGGCAGAACAGATGGAGGAGTTCCTTGCGAGCGCGCACGACGAATTGCAAGAAACCAATGCCCATATATACCTTGATTATTTCTTTTGGTATGCTCAAAAGCCTTTGAACTATTAAGATAATGATGAATTATATATTGTTACGGGTAGAGTCAAATTACTATAGAGCAATGGATATCATGCCTTGAGAAGATAATATAACCTACTACCTATCAGCTAGTAGGTGGATGTATGCTTAATTAGAAAAAGAAAGCTTGCCATAATTACGAGTAAAATTAGGGGTTGAGGACTTATTCATTCCAATGTTATGTATAGGTACTTTATAATACCTTCTATTGGCATATTCATATAAACGTTACAACTTGCAAAACTTACCTCCCAATAACCGCATATAACTTCCTTATCCAATATCAATTTCTAGACGTCTTTATTTTTATTTTTATTTTTTTTTATAAGTCTTGCGCGTCGAGTCCAATTCCACACATTTCACCTTACCCAGAGCTCCTTGGAATATCCACTCTATTTACCAGGATATGGAAAATATGAAGCTGATTTTTATTTAAAAGAGTTTCTAGATTATGTCAATTGCCATGTCAATTGACACCCGCTCATCATGTTCGAAAATCTCTGCACCTTACCTCTAAGCGCCGATCTCTTCTCCCAGGCTTTGCATCCGACAGAACCTCTCCTGGGAGTCGGTCTCTCGACCGGACATGTCCAATGTTTTCGCCTACCTTCTGCTGACCGATCGACCGAGGATGATGCCGACGTGAGTGTACTGTCTGACGGTAAAGGTACCATTGAGACTGTATGGAGAACCAAAAGGCATAAGGGCAGCTGCCGTACACTAGCATTCAGTAACGATGGCTCAGGTTAGTCGGCTAGATTCCGTACTATAACTGATAACACAAAGTTAACATGTAAGGCGGATAGCTCTATACTCAGCCGGTACTGATTATCTCCTCAAACACTTTTCTCCTGTAACCGGTCAGGTAGCCTCCAAGATCGCTATCCCATCTACCAAATCAGTCCCGGATTCACCCTCTCTACTACACGTTCTTTCGCCCCAAACGCTCTTACTTGCATGCGACTCGGGCGCCCTCCACCTTCTCGATCTAAGAGACGGCGCGCTTGCGGCATCGAAACCGCAACAGACGCATTTCCCTCACGATGACTTCGTATCGAGCATCACCGCGCTTCCCCCGTCCGCCGAAAGTACGAGCGGTTACAGCAAACAATGGATTTCTACTGGTGGGACGACACTGGCCGTCACCGACCTACGAAGAGGCGTTCTGGTGCGTAGCGATGACCAAGAGGACGAGCTTCTCTGTACGGCCTTCATTCCGGGCATGGGACCTAAGAAAAACCGCGAAAACGGCGTCGTAGCAGTGGGAACTGGTACCGGGATTCTTACTCTATGGGACAAAGGAGCTTGGGACGATCAGCAGGATCGTGTCGTTGTCGATCCCGTAAAGGGAGGCGGCGAGAGTCTCGACTGTATCGTGCAGATTCCCGAGGATGTAGCGAGAGGAAAGAAGGTGGTTGTCGGCGTAGGAGATGGTAGCTTACGCATTGTGGATTTGGCAAGAAGAGAGGTCGAGACTCACTTGCGCCATGACGATATCGAGGCGGTTGTCGGTGTAGGGTTTGACTGCCAAGGCCGCATGATTAGTGGAGGAGGACAAACGATTAAGGTTTGGCAGGAATCGCCTTCGCTAAGGCTTGACGTCGACGATAGTGACGAGAGTAGCGATGCGGACGAATCAGACGACAACGACAACGACGACGACGATGACGATGACGATGACATGGATGAGAGCATAGTGGTCGGAAATGGAGCTAAGCGCCATGCAAACGGAGATTCAGATGATAGCGACTCAGATAGCGATGATGAAGGACCGAAACGAGGTAAAAAGAAACGGAAGGGAAAGGTAAATGTCGACCTCGGACCTCACGGAGCTCATGGGATCTTACGATTCAAGGGCTTAGATTAGGTGGTTTTATGTGCACCGTATAACCCATACAGAATATAAACTAGCCTCCATTCTAAGTAACCAATGAATGTAAGTACGAATAATATGTAGAAGGTAAGTATATGCTGAATATATTTATATCTATATTTTCTCAGCACTCAGAGACTTACACTTGAAGTATCTCTGTTGGTTCTTGGTAGTTCCAAGGTATGTACCTCTTTTGGGGGACCTAAAGCACCGCAAACAGGTACTGCGGGGTTACTTACAGTTAGTAGGTACCTATAGTTAAGTGTTAAATGCATGAAGTATGTAAGCTTCCGCCAAATGATGTAAGTGACCGACCTATAAGGGCCAGTTAGATTCCTTATCATCAGATTAACCCCTATCCCCCCATCATATTCCGTAAGCATTTCTTAAAAAGGGGATCATCGGTTTTAATAATATAATAATAGGTACTAATGATATATAATTTATAGCCACTCTGCCACTCGGCCCGCCTTCGGTCATAGTGACGCAGCAACCCTTTCGGAAACGGGTACCTCAACTCTCAACTTCATATCCTTGACCAGCTTTACCCAAGCAGCAGCACCCCGACTTGCTAATTCTTGAGGTACAACCTCGTCTGTATCTGACATCCTCTGATTAAAGAGTTCCATGCTCACCCAACCTTCAAACCCGAGACCTTGGAAGATGGCCCGCGATATCTGCGCAACGGGAAGATATGCGCCACGTTCTTCCTCACCGTAGAAGAGCCTACAGTTTCGGGACCAACTCATCCGTGCGGGCTGCGATGCGTTGTAGAATTCGTGGCCTTCGATCAAAGGCTTGGCAAGCCGCGCAGCATCCACCACCTGAACATAAAAAACCTTACTGACATCCACTGTAGTTACGAGTCGGGCTATGGAGTCCCGTACAGCTTGGTCGCAATTTGGAGTGCGGCCTGTCGGCGAGGAGGGATCGGCATAGATACGGCCAGCAATATTAAACGTATCGAGGCAAAGACCAAAGTTGGGCCGGTCTACAGCCTGTACTATATCCCAGCTTTGCTCCCACAGGTCGCAGCGAGTGCCCCAACATAGCGCTTCATATACAAAGCGTATCGGTGGCTGCTGCGCGAGGCCCATGTCAGCCACTTTTCTAAGGTCGGCGACCGCAATGCGAGCATCTTCTGAAAGTTCGGACGACGGCAGGAAGCTGGACGGGATCTGCACGGTATCTGTACCAAGGACCCTTGCCAGTTGAAACCAAAATGTAAGCTGCTCTATGCGCTTGAGGTGTGCTCGGCGATCTAGCAATCCTTCGTAGTGTGCAAACGGCTGTAGGCATACTATCGAGAGTCCCCTCTCGTGGCAGAGTGTTCGGATTATTCGAGCCGCTTCGAGCTCGTTATCAGCTGTCGACCCTCCAGGTAGTTGTTTGGCTAGGTGTAGCAGGTCCTCGTGGAAGAGTTCGATGCCTCTATAACCGTACAGCCGAGCCATGTCCAGCTTATGCGCGAGTGAATGGCCCGCACAACAGCGCCCGAGAGACATAGACGTGATAGCTAATCTGCAGGGCATATTGCTACGCATGGTGTAAGGGAAAGTCTAGTAGAGAAGATGGACTCCTAGTAGCATTCTCGAAGGATTTAGTGATAGGTACCTGAATATTTAAGTAAAATTGGCCCGTAAAGCATATTGATAAACGTAGATCACGATCAATCGCTGAAATTGATTATAGCAGTGACATCCGTTGACAAACTGCGGCGCCTCCGAGTCTTGGAGACGAGAGTTAGGAGCGGGCCCCTGCGTTAGATGACATAGCACTTCCGAGGAGCTAAGTAGCGGAGATGATTTCTCTGAAGCGACAAGGACGTTGTGTTTGAGATAGGCTAAGGCTGTGGCCGCTTGTTCTAGTGGAAAGACGAATCACCAGGAGAAGGGATAAGCTATGTACCTGACTACGATGCTTTTGGGACGACAACTCTTAACTTTCTATAGCTACCTAATACCATGAGGGGTACCGAACAATAACTAACCATAGTTAACATTGTATTCAGAACGATTTCTGCCGTGTTGGGAAATGATACAGGTCGCCGCCACAGGCAACGGCTGGCTCGGAGGCTGAGATGTAAGTCAAGCGTCACGTAGGTCATTAATTAGCCCAGGTGAGACATGTCTCTTGGCGGGTTAAAATTAAAGCAAACGGCTCACGGGTGATTACATTGACAAGCGGTATTCTAAAGATCTGGTTACATTGCACGTTTTGTCGGTTGTAGAACGAGCATTCTCTAACACGGAAGGTGAAGAATAAGCGAGGAAAAGACTGGAAGTGCAACTTGAGCATTATATACTTGTAGTCTTACTTGATCCTAAGATCGTAAGAAGCGTTCCAGATATGGTATATCATATTGATTGTGTACCTAAGGAGTAAACAGAGAAGAGAGTTACATACGTAGGTACCTAATATATCTATTTACTAGACTCGACTCGTACGTTATGTTTCATTATTGTTCTCGACGCACGCCGTCCTTAAAAAGTCGGCCACAGCATATAACCTACAGATTTATGTCTTACATAGACCCGTCGTCGTTGTTACCTAGGTACCGAGGCTACTAGTGTCCCACACCGTACTACTGTGGATTATTTATCTACGCATGTTGTTTTTGGGGGACATACCAGGTAGGTTAGGTACTTACCTATGCTACATAGTATCAAGGAGAGTGCTACAGTAATAATCTAGTGTAGCATATCAGCTGAGAGTCGTTTACCAGATCTGGTGAATTTATCTTTTTTCGACTTTTATGATCTAGGCTCTGAGCTTAGGTTTTAGGAGTGTAAGTTGACACACGACCAATGAGATTCTTGTCGTCTTTTCCAAATAATGATGTATCATTTCATAGATAATATCTAGCCCTGCTTAAATTAAGTAGATATATATTTCTTATGTCGAGATTGACGTAGATAATTTATTAAATGTAGAATCATTATATAGTAATTGACCGGTAGGAAGGTTAGGTACCTAATGTAGCTAAGGTATCACGTACGCTGTGCCTAATACCTGTAGCTCTCGAAAATATCGTCAACTATACATCACTGTCAAAAAATAAACCCAACCGCAAAGCGGCGAAAGGCGACGAGCCCGGAGCACGGCGTCATAGGCCGGAGACACCCACACCGGAATTCGCGGTGATCCTACGTGTCTCGGGAGATTCACCGTCGGAGCTAAAACAAAGAGTTGCCTTCCTAACAGAGCATTTATGTACTGTCCTATGGTTGTCATGTATGCGTAAATGTACTCAATACAGGTAGGCTTAATACTAATATCAGTTCTTGACAGCAGCCCTTATCTAGATGGGGAGACTAATAAGGCGTGTTATTATCATACGTTATTATCTCTATCTATGTTATGTAGATAGGTATATAAGGTAATCTAGCCTTCTATCAAATATTTTATTAGATATGTCTTCTATCAGATATATCAGATATGTCAGATACTATTAGATACCGTAGAGCCAAAGTTGACTAGTGTAAGCCGGGGGGCGACGGGGCTACGGGGGTTTATGGGGGCGGCTCTCCACTTTGTTTTCTTCTTATCTATAACCAGTCAGCGTTTCCTAGCTATCAAAAATATTTTATTACTATGTAATTCAGCTCTTTCATTCGGGATTGTGAATGGTCAATTGATTCGGATATAACATCCGAGTTATCTATAATCTAACCTAAGTATATCTATATCCAGCCACCTAGGTAAGCTACCTATAGGCATGGGGTTCCACTGACTGATATCTCTGACAAACTGTCGCCTCTAATGTATACGGAAGCGTCAAAGTCTCGGTTTTAATTTTCAGCTGCACCCAAAAAAAAAAAAAAAATAAATCAAAAAATGTCGAGGCGTATTCCTTAAGTTGTAGACGGCCTGAAGCGTAACCAGTCAGATGATAATATCGGTTAACTCCGCTATACCATCTCACTCATAAACTATTTTCCTACCAGGAGTATACCGTGAGATCAGAGTTAGCTCTCTAGATACGCGCGGCGTGGTAAAGGAGATAAAATAAGAAGAAGAAAAAAATTTGGTACCTCTATGATGATCCTTGTTGTTTACTAATAAAGCAGCCCTGCTCCTCCAGCAACTTTAAGTTCCAAGGTTGGCAGGATTGCCTGAGTGCTTTCTTAGTTTTCATCTCGCAATTAATAACGTATGCGTATGAGGCTTTTGCGCTGTCAGACTTTGCTCGATATACCATCTCATCTGCGCACCCGAGTAGTATCGCTCGCAATAATAAGTTCACCGACGACGAGCTCCGATTACACCGGTGACACTAAACCGGATTATGAGACTCAAATAGGATCTATATACCTTGACTACCCCCTACCTTAAGAAATATCTTGATATCTACTGTACCTACCTCTGGTATAATACATACTACTTCTCGAGTGTTACTCTTAAGATTTTCTCCCTACTCACTTCCTCAATTCTTAATCGTTCTTCTTCGCCAAAATGGACGAGGATCAGGGCCCATCCCAAATCGTGCCTCAACACGAACCGAAAAAGACCTTGAGCAGCCGACTTAATGGAGTCAAGAAGACGTTTTTTACGAAACAAGGGCTTGTGGGCGACTACGATTATGCCTTTCTTCTCAGGCCAAATCTACCGTTTATGAAGAGGTCTCGACAAGCTTCACCTTTCTTCGGCCTCAACGATAAGATGCCGGTCGTTTTGGCATTTGTACTTGGTCTTCAACATGCTCTAGCCATGTTGGCTGGCATTATCACGCCTCCCATTCTCATGTCGGGATCAACCGGCGTTAACTTCCCTGTCGATATGCAGCAGTATCTCGTCTCCACGGCCCTGATCGTGTCTGGTATACTCTCCATGATCCAGATCACTAGATTTCACATCTACAAGACACCGTAGGTAACCCTGTGCCCCCAGTGTTGCATTTATTATCGCGGCAGAATTCTCCTTCACGCTCATGTAAATATGAGACTTACTAGCGCATGTAGATATTATATTGGAACAGGACTTATCTCCGTTGTCGGTATCTCATTTTCCATCATCCCCGTCGCCCAGGGGGCGTTTGCGCAAATGTACGCCAATGGTTTCTGTCCGACTGACGCCGACGGCACGAAGCTTCCATGTCCCGATGCTTACGGTGCGCTTCTCGGGACAGCGGCGGCGTGCGCCCTCATCGAAGTGCTCATCGCTTTTATACCGCCTAGCATCATGTTGAGAATTTTTCCTCCTATCGTTACCGGTCCGACAGTGATGGTAAGCCTACCGCGCTTCCATGTTGAGCATCTCGCTAATTTTCTATATAGTTGATCGGAATCAGCCTCATCGAAACTGGTTTTAAGAATTGGGCCGGAGGCAGCGGGCCCTGCGCGGACGCCACGCACGCAGCGTTCTTCGACGTCTGTCCTAATGTAGGCGCCCCTCACGCCTTGCCATGGGGGTCGCCAGAGTATCTAGGTAGGCTATTTTATTCGTCAACGTAAAGATAATTATTAGTATTAATGTGTATCACTAGGTCTTGGTTTCTCCGTCTTTCTCACGGTCATTCTCTGCGAACGCTTCGGGGCTCCGATCATGAAGTCTACGAGTGTCATAATCGGTCTCCTCGTCGGCTGCATTATCGCTGCTGCGACGGGTTATTTTGACCGTTCGGGAATCGATGCCGCCCCGGTTGCCTCTTTCATATGGGTTCACACATTTAAGCTTACCGTGTATGGACCCCTAGTCCTACCTGTGCTGGCAGTTTTCATCATCTGTGCGTGTGAGTCCATCGGTGACATTACGGCCACATGCGACGTGTCGCGCCTCGAAGTAGAAGGAAGGATGTACGAATCCCGTATCCAAGGTGGTGTGCTGGCCGACGGCCTAAACGGCATCCTCGCTGCTCTTATGACGATTACACCCATGTCTACCTTTGCCCAAAATAACGGTGTCATCGCTCTTACGCGATGTGCGAATAGGACAGCTGGATACTGCTGCTGGTACGTCTTTTTTTTTTTTTTTTTTTTTTTCTGATCTTTGAGTTTTTATTAGTCTCAATACTGATGGTTGGGTGGTAATAGTTTCTTCCTGATAATAATGGGGGTTTTTGCGAAATTTGCCGCCGCTCTCGTCGCTATTCCTTCTCCCGTCCTCGGGGGCATGACTACGTTTCTATTCTGTTCAGTAGCCGTATCGGGCATAGCAATCATATCAAGGGGAGTCCCGTTCACTCGTCGAAATCGATTCATCTTGACTGCCGGATTGTCGTTCGGATATGGAGGTTAGTTTCGCTCCCCGCCCCTTAACCATTTTTCAATCCTCTATACGAAGTATGCTAACAAGAACAAAATAGCGACTTTGGTTCCGACTTATTTTTCAAATGTCTTTAGCTATAGCGGCGACAATAGAAGCCTTCAGGGATTCCTAGATGCTATCGTGTTGATTATGGAGACAGGTTTTGCTGTTACCGCGTTTGTCTGCATCATTCTCAATCTCGCACTAGAAGAAGAGATAGAAGAGACGAACGAGAAGTTGGTGGCTACCGACGAACCTATAGCGTCTAAGGGTACAGTCACCAATCGTCAGAGCATAGATAGTAGCAGGAATGCCTCGGGTCATGAGAAACAGGGTTGATCAATACCGGCGATGTGCGTTTTTATTTTATACCTGAGATAGTTACTTTAGGTATTTCTACCAAACCTATGCATGTATAATAACGAATGTTTGAACACGAGTAGTTATCTTTTTTATCATTTCATGAATGTGAATAAATATACGTCCATTTTTTTAACTTTTAATTGTTCATGTATAAGTTCTAAAGTATCAATGTTTATATCGAGGTTTATACGCTATCGGTATTTCGGATAGCCCCTAGAGCGGCCCCTCTAATCGGTATAACGGGAAAACGGATTAGCCGAACTTTCATTTTCTCGTATCAAATCGTTCCATCCCACGATCCCGCATCTTCAAACAATCGGCCTTGACCCTCCACACCTCCACATCGTCACGTTTCGAGACCCATGCGCTTAGCTCTGTCCCTTAACCAACGCAATTGGCGACATAAGCTGCAGTCAGTATGCGCCTACGGCCTCCCGGATATCTACTCCGTCCTTCCACTCTCGGTAATGTCTGCTGGCGGTGCAGTCAACGAATAAGTTATGGAAATTCGCAATTTACAAAGACTTTCTCCCACGCCGCCCCCGTAGCACCGAAACAACAATATCGACTGAAGGCCGGATACTTTTTGTCTAACAAAATTCTACCTCAACCTCATAATAATTCAAATCCCCAGTCGTTTGCGGCTTCAACAGTCCCCGACGAAGCCACCAAAACTACCACCACAAGCCAAATAAACCAACATCTCCCTCACCGGCAACGTCAAGCTGCAAAGCGCAAAACAGCCAATATTATACCTAATTCAACCCCGCCAACTAACTCTGAAACCCCTCTCCCGCAAGATGCCTCATCTGCGCTTACGACAGAATCTACGAAGCATCCCGCCAATTCTTTTCGTCGACAGCTATCCCTTCTTCTTTCCTTGTCGAAACCTCGCCTTACCGTCCTAATCGTTCTCACAGCTATGGCGCCCTATGCGCTATACCCCGTACCGGCCTTTCTCTCCCCGTCTATCGGTCTGGACACGCCCTCCCTCTCGCCCTTAACTCTGACCTTTCTCACGACCGGTACCGCACTCTGCTGCGCCAGCGCAAATGCTCTTAACATGCTCTACGAACCAGCTTGGGATGCCAAGATGACGCGCACACGAAACCGACCCCTCGTTCGGGGCCTCTTGTCCGAACGTAGGGCTCTCGTCTTTGCCGTTCTTACTGCCGTTGCCGGAGTTGGTAGCCTTTACTTCGGCGTAAATCCCACAGTCGCCTTCCTCGGTGCTGCTAATATTGCACTCTACGCCGGAGTTTACACGCCAATGAAACGTGTCTCGTGGCTGAACACTTGGGTTGGGGCGGTCGTCGGAGGCATACCGCCGCTTATGGGTTGGGCTGCGGCGGCTGGTGAATCCGCGACGGGAGACGGGTCATTCCGTGAACTCCTCTTTACGACAGATGCGATCGGCGGTTGGCTGTTTGCCGCTCTCCTGTTTGCCTGGCAATTTCCTCACTTCATGGCTCTATCGTGGCCTATAAGAGAAGAATACAAAGCGGCCGGCCACAAGATGCTGTGCTGGATTAACCCTGCTCGGAACGGACGAGTAGCACTAAGGTATAGCTTGCTATTCTTCCCGCTGTCTATCGGACTCTGCGCCGTAGGAGTAACAGAGTGGAGCTTCGCGGTGACAAGCCTACCGGTTAACTTCTGGCTGGCGCGAGAAGCGGTGCGGTTCTGGCGACAGGAAGGCTTTAAGGGGAGCGCGCGGGGGTTATTTTGGGCTAGCGTTTGGCACATACCAGTTATCATGGTACTCGCTCTTGTTCAGAAAAAGGGGATGTGGGGGCGAGTTTGGAGAAGTATTGTTGGAGAGCCAGATCTCGAGGACGAGTACGAGGACTGGGTCGTAGACCAAATCAGTCAAGAAGCTGAGGCCGCTGATGGCGAGGCCCAAAAAGCAGTGCCTCCTATTGAGTCCGAGTGAAGTAACAACCAAATCGGGCTTCTGCAGAGCTACTCGAGACGGCGGCCTAGGAGGAGCTAAAAACTAATATGTAACATATCTTGTCGAATGTATAAGAGGGGTTCTAAAACGTCACCTGGTCAAGCATGTTGCATCGTTTGGATGCGTGCAATCGACACGAAGTCAGGATAATCACTCGAATTAAGGAACGGGCGCGACATCACGATATCGCAATTCCTACGATTTCTACGATCCCCACGTAGCTGAATGATCTAATGATTATTACTCTTATGTCTGGCCATACCTAGGAACCCCTTATGAGCTCAACCAAGAAATCACCACCCTTAATCCTGTGGTATCTATGCAATAAAGATCTAGTATACAGTGCATTGGATAGTCATAAGTTTTCCGGCGCAGAAATGCAGTCATTAGCTGGTAGACAAATACCTCGGGCCCAGTAACCCCAATCCCCTGGTTTTGATCCGCGATAAATAAAAGGAGGGTTGCCATAGTCGATAGCACGACAAAATTCCCCCCTCTCCCCCCGAACAATTATAAAGGAGCGTAGACCCGTTCTTTTAGCAGTCCAATCTTCATCCTCTGTACTCTCTGTAACCCCATACCGCCCAACATCTTCCTCGCAACGACGAGCTGCTCGCCGGCAGTTCCCTCGCCTTCCCACCCTCCTTTATATTCCCAAGACTCGCCATGCAATGCTTACGCCGTGAACGCCTAGGCAGCAATGCTGCAGTAAGTAAATAAAAGAAAGTAAACAATAAGCAGTGCGGTTTGATGAGCAAGGTTGGCCGCGCCCCGATCCGCTAGAAAAGTCGCAAGTCCGGATTTTGTAGATTGGAAAACTGTTACAACGGGATAATGAAAATGAATGCGCTCAAAGGTAAAAAAAAACAAAAAATAGATAACGAGCGGAAAGTTGAATGCGAAATTATAAACACCGACCCCGGTGACGCCAAATTATGTGTTATTCACATGCCGTGAGCATGACCGCCGTTGTGACCCGGTCGATTAATTATGGCGTCGATACCCATATCGACGCTGGGGAGCCTTTGCCCGTCGCCCATATAAGGAGAGCCTCCCTGAGAATGAGATCCGTGCATCGCGTTGCTGTAATGAGCAGCAGCGGCCGTAGAAGAGACGGAAGAGCCGTAGCTGGAGGAGAGCCCGCCGGCGCTGGTGGTGTAATTAGCACCGTACGGGTTGCTGCTGAGAGCCATGGGATGCATGGCACCGCCGTAACCGCCACCGTTACTGCCGCCCGAGTGCGAGCTAGACGCTGTCGTCTCGGGGCTGCTGTAAGAGGCATCGAGGTCATCTACTGGAGTCAGACCAATGCCTGAAATGCCGCTATCGTCGTCATACCCATGCATTGGATGGCCAGATTCCAGCCTCTCCCGTCGCGCTGCTGACCGAGCAGCCGACTGCAAGTTCTTCAGACCGTTATTCATGCACTATAACAGAAATGTGACCTTTTATTAGCTAATATTCCTAGTAAATCTGCTGAAAATAAACAAAAAGAAGGGGGGTAGGGGGGGAGAAGGGGTGGAATAAACTAACCTTGGCCTCGACAACTAACCACTTCTCTCCCGTGCGCGCCGCAAGAGGCTGCCAGATTTCTTTGCGCATGCTCATATACTCTTTGGCCAGGCGTTCCAGCTTTCTGTTGTCCCAGTCGTCGGCACCCTTTCGCTCCATCAACCGCTCGTGGCGTTTCCGGCAGGCATTAGGCGACTTGTTCGGAAAGTAGCTGCTTTGAATCTGAGCCCAGTTGAGGCCCTGCTGCCTAGCTGCCAACAAGTTTTGATCATCCTGGACCGTCCAGGCTCCGGAAGAAGGACGATTAGGCATCGGGGCCTGAGTCACTACGTCCGCGGGATAGGCATCGTACTGCTGTTGCATGGGAGGCTGCGCCGATGTTGAGGCGATAGTAGGATAATATCCTCCCGTGTTTAAGGGTAGAGATGGTCGTGTGCTGTAGATAGGGACCGGAGCCGACGGAGCGAGAGATACAGGCATGGCGTTCGGGTTCGAGTAGCGATTATGGCTCGAGCTGGACGAGCGAGTGTGCTTCGGCATATTCATTGGTGGTAGGCGTAACGGGGAGATGACATATAAAAACCAAAACGTAAAGAAGCAGGATTACCAGGCAAAGGAAAGGTATCGATTCCGAATAGACAGGCAGGGTTATTAGGATTAGCGATATCTAGGTTGATTCCCTACGTCTGCTCGAAAAGCAGTTTGAATAGGTAAAGCTTCGTCGTATCTTTCAGCCTCGCCGGGAGGAAAGGTACCTAAGTTACCAGGAAAAGCAATGGCAAGAATTTGAGGCAGCTAGGTCGATGACTCGTATCAAACGAATGATGATGAAACGAACGAGGCTGGTCAAGGGAAGATAGAACAAGGAAACAAAACGAGAACAGCTTTTAGTTAAGAGAAGACGGAAAAGAAATCGGCCGTTTGATGCTGTAGCGAGAGGGTCCGGGAAGGGAAGGCAATAGACGAGACCAGGTCGCGAAATGGGCGCCTCTACTTATAAGGGTAACGGCCGCCTCGGACAACTCGGGTCCACCTAGACGAGGGATAAGATAGAGACGGATAGAAAGACAAATGCTTGGCCTACTATTGCAACGCGAGACCCAGGACTGCGGATCTGAAACAAAGCCGTCATGGCGACAGAGGCAGATCTGGAGCGATTGTCAGCTTGGGGGGGCCGACATGCAAGCCGTAGTCATGAAACCTGGGTTGTGTATCTGAAAGAGTGGATAGGCTCTGTGTAGGCTGTTGATATTGGCTGACGAGCTTCGGGATGGCGTCTGTCTGGAGTTGGGCGGCTACGGAAAAGTGGCCTGGTGTGGAGGGCGGCTAATGGGTATAATGTATAATGGTACATCCAAGGGGGTTTTTGGGGGGGGGGGGGGAGAGGGGACATGGTCCATATCTGCACTTATCTGCAAGCATCTCTACACTATACCGAGATGGAGATGGGCCGGAATTCCGGTCAAAAATAGCAAACAGAGCGGATAGTATCAGTAGCCGCCAGCCTTATAAGGTAGCTCTATAGTTTAAGCGTTCGATTATTCCTAGTTACGTACCTAACCTACATATGGACGTGACTAGTTGACTAGGTTAGGCATTATTATACGCGCGCGCGCATGCGCTATTGCGACTATGCGGCAGACGACGTCGAAGAAGAGGATACAAGGAAGAAATGAGAAAAAGAAAAAAAAGAAAGAAAAGAGGCAACGAGGATAGACAAGATCGGTATCGACATGATTAACCATTATCATATAGAGGTAACTTACCGACAATCCGCCTATAGTTTTATATATACCATTTAGTTATTATTATCTCCTAGAGATGAATTTCTTGCGCCTTGCAAGAAAGCCAAGTCGGGTTCGGTACCATAAAGATTTGTATAATACGAATACAACCCTTCCACTAGGTACCACTTACACGCAATGGCCAAGACTCATATTCTCTCCCCAAAAAGATGATAGCACGTAAGCATCTACACCGGGAAGCGGAACGAACCGTCAGAGTTGGTATGCTACCCTCTTGCTAGTTCGCGGAACGGTACCTTGCATATTGAGACATTACTATTCCATATGCCATTATAATAAGATGAGGGGACTAGGTAAAGCATGGCCCCCACGACTAGACGCATATACCCATGTAGACATGCAGCTGTCGATATGGTTCGACTCGCCCTTTCTGGACATGGTGACAAAGACTGGTGACGAGACCGATGAAAGGTCGAAATATAGTTGTACCAACATCATAAACATTAAAAATATTAACAACCTAAGTAATCTCTCAACTAGGTTAACACGTTGCAAACATATAATAATAAGTGACGTTTTGAAACAAGAAGAACTGCTGTTTTGACAAAGATGGAGAGTTGGCATTGGACGAGAGGAGGGGAGTTGAGAGAAGGGTTAAGATGACCCCTGAAAAAAAAGGTGAAGGTCGGAAAAAAAGATGGAGGCGCGCGTCTAAAGATTTGACGCTAAAATAAACAACGATCGTCGTACCCGGGCGACAAAGCATTAAAGAAAAGAAAAGACAAAATGTTTAACTATACCTAATTAAGCTTAGCCTACCTCTCTAGTCTAAATATCGGTATTCTATCCAACATTTTGCCGACGACAGATGCAGAAAAATGCAAGACAAACGCAGACATTGCATATCATTATTTTTATCAGTGCTACGCTATCAGCGGTACTTTGCATATCTATTCGCATCCACCACGGCGGGAATATCACGTGTATTTTCTTGGCCGTCTAGGGTCAGTCATCTCTTATTCGTCAGATGTTTTTAAAATAGACAAACCACTTTTTTTTCTCTCCTACTTGCGCTTAGATGCGATGTTGCAATGAATGTTGCTGCTGCAATGTTGCAATGTTGCAATGTAGCCATGCAAACCGGTAAACATCTTGGCTACAACATCAAAAAATTACCAACGCACGAACTAAAAGAATTGTTTTGCGCGTATGAAGCCGGTAGCAACGCTCCCTCGAATACTATTTTGCTGTGCCTCAGAACTGTAGCGGTTTCTGATGCAATGCAACGGCCCTGTCTTAGTTTAACTACCTACATACCTAGGTAGGTATCCAGGTAGGTTAATTATCAACCTTGGGGGTTACGGATGATGCCCTACGTAAGAGGCAGTAAGCCCCTTTTTTATTATTTCTTCTCTTTGTCAGTCTTATCCTAGCTAGATTTGTCTATGTTACGTGAGCTCTTCGTCTTCCTGCAACATTTTCCTTGAGAAAATCTGGTGGGGGCGAACCGGTAGTTGCAACCGATAAATGACATGACCATATACTACCATATAAGGTACGTTTCGAGGCGGCTATCATGTCTCCCACTTATGTAGCTCCTGAATCCTTCCCGCCACGCGTTTCAGACAACGTGATAACTCAGCTATACTAGGCCACCTCGGCCACCTTCGAGTTGAGAGCACGCAGAAGAGTAGAGGAGCAGATGCGCACATGGTAGCAGAGACCTACTTTCCGGCCTTGAGAATCTACAACGCCATGCGTGCGGGAGAGATGTTAGGCGCAGACCTGACAACCATTGGATGTCTGAGCACGACTGCTGAGACGGCGGTACATCCTTCCGAAGAGTGCCGCTCGACAAGCGCCTCGTCTGTATACAGCCTTACCAGGAGACGTTCCTAAGTTATCCCGAAGTGACGACATGTCGGATCGTGTCTATCGTCTTGATATGGTACTCTCCGGGCCGAGAGTCGAGAGGTCTTGACCGATGTGAAGGCCATCTTACAATACATTAAGGGATAACGTTGAGGCCTGACTTGAGCACAGTTGGGCGTAGCTATCAGTATTCAATACTATATTTCGTACAGATAGCTCGTATGGAAACTACCAACTCAGCCGAATTTTTGGTTATGGGCTGATAGCGGATCTTATCACATCGCAAAACCATCAACTTATGCTCACATCCAACCGTTAAACGTTATCTAATAGTTACGAGTTAGTATATACCCTACATCTTTGGCCTAACGACGACCACAGGGAAGCGTACTTGATTCATGCCATGATGCATCTCACGTCTCGATGCATATATCCAAATATTCGACCAACTACGGCCACCTGGGTCATCTCTTAAATTTACTAGAATTCTCAGAACATAAGAGACGATCTCTAAATTCTAGGACGAAACTACATCACCAAGGAGTCAAGTTTATTCCACAATGAGAGAAATGAATCTTGACGTTGAATATAAGCGCCTGTACGCTAACCCGCAAGCTGCACTTTTGTTGCGAGACCGCTACCTAGTATTATTTATGATAAAGGTGGCGGATATATCACTTCACATCCAAGTTCTAGCCGGATCTCTATTACGTAGAGTATCAATAATCATGCTAGACCTAGGCCGATAAATTAATACTATGTAAGCGATGCTGTCCGAGACATGCCAGCTGAAATGCTCATCGATCAACCTCATCTGCAGTTCTCCAATCCCAGACGGGTCCTCTGGCTGGGGCAATTCAGGCTAAATTCACAACCCCAGTCAAGCCAGGGATCTTCAATCCTATGGGGAATAGCTCTAACCAGCCTGTTGGCAATATTACCCCGAGATACCCCACACAGGGTAGCTCTCTTCTCCAAGAATCTTCTGAAGGTCGTGATCTCGTATCCAAGTCGCGGAAAGAGAAGCTTCATATAAGCGCGTCTATCAACTTGAGCGTGACAATATCATGGTGAATATCTCATAACCCGTTTAACTTGTCATCTCGTAACTCGTTGACGACAAAGAGAACCATGTTAGCTACAAAGTCATCATCCGGGAAACATACAATGGTATAACCGGGAGTTGCTCTCACCAATCAACTAGGGATCTCGGCCGTAGCTCGGTACCCCAAGCTTACCTACCTATTTATCCCGCATCCCGGTAACATCTTGAATGGGGTCCCCAGAGTCTTTACTCTGGATCTTTCTAGCGCGTGGGTCGAATGTTATTGTATAGTAGCCTTCTTATACGTCGCTTTTCCGGAGTATGTAGAATAGCCTAGCTTATCTCCATGTCTCCTTTACCGGTGCGTCCATGGCATTATTTATATAGGAATGTCCCCCAGACACCGCCGATGCACCGCTATCGTCTAACCCCGTGTGCTGGTGGGCTGGATTGCTACTTCGACCTCGAGGCTTCTTCTCTGCGCGACAGTTTTCACACGAGAAATCTAGATCGACTTATGCAATAATAGTGCTTTTTTAGAAACATCCGTATTCGGTCACAATGGTTGCTGGAGGCGACTCGGGCGCCGCCGCGTACAATGCGGCCCTCAAACGCCGCCAGGAGATGATGGGCGCGTCCGGTCCCATGGCCCTAGTAAAAAACTTTAAGGTGTTTAGGATCGCTCTGTTCGCTTGTATCGGTGGTATCCTGTACGGCTACAACCAGGGCATGTTCTCGGGCCTTCTCGCTATGCCTGCCTTCAAATCTCGTAAGCATTAATAAAGAAAAAACTCGGATTATTAGCTGGTATGTTGGTGGTAGCCATGTGCTAATAAAGCAACTATAGATATGGGCGAGTATGACCCATTTGACGACTCGGCAGACCAGACGAAGAAGGGGTGGCTTACAGCTATCCTCGAGCTCGGAGCTTGGATTGGCACGCTGCTGTCCGGGTTCATCGCCGAGGCCATATCTCGCAAATATGGCGTCCTGGTAGCGGTAACAGTCTTCGTCATTGGGGTCGTCATCCAGGCGACGGCGCAGTCCGGTGGGCCTAACGTGATTCTCGGAGGCCGCTTCGTTACGGGTATGGGCGTCGGTTCCTTGGCCACGATCGTGCCCATATACAACTCCGAGGTGGCACCCCCCGAGATTCGAGGTGCGCTCGTTGCTCTCCAGCAGCTCGCAATCACCTTCGGTATCATGGTAAGCTTCTGGATAGACTACGGTACCAACTATATCGGCGGCACAACTCTCGGCCTACAGAAAGATGCTGCGTGGCTCGTGCCTATCTGCCTGCAGCTTTTCCCAGCTGTAATCCTCTTCGTAGGAATGATCTTCATGCCCTTCTCCCCGCGTTGGCTAGTTCACCACGACCGCGAGGCCGAAGCGCGCAAAATCCTAGCCAACCTGCGCGGCCTACCTGCTGACCACGAACTTGTCGAACTTGAATTCCTCGAAATCAAAGCTCAGTCGCAGTTCGAAAAGCGAACCGTAGCTGAGCATTTCCCCCAACTGAGCGAGCAGACAGCGTGGAATACCTTTAAGCTTCAATTCGTGGCTATTAAGTCGCTGTTCCAGACGAAAGCGATGATCAAGCGCGTTGTCGTTGCCACCGTCACCATGTTCTTTCAGCAGTGGACGGGTATCAATGCCGTCTTGTATTATGCACCCAGTACGGATTTTCTTTTAATTATTTCCAGTTTACCCTGATTTCCTCGATTTTACTAGTTGACTTAAAATCATTCTTACAAGTCATATTATAGGTATATTCACTTCCCTTGGCATGAGTAATACCACTACGAGTCTGCTGGCTACCGGCGTCGTCGGTATCGCCATGTTCGTATTCACCGTACCCGCCGTACTCTATATCGACCGCGTCGGAAGGAAGCCCGTACTAACTATCGGCGCTATCGGGATGGCTACCTGCCATATCATCATAGCCGTAATCGTCGCAAAGAACGCAAACCAGTGGGCTAGCCAGCCTGCGGCCGGTTGGGCTGCTGCTGCCATGGTCTGGCTCTTCGTAATTCATTTTGGTTACTCTTGGGGTCCTTGCTCGTGGATTATCGTGGCTGAGATCTGGCCGCTCAGCACCCGACCCTACGGAACTTCTCTTGGCGCCTCGAGCAATTGGATGAACAATTTTAGTACGTCTTCTAGAGCCTTCAGCTCACTCTCGTATCTTCAGTACTAACCCATCCTCCAGTTGTCGGCCAGGTCACGCCAATTATGCTTAACAGGATCGGCTACGGTACCTACGTTCTCTTTGGCCTTTTAACATTTATGGGAGCCGGGTTTATCTGGTTCTTCGTGCCCGAGACGAAGCGGCTCACCCTTGAAGAGATGGTGAGTATCTACGGAGCTGCTGGGAATCCTGGGTTCATTGAAGCGTATTCTAACAAGATTGGTTCATACTAGGACGTCGTATTCGGTTCCGAAGGCACAGCACAGGCTGATTTTGAACGCATGGATGAAATCAACAGAGAGATCGGGCTGACCGCGATGCTTCATGGCCTAGTCGGCACTGGTAGCAACGGCGACGTAGTAGAAGAAAGAAAGGAGAAGCTCGAAGATAACTAGGATGTTCGAGCTACCTTCGGGATGGTCATAGAGAAATCCGGCTGCTTAGGTGTACATGTTGGAATTACTAACGTCGGTGGGAATTCATGCAGAAATGATAATATGTTTCAAAACTCGACTCTAGCGAAGTAGCATATATAATGTATCGTTACAAAATCATAATGTTCACCCTAAGAGGGACATTCTCGTTACAACTACCAAAGTTCACTCCAGGAGCCAGTCGTTATCCATCCTCTATGCCTACATCCTCAGTAAACTCCAACTCGCAAGAATTTGTACTATTTATGTGAGACCTTTGACGCCTATCTGCAGATAATAAGTCTCCTCATCGATCAGCTTTCTAATCTCTCCTTTCCTTAATTCGTCCACATCCCACGCGGCCCACATAAAGCGGCCGTGGAGGAACTCGGCTTCGCGAGAGGCAGCCCAGACCGCAAAGTGTCCGCAAAGATCCTCTAAATATACGTAAGCTTTCATTAGCAAGAAAACAGGCCAACATAGGTAAACGTAATGAAAATGTGATCTTACCGTCATCAAAATCATAACCGTCAAAATCAAAGCTGTCAGATATATTACCCATGACACGCCGAACGGTTTCCGTGAGGATGCTCCCGGGGTGAAAACTGAGCACCTGCATATCCTTTGGCGAAGTGTCCTTGGCGATCTGTTGGATTAATAGGGTACCTGCGCTCTTAGTCAAGCCGTACCCCGGGATCTCGGGGACTATGTTATTCCAGTCCTGAATAGCCATCGTTGACAAGTTAACTAAGAACTTGAGAGGGTTACTTGATTAGCCGGCATCCGTGGGTGTTCTATTCGGGAGCGTGCGGAAACATACCTTCTCTTCCGAGGGTTGTTTATAGAACTTCTCGGCGAACACGAGCAGCGTCCTTACGTTGATAATGAAATCTTGCCATATCTTGTCGAAGCCAGCCTCGAGGATCGGTTGGGGATGCGAAGGGCTGCTGGCGTTTAGCACAAGAACGTCGACGGTGATACCTTGCCGTCCGAGATCAGCCCATAACTCATCGGTGCCTTGAAGATCGGCTACGTCGAGTTGCTTGCCGACGAATTGGACTTTCGGGAAATCGTCAACAAGCTTCCCGACCGCGGCTTTTAGAACTTCTTCACGACGACCAGATATGATAATTCTGCTTGCGGAGGCTTGCGCAAAACCTCGAGCGATAGCATAACCTACTCCGGTACTACCACCAGTAATGAGCACCGTTCTTCCGACCTGGGAGAGCTCTGGTCGGGATGGTGAGATGGCCGGGTAAGATCCCTTGTGGGTTGTCTTGAGGAGGGAAGTAAGAGAAGTCATTGTCTATCACCAAAAAAAGGATATATCTCCAAAGTTATATCATATAATTGCCTGATTTTACAATTGAAGACTCAAATCCTATCTTTATGCCTGGAGTACGATAGGATTATTATTCTAATATATACTTAATATATCGTCCTTCTAGCGTATATAATCACCTGGATTGTCTGTCTATATAGATCATGCGTTATAGCTCTGTTTTTTCGTCGACGTAGCCGGCGGGTTTTCATACGGGGGGTGATGGCGGCAAAAAGGCCGCTCCCAAGCCTCCATCTCCATCGACTTATACTAAGAATAATCAACAGCTTCATTTAGCGTCAGCCCAGGAATGAGAACCCAGGCTATGCTGACTAATATATATAGACGCGATGACCAGGTAATGATTACAAACTGTTCTTATGACGAATCTTGTGCTTAAGAATTGGATTCTTTATACTAACTAACACTTTACCGCTGTGGAAAATTTCCCGCCAAGTTTTCATCCGTCTACGGGAATATTAATAATAGAGAGGACCGTTGAATAAATTATGTCGTCGGCAAGAAACCCGCGACTTAAAGCTTGTGCCGCTTGTACTAGAGCGAAGAGGCCCTGTTCTAAACGGCTACCCTGTTGCGATCGCTGCAAACGGAGAAACATCCCATGTAGATATCCTCCGCCTAACCTGACCGCTCGAGACTACGCAGAGGCAGCAGAGGCAGCAGACAGCGGGTCGGCAGCGACTGAAGTAAGCCTAACCCGCACCAAAGCAGCACTACCGATTCACGTAGTCTCATATGAATCATTTTACCCTAACACGAGCGAGGCCCAACCTGAAGATCTATTCCACCCGTGCTGCGCAGGGTTTCCGGAAAACACCAAGACTCTTCCGCTGGGGCACGATTGGTTCTACAGCTCCGACTCTTGGACGATTTCATGTAGCAGCAGCACCGCGTTTCCTACCGAGGCTTTCGATACGAGAGCCTTGAAGCAGCACATCACCACCGTCCAATCATGGCTGCGCCTCTGGGCAGCGACGGGCAAGTCGCCATTTATCCACCACCACTTGTATAGCCAAAAAATGCCTCGCTGTGTCCAAGACGCTTATACGGCCTTGGCCGCTTATCTCGCGCGCACTCCTGAGAACTCAGACCTCTGCTTCCAGATCATCCGAGAGCGAGCGGAAGAACTTGTCGAGCAAGGCCAGCGCATGATGCCCGCGCCTACGTCAGAGACAGGCTCATCGGAACCGACGGGCGGATCCATGCCCCTAGATCCCTTTGATCACCTAGCCCGCGTGCACGCGCTATTTGTTTATCAGATGATTGGCCTCTTCGACGGCGATATCGTGCTGCGGGTCGATGCGGAAAGACACATATCGACACTTACGTCCTGGGTAGCAGAGATGTGGGATAGCGCAGAGCTGGATGCTAGCCTGTACTCGACGATGCTCGCTCTCGAACAGGAAGTGGGCGGCAGCGAGGACACGCCAACTTCCGCCCCGGCAGACGAGAGAGCAGCCTGGCGACGCTGGATATTGTCGGAGAGCATCCGTCGCGCCTGGCTCGTAGTAACTATGACGCAGTCTATATATCAGTTATTCAAGACAGGATGGTCGCAGTGCTCCGGTAGCGTGAACTGGACGCCCCGCGCTGGCATCTGGGATGCCCCTGACCAGTACAGCTGGTGTAAACTAGTTAGGAGCGGTTCGGGACCTTTGTTCATCCCCAGCCTGCGCGCCGACGTGTTATATAAGGAGGCTTCTCCTTCGGAAGTCGACGAGTTTGGGCACGCCGTATTAATCGCCGAGTTTGGATCGGAAAGTATGACGAAATGGAAGGCCCACGCCGAATAGTATTTATTGTTTGTTTGAGTTTAGCGATACGATGAAGGGACAAAGATTGGATACCTAACTAGATCGACGCGTAAAGGATCTTAAGTAAGACTTTGGAGCTGGCATATAGACGAGATACTTTGATACCGTATCGACTTAGCCCTCGTTCCTCATTCCTCGCAGTTTCTCTACTATCTAATATCTAGAAAGGCTAGCAGTATACCTATTCATACACTTTTTTATTTTATAGACATACGGTATTCCACGACACAATAATTCGGTCACTCGAGCAGATGAATGTCAAACTACCATTTCCTATCTTCATAACTACCATACGCAATCTAATACAGAAAAATAAGCTACTGTGGCTATATAAATTGTGTACATCTAAATATTAAATTACATCCCATTGCCGCACTGCCTTGCTCAAACTTTTCATTGCCAGTCATCAGTTTGCATATCGTAATATTCACAACATCCATTACCACCTTTATAATCTCATATTCTAAGCGAGACAGCGGCTTGGATTCCATCTATAGAATACCAGGTATGATGCCATATTTCTTCGGGATATATACGCTAGGAAACTCGAACCGATACCGCGCCTCCTTTTTACTAGCCCATGCCTTCATCTGAGCTACCGCGACGACGATGAATAACAACACCGACCAATTACGGCTAACGAGTAGAACTCCCAGCCACGTCAGAGTCTCAAACATATAATTTGGACAAGTCACCCAGGAAAATCCAGGGCCCGATGGAACCTGGCGTTTGGTGGTGCCGGCCGGGCGTAAGGAGCGTTGAATAAGATGGATATAAGTGTTGAATGTAATACCGACAACATACAAGACAAGTCCAACGTATGTCAATAAAGGCGACGACTCAGAAAAAGCTGGCTTCTCGGGGACGTAAACGAACCAAGCTAGGAGAGCGCCAGAAAGTATCCAGTAGTGGAAACTATTTTTGAAGACATTTCGAAACGGCATAGTAGCGTTTGAAAAGCGGTGCACGAAGAGCGACTCCAGCTCACGTTTAACAAATTGTCCCATAATCATGTAGAACGTTAGAGTCTGTGCCGTACTGGGCCTCTCCAAGCGGAGTTTATAAAGCAGCGGGTGGATGATAAGAGGCCCCAAATACTCTATCACGTAAACCGTCCTCCAGTTAATCTGGGGGCCTATAAACGGAAATATGAGCAGTCTTATTCTCAGATTGATACCTACAGACGGCCTAACCCATCATAATATTCAAAGAGTTCGTGGGACCTTACCTAAATCTTTGACGTAGACAACTGCATCATTCGTGATTCCGACGCCTGCGATGGTGTTATCACCGGAGTTAGAAACGATTTGACTGCCGTCGCGGCCGAGAGAGAGCCGGAGGCGATAGATAGAAATGCCACCCTGTCGAGCGAGGTTTCTATAAAGAAGGTCCGTAGAATCAGACTCTCGAAGCGACACTTGTGTTGGGAGACCTCTAATCGGCTTGCCTACGAGATGGTTAGATGATCGAGATATGAGCGATAGGAACTAAAGATTTATTATTAACAGACCTCGAGGTGCGACGTTGATGCTGATAGAGGCCATGCTGATCGTGAGATTTCTTGTCCTTTGTCGGAGAGGTTTGTACGTAGGCTTTATAAAGTACCTAGCCTAAGGTAGCTAAACGTGGTTGAAGAATTAAGAGTTTCCAGGCAAGTCGGTGAATTAGAAAGCTGGCAGCATGCGCATGTAAGCACGGTCCCCTTATTAAGTGATAATTACCGGTATAGAACTGGCGTTCTCGAGAGCAGAAGTATAATACTCTAGGAACCTAGGTAAATCAAAATATTCCCAGTTGTGATGATCAAATTTAAATATTTTCGTATATAACCATCAGCACTTTAGAGCCAGTCCCCAAATCAAATCTTATCCATCGAGTTCTCGTTACCCTCGTTCTATTTCCACTGGATGAAGAAACCGACTACGCCGCACAGCGTATGGAACACGCAAGGGTAGATTTTAACCGAGAGCCACTCATTGCTACGCCGTTTTACCTACCTCTCATTTAGAGTCTTCTAGGGAAGATTTAGCTACAATGTCTTTTAGCTAAACACGGTAAGATTAGAATAGTTTTGGCATTCGTCGTCACGAATATGTTTGAGCTGGTAGTATTTCCGTTGATTAAGACTCATTTGATAAAGTACTGCCTACCTTTATATGCTATATAGACTTCGTTTTGATTAATGTTAAGTATGTGGCTTAAAGATTCCTTAAGTACCTAGAAGGATAGGCTATCATTAGAAGTCCCATCCATTTACCTCATATTATTCTACTATAACATTACTAGTTCAACTCTCCAACGACCTTTATTCCTCAGTGACTTAATCCTGTCGTGGATATAGGAATTATATTGTTATTACAAATTTGCTACTAACGTCAAGAATTAGGTACTCTTTACTATTAGTATCCTGCCGCGAAGAACTCTTTGGCGGTATTATAATGCTTCCATACGCACTGCGGCTTAAATTATTCACAGATGGGTGGTGTGCCGACACGAAAATGCCAGTCAAGTTGAAATTATCTATTAACATCGAATTGTCCTATTCGAGAAGCCTGACAAGTGTTCCGTGACACAATTTGGGGCGGAATATGAGAACGTTGTTCTCCCCCTGGATGCCAACCCTCATGTCCATTAGGCCGTACGCAGAACGGCAGTTAATCCTCAAGCCGACCCAGTCTATCTAGTACCTTAACTCCATGCACACGTGCGGCAATGCTTAGCACCGTAAATAACAGACATTAAGCGATGAGGCAGCTATGATACAATAAAATATTCATGCACGCTGAACGGTAGTGGCGCCTGTCCCTACGGCCTTAAAGCGCTTCGATCGCCTTCGTCAGAACATCCATGCTCTGTAGACCGATATCGCTACTCTTCTCTTCGTCGAGCAGCGCGGCTACGTCGCTCAATATACCCAGAGGGATGTAACAGCCTTCGCGCGCACGCTCTAAGCTTTCCTTGAGCCTGCTAGTGTGCTCCCACTCCTTAGCGGCCACTTCAGCTCTCTCGATAACACGGCTAGAAATGCCGCACATCGCTGCGCAATGCATACCGAAGCTTCCTTCTGCTACACCGTCTTCGAGTTTGTATAGGAAGGTCACACGCCGCTGCTTCTCATCGACGTGGATCTGCATGCGCTTCGCTCTGATCTCTGGATGGTTTTCGAACTCAGTCGCGAGCGAGTGGTAGTGCGTAGCGAAGAAGCCGATACATCCTATATGCGTAGCTACGTGGTGCAGAACAGCCTGGGCCACGGCGACGCCGTCGTAGCTAGATGTGCCGCGGCCGAGCTCGTCAAGGATGACTAAGGACCGTGGCGTGGCTTCGGACAGTATCTTCTTGGTCTCCGACAACTCGACGAAGAACGTTGATTGCGCCGCGAAGATGTTGTCATTAGCACCGAGCCGCGACATGATACGATCGCAGGGGGTAAGCTTGGCCGAAGTAGCTGGCACGTAGCAGCCAATCTGCGCCATGATGACCGCGATGCAAGACTGCGTACGGGGGTTAGAGTTGGGTTTAACAGCGGAAGGGATTATAAGCTTACCATTCGTAGGATTGTAGACTTACCGGCGGCATTCGCACCCGTCAGGAGATCGATCTTGGCCGAATTGCCGCCTAACACGATGTCGTTAGGAATAAAGTCATCAACGGTGTTTAGCATGCAGGGGTGGCGTAGCTCCTCAAACTCGACGACGCTGCGCTCCTCATCTACAAAGACGGGGCGGCAGCTGGGCTCGCCTAAGGAAGAAGATGCTTTGGCGAGGCAGAGTAGGCAGTCGAGCTGAGACGTAATGCGGATGGCCTGCAACCAAGTATCATAGTCGACATCAAACCGCTGCAAGAGGCGCAGCGTGACTTCTCGAACAAGCTGAGAGTGAGTCTCCTCTGCCTCTTGCAGCTGCCGCACCAGATCAGTCAGCTCCTTAAAGTAGTAACGCTTGACGCTCGAGGTGGCAGACATCTGCTGCCAGTCCTTAGGAACCTTGACGGCTTTGGGTGCCTCGATCTGGTAGACTTCTTTACCCACGTCGGCGAACCTGAGGGATTTGTTCTTCAGTTCGGTCTTCTTCTTGCCAAGCAGCTCTTGGAGATCATGCTTAATCTCGAGGATCCTGTCGTGACTCTGGTCGAAATCTTCCTCGATCCCGCGCTCGGGGACCAGAATTTTCTCCTCTCGAGCCTTCTTGCGGTCGAAAGCCGTCTTCCAAAACGATAGCGGCTCGTTAAGGTTTGGCATGGACGAGACGAGGCGATCGATCAGACTTTTTCCGCCGCCGAAAGCTTCAAGAAGGCTTACTGTGTACTCGATCTGCTCGAAGCCCTCTAGGACTTTAACGAAATCGTCGGGCCGGCACGAGCCGGCGTGGATTCGCGAGATGAGACGCTCTAGATCAGGCATCCGCGTCATCTGCGAAGATAACTGCTCCCGAACGGTTTTGTCGGCGTTGAGCATATCAACCGCATCCAAGCGCTCGTTGATCTTTTCGATATTACACAAGGGGTGGCATACCCACTGGCGGAAAAGCCGCTTGCCGAACGGTGTGACGCAGCGGTTTAAGAGTGCAAATAGAGTTCCGCCAGAGCCCCCGTTTACAGAGTTGGCAAAGATCTCAAGGTTAATAAGGGTCTGGCCGTCGAGGATCAACGTGCCATTCTTGTGGATAGGATTGTACCAGGTGAAATTGCCTTGAGATAGAAGGTTCCTCTCGATCTTGAGAACTCTGAGATACTGAACGAGAGCGCCGAGAGCAGACATCAGCAGGTCCTTGTCTCTCGCCTCGGCCAGCGTGCCAGGCCAACGCTCCTCTGCGCCTTCAGCCTCGGCAAAGTAGCCGTTGCAGTCGAGTTCCCTCCGGGTAAGATCAGCTTCCCAGAACTCGCTGCCGGACTTGAAGTAGTTCCAGATGGTGGTGGGAGAGGTATTGTTCTTGAGAATGCGCAGGGCCTTGGTCGAGATGCGAGACTTTTCGAGGAGCAGCTCCCGAGGACTCGTCTGAGCGACCAGCGTCTCAAATTTAGTCAGATCGACGTCGTCCTCAAACTCAGATATAAAAAACTGGCCCGTGGCAGCATCTACAAAAGCGATACCGAACGCCGGGTGATCATCAACGACAGACTCCTTAATAGCAACGCAGTATGTTGCCATGTCGTCCTGAAGCATGCTGCCATCGACAAGCGTGCCGCCCGTTAGGATGCAAGCCAGTTCTCGCCGGATGATCTTGTCTTGCTTCTTGGCTTTGACGTCTCCTCTTTCGCGCATCTCCTTACCCAGTGCAGTTTCCATTTGATCGACTCGCGCAACCTTGTAACCCTTGGCTATGAATTGGTTAACCCACATGTCTAAAGAACTCTCCGGCACGCCGACCATGCGCATGTTGACACGGTCGGTAAGCTTAAGGTCGAAGAGCTGGTGACCGATAGTGGCGTCGTTTTCGTAGAGCTCATAGAATTTGCCCTTCTTGAAAAAAACCACCGTGTCCCATAGCTTCTGCTTAATTTCCCAGTACTGCTTCTCGAAGGCCGAAAAGCCATTCCACGCCAGGGGCGGAACGTACACGGTTGCGGGATCGTAATCTGGGTGGCCGGGTGGATTCCGGTTTATGTCCTTGATATTAGCGAGCCAAGTGTAGCGCTCTTCGGGTTCTCGAGTGTGCGCCTTCTGTTTTGCCGAAGAGGGCTTGCGCGTAGATTGCGAAGCCGACCTCGGTTTTACCGGATCGATATCATCCGGATCGTATCGCCATTGTTGGGCAGTCGACGTCGACGGCACGTCATCCATCATCTCGTCGCCAGCGTCCTTTTCAGGCTGCTCATCATCATCCTGCTCGGGAGAAGCATGTGTTCGCTTTCGAGCGCTTTGAGGTTTCGAAGGTCGCTTCCGTTTCCTGGCTGGGGCATCCGAATCGTCGGAAACTACGAAATCGGCCATCTCGTCTGCGATAGGGTTGTTAGATTAACATGTCGCGTCGGACTAATTGATACTATTGCGGAAACTATACCATCTTCTTCATCCGCAGCGGCATCCTTGCTCTCCTCATAATCACCCTCTTCCTCGTCTATGACTCTAGACTGGTGACGGTTGCGGCGTCGAGACTGGGAGGCTTTCATGCTTACGAAAACATCCTCCTCGTCTTCGTCGCCGGAAGACTCGGCGTAATTGACAGTCTTTCTAACCTATGAGTTATTAGCAAGTGTAGAAAAAGAGGGCATCGTATTCCGCTACCTTGCGTGTTGGGCTACTGCTCATGATAGATAGGGCAGAAAGGGGCTACCTAGTGCGTCAGCAAAAATAATATGCGAGGGAGAGTCGTCGCTAAGTACCTTTACCGTAACAGCGGAGCTACGGTTCTCTTGTGAACTGGAAGGCTCTAAAGCATCACTGCTGGGTACAGGGGTGACAGTGGATGGCTTTCTATTTGACTTTGTCGTCTCCTTAAGACAGGACGGCGTAGGAGACGAATTCAGGGCCGGGGAGGCTTTCGCAAAGAAACCGAAGAGGGTCTGCTGCTTTCCGGTGGCTGTGGAAGTTGATCCAGATTTCCTAGACATGGAAGGCGTCTTCCTAGCCGGAGTGCGAGACTCGCCCATCTTGATTCTTAAAACGCACAGGAAATGACCACTAAAATGAAGACACTACGGCGCCGAGGGCGAATATAGTCGAGATATGGATCAATTGAAAAGCATACGCGGGTTACGGGCAGCTATAGTTACTAGGAATTATAAGACGGTTATAAAGCAAATGTTGTCTACTAGGACACCGTCTGCTCGTTGTTGAGTTGATGGGAGCTAAAATATAGAATTAATCATTCTCGCACTCGAATTTCAATTAACAGAAAACGCGACTTGGCCTAAGCTCCCCACATGATCCGCGTTTAAACGCGTCGCGCCTTCTTTTTAACTAATTAAAAAGATACGAAGTACAAAGCATATGTACTGTGACGTACATAAATTTATGCACCGTAAGGATGTACTTCATAAGGCCATGTACTTCGTACATACATGTTGCATGGGGGTACTCATGTCGATACATGACCTCAAAACACCTATAAACTTCGACGATTTACAATTCAACTACAACTTACACAAACAAGCAACTCATACACGGAATCACGTCAAGAAACTCAAGCAGCTATGCAGCCTACAAGTACATTCTAAAATACCACAATTCAGATTAATCGCATCCACCAGTCTGTACTATCAAATCATCGTGCGAGTCTATATTTACACTGCTTCGTCCTTATTCCGGAACTCCAATTACGCCGTTGCTCACACCGAGATTCCAGTCCCCATCTTTAGGAAACTCTAATCGTCCTTTCATCCTCAGACTTTCTCTCCATCAAACTTATTTAGAATCTAATTTAGAATCTGAACTAGGATCTGATTCGGGATCTGATTTGAGACTTGGGTAGAGAAGAAAGTTGTCTGCAGCAACATCCGGCGGGGTAGACGGACCAGCAAGGTCGTCAGGCTTAATTAATCGGCGTCGACCGTCAACCACAACCTCTGTCTTGAAACCGGGCTCGACACACTCAACGGCGATGCGGGCGTTGTAGTCAAACGTTGCCATCAATACCCACGCATTAATGCCGGTCATCTCGATGCGGTACTGATACGGGTTGACCCACTGCGAGAGATCCCAGAAGCCCTTAGTAAAGTCCTGTTCGGCTCCCTGGGCTATATCGAAGTAGTAGTTCATAATGCATTCCAGTAATTCCTTGACAGCCGCGAAGCAGCGCTCCCCCGACGTCGTTTCATCGAGCGGCATGGGGCTCATCCTTCCTTGCTTAAACGCTAACCTACTCGTGTCAAAGCCCGCGCGGTTGAAGAACTTAGATATCTGTCCCTCCAGTCTGGTTCTGCGCTCATTAATCGGGTGGTGCCTTCCTAGATTATCGCTTACCGGATGACGGCGCGGGTCATATATAGTCGCCATCGTGATAGTGTCGAAGGAGCCGGGATTCTCATCTGAATCGTCGGCATACCAGACGAGCAGGACATAATCGTTCCCCCACTGGTCCTCCACCCAGAGCGGCCAGATACCCCAAGGTTTGGCCTTGAATACCCCGTATACGTCATCGCCTCTCTTCTCTGTCTGGCGTTCCGTCTCCTCGTAAATCGCCTCCTGGTGGCTCTCGTCTTGGGACCAGAGGGCGGGCCCGTTTGGAGGATGGACGGCGACCTCACTCTGCATAAAAGGGGGGGCGCATTTCCACAGGTGATCGGTCGCGACGTCCATAGCGCACATGGTAATCGGGGCATTGTGGGCAAGTTGAAGAGTGTTAAGTCCGAACGTGGCTCGGTAAGCCTCGTGAATGTAGGTCGGATACGGGACGTTCCTCCTACTCCTTCGATCTTCGGGTATAGATGTATACGTCCCGTCGTTTATTGTCCAACCGGAACTCATACGCATCTTGTAATCCCTCGGCGAAGCGAACTGCCTGTCGAACAGCGTGCGTGTCCTGCGAGCAGCCTTCCATAATCTTGGTTGACCTTTTGTAATTCCCATATTGCTTGTGTGTACTCGTCTTAGATGACTAAATAATATACTTATGACTATTAAGTAGATGTGCAACGGTCCCTACGGCGATAAGTAGAGTATGATAGCAATAGTTGACAACTGCTCTATCAGGGCCTGCGGATTGTATCAACTTTTAGGGCGCGTCGAAATAATGGGTGATCAGGATAGGAGCACATTCCTAAGGTCGTATTCGCGCGGGGCTGAATTCAGACAAACCCCTTTGTCGCCCGCAGAGTTCAAGCAGGTGTTGGAATAAAATCGTAGCTTGACCTTCCTTGTTCTCGGCGATGGTTCCGGTTAGGGCAAACCTCGGATTGAGACTTTGGACAATGGCGTCCCATACTGCTTTCATCTTCAAAACTCGCGCAGGAATAAAGCATGGTGTCGCTTCTAGAAAATCACACAGGTGCTTCAGACTCGTTCAAGAAGCATTGTTCTAAGTGCTGAAGCAAGCCGATTATGCCTAGAATCGGGTTTTCCATAACCCTGTGGAACATAATAGTCGAGTTGATACGAAGAGGTCATCTTCGTGCGAGGCTGCAAGCGCTGGCGGAGTCGGCATCGCTGATGCTACGATATGTTTAAGGAGGTAAGTAGAGTGTTCTAGAGGCCAGGTTATTTCTTTGGGCTGCTAAGCACTCCCAAATACCTCATGAACCGAACAAGATAGTCGGTATCGTAGACAAAAGGTAATATTTATAAAGCGTCACTCACCTTCTCACAAGTTCTAGCAAGATACTTGCGCTGTTTTAGATAGACTTCACAGCATGGTTCATATTAAGTTTTACCAAACGTTATATTATATCTAGTGATACGCTCATTCTACCTCGGCAAAGTAACGAACAAGGCCGATATGCTAACCCAATAGGCATTCAAGTTTAACCAGGTCCGAATGTTTTAAGCGACAGGAATAAGTTAATATGTCACAGATAATGATACGTCGAAAGGGATTTTCCGCAGTCAACATTTGAAGAGGATATGTTTACTGCGATTCCCAGAGAAATATTGCTTCGTTTATAGATAAGCCATATTATTTTATCCCCTTTACAGTATTATAGTGAACAGGTAGTTTGTATATACGTCGTATATTTCAGTACTGGGCGTTTCGGAAGAAGCCATATTGGCACAGAGTAGAACTGGTAATACACCTCGTGAGATTAAAACTTATTTTATGCTTAGCCCTATGTTTCTTTCGGTGCGTTTAGATAAAATGTTCTATATAAGTCCTTCGCCTCAAAAGGAGGTCCTCTGCTTCGTCCAAACAAGTGGGGACCTGTACGATTTTGCGTGTTCTACACGATCTGGAAAATATTTCTACTGCATGTATATACAAGAGAGAACAACGAACGGCAGTTTAAGTGATGATATAGTAGCTAATATCACGATCACTATTTGATAATAAATGTGCTGATGATGATAGCTTACCTAGAGTTTGAAGCATCGGGTTAAGAATAGACATCTTTGAAAATAAGCCAAACTAAGCGCCATATCTATAAATTGGTATTATTTCTTAGTTTAATTGCCTGCGGTGATTTACCAGTACGAATGTTTAAGCACTGGCGATATGCCCTAGCTTGAATTCGGCATGTCTCCGTGTCTCCTTGGGCGTACGGTAAGGGGCTAATATCAAGACGGAGACTGCTATATTCAGGATGAAATTTTCAGAGAATCTACCCATATAATGTGTTTCTTTGAATTCGAATGCCCTCGCCGATGCCAGCGGCTCCTAATAGATATCTACTTAATATGATATATGATATATTGAAAGATGAAAGATGTCGAAGTTGGTTCGACTCTGAAAAATTCCTCTTGCTATGAGGTAAGGAATGAGAATCTGACGTGCTAGACGATTTTTATGATTCATATGCTTACGTCCCTTTCGTCAAGGAAAACTAGGTTTGAACGAGGACGCCACTTATTCTATGACAGAAAAATATAACCTGTTCTAAGACAAAGATATCACTCTAAGTCTAATGTCTAATGAGGAAAGTCCGTATATATCAGCGGCATCTACTGCCGCCGCTGCATGAACCAAAAATATGTATCCACACGGCCGAAGCGGGAATAACCGGAAATATAGCCCTACCAGAGTAAGGCTTTTTCTAATTCCCGAGAACTCGGTTGCGCGCAATCCTTCGGTCAAATGCCTGACCTATCACCTCGAGGTTCCATTAGTATATGTCTGATGAATGATAATTATCCACACCATCGTATTTTGACTGGAGCGTACCTCACAGGAAATTTAAAAGATGAAAAGATTTAGCGAAAGAATACTTGCGGATTGATCGGTGGATGTGTGGAGGGCGCTACTAATTGTCTCCCCTTTGACCTATACTTGGCAATGATCCTCGTCTGGCAACTCTCCGATATCATGCTAAGAACGTAGGTAGCTCCCTATTTTACGCCTCCATGTCCGACCATAAGCGAAGGTTACATTATTTCTCACCGATCCCGTAACTTACATATGTTAGATGAATCCTCGAGGTTCGATGAAGCCCAGGTAGGAGCCCGCATTTCGGAACAGAGAATGTGGGTTTGATTCACACTTCTCGTTCTCTGGTAATTTTTATATCAGTAAATCATACCTTCTCATCATACCTTCTCATCAGGCCTCCCTACGAGATTCCCGAGCGTAACGGTTGCGTAACATTGTTTAGTCGTGTGGTCGATTTTGATACGTTGATCTACCTGTAGACTCGGAACGTCTAATCTACGTACATCTAATATTTGATACCTTGGTAAGGATGGAGCCGAAGGGGAGCGGCAGTAGCTTCGCACCCGCTGTAGCTGACGAACGAAAGGATCGCCTAGACCTTGAAGATGCGGTATCCGGGAGGGACACGTCGACGCCATCCGGCGTTTCGGCTGCGTACTCATCAGCTCCCGCCTTCGATTATTCCATCACGAAGGCAGAAATACCAGGATCGGTGGACCAGGAAGAGGTCGTTAGCGATGCGCCGCTGGACTCCAATACCCCTATTTCCTATCTCTACCTGACGTTCGACACGCCACTGCCGTGCCCAAATGCTGGGAGACCGCAGTCGGACCGCGGCGACCTTCCGGCGTGTCCCAACCTTTCTCCATACGCAGACCCGACGAAATGGCCGTTGGCGCGCAAGGGGGTTATGCTGATTATATCTTGCATGGCCACCTGCTTTACGGCGTACGCGGCCGGCGCGTATTCCGAATGTGCGGATCTGATCGCCACAGAGTTCAACACTACACGCGAGAGCGCTCTAGTCGGTGTAACTACCTTCTGCATCGGCTTCGCTATCGCCCCTATGATCTTGGCCCCGTTTTCGGAGATCAACGGGCGCTACCCCGTCTTCGCCATTGCCGGCGTCATATTTGTAGTCTTCCAAGCCGTCTGCGGCGTGGTCACAAACTTAGCAGGTATACTGATCGCCCGGTTTTTTAAGGGCGTCGGCGGAAGCGTGTTCAGCACTATGGTGGGCGGTGTAATTGCCGACATGTACGAGAAGGAAGACCGCAACATGCCGATGGCGTTTTTCAGCGGCGCCGTCCTGGTCGGTACCGGCCTCGGGCCGCTCGTGGCTGCGGTAATGGTTCATCAGTGGGGAGGCGAGGGTCAGAAGTGGAAATGGGTATTTTGGCATCAGGGTAAGTCAACAATTCCACCTGCCCACCTTGCTCTCGCTACTAAATACGTCGTATAAAAGCCATGAGAGTGACTATATCTACATCGGATCTTATGCGATATAATGGCAGCTAACATCCTAGCACCGCAGTTATTATAGATTTCATCTTGATGATTGCCGTCGTAGCCTTTTTCAAGGAGAGCCGCGGCTCGGTGCTCCTATCGAGAAAGGCAAGAGCATTGAATAAATGGTATCAACAGCTGGAGGAGAAAGGGGTATTTGGAGTTTATATCCCTGGATCGAATGGCGACTCCGATATCTTGTCGAGACTGGCGGCTATCAGGAACGACGATACGTCGGCCACAGAAAAGGGCCTGTCGGCGCCGTCATCAGAATCTAAGCTGAAGAGATGTTCGGAGCTGCGGCGAATTAGATGGATTGTTAAGGAAGACGAGCAGCATGCGTCCCTCGTCACTATGATAACCGTATCGTTTTTTAGGCCATTCGTATTTCTCTCTACGGAACCCATCGTCTTCTTCTTCTCGCTATGGGTATCTTTCGCATGGGGCATTCTCTACCTGACTTTCGGGTCTATTCCGCTCGTGTTCCAGAGACAGTACAACTTTAACATTGAGCAATCAGGCTTCGTCTTTATTGCCATGATAATAGGTTCCATATTCGCAACTATCCTGGGTATATATCAAGAAGGAATGCTCAAACATCCCAAGTGGCAATCCGCATCAGATAGCTCGGGGACGGACAGCTCGGAAGACAGCTCCGAGGAGATTGATACAGGTACCGGATTCTGGGCTTTTGTGCGACGAAAATTTCCAGCACAATCTCCCGAATCGCGGCTTTATTTTACCTGCTTCACGTCAGTGCTGCTACCGGCGGGTCTATACCTATTCGGATTCGCGTCTCAGCCATCGATCCACTGGATGGTTCCTACGTTTTCAATATTCCTCGCTACTATGGGCATCTTTTACGTCTACTTAGCTACGTTTAACTATCTAGCAGACGTCTATCAAGCGTACGCGTCATCGGCACTCGCCGCACAGTCCTTCTGCCGTAACGTACTCGGCGGGATATTCCCTCTCGTCACAGGGTTGCTGATCCGAAACCTCGGAGAAGACGCGATGGGTGGGCTACTGGGCGGAATTGCTACCGTATTGACAATCGTACCTTGGGCTTTGGTGTTGTTCGGAAGCAGAATCAGGGCTCGGAGCTCGTTTGCTATTGTGAGTGTCCTTGATTCGTTCACAGACTTGATTCGATCGCTAACAGTAGATAGGCGCTTGAGCAAAAGTGAAGGGAATAGAGCATATAGATTTGTGGATTAAAGAGGTATAAGTGCAAACATGCTATATAAAGGATATATTGTGCTAAATTTGGAAGAGGAATCCAAAGTACACCATGGAGTGTTGGGGTAGAATACGTCGGAGAATAGAATTGGAAAGTCTAGTAAGAAGATACTGTTGCTTTGTGAACGAATATGAATATATTTGGGATGGGATAGTCAGTATAGCACTCTTGATACTCTTAAAATGAGCTTTTAAGCGAGTTTCTATGGGGATATTGGGCTTCATTCTCTTCTAAACGGATGGTGTTGGCATTGGGGATGATGAAGGCTAATTCAGCATTTGGGATAGATGAGAATGTGAGAATTAAACGAATTAAACGAATTAAACATGGGACCATTTCTGATTAGGTGCTGTTACTCATTGGTTATACCTTCTTATAAATTTAGTAAACAGGAGCAAGTGAGTCCAACTCACCAAATTTCGACTTCTTTTAGTGCATTAACTTTACATATGTAGATAACGAGATATACATATAAACATAAAAGATACATCATACCCCCACTGCCCCGCGGTAAGGTACATAATGTTTAGCCCCTCCAAAATGACGATTTTGCAACTGAGCTCTCTTGAATTGATATTTTACAAAGATTCTTAAACTTGTCCCGGAACACCCGCGAAATCTAAGCAACCCTCGCGATCAACGCAATACCGATCATGGACGAAATTACAAAAATGTCTGGACCTGTTCCGACAAACTTTGATGCGGACAATGCAGATAATCTTGAGGATGTAGGACTTCCTTAGGCTGTGAATATCTAGATGTATCTAATAGCTAATCTGACTCCACGAGTAATAGATCGAGAAGCAGTTTGCGGTCAAAGGTTTGCGCGAAACCAAATCTACTTTCAATACAATATTCTAACCTTAGCTCGTGAGTGCAGCGGTTCAACATCTAGAGACATACTGGGCTATTTTGGAAAGAGTAAAAGGTTCTTCGTTGCGACTCACCAAGATGGACGATGATATATATGCCCACCTTAAAACCGAATTTCCCGAATTTGATCCCGCGGCCACCATTAATGAGGAAGAGATGAAGAGTAAGTCGGGTAAGGAGCGGTGGCGCAAGTTCATGATGGCCTACGAAAAGAAGGTCGATGACTACAACTTCGGCACTATGTTGCGGACGAGCCCTAGCGTAGAATATGAGCAGGACACGACGATATTTGGTACTGAGATTTACCCCCTTGCGAAGTTGAGACAGGGCAAACCCCATATGCTAACTCGCCCCCTTCTCTAGTTCCGAGGATGCAATTCTATGCCGTTGAGATAGCAAGAAATAGGGCCGGCCTTAACGACTGGATTTACGAGAAGGCTAATGGCGCGGGTAAGCCATAAGGTACAGCTTTTATAAACGAGATAGGAAAATATACTCTCTAGCTGCCCCTTACAATACGCAAAGAGGACAAGAGACGAAACAGGTAGAAGCGAACAAGAGCGCTGGAGCCCGACGTCGGTAAGATGATCAGAACCTGATATAGTAATGCGTGGATAGATACGTAAATGGACGAATGGCTTCGAGCTATAATCGGATTACTTAGGCGGCCTAGTATATTAGTGAGCTGTCAAAAATTCGACATTTGTCATGGTAACGGTTGTGGTAACGTTTATCATCAGAGCAAGCCTACTTCGAGATGCCCTTTATTCAAATTAGAACTAGTTAATAGAACTCTAGCTCTTTTGACACTATCGGCGCCCCGACACCTTGCTTGCAGCTACAAAGCAAGAGCGGACAAAGACCAACGTTACCGGGAAAGCTGGCGTAGAGGGTCTAAGTAAATAAATGTGGTCCGACGATAATTCAATTATAATTCTCGCGATAAAATCTCTGGGCTGGCTCCTAGACGCCGGCTCTCGCTCTTTTCAACAACTGACATCGTGCTAGCAGGACACCGAAGCTCTACGCAACGCAGCAAGGTCCTTTACCTGTCATGTCTCGACCGAGTCTAAAATCTAGGGACGGATCACTCTATTGCGATAGCGAAGACAGAGCGTCCGGTCATGCGCAATCTGCAAGAATCGAGTCACAGCCTTTACAACCCCCGTCTCTAAGACACCTTTTCGTCTTCGCGACGTGGCGTCACTGCGGAATATTGGCTGCGGGGCTGGTGGCATCGTTGCTAGTGGGCGCCATGAGAGCAGCTTCTGCCATCCTCATAGGCAGAATATTTGCTGTTGTTGCAGACTTCGGATCGGGGAAGCTGGACGGCCCAGGCGCCTACGCTCAGGTCTCGTCCTGGTGCGTCATCCTAATGTTGGTTGGCGGAGCGGGTGTGATTGTTAATTTTGCCTTCATGTTCATCTGGTCCATCTTGAGCGAGGTCCAAGCCAGGAATACCCGTCGCAAAGTGTTTGACGCCTTACTCACGAAGGACATGGCTTGGTTCGATGGCCAGGAAGACGGCATCCCGAGCTTGCTCGTGAGAATACAAACGTACTCCTCAACCTGATCTGGCTGCCACGCAAATCGCTAACCATTTATTAGACAGACCAGAGAGCTTCAAGTAGCATCTTCGGCGACACTTGGGTCCATAGCAGCCGAGATTGCTACATCGATCGCAAATCTCATCGTCGCATTTTACGGCTCGTGGAAACTCACGCTCGTACTCCTCGCCACGATACCGGCTATCGTCGTCGTACCCTCTTTACTAAGTGGTAAGCTAAAGCTGGCTATTCAAATACAGAAGCGAGAGCTCAGCCGAGCTTCTAAGCACGCGATATCCGCCTTGACCGCAATAGACCTCGTAAAGGCCTTCAACGCCGTCGACCACGAAGTCTGGCAGTATCTTCAGGTGATACAAAGGTCCATGAATACCTATCTAACTCTAGCCAGGACGAGTGCGTTACAAGTCGGCTATATAAGATTATGGTTGGACGGAATATTCGTGCTGGGGTTTTACTACGGTGCTGTTTTAGTGAACCAAGGGCTCAACCCAGGAAGCGTCGTGACGACATTCTACGCGGCTCTAGGCGCGTTACAGGCTATTTACACCATCGCACCGACATACGTTTCCCTAGCGAGGGGTATGGCCGCCGGCCAGGCGCTCTACTCTATAACTCACAACATCGAAGGCGGACGACGAATCTATCAAATGATAGGTAGCTACCGCCCTATAAACTGCTCTGGCAAGATCGAGGTTAACGACGTGAGTCTGCTTCAAACCACTCTTCTCCCCTATGCCTAACATTACCGTTTCCAGGTCAGCTTTGCGTACCCGTCAAATCCAACTAGGGTTGTTCTAAATAGATGCTCTTTCATCTTCGATCAGGACCGGCTATGTTTTATCGTAGGGCAGAGCGGGTCAGGAAAGAGCACGATAGGAAATTTGCTAGCGAAATTCTACGAACCCCTCAGCGGAAACATATTGATAGACGGCCACGCGCTGAAGACTTTGGATTCCGAGTGGGTGAGAAGCAACGTCACACTTATCCAACAGGCGAGCGTCCTTTTCAACGATACTATCTATGCTAATGTCGCAATGGGCCACAGAATACCTACGGAGGTGTCTAGGAAAGGAGTCGAAGCGGCATGCAAAGCGGCCCTGCTCCAGTCAACTCTGATCGAGCTACCTGACGGCTTAGATACGTACGTAGGGACTGGGGGCATCAACCTGAGCGGCGGTCAGAAGCAGAGGCTAGCCGTAGCGAGGGCAAGAATACGCGATCCGCCAGTGCTCATCCTTGACGAAGTCACGAGCGGGCTCGACCCGACGAATCGAGGCCTGCTTATGGATGGCATCAGGCAGTGGCGACGAGGAAAAACAACCATTATAATTACCCACGAAGTAGCACAGATCAACGATGACGACTACGTATACGTCATAGAAGACGCGCGCGTCGTGCAGGCAGGTTTCCGTTGGGATTTGCAGCGGCAGAGAGACGGCATATTTGCTGTATTGGCGTCTTCGGCTTCGAACGACGAAATCAATGGTGATAAAAAAGAAGTTTGCGCGGACGTCCCAGGAGATAAGGCAAGAGTTACAGTCTGTGTCACACCGCAAAGAAGCGCCGCATTGCAGGATCCTACCTCTCCGGACTACGTTTGGCCTTTCGGGGGGCCAGATGCCCTCTATCGGCGAAGCGCTAAGCCGAACGCAGGTGCGTCGGCCGTAGAGACCCACCAGTTTCGGAACGGGAATGAAAACAGGGAATATTCTTGGACGGGAGGCTTGGATAATCTGGACACGTTCCTAGAACCCCCTGATTTCTTCCGCAGGAGGCTCTCGTCGCTATGGTGGTCCGATCAGTATCGTCTATTTCGCAGCGAGTCCAACCAAAAGAGGCCTCTGAGTAGAAATAGCATAGTACGTCTTCAAGAGCTGGGCGACAAGGTACGAAAAATCCGCGGCAACCCTGCCGACAAGGACCGGCGGCGGGGACCTATGATTACGCCCGCGGAAACTCTCGAGGATTGTGACGGTGATAGGTCTGAGAGATTATCTTTGTGGGCTATTTACAAGACGGTATGGCCATGTCTGGCTACGAAAGAAAGAATATTCCTCATTGTAGGATTCTTCACGTGCGTCGTGCTCGCGGGCTTGGTTCCGGCCTTTTCAGTCCTATTCGCAAACCTCCTGGCGGTCCTATTTTCAAGCGGAGACAAAATGGCCGCGGGACAGAAATGGGCTCTGTGCCTCTTAGCAATTGCCTGCACAAGAGCAGCAGCGACGTATTTGAATCAGTACCTGATGCAGAGGGCAGGCCAGGCTTGGGTGAACGCCCTACGCATTCGAGCGCTAAACAGGGTGTTGCGACAGCCCAAATCGTGGTTTGACGAGCCGGCTAATTCGGCCGTACGCATAAATGAGTGCATGGATCGATACGCGGAGGAGATGCGAAATCTTGTCGGGCGTTTCGCTCCGCAGCTGCTACTCGTAACTATCATGGTTGTCAGCACTATGGTATGGGCACTGCTCATCTCGTGGCGACTCACACTCGTAAGCCTCGCGAGCGCGCCAGCCTTCGTCGCAGCCACGCAAGGTCACTCCCTCGCGTCTCAAAAGTGGGAAAATAGATGTCTCAAAGCCGCAGACGATATCAGCGCGATCTTGACGGAAACTTTTACTAACGTGCGCGTCGTTCGGGCATTGACGCTAGAGCAGTTCTTCTCGAATAAGCACGAAAAATCTATTCATAGAGCTTTCGAGCTAGGTGCCGAAAAGTCCGTCTGGACTGCTATCCCGTACGCCTTCTCACAGTCTATGGTCTGGTTTATTTTCGCGCTTACCTTCTGGTACGCGATAGAACTTCTCACAACCGATCGAGAGCTTACGATCCCCGCCATCCTACAGGTGGTAAACCTGTTAGTTCTAGGCGTCACTACCGCTTTTGGCATACTAGGCTCTATAACTGGCGTTTCCGCAGCACAAGAAACAGCTTCCCGACTAATTCACTACGCATACTTACCCCTAGACGCCTCCCACGAGTCGAGAGGCAAGATTCTACTCGTAACCCCTTTTCCCATCAGGATGGAGCGTCTGTCTTTCGCCTATCCCTCGAGTAACCGCACTGTACTTCGAAATCTTACCCTCCGCTTCGACGCCGGTACATCTACCGCAGTAGTCGGCCCTTCCGGCTGCGGCAAGAGCACGATCGCGTCTATCATCCTTGGCCTATACGTACCGGACCGGTCGAGAGGTAGGCGAAGCAGCGGGGACCAGCGGCAGCTGACCTTCGCGTCTACGCCAGCGGCTCAACTTGACTTCGTCGGCCTACGGACTCATATCGGTTACGTCCCCCAGATACCGCTCCTCTTCCCCGGCACGCTCGCGGAAAATATCGCTTACGGCCTAGCGGAAGACTCCCCGCTGCGCACGCCGGAGAATATTCAGAGGGCAGCCAAGGAGGCAGGCATCCACAACTTCATCCGCACTTCGACAGCCGGCTACGATACGATGGTCGGAGACGGCGGACAGTCGCTCAGCGGCGGACAGGCGCAGCGGGTTTGCATAGCCAGGGCCTTAGCGCGGCGACCTAAGCTATTAGTGCTCGACGAGCCCACGAGCGCGTTAGATACGGTTAGCGCAAGGGACGTGCGACATACGATAGAGTCTCTCATGCAGTCTGCAAGAAAAAAGAGCGTCTACAACGGCGAGGGCGTTAGTAATGGTAGGGGAGACGAGCTGTCAATTATTGCTATTACGCACAGCAAGGAAATGATGCGCATGGCGGATCGAATAATCGTAATCGACCAAGGTAGCGCAGTAGAGTCTGGCTCTTACGACGAGCTGTTGGCGAAAAATGGCAAGTTTGCGGAGCTGATGAGCGGCGGTCTCTGGGCGGGAGACAACAGGGAAGATCATTCACAGGGACCGCATGAAGTAAGGAGCAGCGCGCGGCTGGTTGCAGATGATCTTCCACTACGCAGAATAGGTCGGTCTGATGACGGCTACTCTGCTGAGACACCTAGATGGGCTGGTTTGCGAGATGTGCAGTGGGCAGACAATCGAGGTCCATCTACCGGCGTCTTGAGCCCTCTCACAAGTCCATTCGGCGCGTCTCGAAGAAAGGAGCGCAGGGACGATGGCGATTAAAACATGACGTACGAGTTTAGGTGTACCGTTCTTGTAGATAAAATAAGGATCGATTATAAGGAGTATTAATTAAAGTAATTGTTGTACAATATGGTATGAGCTACATGCTCACTCCTACCTCATAAGCTCTATTATATGAGAATATATTAAAATTTGCAAAAGTAAACTTGCGAGATGGCTGGCTATTGTGTTCGTTTGTGATACCTCACATATAGCTTTGATGAAAAATCATTTTTTTCCATTTCTCAAGTTGTAGAGATCAGTTTGCAGTTCTTTACATTAAGCGCTTCGGGTGTTAAAGTAGTAATAGCTCTAAGTTTGGCTATAGAAATAGACAACCACATCCGCCTAGAGTACGACGTGCGCAAGGTCGGTCTGTTTAATGGTATCACTCTGAATCTATCATTATAAGTTACCTACATAGGTACATATGTAGATACCCGACTCTAAACGTTCAGACACAGTTTACTAACAATCCTGACAGTACTTGTTTACAAATCTGCGAGTTATAGGTTAATACCGCCTTTCGCAAGCTTGTTTGAGTAGGTTAGGTACTCACCCATCCCATACCAGCGGTCCGGGAATCGTGTAATTCTGCGATGAGTTAGATTCGACATAGAAAAGGGTATGGGCATATTCTTACCGTTTGCGCCTTTATTTCATCCGAGTAGATGTTAATCTTGATCGACGGATCTGATACAGGTGTTAGCCACTCTCGCTATTATGAAGGCGACACGTACCATCTTCCTTATACGTCCCGGGGAACCTAGCAAAATACTCAGGTGACGGTACCGCCGTCCCTGTTCCGGTGATGTTCAGATGCGCACACTCGGGATAGAACTGAGGCTTATTCTCTATGTGGATGCTCAGGATCTCGTGCCTGATAATGTAGAGCCCCGGCTTGATGGTCGTCGGGATCGTAACGGACCATAGGTCTGGAGATCCATCCCAGTTCTGGAACTGCTTCTGATACCATATACCTTCTACGATGTTTCCCTCCACCAAGCCCGCCTCCCAGATCTTAAAGAAATCTAGCTGATTCACGTCGACGTCCTCGCAAGACTCCCCGCAGTCGGCGAGCCAAATCGACATGGGCCCGTACGGATGAAGCCAATACCAATAAACTGCCGTAATGTTATCCCCAGCTGCGATGGGAATATACGACGGCGGCGCTGTGCCTGGGGTATTGCAAGCCAACCCAGTATCGTTTACGAAGAATATCGGGTCTATGCTCGCCCATATCCTCTGGACCATCCAAGGCTTGCCTTGTTGGTCTTCCAACGGCTCGTCCGGGCTGTATCTGCAACTCTAGTTAGCGTCGACATCGAATATCAGCAATACAAAATCTTACCCCCTGTACCAAGTATCGCCAACAGTATAATTTGCAAGGCCGCCGTGAGCAGCGACGAAACTAGCCAAAAGCGCTAGCGCTGCTAAGAGGATCTGGCTGGCCATAGTGCGGTATGATTTTAACGGTGAGGGTCTGACGATGTAGGTAGCCGAGGCAGCATCACTAAGGAAGGAAGTTCAAGAGGCTGCCACAGCGCAACTACCGGTTGCCAAGAACCTGGGGAAACTCGCGGCTCCTGCTTGAAGTATTTGAACCACCTTGGAAGCAGGGCCAGATTCTCCAGACAAGTTCGGCCATCCTCGAGGGCTCAGTGGCGCGACGCTTTAACCACGTGCGGTAATTCGGAGCGTCTAACAAGCGGCTGGATGCAACCTCGTCTCCGGCTATTTGAAAGGCTTGCCACTTTCGCATCTTTGAGGGTCTATAGGATCTAAGAATAGTAACCTTCTAATTAGCCACGTTTAAATCTCTATTTACTCCAAAGGTTTTTCAAGCTCTGTTTTACGAAACTACGCCGGGAATGAAGAGCTCTAATAAAGAACCGTTAGAGAATGGATATAGGCGTGTTCTACGTACCAAAAGTATGAATACATTCAGGACTTTAAATTGGCCCTTTACCCGGACCACTCTCACGCTGATAAAAATGGACAATGTAGAAAGTTGTATAATTCTTCGACCCAAGGCTTCAAACTTGAGTTCCTCCCAAGGATTCCTAGTAGGCAGCATATGGACCATATTAATACTATAAACGTGTCCAGGATTTCTTGGGTATATTGATATTCCTCCCTCGATGCTACCCTACGCAAAAGCTCCTGCGCGTCTCAGCAGCACCAGCGATATTAGCCATATTACCCAATCTCCCCACGTTTGGAGATGTGGAGTCTCCTATGCTAAAGGCTCACCCCGTCATCATCCCCAAAGTGCCAAGCGGATCTCGGTGTAAGGGGTCAATCTCGCCACGCGCGAACGCAGTGGTTAAACGCGCCACTCCTGTCGAACCTCTAGATAAAAAAAAGCCTTTATTGCATCGTTTAGAGTGGTGCCCTCCCCATGTCTCGACTCGGCTAGAGCCGCTCGACCCCCCCTATCCTATCCTATCCTATCGACTCGGAAATGGGAGACGCGAAGCCACTCCAGTTCGGGCATTCAGAAATCAGCCGGAAAGCGACGATGCGACGAGTCACACGTCGTCCCGCATCAAAAAGCCAAGCCTAGCGACATATAAGAATCATCTCAACGCCCCCAAACCGCCCTTTTACTAACCAGCGAAGCACACTATCCCTACCTCATCCCAGATTCCCCAGAAACAGCGCCCAAGATGATGCGCCGTCTGACTTCCGCCCTCCTTCTGGGCTCCACGGCTACCGCACTGCCGTTCGCCGACATCTACCAGCGCCAGAACACCAGCGACTGCGCCGTAAAGGACACCTACCCGGCCGTGAGCTTTGATAAGCTGCCCGACCCTTTTACTTTCGAGGACGGAACGAAAGTCGCCAGCAAGGCCGACTGGACATGTCGTCAACAAGAGATTAGCAAGCTCCTACAGCAGTACGAGTTAGGCGCCTACCCCCCGCCTCCCGACAAGGTTGAGGCTTCTCTTTCCGGAAGCACCATGTCCGTCAAGGTCACCGTCGGTTCCAAGTCTGTCACCATCAGCACCTCCATCAAGAAGCCTAGCACCTCTCCCGGCCCCGCCATCATCACCATCGGCGGTTCGTCGCTGCCCATCCCCGGCACCGTAGGCACCGTCGGATTCAACAACGACCAGTTCGCCTCGCAGGCTTCCGGCCAGTCCCGCGGCCAGGGTGCTTTCTACACCCTGTTCGGAAACACCCACTCCGCCGGTGCTCTTACCGCGTGGGCTTGGGGAGTGGACCGCGTCATCGACGGTCTCGAGCAGCTCGGCGCCGACAAGACCGGCATCGACCCCAAGAGGCTAGGAACTACGGGTTGCTCCCGAAACGGAAAGGGTGCTTTTATCGTCGGCGCCCTCGCCAACCGTATCGCCCTGACCCTCCCGCAAGAATCCGGTTCCGGCGGTGCCGCCTGCTGGCGTATCTCCGACTCCGAACATAGCAAGGGCAAGAACATCCAGACCGCCGGCGAGATCGTCGGAGAGAACGTTTGGTTCAGCCAGAACCTAAACGCATACACCTCCAAGACCAACACCATGCCCGAGGATCACCACTTCCTCGCCGCCCTCGTTGCTCCTCGCGGTCTCCTCGCCTTCGAGAACGACATCGACTGGCTCGGCCCCGTCAGTACGACCGGCTGCATGAAGGCGGGTCGTCTCATCTACAAGGGTCTCGGCGTTCCTACCAACATGGGTTTCTCCCTCGTCGGCGGCCACAGCCACTGCATGTTCCCGTCCTCGCAGCAGGCCGAGCTTACCGCCTACATCAACTACTTCTTGCTCGCCGGCACCACGGCTCCCCCCGAGGTCGAGAAGAGCAGCGCCACCGTCCCCGTCACCGACTGGGCCCCGTGGACCGTTCCCACTCTTGCTTAAGCGGGTTAACAGGGTAAAACGATGACGGAATCTCTTGTATATAGCATACCGCGATAGCAAAGTGCCGAACTGCATAGGTTAGGTTAGGTAGTTTTGCCTTTTTTTAGCTATCTATTCGTACGTACGCGAACGGTAATAAAAGCCGCCTGTCAAATTCCAGACTTATTTCTTAATTACATGTGATTTGTTGCGCTTAGCCACGTAGCCACTCTTTTACCGTCGCTGCTAGATCTTCCTCTTGCAATCCGAGAGAGCTGATCGCATTTTTGTCCCCCAAAACTGCGAGGCCAGCACCGTCCGCGTAGATGCGACTCCGTAAGAAGTTGGAGAATGCGCTGAAATCCCCCTTGCTTAGCTTTTCTAGCCCGATCTTTTCCTGCTCTGCGGTACTGGCATGCTCTACCTTCCATTTCTCGCCCGTCTCCGCCTCCACGATCTTTAGAATCTGGTTTTGGGACGGATTAAACGACGCGATCGTGAGATATTGGTTGGCAGTCTTCTCCGGCTGCGACAATATGGCACCGATGACCTTGCCGATAAACGCCAAATTCGACGCCTGGACTAGCTCGTCTCCGGAGTCGTAGATGGTCACAGTCTTCGAGTCCTTGTTAAGCCCTACGGTCCCGAATTTAAGCCCCTACGTAGCTCGTTAGCGCTTATGATTCTATTGAGAATGACTTTATGCGTACCCAATCGAAGAAGATTCCGCTGGAGATGCCGGTCCACGTAAACCACGGATTCTCCCGAGACTTGCCAATGATGTAATCGAGAGTCTGGACCTTGCCCTGGATGATTTTCCCGATCGGTTTACCTTCTACGATTCTCGTATTGATGCCGAATTCGGACGGGATAAACCGCTTCACCTTGGCGGCGATAGAGGCGTCCACCAGCGGGACCTGACTGCCGATAGCCACCGTCGCGATCGTAGATACTACTGCATCTTGACCTTGAAGCGCGTCTGTTAACGCCTCGACGGACTGATAGTTAACCTTCTTAGTGGTGACTTCAGGCGGGAACGTGGCTGTCGACTCCTCACGCGCGAACGCGGTAACCTTGAAGCCAGCTTTAAGCAGCTCTTGGACGACCTCCTTTCCCAAATTCCCCGATGCCTAATAACATGTTAACAAGGTCGCGAACTTTGTTAAAATCTACTCACCCCAATTACAGCCACGTTCTTGATAGAATCCGCCATCTCGTTAATAATTTGCTGCGAGTTTGATTTGATTCCTAGTAGATTGAGGGGGATTATGTTTATCCAAGACAAGTTAATTGCCGGACATACGAGACTATTTATGCTACGAATAGCTAGCCAAGCGGGGGGATTATCATACGTGATATCAACTACCTAGGCGTGCTTGGAGAACTTAAGCCAAGCCTCTCGAACTCCCGAGCGATCGATCAAGGTGACGCGTTAGTGAAGACGGTAACGCCGCATATAATTGGACAGAGGTGAGCTCATAAGAGGTAGTAGATTCGTAATCCATACATCAAACCTTCAAACAATCAAACTAACTAGGTGATTTAAAAAGATTGAATAATTGATTTAGTTTATCATTGTAGTTTGATTAATAATGTTGCGGTTAGAACTAGCGGAACTGGTAATCAGTTGCCGGTAATAGCAGTTCGTACCGTCGCATTGCTAATGTTCTGTATAAAGCTCGGCGACGTAGTTATTAGTCGATTTAATATCAGACTAACCCCTACCTCTGGTTGGGATTTTATTGCTTGACACTTCTATTTGAATGAAATGAGATGTAGGATAGCCTCATCATATAATTATTAAAGTATGAGATGACGCCGTTTAGGTCATGGCAAATCATCCCGAATCATCGACAACCGGGTTCCCGCATCGCTATCATAATCAAGTCGTCCGAAAGTGGGGACATCGCGGTAATATCTACTTCGGCTCCGCAGACTGGAAACCACAAATTTGTATCATTAAGATACTGTGGGATGTTGTGGGATATATTTCGTAGGAGGATGTGGTGGGAGGGGTACAGGTACGGGACTAGCTCTCGTTGCTACTCTGAGGCATAGCCATCCCTGCTTCTCGAGGTTCTCCACAAAAGACACAATGGTTAGATAAACCGCAGCCTTTATAATAATGTGTCCATGGCCTCGGTAGGATGAGGAAATTTTTCTGCCGAAGTTCACTAACTCTCCTTTAGTCATGGTGCTTTCTCTATAGTATATAACACCCCATGAGTGTAGATATACGCGGTTCAACTCCAAGAACTTCTTCACACGAAGATCCCACCGACCACTTATACCTGGGTTGATCTTCCAATTGGCAAAGGCAATCTCAGGATTTGTCAAAAGGTGCGTATCCGTAATGGCCATAAAAGAGCTAATCTGTATCCCAAAGGCCTTTAGATATATATCTTCGGACCACTTCAGATATATGGATAAATCCTACCATGGTCAAACACGAAATGGTTCGACTCAAGTTTTTCCTTAGGTACTACTAGGCGTTAAGGGTGATTCTATATCCGTTGTATATCATAATCATGGTATGCAGCATGATTATAAGAAGTAAAGATGTAGTAGTGTAAGATGATTGGCGAGCATGTAGCCGGGAATGAATGCAGGGAGCGCTGTGGATATAAGTACAATGGGAATGGGTTAGGTTAGGAGCGTATATAGGATGGTAAGATAAAAATAGAAACTTACCTCGATGTTGCAAAATTGCGAAAACAAAAGGCAGAATTGCCTATAAATTTGGTGATACGGAAGGGGGATACGAGAGACGGCGAGATGAAGATGAAGGTGGAGATATCAGGATTGGCTAAAGCACAAGGTAAAGAATTAGCGAAGGAGTAGGAGAGCCTCATCTCAAGGCATATTGAGTACAGTAATCACGAGATGAGGCCATCGTGATGACTGTTGTTGTAATGATGATGATTACTTAGAGTTGACCCAAGTAGAAGTGGGCTCTGAGAACATCTATTACATATCCTATCATTCCATAACATTAACGTTATAAATAGGTATAGATTATGAAATATCCTTAAGCGGCCCGTAGCTTAAACGGAAAAGACAACTCTCCAGTAACTACTCCCATGGTGTTCTTAATCTCACCGCGATGGAACCTATCAAATCGTTGACGTACTTCAATCGACCCAATATCTAACTGCTCGAGGATCTCCGCCGCAACCGCTTCCATAATAGCGTAATTACCATCTTCTATCTTAAGCGCAATGCCAATACTGCCATTAGCACCAAGTCGCCGTGTATCCTCTGACTCGCGAATCCCGATAGAATAACAGCCGTCTCCGCCCCCTTTTCCAATGAGCGCGCCCTTGTACGCATCGATCAAGATAGTACAGAAGCGACCGTCGCCTGCAATATTCTCCGGAAACCGTGCCATTGCATTGTAAATTCGAGCCATCGCTTGTATGCGTGGGGATACCGAGCTGCTCGCTTTCGCTACATCGTCTGCTGCTTGAGCGAAAGCAGAGTACATGATGGCGATAGAATGCAGTGGTGCCGCTGGCGAGTAAATATTGCAGCCATCTAAGGCCAGTTTGACCTCGCCGGGATTAAGACCAGTTAAATCTTCTATTATAGATACGATCCTAGCTTGAATTGGATGATCTGAAGTATGGTAGTCGACAATACTAGCGCCAATGCCCTTTGCACCAACCATAATACCGATATGGTTGCCAGAACAAGCGTGGCAAGCCTGAGTAGGCGTAAATCCCTTTTCGATCCAGGCTCTGTTAAGGGCAGGAGATATGGCCGGATGGGTGCCGCATTGGAGATCGCTCTCTTTAATATTCGACTTAACCAGCATGGCCTTTGCCCGCTCTACCTGTCTCTCCTCGCTGCTATGAGTGCCGCACATGAGCGCTAGGTCGGCTTCTTCAAAGCCAAACTGATCCAACGCGCCGGACTCTACCGCAGGTACAGCCTGGATAGGTTTAGCCCCCGAACGAAGGAGAGTTAACCGTGAAGGGTTGCCTAATGTGTAGAGGAGCTTGCCGGTAGCATCAACGACGGCGGCGTTGACTAAATGTCTGTTCTCTAAGATCCCGCCACGGATGCTGACGACGAAGTCGCCGTTTAGAGGGGTATTCTCCATGTCGTTCTATGTAACTTAAGTTAGACGTGCGTAATAATAAAAATAATAAAAATAAAAATATCTAGCAATTCTTATAAGATGATTATTTCCGAGATCTATTAAGTAGGTGGTCATTTTAGTTTGTGATTCTTATATATTTTTGAATAGCTTCTAGTACCGCTCTCTATCGAGTCATACGCCCTCCGCGTTTATCGAGTTTCGCGCCCTTTGAGCACTGCGTAAGGTAAAGGGCGTCGTATTCTAAATATAGAGTTTCTCTCTTATTATTTCATATTTAAAAATCATGGTCCCAGTTAAGCACCTACTTTTCCTAGAACCCCGCCTCAAGGAAGTTGCGTTTATATTTGCGTGATCATGGCCTGTTATGATCAAAGACTATTAAACAAAATTCGCATCTTTTCACTCAACTCAACTACCTCCGTCGAAGATTCTCTTCAACAGATTGCCCTCCGAATTGGGGAATTACTGAAATAGGAAAGTTAACTCCGGGGTGTTACAAGGCCGGCGCAAAGGGAGTTTACAGTGTTTAGTCTATTCAGGCTTATATGAAACCGTATAGCTTCATTGATAGTATTTTGAAGTTCAACGAGAATTATAATTTCGAACATTTTAACCTAGGTAACCCCTAGTCTGCATTGCGCAACTTGTCAATCGTAGGGCGCAACTGGGATGGTTTATGCAGTAAGCTGGATGGGTCCCTAAATCCTTGTAAGAATCCTAACCCCTCAATGTTAGTGAAGTCGTTAAGATTTGAAAACTTCGTACAACTCCAAGAATTACCACGAGCTAAGTCTAAGTCTAACTATTATTAAAATAACTAAATTTAGTTTATAGTTTTCTTTAGTTAATGTATAAGTTAGTTAGTGATTCTCCTATTAATGATTTATATTAGTTAAGGTAAGTAGGTAGTTAATTGTTTATAATTGTCTTTGAGCTTCTTAGACTCCCCCCGCATAGCCTTCGGTAAGCCGGTATTTAGATATTGACAATCAACCCTTAAAGCTCCGATCATAGGTGGATCGTCGAGCCGAACAAAAAGGTATAAACGCTGAATACTTGCCCGAGTGCTTACCTTCAACTTTATAGCATCGTGGGATTACTCGACTCTTATTTAAGATCAATACTTTAATGTAGAGTTGTTTTAATTATATCTACCTTGATACCTTTACCTGCAGAACATGAGCCGCTCCTGCTTGTCAATATGTCTTCTATCGAGCTTTCCGATTTATCCTCTACAAGGGATGAGCAACTAGTTGGGTTGGCAAATCATGGGTCAAGTCCAGAACCTGAAGAAGCCCCTACCATATTACAGCCAATCCACCATGAGACTTCCAACCGGTATGCAAGTTACCTACTATTCCTTTGTCAATATTTCTAAATTCAGTTATGGAACCTACCTGCGGTAGCAAGGCTCTTATTTCACTCGTCCCAATTTCGGGCATGTATCTGAGTATAATATTTATTATATTTAGACCGCAAAGGTTAACTTGAAAATAGAAAATCGATGATAATAGTTGCATCCTCGTTCACGATGGTATTCACCTGTTGTGGGCTCAACTTCGCCTTCGGTGTATTCCAAGAACTTTACGACGGGATGGCACGGCAGCCCAATACTCCTTTTACTGGCGCGACTCCTGCGCTTATTGACCTTATTGGAACAATATCCATCTCAGTGATGACCATAATTGCGCCGTTCTCAGTAGCCTGGGCTAAGCGTTTCTCCCCGCGTTGGATTTCGTTCGTCGGCGGCTTCATATTTGGATTCTCACTCATTTTGGCCAGTTTCGGAACTAGGCTTTGGCATTTCGAACTCACGCAGGGTTTGCTTCTTGGTATAGGTACCTCTATGCCGTATATGGTTGCCGTGACGGTGGCGCCCGTTTGGTTCACGTCACGCCGGGGTCTTGCTATGGGCATTATTCTAGCCGGGACTGGTGTCGGAGGTCTCGTATGGGCACCGGTGATTAAGGTGCTTATTGATTCTGTTGGTTTCCGAAATTCGCTTCGTGTATCCGGAGTTGTATCATTCGTCTTGGTTGCCCTATCCAGCGCCGCCATGAGCTGGGAGCCTCAGACGCTCGCGCGCATCAATGCTGAGAATGCTTCGCGTACGGGTCGTCTTCAAGGTATCTTAAACGTGCCGCTGGTGGACTGGCGCGTAGCAAAGACGCGGAAATTCGCCGCTCAGGGACTAGGTGCTATCCTCCAAGCTGCTGCCTATTATACTCCTGTCTTCTTCTTCGCCTCGTATGCTGGTACTCTTGGATATAGTGCCACTGCTGGAGCAAATTTTATCGCGCTTAGCAACGCATGTAATGCGATAGGCAAGATCGTCATCGGCTACTTCGCTGACCGCTTGGGCCGTCTCAATACTCTCTTCCTAACCACATTCATCAGTGCAGCCATCACACTGAGTTTCTGGGTTCCTTCAGCCGTCTATGGTTCCACGGATGATTCCCGCAACCTCTTTATCAGTTTCACCGTCTTGTATGGTCTCTTCGCTGGTGCGTACGTTTCATTGTTCCCTGCCAGTCTCATCGAGATCTTCGGTATACAGAATTTTGCCTCCGTCAATGGTGTGCTTTATATGGTTCGTGGCCTAGCTACGTTAATTGGTACACCAGTTGGCGGCGCCCTGATTCGGAGCAGTACCGAGAGTGCAGCTTTCGCGCCGCATGGCTATGTTAACATGGCAATACTCGTCGGAGTATTGCTCTTTGCTGCTAGTATCGCGGTGTTTTGGATTCGCGTTGAGGCGATGGTAGGACCTAGCGGACAATGGCATCCAAAGTGGAGGATGTAAGAATTACAGCCCCCAAGGTTAGATGAACACTAGTATTATTGATATCTGTCACATGCTTTGTAGAATACATTACTATTTACCTAGAAGTTAGGTAAGTATATCGAAGTGTCAAGTGTCCTGAATTAACTTTGATATCCTATATTAAAACATGTTGAATACCTCCTTTCTACGCGCGAGTCAACTTACACTGGCACAAGAGTTCGTCGCCCCTATGTCATACCAAAGGCTTTCAATCTTATATTATAACTTTACTTAACTAGATTATATTCTGGAACACGTTATGCATAGGTTCAGATATGATTTTGTTGTTCTTTTCCTAAAGAGTCTTACTGGCTACCTTAGACACCTGTTACGGACGTCCTTAGTCAGTAATGGTATCCGAGTATATACCTCTTAGATAACCATGTGATTCTAAACGGAATCTATAGTTGGAACGTATCAAACCTTCGTACTAATAACCAATATCACGTAAAATTTGACATCTTACAAACATTTCACGTCGTCGGCCTCGGGGATAGAACTAGTTGAGTCTACGACCTTGATAACAAACGTGCACCTGATCGCTATGGCATTATAAATGCCTAACATTTCTTACCATACTATCACACACTGACTTCAGAAACGAGCAGCCCGACAGGAAGGATGGGGAGTAAAGTCACTCAGCTTGCGTCGGGATACTACTGGCATGGTATGTGACGACTGGTTGACAGATAGTGCATGTGGTTGAGCAGTTATCTAAGCGATGGGAGGTTGCCTCAGGGTTGGAGGTATCTCTCAGGAGTTATCTTACGTGCATACTTCTTACTCCTCGGCGCCATAGTCTAGTATATAAAGAGGAAGTAGTAGTATGGCTTGTCGTAGGTGGTGTTGATACTATCGCTATAGTAACGTTGCAATGTTAGATTAGGAGCTTGAGATTTTTCCATCTTATTATTAGCATGCGGGAGTTGAGTCTGGGGTATGGTGAAGATTTGGGGTTATCTACGGCAATAAGTTATCCAGATAGACGCCTGTGTCAAGGGAATGTTGCATGGAATGTGAGCCTGGTTATATCTCAGATGACTTCGGTGTCCTGTCCTGGAGATCTTGCGAAAGTGAGCATTAAGCTTAACTTGCTCAGCTTGAAATCAGATTATGCTACAAGGAAGCTTGTCAAAAGACATGTCAATGTTGCAATGACGCGCTTTAGCCCTTGTCAACCCCCCCTTTAAGAGCTTGCATGGTCTTGTTAAAAATCTACCTTCTCATTCGTGAACTCCGAACCCCTAATCCCGAAAAGGAAGCTGTTCATGTCAGGGACTATCACACTACAGGACCTGCTGCAAGTCAATTGTTTCTAGGTAAAGATAATAAAACTTGACCTTATCGCTCCTGTGATGTAGCTAGCAGTGGTACAAATCAAACAGAATCATAATGTGATATTTACACGTTCAATACTCTTGGCTGGGGCTGCGGCGCATGTCTTAGGTGGATATAGCGGGTGCAACCGTGGGACGTGGGACGTGGGATAGGATTCCTAGAGCCGGCTAGGGACTCATTAGAGATCTAAGCTCAGTATATACCTATGTAGTTCAGCCCTAGCTAATTTCCCACTGGGGTTTCTGCCTGCATATGTATTGTATAGGATATTGTATAGGATAAATTCCTCTTCGACAGGTACTGATACCATGTTCCTCCGAGAAATGGTCCGTAGATGAATCCCTGCCGATCTATCTCATCGTCTACTTGCCTCCTCGTGCGATTAGAGTAGACCGCGTGCATTCGGCGGCTCCATCACCTGCTTGAACTGGTGCAGTCGTTGGTTGTAGTGTAATTTCCGCAGGTCAACTTACAGTCGACCCACCAATACTGGCTGGATGACGCGTGCGGTGGTTCCGATCTCTCTGGGGTAACCATTAAGGCAACTGGTGTCTAAGTAAATATCCTAGCATACAACAACAGCGTGTCATGGGCTTGGTTGCACGGGTTTAGTTGCCATCTCATGGCAAGTCGATGACTACTGGCTTGTAACATTCAGACGGTCATCTAGGCATCGGCGACGGGTAGACGGATCTTAGGGAATGTGAACGAGGAATGTGAAATAATAACTATATATACGGGTATGTGCGTCTCTTCAACTAATCTAAAATACCCCTTTCCCATACCAGTCCTCTTCTGTTCGGTACCTAGTTAGAGCCTCAAGTCAAGCCACATATCAAACATGGTCTCTTCCACGCTGACTCTGGCATCCTTGGCCAGCATTCTCCCATCCGCCCTCGCGGGATTCAACAGTGGTGCTCAGAGCAATGTTGCTGTATATTGGGGTATAGTCATACGATGATACGAAACGCGGTTGATATGATGTTAACGCATTACGACAGGTCAAAACTCTTACGGCCAAGCAAGCTCCCAGCAACGCTTAGCTGAGTACTGCACAAGTAAGCCCACCTCACCCTTCTATACGGCCTTATCTTTGCTAACTTGGATTGCTATAGATGATCAGATCAATGTATGGAGTTCGGACTTTCTTAAACCGGAGATCAAATATACTTACTATGTTTTTTTCGTAGATCATTCCGATATCTTTCATGAATGGCATTAAGACTCCGATCACGAACTTTGCCAACGCTGGAGATAACTGCACGGCATATGCAGGTACCCAACTCTTAAATTGCCCGCAGCTGGAAGAGGATATCAAGACATGCCAGTCTCAGGGAAAGACTATCCTCCTGTCCATCGGGGGAGCGACATACACTGAAGGTGGTTTCTCAGACTCTTCGTCAGCTGAGAGCGCGGCTCAGTCTGTATGGGATCTGTTCGGTTCAGACACGAGCAAGCCTAACAGACCATTCCTCTCTGCCGTCGTCGATGGTTTCGATTTTGACTTCGAATCTACGACTCAGAACTTCGTACCATTCGCTTCCAAGCTGCGTTCGCTCATGGATGCCGATAGTAGCAAGACCTACTACCTCTCCGCGGCGCCTCAATGCCCATACCCAGACGCCGCGATGAACGACATGCTGAATGGAGCGATTCCGTTCGATTTCATCATGATCCAGTTCTACAACAACTACTGCGGTGTTTCATCCTTTACACCGGGATCAACGACCCAGAACAACTTCAACTTCCAAACTTGGGATGACTGGGCTAAGAACACCAGCAAGAACAAGGACGTTAAAGTCTTCATCGGTGTACCAGCTAACACGGGAGCCGGTGGTGGTTACCAACCCGCCTCCGCATTGGCCCCAATCATCCAGTACTCGAAGCAATTCTCAAGCTTCGGCGGTGTGATGATGTGGGATATGTCACAACTGTACCAGAACTCGGGATTCCTCGACTCTGTCTATGGTTCGCTCACCGGATCTGGGGCCGCTAAGGCGAAAGCTCCTACAACCTTGGTAACTAAGTCTAAGGCTGCACCGACCCCTGTCGCTTAAAATAGGTTGTGAGTATACCCCCCTGTGATTATCTGTAAAGCGAGCTGAGTCTCGCTTCAGCTAGTCTGTCTACTAACGTGAAACGTAGGTGCCAAGAGTAAGACTATCGCGACCTGACCACATATTAACCGCCAGTCATTGTGGATTAGGTATCAAGATCAAGTAGTGACAGCATAGGGATGGCTGTATCGTTCGTTACATTTGCCTTCTTCGAAATTCGTGTATATAGTTACCGCTTCGTATGATGTATATAGTCTTTTATAGCTTGAAGCATGTATATAACTCGTATATATTTGGTGGGGTATTCTCGCCAACTCATATTATATTATTTCGCCATCTCTATGTAGAATTTTGCTTCGATGTTCCTGAAAATGGAGTATTGCATGGGCCGATGGGTCGACAGCAGGGTTTAAATTTCTAGCCCCCAATATCTAAAACGTTCTGCTGGTCTAATTGGGTGATTGATTTGCGCTACGATGGGTAGCGTTGCTATTACGACGTTGAATATGCGCCTAGGTATGTCAACTTAGGTATAATAGTCGCCGAGCCGCAGTCTGTATTTATGTATATGCTTGAGCCGATACAAAATCAATCAACAAATCGAGTTTTCGACTTGTTTCTTAATTTCTTAATGAGGTCCGACAGCATCATAGAAATATATTACATGAATTTTATTTCAAATTATCTATAAATTAATTTTTAGCAAACTTATGGCTAACCAGCAACATGGCGTTACCCCTGAATATGGCTTTAATAATCATCCCTTGGGCCACGCCGACCAATACACACAATATACAGAATACAGTCACAGCTATACTGCAGATGCTTATAATAACTACTACTACATAACAGCAAATCCCGACATACCAAAAGCAACTCAACCATCCGAGATGAATTCTAAAGGAGAATATAGCTATAATCATTTGCAGCCATCGAAAGATGCAGTTGGAAATGGGGTACAAGTTCAAACTCGATTACTGGACAGCTCTGAACTACAAAATACCACCGACATAAGATTGCAAGATCCTTTACTAGCGATAGCTTGCTTCGTTGGGGGAATTCTAGCCGCAGTAGGCCACCACTTATATTACCAGAGGCTAAATGATACGCCTGTGACCTCTGAGAATCTACAGGTGTGGTCGATTAGAATCGGTACGGGACTTGCTCTCCTCACCAGATGCGGGCTAGTCGCAGCGATAGGGATTGCTGTTGTCCAACAGACCTGGTTATCATTGAGGAAAAGAGCTATGTCGATTGGTGGTATTGATAGTATGTTCGATATCATGGGAAACCCATGGTCGTTCTTTAACACAGACTTTTTGATACATGCGAAGCGCCTCGCGGTTCTTGCTGCTATCGCATGGTGAGTTCATAATCTTTATTAAGACTCAGCTTCGTAATTGAAGTATTTATCTAACTGCTTATTTCTTATTCATCATAGGTTGCTTCCCATCATCACAATTGTGACGCCGGCGACTCTGTCTGTTGTGTCGCGAATGACTCACGATACTGTCGCTACCAGGGTTCCGTATTATAACTTTTCGAATACTGATGGTTGGGGAACGTATGGAGGGTTTGGATATATTTCCGGAGCAGCGCCTGAGATGGCACGCTTATTTACGAGGACTTATATATCGAATAGTCCCATACCTCAGACGCCCCCCTTTGCCAATGCATCGTACGACTTCAATTTCTGGGCCCCATCTTATAAATGCTCGAACGCCAGCGATATTATTAGGACGAGGAATAATCGTACTTGGGACCTTGATTATTATAATTATACGAATTTCGAAGAGGCTTTTAATGCGGAAATCGCCAACCCGATCTCCGCGAGCTCCACGACTAATTCTTCCAGCATCTCGCCACCATTAATATATAAAAGTACTGCTCCTAGTAGGATGAATAATATGATCCTCATCGGTGCCAATGGCCACAACGAGCTTCGGGGTAATATCGATCATAACTATCTGGTCTGTCAACTTTACAACACTTCATATGACATAACCATGCGCTTCGACAACGGAGTTCAGTCTATACACGAGAAATCCATTGCGCATGTAAATTCCCAAGAATGGGATAATGAACGTGGGCGTTTATCTGTGGTATTGGCTAACGGCCTCTGTGCTCCTGATCCTGCTGCAAATAACGCCACGATTTGTCCGACTTATTATATGGTGCACTATCTTTTCACGCGCTTCCTAACTGGCCTGGCACGGATTAATGCGGGAGGGGAATTGATATTTCAGTCGGATGGTTTTGAGGGCAATATCGTCGAGGCTGGAGAAGCTCCCTTTTTCCAGTCGGGATTGAGAGACTGTCCCGAAATCTGGAATTCTACAGACTACCAGAGTGCTTCCGGTGGCCCGCTCGCATTCCAATCGCTCAATAGATGCCCAGGAGGAACACTCGGAACAGCGATCGAAAGTCTCTCCAGAAACTTTACGTACAGCCTCCTGACTTACAGCAACTGGCGAAATTTTACGACCGAGGTACCGATAACCGTATCAATGCCGAAGAACTTCTTTTATTATAACAGTGTCACTCTCCTGATTACATATTCGTCCGCCGTTGTGGTCACGCTGCTTTGTATATGCGTGGGGTTCGCCGCATTGTTAAGCAACGGTTATACTAGTAGCACGGCCTTCTCCGCGGTACTTCTGACGACTAGAAACCCTGATCTCGATAGGCTGTCTACAGATAATACTCTTGGAGCAAAGCCTCTGCCGCATCCTATTCGCGACACCAAGCTTCGTTTTGGTATATTGAGAACCGAGGGATCGGAACCACAGGCTGGTTTTGGCCTGGATGGTACAGTAACACCGCTAGAGAATATGGCATCAGTAATACTCCGAAAGAAAGGAGCTGAGAGAACTGTTGATTAGAGGATAGACATATTGGAAGAAATATTTGACTTCCTAAAAGTAGTAATGAGAGACGAGGGCTGAATAAGCCCCGTTGATTAAAGCCCCTTGGAAATTGCTTCTTTCTCGGATATAAGCACCGTGTAATATATTATTATTTAACTGTATATCTCAATGACGCAAGGGAAAGCCATGGCTTAGTGGGGTATGAGACAAGCACGACATATGTTAGGAGGTAGGTTAGAGCCTCGGTATTTCAATAGATATAGGCCATATACATGCTCCCATAGCTGGTTCTAACTTGACTACCTACCTCCCAAGTTACCTAAAGTATAGTAATGTCGTCTCTTCACCACGTTCTCCTACTCGGCGGTAGCGGCAAGGTTGCCCAGCTACTAACGCCCTTACTTCTCCAGCGATCATGGAATGTCACTAGCATTATCCACGACCCCGCGCGGGTCGCAAGCCTGGAGAAGCTTGGACAAGGCCAGAAAGGGAACCTAAACGTTCTAGTCCGCAGCTTGGAGGAAGTCACAAACGAAGCTCAGGCTAAGAGCATCATAGATGAAGTGAAGCCAGACTATGTGGTGTGGAGTGCTGGTGCAGCGGGCAAAGGAGGGCCAGAGAGGGTATTAAAACTACTTGACTTTAAGTCTCTAGTTATATCATCGTTGCTAACTCTTCATTAGACATTCAAGATTGACCGTGACGCTGCAATTCATTTCATCCGCGCATCAGCCGCCACAGCATCAATCACCAAGTTTGTCATGATTTCATACCTTGGGTCCCGGTTAAAGAAGGCACCATGGTGGTCTGAAGAGGTTTGGCAGGATTGTCTAAAAACGAATAACGGCGTATTGAAAACATACTACCAAGCTAAGATAGCAGCCGACCAGGTATTCTACGAGGAAGGGAAGAAGAGGAAAGACTTCGCCGCGATCAATCTTCGCCCAGGCATATTAACATCAGAACCAGCGGGTAAGGTTAAGCTTGGGAAGCTCCCCGTCTCGGGTACTGCAAGCCGCGCGTCTGTCGCGCAGTTAACTGCGCTACTACTCGACGCCCCCAACGTCAAGAGCGGCTGGCTTGACCTTATTGACGGTGATGAGGATCCAGAGGTTGTTGTCAAGAAGTGTGTCGAGGAGGGAGTAGACGCTGCTGAAGGCGAACCGTTTTACTAAAAAGTGGCAGTTCGTATTTAATACAGCCTAGAACTTCGCAGCACTAAAAGGCCATCAATGATAGTAATAAGTGCCTAAGTCAAAAAGGCAGGAAAATCAAGAGTCACTCTATAGCTAACGACTTTAAAAGGAATACATGATTGAAGGCTATTGTGAAGAAATATGATAATAACGCAATCAGTCGCAGTACCAAGCCTGTTGACCTAGTGAGGTTTATACCGCCACGGGGAATTAAAATTCAATTACTACCACCATAACTTATAAGCCCACGAAATTGAGATGCCATACTAACTATATTCGACCTTACTGCCAAACTACAGCATATCCGCACCAGGCGGTTTTATTTGTGCGCTGCGCATCCTTTCCTCCAAGCGACAGTAAGGACAGTGCCAAGCATGACAACATTCAGCGTCGTAAGACCCGCAAGGAACTGTATCTCAGAAGCCATCGTAATAGTAGAAATAGATTCCATGATGAGATCAACCAGTAATCTTACCTTTTTTGCTATTTCTTGTCCTATAGTAGCTTCTGAGTTCCTGAGTATTTTATTTACAGTATAACGCGAATCCAAATTCCCCTAAAACTAATCCTAATCTTCCTATATCTCTCTTATGACATTTGGTGGCGGCGGGTTTAAATATAAGGAATACTAGCGCGAAGGCGAGGAATTACTATAGCTGACCTAAGAGGGCTTCTTAAAGAGGAACTGGACGCAATGAATTCTTTATCACTGCGAACAAAGGCTCTTTTATAGTGGAGTTAAGGTTATTATAAGTGTCCCTTAATAATCTATTGTTATTATTTTTACGACAATAGGGGAATAATGATTAGTTATCCTATAGCAATAGTATGAACATATTGTCAAGAGACCGCCGGGAAATTCGAATATCCCTATCATGTTGAGAAATTTAAAATAGTACGAAGCGTAACACACACACTGAAGAGTTCTGTGGCTGTGAGTTTATTCTGACACTTAAGAACGTGACCGATACCGTAGGGAAGTTGAAGTCTACGTGCTGCAAAACAAGGTGCTAATAATATAGCATGTTATATTTACTTAAGTTAAAGAAACTCGTTATTTGGATAGACACACAATCTAGGAGCAATACGCTAACATGTCAAGCCGGTAGGATAGTATGGGCAATAGCGGAGCGAAATGTTAACATTTATTAGATGAACCAGAACATATTAGAGAAACCATAGGAACATTCAAAATTACAACTCTCATTAACAATATAAACGATGGGAACAGTGTGATAAATAATTTTATTTTTACGCCAAGTTATAAGCCTATCTACCCGAAACCATGGGTTACCTTCTTCCACCAAATGTAAAGGTGATTTGGAATGATGCTAAAATGGACTTCCTAACAAATCATACACCTAGGTACCTAAGATGTGGCCGAAGATATAAAGAAGGTCCATAACTTAAGCGGTGAAGAATCGTGCGCTCTTACCGGTGTCTCTCATTTCAAGACCTACCGGGGTACCACAAGTCAAAGAATCGTCGTGGACTTGAATAACATCCCAATCGTTAAGCTCAACTTCACTATGCTGAGTACCGTGACATTCGTCGATTGAGCACTCGCAAATCAGTTTCGTTCCGTCCATGCGGCAATGGTTACACGAACCACTGAACCCGCCATTTGATACGTGGTTTAGCGAGCCCAAGTAGTTGGCGAAGCATAAATTGAGATCAAGTTGGAAATCTGCGCGAGATCCATATCCGGGCTGGACGCAATTGGCATGGAGAACATGCCCTTCCGTCAAGTGGATATCAGTACAGTCTGACTTGCTAAGGGTGGTCTTGTAGATGTCGGCCACTTCAAATGCCGAGACGATGGCGAGGAGAGGCACAATTGCCAGAGTGGAGGCGAAATTTGTCTTCATGATTGCCACGATAATATATAATATTCGGTATTGGTTGCTGGAAAACTTTTAGTTATTGGTGTTGTTGTATGGGGTTTAACATCCCACAAAATATGTTGGTCGAAGTGGAAGACGAGGTTTTTATATCAATGGTATTGTGATGATCCAAGATTAATCGCAAGTGACCATGCTTCTTTTTGACTAGGAGTCAAAGAGTGAATCGAACTTTGCCCTTGTAGACCATTTGACAATAACAGAGCGACCTCATGGCCAATGGATTCAATGAAAAGACGACACAGATTCATTGTCTAGTGGTGTCGAATATTCCTTTCTCAGCAGCCAAGGACGTGATTTGACAAGGCCGATGTCTTTCTCTAGATTATATTCACCGGCAAATATAATCAGGGATAAACAGATTGTTAAAATCTAACAAGCGCTCGTCGTGACTTTCTGTCTATTACCTCTGGAAGACTGGGACGAGCGCAGCTGCGCCGCTTGCATGCCGGCACATGCTGGCTTGGCATTGAATATACCGAAATGGAATTCCAAGTATTTTGAAGTAGTCGAAACTGTTGAGAATTGTCTTCAACCCTTATTCTGTTCCGTTATTATCGCGTCTAATGTGGTTCTCTTAGGTAGTGTTTTCGGCTCATGACCTAAAACAAGTCGGTCGAATAGAAACCACGACGTAACCAGTAAAATAGGCATAGCAACCATAAGCTGAGTATATTTTCTAGCGGCTCGCTTGTATTCGGGACTCGAGGGATTCACTCGGGTAGGTGTTGGTAAAATAGGTCTCGGCGGGGGTTGCGCTCGTTGCGCAGTTGGTTGAGGGCCGGCAGCGCGTTTGGGGCTGGGAGTCGTCGCCATGTTGGAGAATTGGAGTATAGTGATATTGGTATTGAAGAGGAAATATGTCTCATTCGGTGGTTATCGAGCCGTGGTAAAAAAAGGAAGCCGTCTTTATCAACTTAATCTTGTAAGTGTCGAATATAAAAAAAACAGCCCACTAAGAAGGTCCAATAATATTTAGATTTACTTAGGTACCCAGAAAGGCGTCAAAAAAGGTGGCGCTTCCTACCAAAATATACCAAAAACACTCTAACTTCTAACGGCTATAATTCAGCCAATTTAAGACTAGACTAATTATGAAATATACTGTTCGATAGCCCTGATAATAACCTATTTTACAATATTTTTTATTCAGTCTAGAATTGGGGAATAAGCCCTTAAATAAAGGTGGTTTTTCATTAATATTTAATACTTTATAATAATAATATAACTTATGATTATATACCAATCCAAGCTAATATAAATAGTAAAAAAAATACCCAATTATTATTTCATAACTTAATTTTATTATAATAATTCTTTCAATTTTTAAAAAGTAGGTTTAGGTGTAAAATGACTTTTTGAAATATAATATTTTCGTATGTGTTGGTAGCGGGTGCGCCACCTTTTTTGACGCCCTTCTGGTACCTAAGGTAATTATGACTATACCACGTGATGATATAAGTGATAACGAAATATCACTTTATCTAATAAGACTATTATCTTAGGTAATCAGACTATGATATCTTAGCGGGAATGTCTTAACCTTAAAGTACGTACTTTTAACAAAACATATAACATTTCTATATCATCACTAGTAAGATAGATAAATATTCCCATTCGCTTTATCCTACTCCATATTCTGACACCTTTTGAAGGTATTCTTCTAATTTAGCTACGACCATTAGGTAAACCCTCTTTGCAAGTTCCCTGACCCAAGCAACGGTTTGCAACTGAGCCGTCTTCCGCAAACGTCAACCACGCCCTATTCGTACATATATCAGTATAATAGAATAGGAGGTACCTATGCAACAACTTTATTCTAGTAACTTACGACACGGGCAAAGCTGGTGGAGGCGCGAATGGCCCTTGGTACCAACAGCAATACCAACCAAGGCCTGGTAAAGTCTCATTGGTGTATGTAGCGTCGATGTCTGAGCATAATTCTGATCCTAAGAACTTCCGCTGGAGGCAAAGGTCGGTCTCAGGGGGGTCTGCTTGAGGTGCAGGAGTCGAAGTCGCAAGTGCGATGATAGCAGCGAGAGTTGCGATGGTAGGAACACGCATCTTGGAAGCCTTCGAGATGAATAGATATAGGCACGTCTAATCAACTAAGAGTGTTTGGTGTGGTAAAACAATCGTATTTAATGTTTTAATCGCAGGCTTGTCGAGGCTTTATATACACGAGTATACGGGAACTTCTAGCCAGAACAAGTTATCAGCTTCCTATTAATTGCAAGCCAAGACCGGCTCGGCAAGTAGCAGCGCTTGTGGAGTGGTGCTATCATCTTCTATAGCATCCCCTCAAAATCTCGTATTGAAGACTTAATGCAACTCGACCCTTGCCCATGGCCTGGCCTGCCATACGTTTTCGCAACAATTAAGGAGACTTGACCGCCAAAACGAACCGACACCCTGATATCTCTATGTTAATTCTATGACAATAGATATCATTGGAGTGATAAAGTTATCCGGGCTCCAAAGAAAGCCTAAGGGGCCATGATATCTCAATCAGGAAGCTATAATTCCGGATAAATTTATACGAACATGTTCACCTCCTCGAATTTATACATATGGCCTTATCATGCTAAGTACGTCGACATCCCAAATACCAGGCTTCATACACAGCCTCCCATCTACCCATTCATTCTACGGCTGTCTTGGCGTAGAAGATATCATCAGGGTCGCACTTCTGCTTGATAGCTAGACCTCCTTATAATGTGCACCGTAAAATGTAGTTTCGAAGCCAACTTCGCTAGGATAGCCGCCCCCAGAGCGTATACTCCTGTTAATTTACCTAAATAATCACAATTCGTATTAGGAATAATGAGGCGAATATTATGGTGGCTATCAAACCGAGTAGTAGTTCGTAAATTAGAAGTAGATGTAGCACTGATTGCATATTCGCCATGGTATCTAAGGCTGCACGGATAATCTGAGTCTGAAAAGGGGTTACAACTGTTGTTGATAAATTGATAGGCTATGAGCGATGACGGCGAGGCTAGGTGTGTTTCGGGGAAGAACCACGCATCGCACAACGCATCATACTTCCTTTAATTATGTTCATTGGTCTCATTTAGAGAAGAGTGATGATAAGGAGCCGCAATAGGTGTGTTAGCAACTAGTTTCCCTCGAACTGTCTGATTTAATCGGTTTTAATCATCTCCACTTGGCCACGAAGGATCACCGAGGATAAACTGACATTGACCAACGGTAACTATAAGGTCAATCAAGGAGATGATATCAATAGACCAGTGGGCGGTCATGATAGGTACTATGGGAAGAGTTACAAAGAGACAGGGGTAATTCAGTCAGTTGGAACACTAATACGATACTAAATATAGCTTTTTAACAGCTTCGATACCTTGCGTTAAAAGGTCTTAACTAGAAAGAGTTAATAACGCGGCAATATTACTACACCAAGGATGATTGTCATTGTGTATACTAAAGCTGGGATCCACACTATGTAGAGGGCGAGAGCCGATTTATATTTGGATAACTGGTAATTAAACGTGAACGTAGAATATTCATAAAAGAAAAAGCTGTTCGTAAGGTACCTCTTAATAACAAGAAACACTGAAAAGGAGCTATTATTCAGCCTCAATATCCCCAATATTTCTAGGTGCGTCAGCAAAAACGTATTTCGCAAGGACGTCTCCAGGAACATGATGGTTTTGGCTATAACAGCACCTCAACATTATCCCTCGAGGATGACGAAGGGGGACTTAACGAAGATATTGCTATAAGAAGGTTAACCTACCTAGCATGGCAAGGGTTAGTCTCTGGATATAGCTCACGGGTACTGGCTAACCAGGAGGATAAGATTCCAGCATATTGTAGAATATATTTAAACTACGATGCGAGATCTTCGGCAATAGTTATCAAACCGCATCAACAATGTGTTTAATGACAATAAGGGGACTATCATTCTCTACAGGGGTATTACAATTGAATTTATCTTGAAAATCTAAGAATCCCATGTTCGCCCCCCTATATTAGGTAGTTAAAGGAAGCTTTAGGAGAGATGAGGCAGCTTAAACCCTCCAGGCACTAGTCTTTGAAATACTGCCTCTGGATCATATTTATGCTGCACCTCTCTCAACTTTCTTACATTGTCTTCCCCATAATGTTCAATAACTTGTTGATCAAAGCTTGCGTCGTTCATGAAAAGGTAGCGAAGGTATTTACCCTGAGCCTTTGCGACTGCTTCGACCTCGTTAGTCAAACTGCGTATACCGTTGTGCGCGATTTCGTCGTCTTCTGGGAACCACCAGCCAATGTCTGTATGGAACCAAGTTTGCGCTACCGGATCCAATCCTAAGGCATTCCCGCCATGAAGTTTTCCGGCCTCTACAGCGCTAGCGGAAATGCCTTGCAGAGTAAAGATCCCAGTCCCAGCAGTTAATTCTTTTAGTTCGTCTACTATGGAAGATGTAGAGAATATCTCTGTTATGGACTTATACAATGACTGGGTCGGCTGGAAGCTTGTGGTAGTCCATTCAATCCTGCAATTATTATTAGCCATAGATTAAATGCATTCCACTTTCAAGCATACCGCGGGATTGATGGGATAGGGTATTCGCTTATCAAGTTATGAATTGTCCTAAGACTAGTCGTATCAAGGATTGTATTCCAATTTTCGTCAAGTCGTAGAAAGGGGGCGAATGCAGCAGGAGCTTCTTCAGGCTTTAGGTATGTGAGACCAATGACAACCCCGAATGTCGTGTTAGTCACATATGCATTGATGTTAAATTAAAGTTAACCATTATAGGGACTGCGGTCTGCACCTTGTTTTCTAGATTTAACAGTTCAAGGCATTTCACGTAAGAGGTACCTTGTAATGGGTGCTATTCGTCCACACATAAAGTTATCTAGAAGTTGCGTAGTAGCAAGGTGTTTTAGTCGGAGTTTACTGAGATATGTAAATATCTGAAGTACCTTAAGTAGGTACCTAGGTACCTACCTAACTTGTTAGTGTACCCGCACGTCCCCTTCTGTTTTATTCATAACTAACAACCAACAATTAACAACCAACAAAACAATCGGCATAATGCCATACTCATAGAAAATTATTTCCTTCATCTCTCTTCTTATAGAAACTCCCATTTTGATCTAGAAAATATATCTGCGAGTCACTGTTATAATAATGGGTGAAACAATCCATCTACAGGGCACGCCTGTCGCGCCTCGGAAGAATCGCGTAGTTAAGGCCAATAATAAAACACCTGCAGCTAGATACAACACTCAGATGGTGCAGAGAATTATAAAAACTCTAAAGAAAGATCCTGAAGCCGATCTGGTTGCCATCATAGGGAAAGATTATGCCGAGAAGCGAGATCGACTCCAGAATATTAATAGTAAGAGTTCTTCCTGCTCATCGCACGGATACCTAGTAGCTTACACTCAAACAGCGAGACTCGGAAGCACTACCAAGAAGCCAACCGTCGCTAATCTCTCCCTTGGCGACACACGATTGCTTCTCGACCAAGACGCAGCGGCTACAATTCTTTCACCATTTTCGGATAATATGCGTCTTCTCCTCCCCGACGCGGACGCCGATAATTTTATGTGCTCTGTCATTCAACTCTTGTCCCGAGCCGAAGTCCTCTTTCAAAGTAATTGGGGATGTTCTACTATGGTTTTGCGAGTCTCCGATGACATCGTTACCAAGATCTCACGGCGCGCGGACGGCACTGATGAATATACTACTTTGCAGTACCTTGAAGCACATCTACCAAGCTTTCCTGCCCCTAGACCACATGGGATGATTGAATTGAAACATCTCTATCTCATGTTCATGACCTATATCCCCGGTTTAGACCTCGAGAAAGCATGGCCACAGTTAAGTGTAGCCCAAAAACAAGACATCAGCAGTCAGCTCGACGCCTTGTTCTCTGAATTGCGATCACTTCCGTGCCCAGAGAATAGTCCACTTGGTGGCGTTCAAGGGGAACCATGTAAGGATGCCAGACAAGGTCTACGTGTAGCCTCTACCCCAATCACGAGTATAAAGGAATTTGAAGATTTCGTCTTTTCCGGTTCCAGATCTGCAACCCCAGTCTATTTGGACTTTTTGCGAGGGCTCTGTCCACCAAGTCCGAACAAGTCCGTCTTTACCCATGGAGACGTCCGACCAGCAAATATTGTGGTCAATTCTGACGATTCAGGCAAGTGGCAAGTTACTGGTATCATCGACTGGGAGCGCAGCGGCTTCTATCCGGAGTACTGGGAGTCCATTAAAATGACAAACTGCTTGTACGCCGGTGAAGACTGGGACTGGTACAAGTATCTTCCTGGATGCTTACACCCAAAAAATCACGCACAACGCTGGCTATTAGATAAGGTGTGGGACCCCATGGTGGCTTCGATAGAAACATCCTCATGAATCAATTCAATATACATCTTACCTAGACCTCGTTATAACTATTCATTAGCGGTCTCAAATTCGGTTTTCTGTCGAGCGATTTAAAAAATGGGCCGGTATCGAACGCTTTTGTTTCTTAGATCACTCATGCCTAATTATTGCTATGTCAACACAACTATGTTTAATATGGCTTAGTCATCGCGAAGTAAAAGATATCAATTAGTCCCACTATTCACGATGAGGTCAAATATTCGGTTCGTCTCAAGGTAGGATCATCCACTCTAACTAATTCTAACCTAAGTTAGTCCAATAGATACTTATAAGTTTTACTCCAATTTTGTGATAAGGACTCGAGTGTCAAAGACTTAAATAAGGCTCTTTGCAACCTTGCCGCTGTGGTTAATGCCCCTTCTAGGGGTAATCGGTAATGTGGATCACCATGCCTTTAAGCAGACGGGACATATTAGCTAGGTATGCAATCCAGCAACACTCTACGATTCCTGTGACTTGGTCGATTTGTAACGGTTCCATGGCAGTATATTGACCTAACAGTCTCTGGTCGTGGATATGAAATTTGTAAATACCTATGTAATCAAGATTGCTAATAAATGGTCTAAGAACGAAAATTGCAAATAACAACAGATTTAACCAAACTAATGTAAACCAAATCAACGATCCTCTCACACCGCCTGCCCTTCAAATACGAACTGTTCGCCCCTATCTAAACAATATAGGAAATATCAAACATACGAGTTAATCAGACAGGTCAAAACGATAAAAGTTCCACAAAAACGGATCAGGATCAGCAAATCGCTGTGGTGTTACACACGACTCCGTCTACGACTCTTCAGAATCGTAGACGAACTCGTCTGAGAGGAATTGGCTTCTTGACGGTTCCTCTTCTTCCTCCTCTTCCTCAACATCCTCATCTTGCTGCTGGCCCCCGAAGTCTTGCCCATAGAATTGACCGAGCGCTACGTTTGCAGCATCGTATTCTTCCTGGGTAACAACCCCAGCTTCGTAGATCTGATTGTATACATCCATAACATAGTCCTGGCAGTTCCACGATAACGTTCGTTGATCCGCTGGCGTGGTATTAACGTTTCTAATAGCCTCTTCGATATATACAAAATAATCACTAGGAACGGTGCCCATAGGGATCAAATCTTGAAGTCTAACCGAGCTTCGCGGATTCCTAGCCAAGTAATTTGGCTGATATGGCCCATCAACTGCTGCTTGGACGACTTCGTAAATATGCCAGGCTTGGTCCTCAGATACGGCGTTGTGGTCGTAGAGAACGAAAGACCAATGATAGTAGCTCCCATCTCCGGGCAAATAGATTGCAGCATAAATAGTCAAATAAGTCTGTTCAACCTTCTCACTGGACTGAGATTTGTTGTCGTTCTTCCTGTCCCGCTTATCATCCCTTTTCTCGCCTTTCTTACTAGATCTCCCAGTATCCTTGCTCGGTTTCTTTGAAGAACCCGAGCGGCTTGATTTGCTGGATCTGGAGAACATCTTGCTTTTAACCAGTGAGAGACTTTCAAAGTCTATGAAGATAGGCTTGAAAGATAGAGAGTAAAAGCTAGTATAGCCAAGTATATAAAATAAATTGAAGAAAGTATTCAAGATAGCTATATAGGCCGATCCAGACGTGTAATGCTCGTAATAGATCGGAGATGTCAAGTAAGACTACGGTTGATGATTGAGTGATGATGGCTTATTAAAAGTTCTGTTCATCAACGTAGATGATCTTGACTTTATAGTTTTCATACGCAAGATAATTACATAGTACTAGACATCTAGACCAACAGCATCCAAGGCGGAGCCTCTTCACATGTTTCACTTCTTTCTGTGTCAATGATGATGATCATGATGGCTACCATCGCTTCGGCGGCAAAATAAGATGTTGGAAAAATTTTATCATGTCGACAGTCCGTCAACAGACCTTCTTGTCACGAGGTGGAACCAAACAGCATGGAAACAACTTCGTTGTTCCGCAAGGAACTCTAACTACCTAAAAGGTTCTACGTCTATATACTGAAAATGTTCTTTGTTCTAGATGTCTCATCTAGAATCCTGACACTTCTATCGTGACATTCTATACATGGAAAAACTAGGATCAGGTGAGTATAGTGATGCTAGCATAGCAGTGCGAGTCCAGCTATGGGGCTACTTCTCAGCCTTCAAAATAGCCGCCAAAGTACCACAAGGTTGACATCGATATATTCTTTCCCTCGTCTTCTTGATTAGCCTCGTGGCAGGGGTCAAGAAGGCCAGGGAGGATTCAAAGACACTAAGACTGTTGGTTGTTCCCGGGCTACACAACGTTAACTTTCCAGGTGAGCATACTTGACTTACACTCGATGTTTGCGCACGTAGCTATAAGTACAAAACTGAGAGCTACCTAGGTAGGTAGGTAGGTGAGTATTCAAGTATAAGACATCAAGGATTGAACCGAAATTCTAATGTCACTGAAAGGCTTGGTTATACGTCTAGAACGTTGTTAACGCTAATAGCAACTCTAAAATTTGAGAGACAGGTACCTATCTAGGTGCCTACCTAAGTATATAGGCAAGCAGCTGTATGGCGGTTGTTGGTAGATGGGGGAAAAAATCATAAACCACTCTCTCCCTACAGTGGCGCTTATCGCGCCCTTGATTCATGCACGCGCTCTAATCGTTTCTCTTTATCATTCGAATCGAGCTGTTGGGAGTAAAAGGATTCTGCCTCCGGTCCGGTGTCCATCCGGTCGGTACTGGTCTGATTGGCCGATGTAGAGTTATAGCCGACAACAGCGGCTACCTTAGGCTAGACACCGTTTTCTTAAAGTTATTTCTAACTTTGCTGTCGCTTCCACATGTTTGCTCTTGCTTACAATGTCATAATCTTTTGGTTATTAAAACAGGTATAAGAGCGGGACTAGTGTTGGATAGCTTGCTTGTTTACCTCTTAACTGTCAGTTGGCACGACGGAATAACTTTGCATGGTTAGTTTATTAAAAAGTAGAAACTAGGTAATCTAAGACTAATATGGATTGATTGTGTCGGACTAGTAAACTTATATCTGGACTAGGCTAACCGCTGGTTGGCGATGGCAACCAACACCGAAGACTAAGCGCCGACAATGAACATCAAGGCACAAAACTTCCTAAGGCTGGTAGCCGAGTTTGATGTGATTTTGAGTCTAGAATACTCAGTCAAATATACGATTTAGGGTGAAAGCTTAGAAGGATAGAAATGACTAACACTTGTTGTATTGCAGCATGGTTTGTAGAGAACTGGGTTACTGAGTGGCTATTTGGGGTACAGGTGAGATAATCGAGGCACAGAGAGCCTCTAGTATTCTCAGCTTGGAGACGGTTCATGATATTATAAGTATTTGAATGATTCTTTCCGCCCAGCATAGTTGAATCTGTTCCCAATATATATACCCAGCTCATCTTCATACACGAAAGACAAGTCGATATTCCTGTTTATCTAAATCCTACACCTCTCAATCATTCCGCTGCTTGAGTGGAAACCAGCTCCCAGAGATCTCCTCAAACTTACCTATATATAAGATTCTCTCGAGTTCGTTGCAATCTCTTCTCTTACCAGCAAAGATGCCGCTTAGTGATCGTACTCGACTTGGTGAGTTAACTTGATATGAAGCAATCTAGACAAACGATTAATTAGCATAGTTGCAAATATCAGTTTGCTATCTTACATTGCAGCAGTAGGCATCATCTGCTTTACTGGTATGTTCCTAGAGGTTATACTTATCTAAGATACACTGGCTGATCTGATTTAGTTCTCACGTTGACAGGCTGTATATCAAACTCCCCGGGAATCTCAGACATCTTCACCGTCGCCATCAAATCCGCCACTTCTCCAAGGGTGGAGCTACGAATTGGGTACTTTAGTATGATTTATGACTACAATAGGTATATAAATCACATATCTTCTCCTAGGGATCTGTTCTCTGTCTGATGGGACTACCATGTGTCTTTCTACTGTTAGTCGCGATGAGAACTCAATCTCCGAGAGCCTAGACCTCGTTGTTCCAAATCTGGGAAGCAACAATGTCCTAGGCATTAATAACTCGGTTGATGTCGCATTACAATTGCAGTCGAAGATACTACTCAGTCCCTTGCCGGCTGCAGGAATATTATTCTTCGCAGGGCTAATTTGCGTGTTCATGTGCAAGCGGCATTTGAGGTCGGAGAATGATAATGCACAAGGTCGTCGCCGCAAGTTTCAATCCATTGGATCTTTCCTCATTACGTGGAGTCTAGTTTTATCTACTGCGTCGGCGCTTTCCGCAACTGTCACCCTCGGCACCCTGAATTTTGTGTCAACTTCACTAGGGACTGCGAATTTCACGTTCATGCCGGGCAAAGCTCTGGTAGCTTTGGAGTGGGCAAATGTTGCATTTACTATTCTTTTCCAGTACTCCGTACAGCACATCATGAAGAAGGAAGATGAAGACGATGGCGACGATGAAGATAGTGGTAGCAGAGCCAAGGATGCCCCGACGGCGATACCACGGCCACAACCAGCAGCTGCACGACCCGGTGGACTTCCTGGTGGACTTCCAGGGCCGCGTCCTGCGGGAGCTTCACGACTCCCGCCGCTAAGGCGATGATTGCATGAACTGGGTTGCTGACCTAGTGGCTGGCACGGCCGTTTTTTCACCAGACTTGCTAGCAACGGGGGGCGCTATGGTTTTGTTTTAGGTAGTGTTTCGACTGAAGTTCTTGATAGATAAAATAAGGTCGATGTTCTCCATGTTTGAATTAAATAGCATAAAGCTTAGTTTAGCCCAGGCATCTATAAATAAGGAGCTGACTGTATCTAGTACGTATCGGACGCTTTCACCATAATTTCCATTTGAATTATTGCTCGTTCAGTCTCGTCGGACAGGTTGAACGTATAATAAGGTAGTTAATATATCTACTCTTCTCTTATTTTATTAGTACCGCCACAATTTGAACAGCCAATCAGAAACTTGGAAACTTCCCCAGACTTTTCAACTCTTTTCACTGCAGTTCAATCGCTATAAGGCCAAAACACATGCAATTGGTATCGAAAGGTCATGCAAAATGCGCTCTATCTAACGATACTAATTATTAAACTTTTTATATATAACAATAACGTTGTTTAATTGATTGAATAGATGATTCTTGGCACGTGCGCGACCTGTGGCTTTACGTGGCGTACAATCTCGAACGCTATTTATAGGGATTACATAATAAAGGTGTAAGATCAATTCTTTCCCCGTACGCGCTCGCGCGGACGGGCAACGCAGCTAGTATATCTAAAGATGAACACTCATCATTTATAAATGAATAACCCATCATATATTGCATTTTATTAACGATTGATAACTGAAAGATCTTGCTTGATTTCGGTTGATTCTGAGTAGAACATTTGGCTGTAGGTGTTGGTGCTGAGAAGCCTCCGTCTTTAGATTTAGGTAGGTAGGTAGTGTTCAACAATAGATCATTTAATTGCATAAGAATTAAAACTAAAACATATTTTTTTTACTACATATTAACACTCAACATACCTTAGGTACACATCTAAATGTCTAGATGACACATGTTGGATAATAGATTATTGATTGAATAAACTCCAATGATACAATTCTTTTTTTCTTTTTTTTACAAACACTCATCATAGATGAGTGTTTGGATGACACGTGATCGAAGTTCACGTGTGAGATGTACTTAGGCACATCTCACAGATATAAGGGAGGGTCGGATTCATTCCGCAAATCAAATTCAATCCCGATAATCTGGATTAAGTAAGGACGTAAGGTAGGTACCTAGGTAGGCAGCTGTGTCGGACCGAAGCACCAGCATAACATCCCCCCAGCCATAATAAAGCTATGAAGCCCGCCCTTTGAACAACTTATTGTTTCCAGGTAACAACTGTAATATAGAATCAATGCACCATACACCTCGAGGTCAAGATGTTCACCAGCTTCGGCCCATCTTCGACTCAATATGAGAATGTGATGTTAAAAAATGACATTGATCTAAATTCTAGGCAGAGAGGCGCTACAAATGATGGTAAAGTGGCCAAGACAAGTAGCGACATTGCTAAGCCTAGTAGCCAGGATGTTCGAGACCATTTGACCATTAATACAGCTATTTTTGCGCCTTTAGAGGGAAACTATCTCCACTGGTCGCTCGCCGTTTATGATTGCGACGCTCCGGAGGTGGACGCTTGGCATATCTGGGAAGTTGCCCAAGAGCAACCCTTCGCGCCATATAAGGCAAATTATATCCGCGCTGATCCAACCCGCGAGACAAGGTTTCGATACTTAATCAGAATGGGTTCTGTGCCTCGTGTTCGCCTGGATGAAATCCAAGCCGCTGTCCAGGCTGCCGACGCCGCGGAGGAAGAGCGAGCCGCCCAGTGGAATTGTCAGGATTACGTCTTCGACGTGTGGGAGAACATCTGGAGATATGGACTCGTTACCGAAGAGGCGCATTATGCCGCACGTGAACTGCTCGACTACTATGGTCCGGGAGCTAGTGGGCCCGAAGAGGAGGAAAATGAAAACGAGGCCGAAGAGGAAAGAAAGAGCGATGAAGAAGCTGAAAAACCCCGTCGGGTTTTATCGGAGGAGTTTATTTATGATTCGGACGAGTAAATATTGATTTATACTCTGAACAATAGCCTTTCCACTGAATATATCTTTTCTTCCAGTTAGCACGACACTACTTAACAACTCACTACTTTCCAGGCTAGCTTTCATCGATGAAAGCTTCTGTGAGGTCTGCATTAGTAATTAGTATAAAGCAGGTAAAGAAGCCCCAATCAAAGCGACCATCGGCTCTACAACCGAGGGAACACAGAAAGTTCTTCCGTATATCTCGGCATTCAGTAGTTGTACTCTATAGTCTATTAGCAACATCATCATAACATCATCATACTAATTAACGATAGTAATTATTACATTCTAAGCTCCTCAGCTTATGGTCCCAAGTCTTTGTTACTTGAACAGCAAGCTTGTATGCTGCTGTAATGATATAAATACCCAAAGTAAAACCATCAAGTTACTGAAGGCGCTTAGTGATGTTTGATAAGACTTACTCTGTTCCAAAATCAAGCATGATGATGAGACGAAGACTCATAGATATAATAGGAGAATAGATACTCGCACCGAGGCTGGCATAGCAGGGTAAATGAATAGTGCGGCGATGATTCCCTAGTGACCAATTAGAAAGGACAGGCTCATTACAAAGGAGTTCAAGCATACCTGGTACCATCTTCTGTACTCGCTAACAGTTATGTCCCACAGCGGCTTGCCAATTCCTACGTTCAAATTTATGTATCCTGCCAAAATGACCCGTCCGGTATAAAGGACCTCTTCATTAATGAGATTTCATTTCAGTAGCTGAGATCATTCTTACAGTTGCTAGGATAATCGCATAATCATCTGGCCCCAAGGCCTTGGACGTGAATCTGGTACCTAAGCGGATAAGGACGACAAGAGTACCTAAGTGATAATATCTAACACTATAGATGATACAGTAATGTAGTACACCTTACGGGTGTCATTAACTGTTGTAGAGCTTGCTTAACCTATTACAGATCAATAGTATACATGAAGTTGGTGTCCTAAGTACGGATCATCTTTTCTCTCAATCATGATTTGGTAGCCTCCTAATCAGGTTATTGGGTGATATACGTGGCGTAATCACACAATATGTTTTATAAAGCTTTGTAGGATCTTTAGTGTTACATGCATTGCAAAAAGGGGGATACAGAGTGCGTTACTATTACTTGCAGTGGGAAAAGAAAATCACGAAAGCGTAAATTTATGTTAGATTATCTAGGAGGTACATATGCACCTTAGTTCTTGATAGTAAGAAAGGGCAAGCAAAAAAAGTAACAGAATTCCACCCATAAGTCTTAGCTACAAGTATAGGTCAATGAGATGGAATAAACATCCTCCTATGTTCCAATCACACTTGGCCTCCTATTGTCCTATCTACCTACCCACTACTAATCTCTTTGAGAATGTCTTTAACCCCAGCAAATGAAAACTCTTGAAGTGTTTCCTTCCATAAGATATTCCGTAACTGTTCACCCTTGGGTGTGTAGACAATCGGTGCCATCCTAAGTGTCCATATATACGTTAGAGATGTGCGTCGTCCGAGGAGACATTCTATAGTGTTACTTACGGTTTTAACTCCTGAAGTCCAAGATACTGCCCGTGTGTTTCTTCGCCATGCTTCACAGCAGCATCAACTATCATACGAGCACCGACTGCTGAAGTATAACCAATTCGTCGCCGGAAGACCTCTGCGATTTTCCCCTGGAGTGAGCGAGACGTATCGCGACTGATTCCTGAATCATAAACCATCATTGGTGTTGCCGTATTGATCACGGCAACAGAAGAAGGTACATGCTTAGCTAGTTCGACCAAGAATAGTTGTCCCAATAGTTTTGATACAAAAGTGCGGTTCAACATGTCCACTTTACCGGGTTTATCAAAAGAAGGCAGTAAGGGCTCTTGATTGCTCTCATCTAATTTGGCCCAAGCAGCTGTATCAGACGATGTAATAGTGATACGACCTGGTTGTTGTGCCGTTAACCCCTTTGACTTAATCACCGGAAGGAGTAAAACGGTCAATAGAGCTGTTGATAGATAGTTGGTTTGTATGGTCTCCTCGTGGCCTGTGTTCGGATTAATCTTCACTTCTGTTGTCATAATACCTGCGTTGAGAATCACGATATGTAGGTGCTCGAGGCCTTTAGCTCGCTCTACAAAGGAGCGAATTGAGTCATACGAGGCATAATCCAGCTCCCAGACCTCGATGGTCCCCTGGTCCAAGTTCCTGCTCTCTGATAGCTCAGCAGCTGTAGCTTGGCCTTTGGAGACATTTCGGACGGCGAGAATAAGTTTTGTCAGTCCCAAGTCTAAAAGTTGACGGCCACACTCGCGACCAATCCCGATATTCGATCCTGTCACGATAGCCGTTTTCCCACTAAGATCGACCCCGCGAACCTGGGCTGGTGTTTGGGTAAGTTGACGATAGAAGTAATTCAGTATACTTCCCTCCTTCTCAGGAGAAACGTCGAAAGTTGCAGACATATTAGGACCCTAGAAATAATGAGATGATGGTCAGGAATAAGATGGGGCGTTTTTGAGAGTGTGTAGGTCTCTAAATTAGCTAATGTAATTAAGTCGGAAACTAACAAGCAAAGGACAGAAGACCATATGCTTACAGTGCCATATTTCTTGGCATTTTTCTGGTTGTGCTCATAAATTAAATGTCCCTTACATACCTATCTACGAATTAATATTGGAGGGTACCTATACATAATGTTCCCAAGGCTACCTAGGTAGGTACTCTGTATATTGTAACCTACCTAGGTATGTAGTACCTCCAATCACAAGGCATATTGTTATACCGCCTGGTACCGTCAAGTATCAAAGGCGGGGCCGCCAAGTTAGGGATACCAATGTTGGTGACTTCGCCCATAAATAGAGAAGCTACTGTACTACATTGACATAACAGCGCAAAATGGTGGCGCTATGTTTCAAGCCACCTATTGAAGAGCAACAAGGCCAAGTATGCCTATCATAATGGCTCAGTAAAAATGCAGTTTATCGACCAAGTATTATCTTTGGTATACAGGTAGCTTTGGATACTAAACCCACGTTCTCTGATACCTAGAATTCCATCTAGAATTCTCCTTAGATTTGTATTGCTCAGCCGCACTGCATAGTTCAGCTTACGGGAGCACATCATGTGTCGGGTTCACTAAAAATCATTGCCATCTTCAAGGTGAAATTTACAACCCGAAGTGACAAACATTCACCCAACCCAGGATGGGCCCAGTATCGGAAATGAAGGCATTCTTCTTGATATGTCTAGAATGAATTACATTATACTATCAGATGATGGCAAGGTAGGTAGTTAATGTTGGCCCGGGGGCTCGTTGGGGCGATGGAGTGGCAGCCTTGGACCCTTATAATATCGCTGTCCTAGCAGGAAGGGATTCAACCGTCGGTGTGGCTGGTCTTGTTCTTGGTGGTAGTAACTCGCTACTCATGCATATGGCTTCCAGTAGTTTTACTAGGCTTTTAATAGGGTTATTACCATTTATCGTCTACATATCGTCTCGTAACAGATAACGTCAATAATTTTCGAGGTAATAGGTTGTTCTTGCAGATGGAACTGTCATGGATGTTAACGTAGACAGAAAGAAAGACTTATTTCGGGCTCTTGAGGGTGGTGGACTAAACTGTGGCATCGTTACTAGGTTCGATCTTGAGACAGTACCCATTTCTAGAATCTGGTTTAAAATCGCCGTGTATTTTCTACGGATTTTCCAAGCATTCCGGCGCGGTACGTAATTTCGTAGTCCATAGTATTAACCCGCCGATTGTTCTAGCCACGACTTCAGGGGTGTTAGCCCCTAAGTTGATGTCCAGCTCTATAAAGACGTGTACCAATTTTAGTTACGAAGCTCTCAAGCTGTACGAGAGGTCGCAGGAGCTAACTAAACATTAGTCTTTCAGCATGTTCCTACCAGTATGGTACAACAAGGAAGAAAGAAAGGCGAAAACCCCTTGGCTCTAGAATTTAAGACGAATATCGCAAAGGCATGGTTCAAAACAGTTATTCCAAGGATTATAGGGCGATGGCTTCCTGCTTTCTAGTATTTTAACAATTGCTAGGCAGCTTTTCTATATTTTTTTAACGAAACTGTGTTTTAGATCTAAGTGTGTGCAGTGGTGTGTTGCTTTGGGAGGTAACGATGTCTCGGTCCCTAAAAGGCCTGCTGATCGCAGCATTACGGCTGTTAATGAGCCTATCGGTATTTCTAACAAGGTAATTTATGAGGGGGTGGAAGATGACTTATCATAGGGAATATTGACATGTAGAATATAATAATTAGAGTATGACAACTTATAGCCAATACTTTCGATTTTGTACTGAAGGGGTGAGAAGTATGCATATCGACAAGTTTTTATACGACTCCTATTGGTAGTATTGATATATTAATTTGACGCATAGAATTTGAACCGCAAATAAATGCAATAATACGACCGACTTTATCTCCGATATCCTAAAGTAACCACATAAACAAGTCCTACCGCGTTCCGTTAAGACATCTACTATCCACAGTGTAGCAGCCTCATCACTTGATCTCTAGGTATACATCTTATAAACATCGTCTATGGTGTGAACTGTTAACAGATCGTTGTAGATATCTGTATAATTACCTACCTATGCAGCATTCATGGCTATTGGAGTCTGTTTTCTTGATACTAAAAAGGCATTTGAGTTAAAGTATGGAATTATATCCCCAGATGGTTCCATAAGTAAAATCTGTAGAAATTATTTTCTTTGTGTGCCGATTGGACGAGGGAAAAATCCACCTTCAGTGATGGTCGCAATATTAGGCCTCTATACCACTCAATGTTACATTCGCTCCTCAGCTGTCAGTTGAATGTAGACGAATTGGGGGCCATTTTCTCCTTCTAGGTAGGTAGTTAAGAACATGCTCAAGTAGGCAACTTTAGGAGACAAATTGCGCTGAGTAATATAATATGTAGGGTTTCATACTCGTAGAATTACTTTGGGAGGAATAACATACGTGAGGCTCTTATACAAACCCTGGGATAAATGTATCGGCCGTCGCATTTCAGTAAACATCAAATCCACCCCTTACTAAATACCCCAACTATCAAGCTCTATTAGTGTCTATAATCAACCTTCCTATGAAGTATTCAATGGACTCCCTTTCGAATCAGTTACCACCGGAAACCGACCTTTGCAAAATACCGACTGGTGTTCCTCCTCCTGGACAATCTTCTAACCTCGACAACGCAGACCTGAAGTCTTTGACAATATCCCTCGGTGTTATCTTAACTACTATCGCGGTAGTCTTTAGCCTTGGTAGACTCTACGTCAACTTTCGAAAGTTAACAGCGGGTGATTGTGAGTTATCTACCTATGGTATCACTTGGGCGAAACGGTGTTAATGAACATCGACAAGTCTTTGTATTTGTTGCCATTATATCCAATACTACTACAGTAGTTTTGATGATTATCTGTATGGCATATCGTATTATGTCTTCTTATTCAGTCGATAACCTTCCCACCCCTAGATGCCAAATACTTCCGGCATGTATGGAACATACCTTTATGCTGGATTAATGATAACTACGGAAAGGTAAGAGAGCAACTAAGTCACTCCCTTACCTTTATGTCTTAGTCTAGAGATGACTAACATTGCGATATACCATATCTAGATGGCATTTGTCTGGGAGATGACCGCGACCTTCAGTACATTTCCTGGTAGAGCTGCTACTTTGCTACTGTTCTACCAGCTCTTTCCCATATCTCGCTCGATAGGTATAGCTATATGGATCGGCATGGCTATTAGTCTCATAATTACAGTTTGGACCATATGTATATTGTCTTACGGTTATGCTAACGAGAAAACTCGGGATCATCCCGAGGACACTGACGGCATTATAACCATGTGGATCTTACGATGGTCACTTCTCTGGGGTACATTAGATATCTTGATCGACATCTATATCTTCATCCTGCCGCTACCTATTATCTTTAAGCTAAACCTGTCTAAGAAGAAGAAGCTGCAGGTCTCGGCTATATTTTTCATAGCGTTACTGTAAGAAAAAAATGCTGTAGATGAGCCTTCCTTGGGTATTTATAGCTGATGTTCTCTAGGGGTATCGCTGTCAGTATCTTAACACTTGCATATAGAATAAAGGCATATCAGAGCCACAACTTCGATAGCACATACAACACTGGAGTTTTGATGATGTGCAGGTAAGCCTTCTATTTACATTTCATGCCCCCTATGCTTATTACGATGAAGAAAATATGCTAATATGACATGAACAATCTCTGCAGTCTTGTCCAGATGAATGTAACCCTCATAATCTGCTCTACTCCAGGATTCGTGGGCTTCATACGTCTCCATATCCTAGAGTCACGGGCCTTCAAGTCTCTCCGATCGATGCTAAGAGTCGGCGGCAAAGCACATGGCCGGTCCAGCCTATTCAAGTCCTGGCAGAGCCCCAATCGACCTCGTACCGGACGTGATGAACCACCAAAGCAAAAGCATAAAAGTTTAAGGAGCATGACAGATTGCGCCGAAGTAAGCGACACATGCTTACTCAACAACGGGACTACGGTAGATATCGATGGGCAGAGAAATACACCTACTGTCGGTAGCAAAGATAAGGAAGATGACATCCACTTGAAGGTGCTTAATATAGTGGATGTTGAACATAACTCGGCCTCACTTTCGCTTCAAAGCGACGACAATATATCTTCACATGTATGAATTCCAAGCAACGTATGTATCACACAGCGGATATGTATGATTAGGATATTCAAATGGAGCAATAATGATAATATATTAAATGATCTGATTGATTGTGTTGAGATCGTGGGAACGCGTTATGCACCAGGAATTACAACATTTAATAATACAAATTAATCTAATATCCTTTTAATTGAATATTGGCAAAGCTAAATAGCTAGTAGGCGGGGCTGTTATATATCGTCAAGTACCTCCCCCACCATACAAATTTATTACTGTATACTTGTACTTTCTAAAATGCGCACCTCTTTAAGCCTCGACTTCTGCATAGTCCGTGGTTGTGTCGTTTGCGAAAGTAAAAAGGGGTCGGATTCCACGAATCAAAATCAATCCCAATAATCTGGATAAAGTAAAGAAATAGTTAGCTATATTTATTAAACTAAAACATTAGCATAAAATCTTTTTAATTATAATAAAATTATAAAATTTATTTTTTAAACTATATATTATTTTTATATAATAATTATAATATAAAATTATTATATTATATATTTTATAATTAAAATATTTATTAATTTTAATTTGTTTTTAATTTAATATAAAAATATAATATTTAAAAATAATAAAATAATTAAAATAAATAATAATATTATTAAATTTAATATTTATAATATTTAAAATTATTTAATTATTAATATAATTATTTTTATTAATTATTTATTATTTATAATTATAACGTTTTAAAAATAAATATTTAATATATTTAAAAAATTATTTAAAAAT